AATGTTTAGATTAGATGTCTGTATACAAGAAAACGCAAGATCCGTGATGTTTATAAGTGCATGCTTACATTTCACAACTGTTTATTTTGCGTAACCACCAGGGGCTTGATATGGAGGAGAAAAGTTAAGACAATCCTAAGGGTCTCTGGCTGGCAAGGTCACCAATAATGTAAGCATAACTGAAAAAGTAGGTAATGGGGCCCACAATTGAGTTTTGTCATTAGACTTAAAATCTTTCACAGCACCAGTGTTAACCACTTTAAATTTATAGCATCTTTCATATAAATTTAATGCAACTTAAAGTGTTTTACAGAGATTAAAAAATTAATTAAAGCAGGAAAAATGATTAAAAAACTTAAAAAAAAAAACAGAAATGGATGTAAAAATTACAGGCTTAATTTTTTGAATATCTCTCAAAAGCACAATAACAGTTTAAAATGCATATTTTGTTTTTTATCATTTTAGCACTTGCCGTGAGCCTGCTTATTTATTTACTTATTTATTCCCTTGCATTAACGTATTTCTGCTCGCTTTATCTTGCTCGTTGACTGTGTTATTTGTTTGTATGTGTCATTGTACAGCACTTTGGCTACCCTTGTGGTTATTTTAAATGTGCTATAGAAAAACAGTTGATTGATTGATTGATTGATTGAATATTCAGTTATTAATGTGACTTAGAGGCAAGTCCAGTACAGTCATAATTATGTCTTTATGTATCTAAGAAATTGTTGGCTTACAGTTTACACAGTATTTCTGTTTTCTGGGTCATTGAGTTCAGTCAGCTACAGCAGAAATCCACCAGTAGATGGCACAACAGACTCTGAAAATACAATATGTAATACAGTTAAAATTAATGAGAATATTTTGGTTTCAAGGCTGAAATTGTGTATCTATTGATGTCATTATTATTAGTGTTGCAGCCGTGATAACAGTTTTATTGAATCTTTCTTAAATTAAAAAAAAGGATAAATAAAAAAATGCCACTTTTCCTTTTGTTATCAGCAAATTTTTCAGAACTTGGTCTGTCAGTCTGTTTTACGCTTTAGATCTCAGCTGGTTCATCTTTAATGAGGCCAGACTAGAGTTAGAAGTCAAACTTTTGCAGTGAACTCTATTGAAAATCCATGCACACACCCCCACACTCGAAAATACTCACATAACATACACACAGGAAGAAAAAAAAAAGAAAAAGGCAAAAAAGGATGAACATAAACGTTAATGGCAATGTGACAAGTGAAGACAGCAGGGCAGAGCTGCACAGGGAAAAGGAGGTTTTGATGTGTTCTTATCCATATAAGCTTGTCCATGCCTCGCTGGTCTCAGCGCAATGTGATAGTTCATCTGTGACGGAAGATTTCTAATCCTAAATCTGACAACTGCTGTATGGATTTACAAGAATGGTATAATCCTTAATTCTAACAAGCCTTTCTTCGCTATTTGCTTTCATTTTTCTGATTCTTCAGGTAATGAGTGATCATATATTTTCCATTGATATCTCATTGTTATGACCAGAGCCAGCAGAATGTTATAATGATTTGCACAAAATCAATCGCTATCCCGAGTGTAAGACAACTGCATTTACATTATTACCTCTCTCCAGGCTGTCCAAACAATATGATCTACTGCTTTTGTCTTTCTTCGACCACTTTCAAATGATTAAACAGAGGAGGAATCAATCATTTTTCATCATCAAAATGATGTATGGTGTGAGAGCAGGTTGGAGAAAATGATCCCTGCCATAATGACCTGTAGGACTCCAGCTGACAGATAAATGAGATCAATGCTTTTGCTTTACTGGGAGCCCTTTCCTTTTATAGGTATATATTGAAAAATGTGCCAAAATGGTGCTGATAATTGTGCATCAGAGCTAACATGTGGAGGTGTAATCAAAGGTCTTTATTTAAGATGGTGTAAGGGGATTGAAAATCCTGCTGCAGAAACTGCTGGCTCAGAATGACGTCTATTACCAAGTCCAGAAGAGAAAATTTGATACTCCTATTCTTTTCTTTTCCCACAGAAATCAGTATGAGAGCAGAGACAACCACACCGAGTCATTGATCAGGGGAAAAAAAAAACACTTCATGTGTAATGAATACAGTTAATGAGCAAAGTTCCTCAGGGGCAAATATGCATGCGGTGATCCAACTATATGCTGAACAATTCAGTTTAACAATTTTCATCAGAGTAGGCATCAGAGTAGTAGTAGTAGGCTAAAAGTTCGTGCGGCTGCTGGATTTGACTAAGAATACCAAAAGCAGACGTGCGTATGACAAAGCAGTTTGCAAGGAAATAAGGGGAAACAGCCAGGGGCGTCACTGAGAATTTCCAGGCCCATGGGAGGATATCACAATGGGCCCCACCACCACCACCACCACCACCACCACCACCGTCCAATTATATTCATTCAACACTTTCAAACAGAAAATTAGGATTAATAACAACAAAGGAAACAGGATCATAGTTGTATTTTAGCAATATCTGAAGTAGGGCTGTTTTAATATATCAGTGTTAATGAAAACGGTCTTTATTAAATGATTATATATTGATCAGCAATCAGTAATATTGTGGGTTCATAGGTGAGGTCCTTTACACTGGCTGCCTCACACTTTAGTTAGAGATTTCAAAATAAAAGCATGACAAACAATTGTTTTTTGTGAGGGAGTGGTTTCCCTAAAGAAGTTTCAGCTTAACAGCTAGTAATGTGGATAAATCCTGAACTTGAACATGATTAGAAATGGATGATAGCATGTAAGTTAACTAGGTTTATTTATTTAGTTTATGGACTTGTAATGCGTATGTGTATATATATTATAGTGCTTCACCCTTGTCTTTCCTTTTATCAGCTTTACTCACTGTTTTGCTCTAAATTTAAAGTTTTCCATTAATATTGCAATCACAGCATACCTCAAATATCATTTGTAGCATTAACCCAACAAGGTTTTTTGAATAATATCCTCAAAGCATCAATGTTAGTAACATGAAGCCTTTGTAGGCCTGCTGTTTTATACTTAATCCACTAAGGGGCAGTATACAGAGGTGTACAGGCTCTAAAGAGAGTAATCCTGACAGAGAGAATCTTCTAACTTAAGTATAATATACGACATTGTCTGTACAAATCATCATGACACATTTGCTGTGTGATAATTGCCTTAAATATTTACAATTTTAAGATAGGAAAATTGAGATCCTTGTCCTCTTTCGTCCTGTATAGATAGTCTTTTTTTAACTCGTGTGCTACAATCTATTAAAGCACTCTTTCTCGAGTACGATCACTTTTTAAAATTGTACTCTTTCGAAGGGCGCCTCAGCACCCTGGGTCCCCGTCAGTAATACAGTTTTAATCACTGCTGCGAAACAATGATTTTATATCCATTAGCCTTTCTTTTGGACTCTGGCTTATTCATTTCCTCTCTTTTATTTGATTTGAAAATTCAAATTAAAAGTTTTAAGACTATGTAATTCATTCCACGACAATAACAACATGACTAATACTATGAGATCATCTTGACTGGCTCACATTTGAACTCAAAGAACCAACAGGTATCCTTTCTCTTCTTGTATTGAAGGTAACAGCAAAATTAAACACCAGAAAAGAAGTCATTAATCTGAAGGAAAGACAATGTTATATTGCTATTAGTGAGGAATCCATCAGCTCCTTTAATTGAGCCTGTGGGCTGCTGCTCTGCACTGCATCTCAGCTGAGCCTGCGGCCAGCACAGACAGTAATGAGCCCGCCTGTCCCTTGTAGCTACTGATAAATGACATGCGGCTGTAATGGCTCTGCTCTGTAGCATGTGATTGACAGCAGAGAAAAAGCACGACTCGACCCTGTGATGCTGTGAGCAAATATATTGTATACATTACACAGAAAACAGTGTGAGGATATTTAAAGACGGAGGGTAGCCCACGTTGTGAGAGTCCCTCTGATCATGTGCTGTTTCCAGTGAGAGTTTTCATCACTGAGGTGTGCATGGAGGTAATTATTTGTTTTTTCTGTTTCTTCTACCGGAGTTTAGTACTGAAACTAAAACAAACCAGGAACATGGCATTATTCCAAGCTACAAATAAAAAAAAAATCAATAAATGCTCTGCATACAGTGAACTGTGGTGCACGCACACACAATCTGAGATGTGGGTGTAACTGCTTTGTTTGTACTCACCATATAACATATGCTAATTTTACTGGCATTATACAAAAATAATGGAGATTTTATAGTTCTTGGAGTACAAAGATAATGATACCGCTGCTTTGCTCTCAGAAATAAATGATATTTGAAAGCGGTTGTCACTTTGCTTCATGTGAAAAGCCTCATGTACTTTCCTGGAAATTGGATTTGGATGAGTTTACATAAAGTTTCAAGGTTGTCTGTATCAAATGTTGGAAAACAGACTGCATACCTTGTCAGCGGTCTTTCAAATATTCTTACATTTGTCTATTATTACATAATTGATGCAGAGATGTCTAAATCAGCTCAGGTTTACCTTTTTTTTTGTCAAAAACGATGACAACTACGAGCCAGATCACCATGAAATTTTCAGCGGATATTCATGTTCGATGATGATTCACAGGAAGGAAAACATAGCAACAGACTTTGGCAGGGACTGGGGCTCTGTGTGGGGAGACGACAAACTTACAGTACAGAGAGGAGCAGGAGTGTTGAGGCCATCTGGTTTCTCAAGAAGGAGATGCCAACTCTTGCTTTGAGATCAATGGGTAACATGCAGGAAGTCTCCATTAGTTCAACTTAGACTCCCATTGGAATTGTAAATTGTAACATAGCAAATTTGGACACCTTTGGCGTACAGGATAAGGATTTGTTTCAGTGACTTTTAATGCTCAACTGAGAGGATTTGCTCTTGCCATGATACACCATTTTAAGATATATGTGAGAAAGCAAAAATCTACATGTCAGTCTCTCTCATATTCACCCGCTACCTTCTCAGCATCGACCAAAGAAATGAATCAATCCAGAGGACCAGAAACCATAGTTAGCTCACATTGATGAACAGCTACAAGGATTACGGGGAGTGGAAATATCAGGAGGAAAAGGACGTTCGCCCTTATTCTGAAGTAGAGACACATTGATTTACCATCAGCTGACAGCAAAAGTAAGAATTCAACTATTCCATAGCTATTAGAAATGACTGAAAGTGTTGAATTATACAACAGCGATGGTTAAGGTGACTGAGGCGGTTTTCCAGATTTGCCAACAAGCTTTGATACACAGTTCTATAAAGTTTCTCAGCCATCAGCAGTCAGCACTGTCAGGTACTGTTTCCAATTTCATGTGACTTTATCTTCAGGAACAGCAGGTCTATTGGGAGAGAAGTTAGAAATTGGACAACAGCCATTTCAAACCCTCAAGTTTCTTCAGTGTAACTTAGAGATGCTGGAGTAAACACACTGATTTCCACACAACCGAAACCACTGAAAAGCATAATGATAAGTGTTCCCAAAGTAAACTCAAATACAGCCCTACGCCGCTCAAAACTGTGAAAGGGAACAACAATTCAATGCTGAAACTGAAACCTCTGACACCGCCCACATTTTGAAAGGAGTGGCACAAACAGGTCAACGTGTGAAGGCATCTCCACGGAAATGGTTATCTAAAATGCCTGCCCTACTAAGCACAGTGTGTTAGGAAATTATGCTAATTTTGGAGATTTGTTGAACTTTGATTTACACCAAGAGCAAACTATGCAAAAAGAAAACTTCAAATGTTAGAAACTTTGAGTACTTTGAGTATGGAGACAACAAGAAGTATGCTTTCTTTCTTTTATAACATCTTATTGTAGGTGCAGTCTTTCAAAGTGGAGCAGTCATCCTTGGTGGAGGGACGGCCAAGGCTGCAACTTTATGTACAGCTTATGTTGTATAAATTCAACCTTACTTTGTGCTGCTTCCTTTATATACATCTGTATCACAGTACAGCCTGTTTCTGTTTACCTCTGTTCCAGATCTGTCCTATAGTTTTCTTTTCTTTTTCTTTAAGAACTGTAAATGTACAGGAGGCAAATGATTTTATTTATTTGAGGCAGTGTCAGAAACATAGACTGTATGTTCAGCCAGCATCCGAGTGTCTGATTTCTATTTGGTGGTTGAAGTATAGGATGATCAATTTGTGTTTCATCATGTTTTTACACAAATATTGAATTTGACTTTGTTTTTTCTGCTGTTTGCTTTAATGTATCATGCAAATAACTTTAAATGTGGACTGAAATAGCGATGCAAATAAACGGACATTATCCAGTTTTTCCCATTATTCAACAATATTATATTTCCATATAAACTTACTACTGACTTTGATGCCATTTGCACTCACTACAAATGATTACAGGTGTGTTCCAAACGCCTGATAACCAAATCTGATCTGCTGCCATGTTAAACCACGTATCTTTAGAGAGGAACTCCATACAATATGGACCAAGTCTCTAAGTGGTCCCTTTCACTTGTGCTGTCCTGAAATTTTCTCTAAAATATCAGAAATCAATGCTAGGTGCTGATTGATCTAAATTTGTCTGCATTTGATGAACATATTTTAAAAGGAAACTGTAAAAACAAAGCTGTTTTCTGAGCTGGTTGGCTGACACCTACCCCCTTACTCTGGTTTGAGGGGTTGAAAATAGCAAACTGAAAGTTGTCAGTCTTGTTGGTAATGGACTTTTTTGCTTTTTTCTTGTATCACAAAAAAGCATCTTTGTGTATCTCAGTCCAATCCATAAAAGCTTTTTTAGAATTATTGATAATTGTAACTAACTGATGATTTACCAAAGAAAACCCTTATTAAATAACTTCATGATTTATAGCACAGTTTTAAACTATAAATGAGAATTGTTCTGAGCGTTACACATTTTTTCATCCTAAAGTTTTTTGGTGACTTGATCTCTTTTTCCTGCATGTGTTAAATACTTTTTTGGGGGGTCAAAACCTATTAACAACTATGATAAACTCTCATCAGCTAAAGCAATGCCAGGGACAACATGATCATACTTGTGATATCACATTTCGTCCTGCAATCCAGGCAACAACACTAGAGCAATTGAATGCCAGCCATAGACTGTATATACTATGGACAACTTGGTTAGAATAGAATAGAATAGAATATTCCTTTATTGATCCCCCATGGGGGAAATTTTTTTGTCACAGCAGCATCACAGACAAGACAGAAAGTGCAAAATGCAGTTATAACAATAAGGGTCCTAATATTAAGAACTTAATAAATGTAATAATTAAGAAAAAAAATTGAAAAGAGAAAAGGGAGAAGAAAAAATAAAGCTTTCTGCAATATACACAATTTAAATGCCATAAAAAAAGTGGTGGTGTAAATCCAGCTTTGTTACTGTTCATTGTAAAGTCTTATTGCAGAGGGGAGGAATGATCTGCGGTAGCGCTCCGTCCTGCAGGGTGGGAGTCTCAGTCTGCTGCTGAAGGAGCTGCCTAAAGCCCCCACAGTCTGGTGCAGTGGGTGAGAGGGATTGTCCATGATGGATATAAGCTTTGTTAACATCCTCCTCTCACCCACCTCCTCCAGGGAGTCCAAAGAGCAGTCCAGGACAGAACCGGCCCTCCTGACCAGTCTATTCAGTCTCTTCCTGTCCCTCTCGGTGCTCCCTGCCCCCCAGCAGACCACTGCATAGAAAAGTGCAGATGCTACCACAGAGTCATAGAAAGTCCTGAGCAGAGTCCTGCACACTCCAAAGGACCTCAGTCTCCTCAGCAGGTGGAGACGACTTTGGCCCTTCTTGTACAGAACGTCTGTGTTTGTTGACCAGTCCAGTTTGTTGTTGAGGTGGACACCCAGGAATCTGTAGGACTCCACCATCTCGATGTCCAGACCCTGTATGTTCACTGGAACTGTTTGAGGTGTCCCCCTCCTGCGGAAATCCACAACCATCTCCTTTGTCTTACTGGCGTTGAGCTGGAGGTGGTTTGTGCCACACCAGTTGACAAAGTCAGTGATGACAGTCCTGTATTCCCGCTCGTCCCCTGACGATACACATCTGACGATGGCTGTGTCATCAGAGAACTTCTGGAGGTGACAGCTCCCAGAGTTGTAGCTGAAGTCTGAGGTGTACAGGGTGAAGAGGAAGGGGAGAGCACTGTCCCCTGTGGAGCCCCCGTGCTGCAGACCACCATGTCCGATACACAGTTCTGAAGCCTCACAAACTGTGGTCTGTCGGTGAGGTAGTCCACGGTCCATGCGGCTAGGTGACAGTCCACTCCCGCCCGCTCGAGCTTCCCCCTGAGCAGTGAAGGCTGGATGGTGTTGAACGCACTGGAGAAGTCAAAAAACATGACCCTCACAGTGCTGCCAGTGTTCTCCAGGTGAGCCATGGACCTCTGCAGCAGGTAGATGACTGCGTCATCCACCCCGATGTTCGGCTGGTACGCAAACTGCAGAGGATCCAGATGAGAGCTCACCAGGGGGCGGAGGTTCCTCAGCACGATCCTCTCCAGAGTCTTCATCAGGTGAGAAGTGAGGGCCACAGGTCTGAAGTGGTTGGGCTCCCTAGGGTGCGCTGTCTTGGGGACAGGAATCACGCAGGAAGTCTTCCACAGTGTTGGGACCCTCTCCAGACTCAGGCTCAAGCTGAAGATGTGCAGTAGCACCTCACAGAGCTGGTCTGCACAGTCTTTCAGGAGTCTGGGGCTGATGCCGTCAGGACCCGTGGCTTTCCTTGGCTTCATCTTCCTCAGCTCACTTCTCACCTGGTCAGCTGTTATGGAGAGGCTGGGGGTGGTGCTGGAGGGGGTGGTGGAGGATGAGTGGAGGGGGGTTGATGGTGTCGGTGCCATGGGACTGAGGTGGTGTGAATAAGAAGGAGCAGCAGACGGGTCGTTGGTTAGATGAGTCGGGGGAGGAGTGGGAGTAGAGTCAAATCTATTGAAGAACAGATTCAGCTCGTTGGCCCACTCCCTGTCTCCTGCTTCAGATCCCCTCTCATGGCCCCTGCTATGACCTGAGATGGATTTTAGGCCTCTCCAGACCTCCCTTGCGTTGTTCTGTTGCAAAAGGTTTTCCATCTTGGTCTTGTAGCTGGCCTTTCCCTCTCTGATCTTCTTCTTCAACTCCTTCTGCACCCTCCTCAGCTCCTCCTTGTCCCCAGATTTAAAGACCCTCCTCTTCTCCTTCAGGAGGACTTTCAGTTCCGGGGTCACCCAGGGTTTGCTGTTGGAGAAACACCGTACTTTCCTGGTGGGTACGGTGTTCTCAACACAGAAGTTAATATAGTCCGTGATGCAGTCAGTCATGGTGTCGATGTCATCACCATGTGGGCCGCACAGTACATCCCAGTCTGTGGTCTCGAAACAGTCCTGCAGCGCCTCAGTGGCCTCCTCAGACCACCTCTTAACATACCTGATGGTGGGGGGTTGTTTCTTCACCATAGGTATGTAAATGGGCTGCAGTCTCACCAGGTTGTGATCTGAGCGGCCCAGCGGGGGAAGGGGGAGGAGGTGTATGCATCCTTGGTGTTTGCATACAGTAAGTCCAGAGTTTTATTGTCTCTTGTTGGGCAGTTTACATACTGGCTGAAGGTAGGGAGAGTGGAGGACAGCGATGCATGATTAAAGTCTCCAGAGATGATGATCAGAGACTGAGGGTGTGATGTCTGTAGCTTGGACACTTCATTATGGAGGAGTTCACAGGCTGCAGCAGCCTCAGCCGAGGGGGGGATGTAAACAGTTAACGCGATGACGTGCGAAAATTCCCTCGGCAGGTAATAAGGCCGCAAACTCACAGCCAGCAGCTCAATGTCCTTAGAGCAGAGCTGCTCTTTAACACTGACGTGCCCAGCATTACACCATCTCTCATTCACATACACCGCTATCCCGCCTCCTTTCTTCTTACCACTCTCCCTCACGCTCCGGTCCGCTCTGACGAGGTGAAATCCGTCCAAAGTTACGAGCGGGTCCGGAGTGAGTTCGTTCAGCCATGACTCCGTGAACATCATGAGGCTACATTCCCTATACTCCCACTGCAGCCGAGTTAGCGCTGTGAGCTCTTCCATCTTGTTGGGGAGAGACCTCACGTTTCCCATGATGATGGACGGGACAGTTGGTTTGTAACGCCTCCGCTTTGCCCGATGCTGAACTCCAGCCCTGCATCCTCTCCTTCTCCTGCGGAGCTTAGCGGGGATGTCCGGTCTCTCCCACGAAGGTGGCCGGGCTTGGCGCAGCGCCAACAGCTGTTCACGGCTGTAAACAATGCGGCCGCTGAATGGGTCGCCGGTCGCGGACTTAAAAACTCCGAAAAATAAAAGAAAACAAAGTGCTAGAGTCATGAACTGCACATCCATGGCTGGAATATGCAGACACGACACTGCTGAATGAAGAGAAAGATAAAAAGGTGCAAAAAAACAACAATAAGAACGCAAAAACGTGAAGTCGTTGAGGAGCTGCTGTGACTTGCTGCCACTCTCAGGGCGCCCGAGTCACAAAAGGTTCACAGAAGTCACAGAAGGTTCCGCCTTCTGTGGTAATTCTGCGTTTCTCCTCCACTTCCTGAAATCAACATTGCAAAGTAGCATTGTACGCATTTGATGACACTTGCTTGAACAGCGTATCCTTCGGGTGAGCGACGCAATCTTCGCTCGCCCATAGACTGTATCAAGTGTCAATCATAGAAAATATGAACCCCCTAATAACTTTTATAAATGGAGCTGCACAGAAAAAAATTACTTGAGCACAAACCAGTTTTACAGTAACTACATGTCAACATCGCAACCAGGGGGGAGAAAATTTATATTCTGTGTAATAAATTTCTAAAGTTTGTCGACAGCCCCATAAGGATGGCTGGCGGAGGCGGGATTTACGACCAATACTGCAGCCCATCACCAGGGTGTGCTGTTTTCGGCGTGGCTTCACTCAGCAAGGAGGGAGATGGCGTCTACTCTATATACAGTCTACGGTGCCAGCTCTGGCCAACAAGCAAACCTCTAAGTTGCCAATAGAAACAAACTAGCTTTGTGTCAGAGTCCTGCTCACCCTCAGGACTCAGCATTACCACCCATTCACTATACATTATCCCTTAAATCAGTGGTTCTCAACTGGTGCGTCGTAGACACGTTCTGGATGTGTCACGAACAGCTGGTCAAAAAAGTAAACATTTCATGCGATATATATTGGATATTTGATGTTTCCTGTTGTTGTCCCCTTCATGTGCTCTGAAATGCACTTGACTCAATAAAATAATTGGATTTATGTCAAAGATTAGAGTCTTTAAAGTTTTTTGTTTTTTTTTCATAAAAAATAAATTCGCTTGGTTTGAATTCTATAAAAGTGGGTCGCGACTTAAGGACCATGGGAAAATGTGGATCTCAGAGTGAGACCGGTTAAGAACCACTGCCTTAAATATACCCTGAAATCTGCAGTTATGGGCGTGCAACAACTTGTAAATAACTTTTACTAATCAAAGCTGTTTTCTGCATATTTCACCAGGTCACTAAGTGTATATTTTAACTAAAGTGCCTTGTTATGCTAGTATAGTCCAATTTACCACAGTCATCAAGTGGTTAACACACAGCCTTGGTAAACATCTTACTCACATGTGTGGCCCCTCTATGGACCAGTGGTGTTATCTTGCATAATTATCTATCCATTAATTGGCAGTTTAGCTGCAGATGCATTCACTGACTGATGATTTTTAAGAGCCTGCTGCACCTACACGCTGTGGACAACCCACGTCCAGAGAAAAAGAGCTACGTAATCTATGTGTGAGTGTGTATTTTCGTGAGTGGATGTGTGTCACAGACGGACAGACGGGCGGACAGACAGCATCTCCTCTCTTCTCGCATCAGCATCACGGGGGTTCAATCGCTCTCCTCTCTCTCTCCATCACCGAAACGTAGGAGGCGTCTGTCCAACCTGTGGAGCCTGTGTGTCTGTCTGTCTCCGTCTGTGTCCGCCTGTCTGCTCCCGGAGATCACTTCACACACCTCGCCCGTGGAGTAGTTGTAGTTTGGAAAACAATAAAACCGGTTTTACTGGCTCCGTATTGAAGGAAATCTCAGCTGTCATTCCGGAAGACTCATCCCATTGTCGCCTCGAGGAGTTGAAGCGAACAGGTGGGGACACAGATTTTTAATTCCTTTTCGATTTTCCTCAAAATTCTTTCCAATATATTCTCCGAAAATAAATGCTTTTAAATTATAGTATGTTAATTTAATTCATGTGGTGATATAATAGTCTGTATTTGAATTATTTTCCTTTTACCTCGAATGATAGTAAATCCATTCATGATTTTTTTTTTCTGTGGGGCTGAACCCAAATCCTACAGGTGGGATTTTCAGCCACCTTCAGAGCCAATTTGGTTTTTTTTTAAAAAGACAAAAACAGGCAGTTTCACTCTCATATTGACTTGAAAAACCTGTTAGAAGGGGAAAGCAGGGCGGTGGCATCGTTTTTTTCGTGTGGATTGTCACGCGTTTAAATACTGAGCGCTTTCTCATGGGTTTGGTTTCTGACATCCACACAGCTGTGCGCGCGTGTCATTTGGGAGCCAATCAAGCAGCCATGGACTCGATAATGAAGGGTTTCTCCAAAGCCAAGGAAGGGGTCGCGGCAGCGGCGGAGAAAACCAAGCAGGGAGTGACTGGAGCGGCTGAGATGACGCGAGACGGTGTGATGTTTGTAGGTGGGTGCTGAGGGTTCAATCTAATTAGATCGTGCTTTCACAGATGTTGAATAAGAAGGAGTCTAGATGATGAAAAATGGCACTATTATGATATTTTCTGCTACTTCACACTCTAATTCAATAGATAATGTGTCATCGTGGGGCTTTCTTTGGCATATGTCATATTTTTGGACTAATTAAGCATCATTTGTGTTTTCCTCCAGGTACCAGAACAGTGGATGGAGTCACAACAGGTAATACAATATATTAGCAATAGAAAAGAGGGTAACACTTTACAATAACTTGTAAATGGTAAATAGACCATTTATAAATACTAAGCAGATAGTTTATTAATGTTTAATCATCATTTATAAATGGCATTTTACAATTTGAGAAACCTAACCCTAACTTCACAATAACCATCTAAGTAATGTTTATAGATGGTTTATAAACCAAATATTTACCATTTACAAAGTGCTACTGACACACATTTTAATCTAGATGTCTTACAACCAATATTTAAACCCTATATATACCTTTAATAAATAGTCCATTAATAATTCATAAAAAATATTAATAATAATTTCATTTCTTGTTAATGGTAAACTATTAACTTACATTAAGAAACTTAAATAAATAAACAATTTGCCATTTATGATTGGTCTATATGCTGTTTTTAAATGATGATTAAACATTAATATACTATCTATTTACCATTTATGGTTATTGTAAAGTGTTACTGAAAAGTGTATGAACATCTCTTCTCTTTTGTTTAAAAACATGCCTATTTTTCATGGAAGCCCTTCGTGGACACATGCCTACATTGTATCATCATAAAGTTTTGACTTTGCCAGTCCCGAAATAGAACCAGCTAATGGTGATCCCAATCAGATCTATCATTTAAAACTCCAACTTGGACACTTGGAGGAACATCAGTAACCTCATTGAAATCTAAGATGGCAGCGTTGTCTATCCATAGTTGCAAAAACTATATGTTTAAAAGTGTTTCTGAGCAACTTCATTTTGTTTTGTGTAGTTAAATCAATCACATCAATAGTGTGGTGCAAGCTTTACCTTCCTCCTGTGTTAGTTTTTGCTATGCACCCTGTCTCAAATCAGCTGCAAATTACCCTAAAAACAATTCTCTATCATCTGATTTGGTTCTCATGTCTAGGTTACCTTGTAAGGCTTCATTACCCATAAAAATAATGGTTATAATATTTTTTGTTGTAGGTCTCTTGCCCTTTCTTTGTCAGTATACCCCTCAAACAGTCATCTATACTGAATTGATTTCACATGTCTGGACATGCCCGACATTGTTTTTGTGCAGGAAAAAAACAGGCAAAATGAGACTTTCCTAAATCTCACATGATTGGAAAAGGATCTGAAAGGATCTGACTAACAGTGTGGTGCCTGACAGCACACATATGATTTTAATTTTTGCTCTAATTATTGATTTTCAATCTAATCGGGTCGACAGTAACCCTAACATGACAAGTGCCATAATTATAATGAGAGCATTTTATAATTTAGCCAATTTTTTATTTTATTTTATTTTTTTGTTCAAATAGAGGTTCCTGACAAAGTCAAAAAGTCTTGATGCAAAAAAGCTAATTCAAGTGGTTCTTCTAAGCATTTAAAAACAAAAACAGGTCAGTGCAGACCCTAAGACAGGAGGAGGGTTTACTATTCTTGGATAAAGAGAAAATTCAGTTTTTACACCGAGAAACAGCTGAAGGTGACTTATTAGCAGAGGGTTTTGTTATCTAAAGATAATGAGATAAGTTAGCCATGATCTTAGGAAACAACCCTACTTGTTAACAAAGGAAAACAGAGGAATTAAAATCCTACAAACTACGACTTTAAAGGGACGTTTATCACAAGATTCATGAGAAATGCTCATCACGCTGCATCCTCAGGTGGTCAATAAGGGAGAATAATGAATTTTCCTCTGGAGGTAACTAAGTGTCATATATCACAACTGTACTCAACACAACCTGCCCAAGTCCCCACGGACCAGGCCTTGCCATTTCACATACATAACAAGCAGAGAAGCAGGGGAGACTTCCTGTTACAGGCACCTAGGGAAATGTCTGTGTCGCTGTATATACAGCTGCAAGTTAGTGTTTTGGAGGCAGGAGCTATAAGAGATGTATGATGAGAGGCTGTTTTATTAAAGTCTGAAGGAGGGTTTATTTTCTCATAAGGGCAAGCAGCCCACATCAGGCCACTTTCATGAGGTCCAAATAAGCAGAGATGATGATCCCCTTAGGCAGCTAAATCAAGATTAAAGCTTTAGTTTTATTCATATTTAGGCATTTTTCCCCTTAAGTAAAGCAATGCTGAACTAGAAAGGCCTTATCACTGGTTTTGCACGTGCCATTTGTGATCTGGTTGACAAAAAAGGGAAAATTTACACTATTTTACTTTTTTATCTGCTCTGTTTTTCTTATGAACTTATGTGCTTTCAAGGTTTAAATTGTGAACCTTTGATTGTAACCACTGGTGTGGAAAACATCACACCAAACCCTCTTCAATAAGGAGAGTTATGAGTTATTATTGGCATTATTACAAAACATACATTTCACCTGAATGAAAAAGTTGCTTTGTGTAAAAGACTGTGTGAAATCAAGTGGACCCTGATGCCAATGTGGAGTCCTAAATCTGTAATTCCTCAACTGTCCACATGAGGCTGGCTGCTAAAATCAGGGAAAGCCCATTAGGTCCCATGTCAAAACAATGAACTATAAGCAACAGTAAATATGCTGACAGCTGAGTCAAAGACAGTTTAAGTCATTTCTCATTTGTACTTTTGACTAAAGTTATACTTAAATTTGCATAATTAAGGGCAATCCTGAGTTTACAGACAGGTGGGAGTACCTTAGCTCCACCTCTTCACTGGTTTTATCAGTCGCCCAAAAGTGAGGTTAAGTCAGCGTTTTACAACATGGAGACGTTGTAAAGCTTGGTGAAACTTGGAACGGCAAATGTAGAGAGTCTAGAGAAATCTGCCCCAGGCTAATTATGAAGTTTAATAACATGAGTGATGATCCAGTTTAAATTGTTGTGCAGGGCGTTTCTAAAATGAAGGGTTATTTAAATAGCTGTGTTTACCCAACACTGTGTAGACTGTTGCTACAGTAGGCTGTTAAAAGTAGTCAAAATCTACATCTATCACTGCTCATCAAAATATTGTGTTTTATAGATGCCAACTCTGATCCCTGGTATATACCAATTCTTGAAATAATCACTACCATGCTGTTTGTTCACCTTATCGCGAAAGTTAATTGTCATTTTAAGCTCTAGCATCTCTATCAAGTCAAAGCAAGCAATAGTAAATTTATATTACCAGTACATCACACTTGAAGTTGAGTATACAAATGAAACAGTAGGGAAAGTAACTCGGATTCCCCATTTATAATCTACTGCTAAAAACTACAGAGGAGTCATAACCATCACCAGTAAGGTAGTTCTCTCACAGTCAACATAGAAGCTTTGCAGTCCAGTACTGCTGCACCTGTGTCATGTTTATGTACATCACTCCATGTTAATCCCACAGGAATTAAGGAACTATAGACACACCCTCCTCAAATGCCCTGCTCTGCTTTTGTCTTTGTAGTCGCTGGTAAAACTGTCACTGGAGTGTCTCAGATGGGTGGAGCCATGGTTACCGGGGTAACAGCTGTGGCCCAGAAAACTGTGGAGGGTGCAGGCTCCATTGCTGCTGCCACAGGATTGGTCAAGAAGGATCCAGCCAAACCAGTAAGAAAGATATCGCTCATTTACAGTTCGTTTGGTTTCAATTTCAAGATATCAGTCATCGATACTGATCTGACTGACAAAGCAGCTCCTGCTCTCAGAGAGTGAATGTCGTGTAAATGGATGAATAAAAGACAAATAGTGTATGTATATAAGAATAGCCCATCCATGAAAATGTTGGTGTTTGGCTCCTAAATGAAAGTATATGAATGGAGAACTTCTTTTAAAGCATCAAGAACTTCTTATATCATCACAATATAGCACTTGAAACACATGTTCAACAACCACCACATACACATACACAAGCATGAGTTAACATGGTGGAAGCCAAACTATGCTAACATTAGCACCCTACCTCCTACAAATGATTACCTACCTCGTTCATAAACGCGTTTCTTTCCATCATTTATCAGAAATGCTAAGAATACTTTGTCTTAAGATTTTTTTTTTCAAAGTTTTCATTTTACTTTGTAGAAATGAATGGTATAATAGTAAATCCTGTTGAAAGTATATTTTAATACTTATGTTTATTATCTCTATTTTGCCTAAGACAGAGACTTGCCAGTTTTTCAGTTGGACGTTGCTCTCCTAAACAGTAGTTTTCTCTGATACAATATGCTACGATACAATAACATATGATACCAGGATGAGATATGACACAAAACGGCATGATATGACGCAACATACGATACAATTTGACATGACACGGTATGATACGATACCATAGGATATGATACGATATGATCCATTATGATCCAATCCAAAAGATCTGATAGGATACAATCCAACATGATATGATCTAATCTGATATGATACGATGTGATACGGTTTGGTCCGATACGATATGACAAGACAAGATAGGATAAGATATGATTCGATACAATATGATGCAGTGTGGTACTATTGGATGTATGGTGGTGAGCTTAAGTTGCACTACGTTACGTTGCACTTGAGCTACAGGAGAGTTTCATCCTATGACTTTTGATGTTCTACTCAGCCGTTTTCAACATAAATAGAGTGAAAAATGTATAAAAGAAAAACGCTAACAGTAGCTAAAATAATGCACTGTTAGTCAAGTGTCTTACACCTGGGGCCACATGTTCAAAACTAAAAATTTTGTGTTGTCAGTTCGCACCAGCTGATTCCTGAGACAGTCTGAAACAACACCGTGACACATACCTGAAGAGACGGTAGATTGCAGCACAGAAAGTTCCTCCATTTCACGTCTCCGTCTTTCAGCGAGAAGTGTTTGCTGGGTCAAAATAGCCTTCTGACCTTGACTCATCCATCTTCACTTCTCGTGTCTGCTGTACCTCTGTGAAATGAAAGACGTTACACATTGTTAGCTCTCTTGCATTGTTCATCAGTCAGTCTGGCCATGGTTTGTCAGAAGGAGGAGGTAGTTTACCGTAGCAATCAATTCACTGCGGCAATACAAACATGAACAGAGACAACAATTTTTCTCTCAGTCACAGGGCTGGATTTGTTGATAAATCACCAACTGGAAATAGTATGAAGTAATGTGTCTATCCGGCATTGTTTTGCATTTTCTGAAAATACCGTGATAATATCGTTATCATGATATTTTCAGGCAACAGTAAATATGAGAATCTGATATCATGACATCCCTGGTGTCAAGAGTACACATTTATTCAATTAAAGTTATAATATTGACTTTGTAGGTGCTATATAAATACAAAAATATGTGCAAAACACCAATCAATAACCAACTTTGCTGTATTTCAAGAGTAACCAGCGACTGGTGACTCATCTCTTTCATGCGTCACAATGTTTAGAGTCCAGTCAGAAACTTAAGAAGCACTGACATGTCTCGGAAACTAACTCTTCCAGCCAGAGTTAGTCTCCATCTCTTTTCAAAGTTTATTTGATTTACTTTCAATCAAAAACAATCTTGAGCTTGTTGAAATAACATTGAACTGAAGTGAACTGTAAGATGTAAAAATTCCAGCTCTGTTGAACAGATGTAGAATCTATCTAAGAACCTAAATGCTGATTGGCTTTAACCACACAGCATTGAGCAGATTGAGGTTTTTCATCTAAAATGGAGTCTCAGCAACATTTGCATACATATATCTATCTACGTCACATGGCCGATCACTGTCTGCTTTCGCTCCCCATATGGACCGATTTCCCTGCACACACCAAAGCCTGTTAAATCAACATTACCACTCAGGCTACAAACCTACTGCAGAAGGAGAGCAGCACACACGCTAAAAAACTAGACCTCCGTCTTTACTTTGAAGTAGAAAAATTTAACAATAGGAACAGATGGCCTCCATATTCTAATTCTTCTTGTTTACACACACAAAAAAATCATATCCGTTGTAACACTTCCACATGGCTGAATGACAAAACTCATAAGATTGGACAGAATTCTGGAGGGAGGACTACTCAAGTTTTCCTGTGATAACCATAACATCGCTTTGAATATCAGGAAGTTATAAGACAATTATCTCCCAGAGCGTGGCAAACATTTGTTGGAAGTTTGTAATGACGCGCAATCTCCCTTTCCTGTTAATGAGCTGTGAAACTCAGGGGAATCCATAGCATTAATTAAGACACCAAGACGTAGAGGCACACACACACATATGCATGCACACACATTTCTTCATCTCTGCTTTTATTTGAGGTGAATAGTGAAAATTGGGCGGTAAAGAGTAGTAAATGAGTAGATTATTTCACTGATTTTGGCATTAACCGACGCCCGAATCATGTGTTTTTCAGGAGCTCCTTCCCCAGCTCGTTTTATCTTTTTTTGGAGCAGCCAATCCAGGGCTTCATTTTCCTCAGCAGTTGTGTTATTACGGCAGCTAGACAGCTAATCGTGGTATTCACCCTGAAGGATAAAAAGCTCCACCTGAAATCTGCTCAGCCTCATTATGAAAAAACCCTGACAAGCCAAACTGGCAGACGGCAGCGTAGACAAACAGATGGACAGACAGACAGACGTAGAGTAGACTGACCATCGGAGGACTAAACAGGTAAAAAAAAAAAAAAAAAAAAATCAAATTAAATCCTTGTTCTCGATGAAAGAGATTGACATGCAGACAGGAGCAGATCGTCCTCATTTATCCATCATTCCCAGGCGGCAGAGCCATTAGACGCCGTTAATATTGATTTCATTTAAAAAATTGATGCCAGGTTGAGAGAGCCCCATCAAAAAAAAAAGGTTTCCCACAACACACACACACACACACACACACACACACACACACACACGAACACACACTTGCAAAGAGATGAAGGTGGGAGTCTGATTAATCTCCTCATCTTCTTGTTTCGCCAATTCATCAGTAGCTGGTGACTCATATCGTGACACACAAAAGCCAGAGAGGTAGAAGAGAGGAAAACCACAGTGAGGAAGAGGATGAGTGGTAGGAAGAGTGTTTAATGAATAAAAAGTGGTCTTTTGCACACCATTCAATCGATAAAAGTGCTGTGTTTTAATACTGCTCAGAGATATCAGCTGTTTTTCCTTTAGAAGATTATATCAACAAATCAGGCTTTATTAAAAATGAGTAACCACTGGCCAAAGTTTAATCTAACAAGGCAAACAAAAGTCTGTCGATGGCGTACCAAAATGTGTGTGTACATGTGTGTATAAGTAAGCGCACACCTCTGACTCAGCTGGGTAAACAGACGGCGGCTTGATGGGTGGCGTTGAATTCAACAGCAGGAGAAGAAGAAGAAGCAATAACTACTGGTTTAAGGTTATGTCAGCCGCTGGTGAGCGCGTCATCCGCACACCTCACACAAGAGTGTGTTCACGTCATCACACTGTGACCGCTCCTCATTAACAAAGGTCTCCTCAATGACACGGTGTAATCAAAGCATCCTTTTTTTAGCCAGTCAGAGGACACGTAGCTGACCTCAACTTCCTCAACAATGAATGAAGGTTCGATTCAAAGACAAAATATATTCTCTGCTGCTTCACTTTAGAGATGTAACCAGTCAAACTCGTCTAATTAAACCCAGATACATGGATGTGACTGTGCTCAGTTGGTCCTTAGAGGGAAATGACTTTCTTCTCATGTCAAGGCCACTCGGCAGCCTATTACAACCAGTAAATCCATGTGTACCTGCGTTTTAAATACCGTTGAGTGGGTCATGTAGTGTGTGTCTCATAGAAATATCCACATCACTTACCCTTCAGGGATCAGTCCATGCACATGTGTCAGGATTACAGTTTTATATATAAGGCATGGGGGCATATAAAAGTGCGACTCATCCAAGTACCCTGAACTCTCTCATCTACAAGACTTCTTCGTTTCATAGCAGCATCATACTGAAGTGGCAGTACAATACAGACAAAAACATAAATACTCGCTCAGAGACAGGTCAAAACATCGAAGGCAATTCATAGCAAGTAGCCATCGTTTTACAATCCAAGGATAGTGCTCTTCTCCTGCGGAGGAGCTCTCAAAGACTCTCTAATTCTTACTGTGTAAACAGGCTGAGAGAACATTAAATAAATGAAGCATTAGCTGAATTGAGACACTGTTTGTCTATCTGAAAATGTTCAAATGAGGTGCACTGCTGCACAACGACACAGATGGGAAGAAGTATGAAATTGATAAGCCCAATATTTGTGTTAAACAGAGAGGCTGGCCGTCCATTTCATCTTGTCTTTCTGTATTTAGCAGCATTTGTTCTCAAACTTCTACCTATCTGCATTAAATGGGTTCTCTTCGTTTCTTTTACCATCAAATGGCATTATACTTAAAGTTTTGGGTTTGTTTCCTTTTTCAGGGTGAGGACCCCGCAGCTTTACAGACCCTGGCAGAGTCACCAATCGATACTGATCCTGCTAGTATTACAGAGGTAAGACTCCATGACAGGCAAAGAGGGAGTGAGAGTAAAGATTGAGCTGCCAAAGCTTGAAACTATGAACATCCTTAGCATGATTTGTGAAACTGAAGAAGATTAAAAGAATAAAGACTAAAAAAAAAAAAAGGCCTCAAATATAGTCAGAAATTTGTTATCCATGAGGTCGCTGAGCTGATGCTAGATGAAGTTTAACTGGTTACCGGATACGAAACTTGACTTTATGTTTTTGTTTTGGAGAATTAAGTTATTTCTTTATCCTCACAATACCACAGGGGTGCTCAAAGTTTCAGTAAATATTTTTAATTTTTGTTGTTAAATATGACCAGAGTAGGACACTTTCCAGTTTGAAAAAGAATAAAAAGACTGAGTTTACATTCATCGGGAAAGAAACCTCTCTGATCATTAAACCAACATTGTCTTGGCTGCTGTACACAGTTAATGAGAGATACCGCCATTACAGGTTATTTACACAGAGGACAGTCAATTAACCGCCCACCTCTTGTCTCTCTTCTCTCTCAGGAGGACTCTGATAACTGAAATGATCAATCACAATCAAAGATGATCAATGACCGAGACATTCCGTGTTGCTCTGCCAAGTCCCGTCGTGCCTCGTTTTGGTCCTTTTACGGCGTCTGTGCCCAACGTCAGTGTGTGTGTCGTAACTAATGTATGTATGTGTGTATGTACGTACGTACGGCAGTGTGTGTAAATGTTGTAGATAAGGAGAGACATTGTGTGCATGTGCGTGTGGGTGCGTTTGACATTTACACATCAGTCCTGGAGGAGGAGACCTCAGGTGTGTGTCGCCTGTGACCAGCTGCCACTCACAGTGTTTCCCTTCCACTGAGAACGCCACCCGGTCATTGTGTGTGTCTGTGTGTAAAACTCTAAATGTGTGGCCGTGTCAATAACTCAAACACTGAAATATACTACAATGTACCACTTTAAACACCTAAGTGTCTCTATAGAAATGAACTAAATGCAGTGATCTGTCTGAAATGGAAGCATAACGATATTCTCTATTTTTGTCTGTACAATGTCACTGTTTTTCGCGATGGATCTTAAAGTGCTGAGCTATTTGTGCATTCATATTGTAACTGAGGTTGTCAATGCTAGAACAGATATGTATCAAACTGAATGGACTTTTGAAAACCAAGAGCATGTATCAAACCGAGCAGCTTACTGCTGTGATATTAATTTCTTTGGAGTTATGTGTTGAATAAATTATGTTGAAAGGTGTGTTGATGCTTGAGGTGCTTTTGTTCTGTGGAGATAGTGTAAGTCAACAGAGAGATTAGGAGCTGACAGGAATTATGACCGATGAAGTCAAACAAACTCACATTTGTAAGTGTTTAAACTAGGGCTGCAACGATTAGTCGACGTAATCGATTACGTCGACAAATTCATCGACACGAAAATTAAGCGTCGACGCGTCGTGTTATTGTTGTTAAGAATCACATGCCGGCGCCTCATGCTCATCTGTAACTGCAGTGCACTACAGGATGTGCTAGGGGCAGTAGCGCTCGCTGTTTACATCCCGCGAGCAAACACAGAAGAAGAGTGCACATATTATGGCAGAACAAACTGAAAAAGACGCTCCAAAACTCCGATCCCAAACTTCAAAAGTTTGGGAACATTTTACGGAGAACAAACCAAAAAAAAACACGTTGATCAAAGCTCAGCTTTCCTACCATGGCAGCACCACGGCGATGCATGAGCACCTGAAACGCCGACACCCCGGAAATAGGTGTTTATAAATAAAGAAGATAGTGATTAATCGTGATTAATCGGACGACTAGTCGATAGATTAGTCGACAAAAAAATAATCGTTAGTTGCAGCACTAGTTTAAACTGTCTCAATTTGCAATTTGGTGAGACAAATTTCTTTTTGAGGAAAAAAAAATAAGCATTGGGTCATGTGATCAGTGAAAAAAGTCGCACAAATCTTTAAAAAACAGGCCCAGAGGGTTTTCTAGAGGATTAAGTACACATAAGTACTTTTAAAAGTAGCCTCAGTAAAAAAAAGTGAGTTTTAAAACACATACGATGGTGAAAAAAAATAGAAAATAAAAATTGTCAGTCCATCTACTTTCATTGGATTTTGGGCATTTTTGTCTTTTTTTCATAAAACAGCTGAAGAGAGGAACTGTGGAAAGTTAAAGCTGCTAAGGGTCAAAGCCAGGAAATTGAACCAATGACGACTACGCTGAGGTCTGTGATCTCTGTAAAAGGAGCATGCACCCTAACCACAGAGCCACTCCACCCTTGTTGGTGTTTCTTCAAAAAAGGAAATATTTCATAGATTTTGGTGACCATATTTTGATTAACCAAAAATCAAGAAAAAAAGAGGACTCAGCCCGGCAATGAGATTCTCTATATCTCTAGTTTTCTCCTTCATCCTAGTGGTCCAATGAAAAATCATAAAAACCAGGACAATTTCATAAGTGCCTTAGAACAGGACGTTTGGTCATCCTAATATAGATGCTATTTTATTAAGATGTAAAATGATGCCCTGTTTAAATTTTGGCTTTTTAAATTCTGAGCATATCTGGATCTGAGGCTGGATTGTTTTAAAGTTGCGCCTGTAATTTTTGTGTGTAGGGTCCATGTGAGATTGTGTTATCAGTTTTAGTCCCTTAAAGCTCATACAAGGAGTTTATAGCTAGTACTAAAACAGAGTTCGATCAATATTACTTCTGAAAAATTAAACATATCCATTGACATGACATCTATTTCCTTATGGTTATTTTCTATGTCTGAAACCTGTGGCGGGGGATAGGTGTCAGGGCGAATAATTAACCACACACTGCTAATTAAGCTTTTTTCGCATGTTGCCCTGCAAAGACCCTCCATGAGTGATACAACTGAGTGTTAAAAGAAGTCAGAAGAAAATAAGCAAGGACTGCTGTGTCCACAGGGGGCGCCAAAGTAGACACCAACTAAATATTCCTCACTGGAGCTTTAACGACATCAAATATCGAGTAGTTAGGCTTTGTTAATACAGCTATTAAGAATAGAGATATCGCTCCATATTAACTCATAAGTCCAGTAAATCTTCTTTCTCCACTCCTTTAGCGAATAACGTACAATGGCAATGATTTTTCCCACTCTGAGGCACCAAGACAGGTGGAAAAACTGTGAAAACTCTGTATGTTGCTTTAGATTTTCATCATTGTGCTGCAGTTCCAGGAAGTTTCATCAGATTAGATGTTGCAATAACATCTCTGCCTCCTTTAGGATTTAAAAATAGGATGCACATGAGATTACTGTGATTTAGCAGTGCTGCTATTTGAATGGATTATAAAGTAAATGTAATATGATTACAGTGACGCGGCTGTGTGTTATAAATTAACAGTTTAACTGTGAATTTAAAGTGAAATACTCATACTGAACGAGGACTTGACTGCCCAATAATCATCAGATCACTCTAGTATAGCCGCATGATTTAACATTCATTTCACCTCTGCATATGTGTTATTTTGCTGCACTTTTATCAAATGAAGATACTTCCTACACCACTGAATGTACAGGCAGAATAGCCCTGGCTGTAGCTGTTGATCTAGAGTGCGTTTTATCATAATAAAGCACGTTGGCCTTGTGGCGCACCCAGCCATCCAGCAGCAGACTCCAGTGCCGTGTGTGCTTAGAAAAGGAAAGACAGATGCACACAAAGGTCTGTCCTTGCAGCCAACTCCTGCATTTTTCCTCTGACAGACAGTTCAGCTCCACTAACACTGAGACCACCAACTGCATCCACAACTGGACCTGAACGAGCTTTCATTTTTATTTGTCCAGCATCCTACAACCTGTTCTGTGGTGTTATTGTTGCTGCACATCCATCTATACCTTTAAAAACCTGCTAACCTCTGTAATTCTTTCTCGATCTTAATATGGACTAACAGTCTTCATGGTATGCTGTACTCTTAAAGAAACTCTTTTTTTCCAGTTAATTATTGCCACTGACAGGCTTGAGCTTACATACTTACAGTTGCAGAATGTCCCAAAAAGTTCATTATTCCCCATAATTTCATTCAAAAAGTGAAACTTGTATTTATTCTACATTAGTCACACACAAAGTGAATAATTTCAAGACATTTTTTGTTAGAATTTTGATGATTATGACTCACAGCTCATGAAAAACAAAAGTCCATCACTTTAAAACATCAGACAAAACATCAATCTGAAAAAGGATTTGTAACACAGAAATGTGGACCTTCTGGAAAATCATGTTCATTCTTGCTCTCAGTACTTAGTCTGGGAATATTTTGCACCAATTACTGCATCGATGTGACACAGCATGGCAGTCCAATTAAGTACAGTTATATCAGGGTCAGCAAACCAGTTTCTGGTAGTTTTGGCGCTGTCGGCAGGTGCAAGGTCCTGCTGATAAAAGGAACACTTAAGGTCCTTACACACCGGCGAATTTGTGGAGCGAAGCGAAAAAGCGAGACGAAAATGCGAAAAATATTCGCCGGTCCGAAAAATCCCTTTCGCTTATACACATTGGGCGACCACTCTGTGGTACACACTCTCTCCCATCGTTGCTCTTGGTGCCAGTGGTGGTGTGTGTCGTGTGAACTGCAGCCGCATGGGTCTGTGACGTCATCAACAACATGACTTTTGATTGGCCAGAGGTCTAGCAGGTCCAGATATTCGCCTGTGAATCTCCGAAAAATTCGACACAAGAGCGAAAAAATAAAAGAAGGAAAAATCGCCGGCGGTGTGGAAGCTTGCATTGATTTTATGCTTTTTTAAAAAAGGCGAATGTAAGGACCTTAAAGCTTCTCAGCGGATGGACGCATAAAGAGAGCTCCAAAATCTTCTGGTAGACTTCAGGCTGTGTTGACACTAGACTTGATAAAGCGAGTTAAAGGCTCAGTAAAGCTTTGCTGGTGTTCAGTTTTAATTAGCTGATTAAAGCTGAAATGACAAAAAAGAAACTGGACTTTTCCACAGTATTCATACATTCTGATTCTAGGGGAGGCATCTTGTGATCGCGTAGTGTGTTATATTTTGTAAGGGTTCGATCTGGGTTCCACTGTGACTGGAATGGACTGACGTGTGATTTTATGTATGTTCTTAAAATGCTGCAAATGAATTGCCCTTTTGGGATCAATAAAGTTTTCTGATACTGAAACTGAGAAAGTGGATTTTTGTGAGCCGCTGTAGCTGTAATCATCAAAATTCAAACAGAAAAAATCTTTGAATCTATCACTTTGAGTGTTTATTTTATTTGTGTGTTCAAGCCGACCAAAACTCAAAACAAATTATGTAATTGATGGAAAATGAGGTTACAGAAACATACTTTTTTTATTGTCTTGTGTTTAAAGCACACAGTAGTTGGTGATTCTGTTGGTAAAATGGATAAACTAAAAAAAAATCCCTGCTGTGTTGACTGACACTTTCAACAACAGCATCTGATCATCACATCAAACGCCTACATCCAGATATTTGGTAACTTGGTGCAAACTCTTGTCAGCTATTCCTCAAATAGTTTCACGTGTGTTTGCAGTGTAGGAATTCAATCTCTCTTTCTTTTTCGGATAAGAAAGAATATTTTAGAAATAGAAAAACAGTTCTTGGTTTCAGAGTTTCCACCTTGTTGTAATCCACACCTGAAGTGGAGAAGTCCATTTGAGAGCAGACAAAAGACTGAGATGCTGTACTTCACTTCCTCTTCTTCCTCTTCAGGGCCTTCCACTCTCCCTCCTGAGTGGCCAAACTGCCAAAGAGCTCCTTCACTTTCCTCTTCCTCTCTGCATCTCTGAAACACAAAAACAGACAAAGTTAGAGGCTTTTAGGAACAAGAGTGTTTTTTTCCCAATACAACCCGGTCTGTCATCCACACCTGTTCATGACCTCGTCGAGTTTCTCTCTGGCCAGGAAGCGAGAGTCCTTCCTGATCTCTCTCAGAGCACCCTTGAACTCCTTCTTGTACTTGTGCTTCAGTCGCTCCCTCTCCCTCTCCTCTCTGTTGCTCCCGCGCTTCTTCCCGTAGTCCAACCTGAAAGATGAGATCACCAAAAGAGGTTTTCGTGCTTTCTCTCAACTCTTGGGAGTCATTTCAACACGGCTCACGCCAAGTTTTGATGGCCACTTACACTTCAACAATCTTAGGTGTGAGCAGCTTCAGGGGAATGGGCTTCTTCTTATCTAAAACCAGAGGATTGTGAGACACAGGAGCACTTCTGATGGTCTCCAAGATCTCACTGTGAAGCTCCTGAAACATGAGAAGTATTAGAAGACCAAGAACAGAAGAAACAATCAAAAAAAAACCTCTGGATCTTTTGGCACCGACCTGTAAAATCCCTGGTAACGCTGAAGCTGAGAGATGTTTGGAAAGCAGCGTTCTGATTGGCTGGAAGATGGTGTTGAAAGACAAGAGGTCTTTGTAGAGCAGGCAGCAGCGCTTCACCAGGTCCAGACAAGTAGACAGACATGTTAACCTGCACAGAAACACAGATCGACATTTTCAGTGTTACTGTTTTCCACTTGCTGTAAAGGACTGGGAACACAGGTTTTAGGGGCAGGAGTGGAACTGGACTGATCTGAATCACTGAGAGCACACTTAGGTATTTGGTTTGTTGTAACCTGAGATATTTTAGTGAGGGTCGCCATGGATACATACAACCCTGTTTCTAACAAAGTTCCAGCGTAAGATGTAAACAGAAACAGAAAGCGATGCTTTTAAAGAGCGCTGAAAACTTACATTTGTTTAAAAAAGCAGAAAAACAACATGCCAAGTGTTGAAACTAAAGGCTCAAACTGTTCTTGGAATTCCCCAGTTTGAACTTGATGCCAGCGGCACATTTCACAAAAGTTGAGACAGGCTGGAAAAGTTGTGAAATGCACATGACAAGCATAAAATATCTTTGTCCGTCAAAGTTCACAAAACTCACTGATTTTTTGACTTCTCACAACGTTTGACCCGATATCAGTGACACATTGTTTATTTATGAGTCTAATATGTAATGAAATCTGTTGCTCTGTTTAATAACAACATTGTATATGATCTAAATTAGAGCATGATCCAGTTTAGTTTATTAATAATGAGAAAGTATATTCCATCCACAGGCACGGTCTGCTGAAGCCGGTTTGCAAGCTTCGCTGCGTGCCCACACACCAGCTGCTGTGTGAAACCACACTGCGCTTCGACACAATCACACGAGTGGATGTCTCAGCTAGCTCGGAGCCCTACAGTCTGTACAGGTAAACAGAGTGAGACGCCTCATATCAGGCTTTTATACCCGGACTATAGTGGCTGTAATAATAACTCGTCACAGTTTATCTTGTATCTGTGCTGCTGACATGTTAAATCTAACGACAGGAGGATCTCGACAAAGTGCACATTTCTGCTCAAATTTGATCAGTGACTCTTATCCTACGTGTTAATCCTTGTTTTCCACATTCAGTAAAGCTTCCTCTCGCTCTTCTTTCCTTGCCTTTTAATTTAAGGTGGTCTAATTCTGGTCCACATTGAACAAGAGAAGCAGAGTGAAGACAAAAGATCCTCTCACAGTGTAGCTCCCTCCTCCTCTTCCCACTGTCCCTATAATTGTCTCTGGGCTCGTGTTCTCTGCTGTTATTTCATCCGGTTGTCACTGACTCAACTCTGAACGGCCAATTAACGTATTGTGGGCTCTGTTGTGTCTGAATGCCACATCTCTGGGGGGGTCAGCTGGATAAACAGAGAGGTGTAAAAAAAAATATCTAGAGCTACATGTGGATTTAGTTTGAACCACAGAGAAACAGTGAATCAGGGAAAGTTAGAACAATTTATCATTTCATTAAGTCAGGTTTAATCATTAGTAAACTATTATTATATCGTTTTTTAATAACAGGTTTAGTTTTGGACTGCACAGATTTAAGAATTGATTAAAAGCATTGATTAAGAAGTATTGAATCTTTTTTATTAAAGCGCCAATGAGCAGCTTTTGGCTTCGAGTGGATTTTGGCGCCCCCTGTAGCTACAGTAGCTACATCAATCTCTTTGTTTATCTCGTCCTTTAAATTTCAAGTTAGTGTTTTCTGATCAAAAATCTCATCCAGCCTTCCTCTAACAGTCACATATTTCAAATCACGATGAGTCTTTGCAGTATGAAAATGCAAATAAAGGCTGTTTTTGGCAATCCCCTGCTTGAACACCCACCAGGTGAGAGTATTCACAGGCTTTAAAAATAACTAGAAATTATTGGTCTCTTTCTTGGTGGTCTGGTTTGCTTTTGCGGGTCAAGTAGAGAAATCATCCAAGACTGTTTCATAACCAGCTAAAAACCTCCTCAAGGCGCCTTAAAACACACCCACAATGTCAGCACTTTCTGAGCTCCCAAGATTGTCTGCACAAAGCTGACTGCTTCCAACTATGACTTTACTCCTCTTCAAAAGAGGTCATCGCTTTAGCTTGTTGCAAATATATGCAAACTTTACCATATGCCCGGCCATAGAAGCTTTTTTAAAACTCCAACAAGGGAAACAGTGATTGATTTCAGAGATGGATGTTAGTCAATTTAAGCTATGCTAACATTCGCCTGGTTTTTGCATCACATTTCATAAACAGACATGAGATGTCTACAGGGTTCCTACGCAAGTATGGAAAAGTATGGAAATAAATTTGATCAATTTCCAGGTCTTAAAAAGTATAGAAAAATATTTATGTTTCGATTACCTATTACCACAGTTCTAAAATACTGTTTTCTAGAATTGATAAGTCGATATTTCCAAAAATAAATCTAAAAAATTAGGGTATGGAAACGTATGGAAATTCCAACTGTGTATGAACTCTATGTCTACCTACTGCAGAGACCTGATATTGATATGGCGGACTGTAGCTTCTACTATCCGAGCTAAAGCAGCTTCTTTCCCCGAGGAGTGACTCCCCTCCTACCTGTGGTGATCTTTGTCGAGGTCTGTTTGCAGTTCCAGACGTTCGGTAGCAGACAGTGGAAGGCTCTTCTTACTCCAGCTCTTGCTTGACTCCGAGTCTGATAGCACCAGCAGATCGCTGCACTTCCCTGACGGCCTGAAGGGTGGCACCACTGTGTAACCTGCAACACGACATCTGACACTGTCAACTCTGCTTTTAAACACGCACAGGTTTACTTGTTATAATGCGCTGTGGCTGCGCAGCTACCTAAGGAGGTCTTGTCCTGCACGGCCAGGTGTAACGTTCTGGTCAGGAAGTTGAGGAGTTCTGGCAGGAAGCGCTTTGAGAAGGAGACGTACTCCACGGCCAGACAGCAGAGAACTAAACCTGATGTTATGTCCTGTAGAGACCTCACTGGGCACTACATAGAGGAGAAAAACACACATGCTTAGTAACTGTTTTTGAAGAAGTGTTTCACTGTAGCATGAACAGAAAAAAAGGAAATGTACCACTAGATGTATAATGGTTAAAAAAATAATAAAAATACTAGATATGAATATGTCAAAACTACAAAACAGGATTAGGACCACAAGAAGAGGAAAAAAAATTACAGGGAGGAGATTTTTTTCATTTCCATTTCGAGATTAAAGTCAAAATTTAAACTTTATTCATGTCGACTTTATTCATGTCGACTTAAATCTTGAAAATTTTTAATTTTTTTAATCTCGAAATTTTGACATTATTCACAACATTTTGTAATCTGAAAACTTTGACTTTGATCTTAAGATTTCAATTTTTAATCCTGAAATTTTGACTTTGACATAATTTTGATTTTTTTCAATCTCGAAATTTCGACTTCAATCTCCTTCCCTTCATTATGTTTTTTTCTCTTCATGTGGCTCTTATCCTCTTTAGTACAAAACCCCTCAAAGAAAATGTGAAAAGATCAGATGTACTGGGGGGGCTGCTTTAAGGCAGGTTAGTGGAAAATAATTAATACCCAAAAAGACAAAAGGTGCAGACAAAAAAAGCAAAATAACGTAAAACAGCTCTGACGACACACAACATCACAAACCCTCTGTGGACTGAGTGTACCTTGGTGAGAGCCTGGCCGATGTAGAGCAGGGCTGGAGTGGTCACTGGGTGTCGGAAATCCGATGTAGGAAACAGCAAGGCTGTCACCTTCAGGTAAACAAGCTGCAAAAGGTGTCAACATCCTCGGTTACAAATACTAAACAGACCGTGCTTTAATAGAAATGTGTTATCCATATAGAGAGGAAAGAGACAGACCCATTCTCTCTTCCTATTCTGCTCTCTCTCTCCCCACACTGAAGTGAAGTAATGAGTTTAATTTGACAGAACAGGTGCCCACTTGGTAACTTCTTTGATGAATTATCTTTTGCTGCCAGTCTTTCCCTCCATCTATCTTCATGTTTGGGTAGTCGGCAACAATGGGAGCCATGTGTGAGGTTATGTAAGTTATCACTGGGGCACTGATATTGGAAAAGGGTCTGGGAGATGGATGTCTTAACTGGGCACTTGTTTATTTCACTGTGGGTCCTCCTAACATTCTCCTACATGATGATTTCGTACATGATTATATGTATGAACAGGACTGTGAAATAGAGACACTTTTAAACTTCAACCCTGTACACTCCATGTCTAATATTCAGCATAATTGTAATTAACCCTTACCACATCTAATGTTGGGAAACCAGCATGCCCTTTGACCTCAAGCACCTCCTCCATGCTATGAGCGGCGTCTCCAACGATGTCCTGCATGGCCTTACAGGCTGCATCTGGGAACATCTGACACAAAGTATACAGCTCTCTACAAAGAGAGAGAAAAAACAGGATACATGTCTCTTTAAGATGATGGTTTGAGTTGGTACAGTTTAATACAAATCTTGCTTGTGTTCCTATAACCAACTGGACCCTGGCACTTCATGTTGGAAGTGGCTACAATTCAGACTGCAAGTGTAAACAGTGCCTCTTAAATTCTTCTCATGGGACTAAAATCTAGAAAATAAAAGGCTCATAAAAGACTTTTTTTTTTTTTAGCTGTGCGCTAATCTCATCTCTTTATTGGCTTTGTATCAGTTATATTTTATAACACAGGCATTAAAAACTCTTCTGGGGTGATATTCAATACAAAGCCATATATTTTTTCTAAATTCTTTTTTCAAATTATGCTTTTATTTTGAAGTCGTGTACAGGACAGTTACGTGGAGAGAGAAGTTACTCAAACAGCTTCTTCCTGTGGGTTAAATGAAGTTCTTATTTTATCTTATCTCATTCTAGCCTCCAGAAAACTCTCATTCTAACGTATCAAATATGTCTCTTCGCCTCTACTCTCTCAGTCAAGTGTGTCTAAGTCCTCTCTTTAGGGTCTGACAGGTATGCCTGGTACCCCAACAGATGGGTGTTAAAAATCAGAACAGTATGGAGCAGTGGTTTGGGTGCTTTTACAGATCTTGACAGTGGGAATGTTACTTTACCATAATGTACTGTGCTAGAAACTCATAACAGAGGTCAGCTTTAGAGCAATCTGAACTCACGGTATGAGCTTGTCTACGATGGTGAGTTCAGGAGGACTCCTGGTGGCCACTTCTCCAATGTACTCCAAAAGAAAGCCAAACAGTTTCTGGGGCAAACAGAGAAAATATAAGAAGTTTGATCGGCACTGAAGTCAACCTAAAACTGATGATGTCTTTCCTCAAAGTGTACCTGCAGTTTGAGCTTGTTGCCTGCAGCCAGACCAGGATGGTTGCATTTTTGAGTCCTGGCCAAAATGATGCGCTGGTTGTCAGGGGTGTGACCTTGGAGCAGGTTTTTCAGGTCACTGTAGCTCTCAGGGGCTATGAGATCAGGAAACAGACACTATGAAGCGTTTTGGATTCTGGTTTTCCGGATGCTTTTGCTGTGATGAGTTTCATTGTGTTTGTGTGAATACCTGTAAATGTGTACGGCAGCTCTGCTTTAGCCGCCTCCTGTTGGGCCTTCAGCTCCTCTTTGCTCAGACTCGGTTTGGCGCTGGTGTCTTGATCCTCTTCATCCTCACTTTCATGCTCAGACTCCAGGTCAGAGTGACCATCCTCTTCATCTTCTTCTTCACCACTGCCTTCCTCTTCTTCATCTTCATCTTGTTCATCTTCTTCTTCCTCCTCTTCCTCCTCCTCTTGTTCGCCTTCACCCTCCTCCTCCTCCTCCTCTTCCTCTTCGTTATCTTCCTCTGATTCCTCTCCAATGTTCCACTTTCCTTCCTGGACACACAAAACAATCGTGAATAATTCATAGTCTGTACCAAGAAATAAATCCACACACAAAAATTGGGAATTCAAACATTTCTCTCCAACCTGATAGGAGAGAGTCTTCTTATCTTCCTTATCCAGGATGAAGCCGTCGTTTAGATCATCAGCTGACAGGTGGGTCTGACTCTGTGTGCTCTCTTCAGCTTCCTCTCCCATCATCCTCCTCAGACGATCAGCCTGGAGTAAGAAAAAGCACAAGAATTTTATCAAACAGGAATGTAAAATACAACAATGTTAAACAGCTAGCTCACACTGCAAACACACCTCGAGTTTCTGCAGCTTCTCCCTTGCCTCCCTGGCGAGCTCCTCTGGAGTTTTCATCTTCTCCGAGGGCTGAGCCTTCATCTCGAAGCCGAGCTCCCTCACCATCATGTCGTAGGCCTCTGGCTGAAAGCAGAGTGGGACAGCAAAGGCATGAATTTGGAGTCTGCAAGAAGAAATGACACTTGATGTTTGATTTCTGTCACCCTACCTTTGGCTTCTCCTCTGGTATATCAGAACTTTCTCCTTTGGGTGTCTTTTTCACCATCAGGGCCTGGATGCTCTTCCACTCTTGGTCCAGCTTCTCAGTCAGCTCCTGCGCCTCCTCTTTCTGTACTTGACGTTCCCGCTGAAAACGTCAGAACAGAAAGTGAATGTTCTTACACAAAGAGCCAAACCTCCCCTAAAATATTACAATAATTCCAAATCAGAAAACCATCCAACATCATCTATTTTGCATCTCTGATACTGATAATAAAACTTCCCTACAGACACAAAAAGCAACATTCCATCAGTAATTCCAGCTTCCTCAGCCTTTGTCCACATATATTTGCTCTATGCGAGTCTTTAAAAGATGTTTAAATGTTACTTTCATTATCAAAAAATGCAAAACAAACTCTTAAAACAGCATGATACTGAAGATATTGATGAGACTACATCTACATCTATAAGTGTAGTAAGAGTCTAACTGAGCAGGATGGTGCAATTCGGACGGATTAAAAACATTTTTTTTGCAAAGTCATTTAGTAATTTGTTATTCTGTGTTCAAGCATCAAATCACAGTTAGTTTTGTAAATCTTTTGCAGAATATCCCAATACCCAGCCAAAATTAACCAACAGGGTCATGCTTCATGCTCACCTTCTCCTGTTTGGACTTCTGAATGAGCTCCTCGATGAGCTCCTGTCTGGACTTGGCCCTATGGCTTCCCTCACCCTCCTGCTGATCACCTGATGTTTTCTTTTTGAGGAGGCCTCCTCCTCCTCCGAAGTGGGAGGCGGTCAGCTCAGCTAAATGAGGAAGAAGAGGAAGAAGAATTTCATTTTTTTCTACCTGCTATTGCATCTTTAGTGTGCGATAAAAATGCTGAATTCATGAATTACCATCGTTCATTTTTTCACCAAATTGAATTTAACCAAAGACGTGCGCATTTACAGACAGGACACAAGCTATGACAGCACACTGTTTTATAGGGCTACAAGAAAACAAGATCAAAGTGTTTTTTTAAATCCCTTTTCTGTTCATTTAGTGTTTGGACATGGTCAACACTCACCTGACAAAAGGCCTTTCTCTTCGGCTTCATCATCACTGTTCACTAAGTCATTAAATTTCTCCATTTCTGCCAGTGATTGTCCGTAGTGAGTCAGCTCCTCCTCCTCGTTCAGGTTGTAAACATCCTTCTTATCATGGACACGCTGAAAAAGGAAGCCACTGAGAAGTTAGGGTACATCGTGAGGAGAGACAATGCTGAGGGGGAAAATGAGATTTGTCCAACGATTTTTACGCTGTTGAATTGTTATTTTGTTGATAATTGGTAAAACATGTTGCATTAAGACCAACTTATAAATCTGATTAAAGGGATATTCCGTCGTAAAACTAATTCACATTGTAACACAGGGTAAGACACCCCCTCAAGAGATGAATGTTGGTTGAGGTTTGTTTATGGCTCCTCAGACTGCTGTGTATTGCTATCATGCAATCATTGCTAAAGTTTGTATAACTAGAGAAGCAAGCGGTCGGCAATATTCATCTGTCGAGGGGGTGTCTAACTCGGTGTTTTTATAGGTATATATTGTATAACTCGATTCTTAAAACAGTTTATCTTTATGAGCCTTGTTTAATTTTGAGTTGCCCGGTCTAATGTCCACAGTCTTGAACGAGAAGAGATATATTCACCACTAACCTGTCTCTCCATCGCAAACCTCTTCAGGATTTTGTCCTCTGGAGCCATCTTTGTGTCATACTCTCCAAAACGCCTGTCAATCAATTTGTTGGACTTGTTCTTGAGTTTGTACTCCTTCAGGAGGGTTTCCTTTCTCTACAGATCAACAAGTCAAAAGTGATTTCATTGTTAAAACACCATAACATGCAAAGCTGGAGTGACAACAAGTGAATGATGATTTTGTCAATTACCTTGTTAATAGCTTTGGATCTGGATACCCCAGGCAGACCCACATCATGCTTAGATTTTCTACCCAGAACATCAAATTTTTTCCGGTTGATTTTCACTTCAAAAGGGTTGTTTTTGATCTGAGCAGAGGTCTTGGTTTTGCGGACTTTGTCAGCAAGGCTCCTCTTCTTGGGTACCTTCCCCATCTGTGACAGAGAATAGACTAAAGTGAATCTCCACCCCTGACAGACCAGACTGTAAAGATGTAAACACCTTAAAAACGATAAATCAGTAGCATGTTGCTCCTCTGATAGCTTCCCTGTTAGTAAACAAACTATCTTTATCAAACAGAGACCATGTTTACCTTTTCACGTTGAAGCGTCGAGTTTTTAAATCGTGGCAGGATAAAACATTGGACACTGACGACCTGCAAACCCTCGCATTTAGTAAGTAAAACCTTATTCTTTTGCTTTCCACGTTGTTTCACTGCGTCTCCATGTCCAGCGTGCGCAAGCCGGAGGTCGAAGTTGAAGAAACATCATGAGCAGCTTCTGTCTGCGTTTTTCTGCAGCGCCCCTGGCGGTGGGAGTATGAAGTTCAGCCTTTCACGTATTGGCACCATTCAGTCTAGTGGCGTGTCCCAAATCGCATACTTCCATACTAAATACTTTTTTGAGTACACTCAACTCAAAATGGAAAAAAGTACGGATAGCATGCGAAAATTGAGTATGCAGAAGTACGCGGATGACGTACTCAAATCAGTTAAATTTGGGACAGCGCTGCACCCTCGAAACTCATGCACTGCACTTTTGAGTACATAGTATGCTTAGTATACTCAATTTGAAAAATCTAAGTATTTAGTATGGAAGTATGAAATAGGCAGGTGCATTTATGAGAAAAAACCACCTAACCCTAAAAAAGTTCAAAAGAAAAGGTTTCTCAACTGTTTTTTATAGTATTAGGTGTCCTTGATAACATACTAAAAGTTGACCAAAGTTTGACTGCTAGAAAGACATCTTTTTCAAGATGGCATCCATGATGGGTAGGAAGCCAGGGGATACACCCCAGGTCAATAGGGTAAAATTTTTTACTAACAGATATCATCATGAAACTTCCCAAGTTTATAACTTAGACGAGAATTAGAACAAGAATTTTGAAAGGGGCTTTATCCATAGTCCATTAGTGCATATTTAATTAGATATTGCCTCATTTACATATTCCAACATAACATTTGACAAAACTTGTAATACAAAAAAATATTTGTCTTAATGTAAGTTATAAACTTGGGGAGATTCAGGGTGATATCTGTTAGTTAAAAAATTTACCCTACTCACCTGGGGTGTCTCCCCTGGATTCCTACCCATCATGGATGCCATCTTGAAAATGACACCTTTTTAGTGGTCAAACTTTTAGTATGGACACCTAATACTATATAAAAAAAAACAGCTGAGAAACCTTTTTTAGAATTTTTTTGGGGTCAAGTCATATTTGCACCTGACTAGATTGGCACAACTTAGATAAAAAAAACAAGTCTAATATACAGGGTAGACTAAAGAAATCTGAACCACAGCATGGCGTTCATTTCTTGTTTGATTCTATTTCTACAGTGTTGTTATCTTGTACCCTAACAGAAATCAATTAAACGGGATAGCCCTTTTAATTAAAGAGCATTATAACTTCTGCTGTAAATCTGCCATGAATGCAGATAAAATATTTAGAATGTGAACCATCTTTTTAAAATCCTATCAGTGATTTTGTCTTTCTGATGTTATGTTTACTTATTGTTATTTTCACTGTGGTCATTATTTTTATTGCTTCTATTATTATGATGATTAATATTATTATATAATATTATGATACATATTTAAACCATAGTGTCAGACAAGGGTTGGTACTAGATAAGTCTTGACTTCTTCCCACTTCTTTTTGAACTTGAATAACTCTGCGTCATTTGTTGTTGTATTCTTTACTTTACTATTTTATATGTTCAAATTAACTTCAATCAGGTCAGGGCTACTTCTTATGTTGTGTTCAATTGTATCTCTTAACATAATCATTGAACTGTAATTTATTATAGACAGATAATCTCACTAGTTCAAGTCATCTTTGAAAACTAAGTTTCATTATCTACCAAAAGGGAATAAAAAAACTAACCTCAATTTAAATGAAATACTAATATTGTTGACTAAGCATAATGCTGACTGTTGACACGATTATTCCTTAGTATTTGTGGCATTATCAACAAAGATGGCAAACACGTGGCACTTAAAGCCAGTTACATGTAATGATGATGCTCAACTAACAGGTTTCTTAACACAAGGATTTTCATTTTTTTCTTTTATTAAAAAAAACTGAATTATTTTAAGCTCTCAAAATTCAAGAGAGCCTCGTCCAAGGAACAAAAGATAGAAAAGTCTGAACCAGCAGAAAAAAGTAACACATTTGAAAGTAAAAAAATGCCCAAATACCTAACATTATGAAATTGAATTGTTAGTATTGTTAAAAAAAAATTTGACTGAAATTTTGGACATGAACATAGGAGTAAAAAAGAGATTACAAAAAATACTTTAAACACTTTGTACAAATTCTGAGCTTTACATCCGTTCATTCAGATGAAGAAAACTGACTTTGAACACTTCTTAAACCATGAATACTTAAACACTTCAGTATGATCCTGACTGAACTAAATGCTATGATGTGAGTATGGTGTTTCACATCTAAAAAGTGTCAGGGTGAGTGTTTGAAGAGGTGATCACGCTGACACTGCTCAGTGAGAAAAAGGTGCCCAAGCTGTTTCGGGCTCTAGGATGTTCTTGTTTGGGAGACAAGCCAACCTGGATGAGGCACCTGTATGAGGTGGCAGATGTTGCACACAGGCAGAGTTACAGTAGTGTGTGCGTGAGGTGCCCTCATCTCTGCCAGGGTCGCACACTGCTGACAGGCTACTTCAGGTTTAGACGCAAATCCTGCGAAAACACAAGAATAACACTCAATAAAACACATTTAAATGACGATGAACATGAACTGAGTTTTTAAAAGGTTATTTACATATAGCTTGTGAGTCCAATGTTACCACGTTTTATATAACCTAAGGTAAACAGTCTAGTTAAGTCAACCAGCCAAATTGCTGTAAGTATAAGTATAATTTTTCCAGAACAGACATAGCAGAAATGGAATATAAATCTGTGTAGAGAAGACACATCCGGCCCTTTGGATGTCCCTGCCCGGCCCTTCGTGAGGTCCGTCAATCAAATCATCAACATGTTAAACAAGTGTGTTGCTTTTATTTTGAAAACCTAGCCATTGTTTTATTTCCATTTGGACGAACATGCGAACATCCTAGATCTGCATTCGTGAACAGAGACAAGTTTAAACAAACAAACAACATCAAATCACAGACTCCAGGAGAACAAGCGTAATTATATCAGTGAAAACCTTAACCAGGTATGACACGTATCCATGCGACCCTGTTCACTAGATAAGTCAGCTCATCTTGAGGTGAATACAGAGTTGACTGTTACTATTGATGCAGCTCAAACTGTGAGAGTTATTGACTATTTTCAGCCAGTTTACCAGTGTTCATCTTAACTCATGAGAAAACTTTTCTGTGAGCCATCTTACCTCCAGTTTTAGAGGGTGGGCTGCCTCTGATCCTCCTTTTTTTGCCCTACACAAAAACACACATGCTTTTTTTTCACCAACTTTGTTCAGCAGCTCTGTTATAGTGATGTTGACGTGTGACAGCAGAGTTGACTCACATAGTTCTCAGAAGGGGACCAGTAAGGGTGCTGCAGGTAGTGGAGCCTTCTCTCTTTGTGCGCTTGTCTGTAATATTTGGCCTTCTCTTTGTCTGAGAGACACTTCCACTTTTGTGGACCAACAACAACACAAATTTAGTAGACACACCCGCAGAGAACTTGCACCAGTATCTCCAGAGGTTGCATTGGTATGGAAATGATCTTTTTGAAAGTGTCAAACATTCATAGTTAACACACTCACCTTCTGTCCCAATGAAGAGCACAAAGCTGCAAAAGCCTTAATGCTACGATCTACTGTGATTTTTGACCTCTCCTCCTTCAGGAAGAGCATGAAGGCATTCAGAGGCTTCTTCACGTATGGCTCCTTCTGCCCCTCCCCATATTTTCTCCTTCTATGTGAACAGAAAGAACATGCATAAGGAAAAGAGACAGAATCGTTTTTTTGAACTGATGCTCGCCTCACACACTTGTATCGCAGTTCTTGGTTCATAGCTCCAGGGGGGCTCCACACAGACCCACTGTCATCCTGGAGACAAAAAGACACACAAAACAAGTGCTTTAATGAGCTGCTTATGTGTCTCTTTGTAAGAGGTGTCCTTTTTTGTCCAGTTTAAGTAACTGCATGTATAGAGTCAAACTAGCAGGACCTGGACAGTGAAGACAGTTCAGAGCATCAGTGTGCACATGTGTGTGTAAAGATAATTAGTATCTTACTGGGCGTGGAGGAGACTGATGACAGTCTGCTCCCTCCTCTGGGATGTAACTCGCAGGAGACTTACTGTATGGCGGGGGCTATGAGTAGAAAGAGAAGTTTGTGTCAATCCATATACTTGATAATGATTTAGATACATGTCCTTGGATCATCTTGCATGTCTTACTTCTTTCTTTTGCTGACAGTTGCAGTTAAATGACTGCATGGAGTTTGGATTATACCCTGATCCATGATAGGCACCAGGATCAGCCACCCCAGTCCAGTTCAATCCTGGAACAGCCATCCCTGGTCCCTTTAAAGTGCACTGGGTTGGAAAGTACCCACAGTATCCCTTACACAGACACCCTACTGGCTGAGGGTGAAAGCCAACTTCTGGATATTCAATGGCAGGAGAAGGAGGAGGAGGAGGGGGAGGAGGAAGAGGAGGTGGTGGTGGTGAAGATGAGGTGTCGTTTATGTCTCCATATAAAACCTTGGTCGCTGACTGCAGAGTGGAAATCACTTCTCCCCACTCCATTTCCCCCACAGCAAGATCAACCTCTGCAACCAGATCCATCCACAGGGGCAGAAGTTGAGTGATGTCTCAGTGAAACTATAAAATCATTAAACAAAAAACTAAATAACCTCAAAAAAAGACAATCTGTAAGAGTGCTAATATAATTCACTAAAATTGGTTGTTTCTTCTCCTCACCGTATCAATATTATCGGCATATTATAACTGCAGTCTGTGATATCAAATACACTGATCCAAAACCTCTTTAGGCTACTCTGACTAGTAAAAGCTGGACCAGACTGTGTATTACATTAGATTTGTACAGCCTTTAGTCTATTTGTGAAAATGCAGATAAGGCATATTTCAGTTTTCATCACCTCTAGACCACATCAGACCAGATCTTGCTCCAGAAACCCCGTACCTAGACCTGTTACATCAGGCCTAAAACATCCCAACATAAGCTGAAGACTCTTTTTAATACAAGTGTCAGATTTTTTTTCAACTTTTGCAAAACTTTGAATGAAAATGAAATAAGGAAGAAACACTTTGTTTTCGTCTTTTGAAAGGTGCTGGTCTGATGTGAGAAAAATCCAATTTAAAGAAAATTCTCAAAAGTAGTTAAAGTTTTACAAATTTGATATTGCGTTTTAAAGAGACTGTAATCGCTGTAGAATATTTAAAAACTCTTAGTAATGAGTCTGGATCTGGACTCTGGAGATAATATGCCAACTTTAGCTTCCCATGGCTAAATTTGGACCAAGAAGCTAAATCATGGTACCTTCACAACTGTACAAAGAGGATTATGAGATTTACTACAAAACTAAACAAAAACAAAAACTAAACAAAGATCACCTAAAAAAGTCCAGCTGTTTGCATCTGTTCTGTTTTTTACTAAATTTACCCAACTTACCTAAACACGGTGTAGACTAATAACTGTAAACTGTGGTGTATAACATAGCTGAGAACATCCTTGATTTACATTGGAGTGATAGTTTACAAATCAAATACACACACTGGAGGGGTAAGGAGCTCTTACCTGCCGTTTTTCCGATTCACTTGTTTCGCTAACTTTGATTATTTCTTGTGAAAATTCAACCGAATATTTTAACAAAGCACGTCACGTGATCTTATGGCGCAAAATTTTGAAAAGTCGGTAATTTTCGGCAATAAACGTGACGTGACATGGCGGAGTCCTCGTGCACCATCATCAGATCGGGTATAGTTATATATATCAGTGTACACATGGACGGTCATAAAATTAAGTAGGCTACTGCCACCATTGTTGTTTCGGGTACTTTAGTGACACGCTTTATCTGTTACAAAAAATACACTTTGATTGTCAAACTTTTCCCTGACAATAATCACTTAATATTTATTTTGGTTTAAAATTAAAATATAATATTTAATACGGTATTCAAGCTATTTTCTACGTTGTTTCAACTCCTTTTTAATCTCGAATGAGTACCATCTGTAACATTGAGGTGACGTTACTAATGCATCCATGCTATGACTACCACTACTTTTGATATCACATTAACAAATCACATACACTTAATTTAAACATGTTTGTATTGTTATCCTTGCAACTCTAATTTGGTTCTAACTTGAATAAGATATATTGTTGTTTAATGTTTTTATATGTTTTATGCTTTAAATGTTTTTACATTTTTTTAATAGTTTTTTAGTTTGTGGCTATTTTACTGTAAAGCACTTTGTTAGGCCACTGGCTGTTTTTAAATGTGCTATAAAAAATAAAGCTGACATTGACAATAAATAGAGTTGTGATGAAAAGTAAGGGAGATAACAGCCTTAAGATTAAATTATGACACTTTCAAATATATTTAGATGATCATTTCATAGGTAATGCTTCGGTTTTTTGCAGATAGATAGATAGACAGATAGACAGATAGATAGATAGATAGATAGATAGATAGATAGATAGATACCAAACTGGGAAATTCTCAAAATATACATATATACAAATAAATATACAACATATGTGTCTTGTCTATCTTGAATAATCTTAATGTTTATTTTATGTAATTTCATTAATTATCACCCTTCTCAGTCTTTTTCTTATTTCCCGTCATCGAGGTTTTTACTTCTTTTACCCCTTTTACATGGTAAATAGCTCTTACTTATCTGTTCATTTAGTATTATTTTCTTGTTTTAGTCTTTCTTTTTACCATTTCTTATCCTTTTATCTCTAGTGTTTCCCAAAGTTAGCTCTTTCCTCATGTAATGTCGCGGTGTCAGGCCATGTCTCTTTAATAATATATCTTAAATCCTGTGTGTCTTTGTGTGTGGGTGGGGTTTTATTGTTGTTAATTGTTGTCTATAGCCTGTGAGGCACTTTGAACTCCTTTTTTTTTGTCTGAAAAGTGCCATAAAAATAAAGTTGAATTTGAATTACCTTCACCATAACAGAAATAATACATCAATGACTGTCATCACACATTGCTGACTTTCATGGTAGTGTTTGTTTATTCATGGTTGTAAAAGAGGCAGAACCATGAGAAAAAAAGAGGTGGGAGTATTAAGTCTGTAGATGGTATAATGATGGACACATTGAAACTGGATGTAGTTCAGACAGAGAATATAAATCGGCATAAATGTGAGACTGTAAAGAATCTATGACTGAGATGAAAACCATGACTATGAGGACTCTAGTATTGTTATCTGCACGCTAAAGCAAAACAAATAAAACATAATTCAAATAAAAAGGGGTGGTTACAGTCATCGAGGGGAGAGTACACACTCGAAGCACTCTACACATGCAGTCCTTCATGAGTCAGACATTCTGCGCCTGTATGCAGCTTTGTAGATAATATGACTGTAGTGGGGATTAAATGTCAGATTAGGTAAGCCTTCCTGTGAGTTTTGCCTTTTGAGTTTCCTTAAATAGACCAACCCGTCAATCAAACAGAATGAATAAACACAGGTTAGGAAGCAATGCACAGACATGGCCATTGTTTTAATGCCCCGCAGCCATCAGCACAGCTTATTTCACACTATTGATTACACATCAGTGCCATCAAAAGGCTTTTCCAGTGTACATTGTGTCTTTACCGCGACCGTAAACACACAGGTACTTCACAATAAAGCCCACTTGGTCAGGATGGTATTTGAACAGAAGTCTTAAGTTGAGAGTTTTGAAGTAGAATTGATCATGCAGCTCCATTAACAGTGACTGTGAAATGCTTTGCGTCTGGATTCATGATGACAGACTGTGACTATATGAGACTATTGAGTGGTATGAGTTCACACAGACAGTGGTTCTGTAAGATAGGATTCACAGTGCTCGCTCACAGCAAGCATTCGGACCTCAACCTAACCTGCGAGTAAAAGTTCAGGTTAAAATACGAATAAAAGAAAGAAATACATAGAGGAAAAATGAAATGTGTAAACTTACACAAATGTTGCGTTTCTGTCTGTTTCTGCCTTTCACAGACACAGACAGAAACAGAGGGGAAATCTAAACAAAGCCAGGCTCAGAATATTCATAAGAATGAACAAAACAAAGACTAAAAACTGTTTGTACACATTCCTTCAAAATAAAGGCTCAAAAAGCCAGGACCCAAAATATATTTGTCCTTTTGACTAATCAACACGGATAATGAATTCCAACACTCCTTAACATGGCTCACATTTTGTTAGCTGCAGAATGTGTGTTGTTGCGGCAGAGCATGCGCCATGACAGCTGACCTCACACTGTATAAAACTTTGACAGCACAACAGCTCCCCTAGAGTGAAGCCAAAACCATCAGAGCTCCCCCAGGTGATTAGAGCCTGCCTCTTCTTGATGGAACATGAGCGAAACTAAACTTCAATGTGCGTCAACTATATTTCCTTACATGTAGCAGTAATTCCTATCATGCCAACATATATGCAAGGGTTCATTTTTCATAGAAATTTACTTAAAGGTCAGCTCTGTTGACAAACGCAGGCCCCCACAGTGATCTCCACAAGATAATCAGACCAGAGAAAGACTCACTGGACTTTTTATCGCACTTCAAACCAACACAAGGGATCTCTCAAGTTAAATGTTGGCTTCACCTTCACCAACAGGTGGGATTTTTCGCTTCACTTCTTGCAAAAAGATGAGATCAAGATGTGCTGTCCATATTATTATACAGCCAATGAAGTAAACAAAGCAGTTTACGTCATGGGGAATGAATCTAGTTTGGGAAATGGTAAAAAATGTAAAACAACATACCTGACAGTTAAGGCTATGTCAAACGCTTGTTGTTAGAAATATAAAAAAAAAAAAACACAATAGATTTGATTGAGCTTGTTTGATTTAATCAAAACATTAAATTCTTGAGACATAATATTGACTTTATATGACTGTATCCCCCCATTGTAGTTCTCCTGACCTACTAGTGTGATTATATGATTATATGGGTTTAATTTGTAGCTTGCACTCTCAGAACTTCTCACCAGCAGACCACCCACCCGGTCCTGCATTCAGTGTTTTTTTAAAAGACACTTGGACATATTTTTGATACAATCCCAGTACATTCTAGTAGTTACAACAGTTTAGTAATACTCTTCTTTTTAAAAAATGAGGGCAATAAAACCCTAAAGCCTCGCATCAGCTGTGTGGCCCTGTAGTATTAGACATGCATGGAAAGGCCAGATAAGGTGGACAGGACTGACTGTATCTCTCTCTCACAACTAAAAGCCTCTAATAATTAAAAACCTTCATGTAATCAATCATTTTTACACTGTATACAAAATTGGCACACGCTAACGAGGAAAAACAGGTTAATAAGCCGGCGACAAATGATATCGAAAACGACAAAAACGCTTAACTGTATGAAGCTGTGGTGTGCTCAGAGGGTGCAATGAAAAGCAGACAAAAAGCCAAAATCAAAAGAGGCAGAGGCCAGCCGAGAGGACCGATCCAATCCGATATTCTCCAATCCAGAGCTCAGTCTTTTTTCTTGTTTTTCTTCAGAAACGAGGGAGTGCGGAACTTCTTTTTCTTTTTGGAGGGTGATTTGCTGGGAGACTCTTCACCCTCTTGGTCGCCGGCGTCAGCAGGATCTTCCCCCTCAGCCGCAGCTGCATCTGCTTCCGCGTCTGCTTCCGCGGGGGTGGGGGCAGGTGCAGCTGCGGCAGGTGCAGAGGCGGAGTCTTCAGCGGGAAGCGCCGGGGCGTCGGAGGGGTCGTCAGGTGTAAGATCTGGGAGGGTCTGTCTCAGGGTGGCTGCGTCGCTTTCATCCTTAGAGATTGGTTCAGGCAAGGATTCTGGGGGACGGAGAAAGATGAGTTATTGATCACAGAGGTGAAAAAATCATGCATCTGCTGTGGAGCTCGCAGACTACTGGAAATACTACAAAACACCTCTGGATGCACTTTTGAAGCAACTTTTCTTGTCAAAAAAGAATCAACTTATCAACCGCAAGAGTTCAAATAACTCTGCGTCTCCTCCAGCATCTATGAAATAAATGTAATCATCTGCTTTTTAAAGGTACAGTGTATAGGAACTATTACGTAATATCAAGTGGTCAAATTCCTGATTTTGTCTCCTGCTTACTCTGTCTATTGGTGAACCAACAGTGTCCTTCAAGAACTAGAAGCTCCTGTGTTGCATGTTAAGTAAAAGATTTTCATTTCCAGGTCAATCAATACAACTTCTTTTGAGTAAATATGAAAAAACAAGAATATTGCTTGTTAGTCTGTGCTGTATAATGGTGGTGAAACATGGTGGTGCAAGATGGGGGGCTTCCTTGCAAAGGGACCCGCTCTAATGTAGATAAAAAGGGCTTATTCTAGTCAGCAAAAACGGAATAATTTCACATTCAGGTGATTGTGCACTTATTTTGACATTGAAATATTTAATCAAGGCTGTTCTGCTAAATGCAGCTGAATTCTACACACTGTACATTTAAAAAGCCTGACAGTACATATGTTTACTTTTTAACCAGCTTGTACTTCCACTGAAAAGCTAAAACCTGCATTTCAAAAACATACCCGATGCCAAAACCAAATGCAAGAACACGATGCACTGCACTCTTCTACGACACAACATAGACAAGCATCACTCAAGAAATCAGTTACATCTCAATTTCACTAAAATAAGTGACTAAAGATAAGACCGAGCTCTTAGTAATCCTCATTTTAACTCTTTCAGGACTTAATTTAGCATGATTATCATGGCAGGCCCATGCTGGTCCACAGCATTTCTGCTTTACCTTCATTTAAACAGGGAAATCTTAATGAGCGTAGTTCCCTTGCTCATTTGCACCCTGTGTACAAACAAACAAACATAGAAGTCCACAACACGAAAAAAATACGGCAGAGTTTCCATAGACTTGAATCACATAACCACAACAAAAGTGAGGTTATATAACAAGTCAGGAGGGGATTAATTAAAAACTGGCACAGCTCTCAAGGACAAAGAGGGTAAACTCAGCTTTGAAACAAAAAACAGACCCTTCAGTCTTCACATGTGAGTGCAGAGTTTAATTCAGTGTTAAACAACATGCTGGGAGTATACAGTGATGTTATCTTTTTAGCTTAAATTTCAAGACATTGGATTTTAATTACTAACTTTTGCTAACGTAGTTTAAAGAAGTATAAATAAAAATGCTTCATACTTTTTAAATGACCAGTTTTGAATTTGGTGACAAAAATGTGGCAAATTCACAAAGGTTGATGTTAAAAACTACATGTGACTAATGATTAAAGTAAAATGCATATATGCAATCTCAATATTGTCTTCATAGAGAGAAGAGAATTAAACCTGGGTCTAAAAATGCTAACAAATGGCAAGCTATCAAGTAAAAGCTGCAGAAATTAAAACACTCAAAAAAACCATAGAGTGTATATACAATGGACAACTTGGTTCCGCCTCCTGTAGCAGTAGCATTGTACGCATTTGGCGGGAGAGTTGCCCAGTCACTGTGATGACGCTCGGCTCAAACATCACATCTCCCGGGTGAGCTATGCAATCTTCGTACGCCAATAGGCTGTATCAGGTGTCAATGATAGAAAACATGAACCCCCTAATAACTTTTAAAAATGGAGCTGTGCAGAAAAAAAGAGGACTTGGGCACAAACCAGTCTTACTGTAACTACATGTTAACACCGAAAGCAGGGGGGAGAAAAGTTATGTTCTGTGTAATCAATTTTGAAGTTTGTCCACAGCTCCATAAGCTTTGCTGGCGGAGGCGGGATTTATGACCTATACCACAGCCCATCACCAGAGGGTGCTGTTCTCAGAGTGGCTTCACCCAGCGAGGAGGCAGACAGCGTCAATTCTATATACAGTCTATGATTTTAACACTGAAGGTGCAGCTTTGTTGCTAGCTGACTGTAAGCTGTTATATTGTTTTGTCAAGTGAGGGATCTTTTACAGCAATTTACTCGTTTAATTATAACTGGCTAACAACGGCTACTCAAAGCGCTGACATTAGCTGCTGAACCTGAAAAAAAGAAAAAAAAAAAATCTAACCTGCAGAAGTTGATGTTAAATCAATAAATTGGCAGAAACTTTTCCAAGTGACTACCAGGTCATTTTTTAAAATACACGAATACTCCCAGCAAAAAAGAAAATACAAGCGCTGAAGCAAGATCCAAGAGGTTCGCCTCTGTAGACCCTCATGGATCCGAAGTCAAAACTGCCTCCATCTTAGGTACAAACTCACACAGTGCAGTCTGGTGCGAAACAACTCCAGCTTTATTCATTTCTAATTTTTCTGACATGCTCCAGCACATTAGCCTGACAAATTCTTAGTTAAAACCTGAGAACACACTACACACAAGCTTTATTTGACTACTCTCATGTCCATACACACAAACAGATAAAAATGGAGACCGGACAGAACCACACAGCAAAGCAGTGGAAGTCAACCATCATTAAAATTAAACTAACGGGGAGTCTCAGCGAAGCCATCAGCGGCAAGCTCACTTTTAAAGCCACACTCAAATAAAGCACTCATGTACCTGGTGAAAGACTCATCTGTAAGACAAACAACATTTACATTACCTGTTTTTTTCATAAAACAGAAATTCAAGTGTAATTTACTGATAGAATGTGTATGTGCCAGAGAGGTTTGTTAATCTGAAAGTGAATAATTGGAAAGAAGAATAAAATAAGTTATCTAAAGTCAAAAAGTTTGGATAGTTGAGGTTTATTCCAGGAACGTCCCCCACTTTATATAAAGCTGGCCACTGTTACAAGTGCTAAAATTGAGGAAAATGTTTGAAGAAGACCTAATTTTGTGATTTTTTTCAATGCAGTTTTTCAGTATTTTGGTTTATTTGGAAAGTAGCAAATAGCAAAAGAGGGCGGAGCTCTGAAATAACCCCCATCAATCCTGGGAAAGAAATCAGAGGAATTCAGAAAACAGACATAAAACCAACTGAACAGTCTCGAAACCCTCAAAAGCGGGTTAGTTAAGAACACAGAAGAGCTCTACTAGTGAAGCCGTGCAAAGAAAAAGGGTAAATGATCAAAGACGGGCATGGAGGGTGACGGGTAATTAGGAGTTGGAACAGTACGTACTTACTATGGCAACAGGTACTCTTTTGTATTTCCATCTCCTGATTGTAATCGCAGGCACAAAGAAGAAAAAGCACAAGTAGAAACAAATGTCTATGCAGATCAAACCACGAGCACTGTGTTAAATTAAAAAAAACATAAATAAAAAGTGAAATAGAGAAAGAAAACAACACCAGAGAAGAATTTAAAAAGAATGGCTGGGAACCATTCTTAGTAGACCCCAAAAAAGATGGAGAATGGAAGTGAGGGGGGGCAAAGGACTTACTGTACAAAGAGACATGTTATACAACAACATTTCAGGTATTAGATTACACCTGAGGTTAAAGCTACTCGTCCCTAAACTGACTCCCTCACTGTGAATAGAAATCCACTATTTCCTAATGTAGGCCACATTAAGAAAACTCATAAAATAAACCCTTATTTATAAAACTCCTGTGACAAATAAACTGTTTGTTTGTTTGTTTTTTGGCGCCTCCTGTAGGCGAAGTAGTGCCTCTAATCTTGTCACTGATTAAAGGACGTGTAAGTAATGATTTTAAACGTTTATTTTCCCAGCGCATGGAAACTGGGATAAAGACAGCAGTCCAGTTAAATCACCTAATCAAGCTATGACTGTGCACCTAAACGTACTGATTGATTCTGGCGCCCCCTATGGACAAAGTTGTACTACTGCTCTCTTTTCTGCTTTTATCCTGATGTGGAAGTTACGTTTTTGGACAGGTCTGCTGTCTTTTGACAGTCAATGGGTTGTTTATTAAATGTCATTCAACTGTAAACAAAAGCTGTTTAGCAGTGTGTTTTAACTCACTTCATCCACCAGCAGTGGTTACAAGTTTTTAAAATCAACTAATAGAAAAGATCGAACTTGTTGCAGATAAATTGGATTGCTATATTGGGTCATATAAAGCCATCAATATAGGTTTTAGTCTGTTTCACGACTGTCCAAGATCTCCACACATGAGTTTTAATCACTCCAGTTGACATGTTACATGTTACAAGCATTAAAAATAACGAGTTGTTTAATCAATTTGGGTCCTGCTCACTTTTGTAACTCATGTAAAGATATTAATACTCACTTCAGTCTGTTTCATATCTCTTCACAGTAGCTTTAAATAAAGATGATATACTTTATAATTTCCTGTATCATCAGGGATGATACAGTTCACAAAGGTGTAATCCAATAGTAATAAAGACCAAGAGGAAAAAATAAAGTATCAAACTTTGACATTTAAACTTAAAAAAGTAACAAATAATCCTTGTATTTACATGTCACCCTCTCTATTTACTAAACCCTAACCCTGTGTGTGCAGGTAATAGCCTTATCCCAACCTATGACTCTGTATCATTGATTACTGATTACTGAAAACCTCTTGGGCTTTTATTACAAACAACAAAGCACAACACCTGTAGTAGTAATATTAGAGGCCACAACAAGAACAGACCCCAAACACAGACAGGCAGATGGATGGGTAAGAGCCTCTGCATTCCCTCTTTAGACCCTAAAAAAAGCTCAAAAGCCCAGCCAGGAGGACTGGAGGACCCCATGCTGGACCAGGCGAGCCAGGTGTGTTGAGTCTGTCACGCTAACCTACCTTCTTCTGCTCTGACTGGGGTGCTGGGTGGTGTGGTGGCGGGTTTCTGGCCTTTGGGCTCCTCCTCCTCGTCTGGCTCTACTAGCTGCTCAGAGTCTGAACAAGAAATAAAACCAGTGGAGAAACACAATGTGAGAATTTGTTAAACATATATGAGTGCGAGTGTAAAGATGAAGAAATTTTTCAACAAATAAGTAGTAAGATTGTTGTTGAGGTTAGATCTGATTGAAAATATTCTGTTTCAAGATAACACAAAAAAGGAGAAAACAAAAGGAACCCATCCGAGGAAGAGGAATTAATCAGGAGATTTTAGAAAAATCTCAATAAAATAACCCAAAGAGCCAGACGGAACCCAATCTATCATTAGATTTATCAAAAAAAATCAGTCAGAGGCACGGAAAGGAGAGTGGACACCAACACGGATAAATCCAGGATAGATTAGCAGGAAAAGCATAAAGTGAACACCATTATTCATGTCCACACATGGGAAGCTCTGATTGGATGACTGAGCTCAGAAACTGCGTCCTTGACTGTTAGCACGAGTTAGTACTCCACTGCAAAAGCACTTTTAGACTTAAGGAGAAAGCACATCAAAGAGAGGAGTTTCAAATCTCAAAATGATCTCCCTTTTTGTTTCTGAAATCCTCTCTACTCAGCTCCTCTTCCAATCAAACCGCAGAGAGGTAAATGATCTGCTTAGACTCGGATGTCTTTAGCACAAGGCATCAGAGAGAGGGGATGAGAAGGGAGGGGAAAAAAAATCAAGCAGATTGAACTTTGGGTGAGGAGGTAAAAATAAAACAATGGCAGCAGACTTCAAACCCCGGGGCAAAGGAGAGGACACAGCAGGCAAGGATCTCCCACGCTCCCACAGCGAGGCTGAGCAGGGGAGAAGGGAAGCAGAAGACCAGATTTTAGGGATGACTCCGCTCCGTTTGGTTGTACCTGGAGCCCGCTCTGAGTCTACCACTGGTTCCTTGCTGAGGGCTCGCAGCACGGCGCAGTGGAACTCCTTCTGTGGGGAATCTGGGGCTGAAAGAAGCTCTTCTGCTGTCGATAAAACTTCATTTACGATCGCTTCTGCAGACTGCTCAATGCTCTGAGGAGGTTCTGCCTCACCACCTGTGAGGCCAAGGGAGGAAGACCCCGGCTCAGGGGCCGTCTCTGAGCTGGATGAGTCAGGTGGCGCCTGTACAAGTTCGGAGACAGAGGCTTCACCCTTTGGTGGCTTTTCGGGCTCGGGACAGGGGACGCTGGAGGCCGAGCCCTCCTTGCTATCATCCCGTCTCTGCGCTGTGAAGTCGTGTGTGGAGAGATAACATCACAGCTCGGCCTATACAAGCACATGAATCTGTGGGCCATTTTTTCCATATTGAGTGTTTATTTTTTATTTGTAACTAGAACAGTAATAAAAACCTTCAAGTAAAAATAAGAGGAATAAGAACAAAATTAAGGGAACGTAAAACAAGAGAAGAATCAACGAATTTCTCTTCCTTCCAGCGCAGACATGAGTCACATGACACAATCCTCGGTCGTCTAGGAGAAACGATTTACCCTGAGAAAGGTGCTAATCTAAGTGATTGAATGAACGCTTCCTATATGTTATCATGTATGTCTTTTAATTTCACATCTAAAATGATCCTGTGGCCGAAAAAAAAAATACAAACACTTTTTTGACTGTTCAGTTTCTTTGTGTTTACCTTCAGGCCCTTTCTGTTTCTGCTCCACCTCCTTACGGTACTCCTCCAGCTCCTGGTCGGTGAGCTTGGTGAAGGGGTTGGGACCCTGCTTGCTGACGATGACTTTGGGCTGGTACTCCTTCTCAATGATGGCTTTAGAGGCGGTCACCAGCTCCCCCTACAGGACACACAGACAGAAGGCAAAAAAGACACAAGACTTCAAATAGGCTTTCAAATGACTGCGGTGAACATGTTTAAGGTTTTGTTGAATAGAGAGGTGCTGAAGCTGTGTTTATGGGGGTTTCATTACATATCCCCTAAATTTAGCCCCTAAAGTCCAAACAGTGACATTTTTTCATGTTTACAAAAGTCTGATTGTGCATTTAAGATAATCTTGTGGAAAAATATGTTATTATCTTGTGAGCACAAGCTAATATGGCACACTCAGGACAATGATCCTGCAGAAAGCATAGACCATACAACACATGGATGTAGTGTAGGTGACTTTTTTGTGCTAAGTAGAGGTTTGGGGCCTATTGGTACTGATTATTATATAGACTCTAGAAAGACTTTAACCTCCTCACAAATAGCTACAGTGTGCCGACCACTTCTCGTGCTGAGTGAGTGGGTGCTGTTTGAGCTCTGAGCGATTCAGACCATAACCTATTTTTGAAAAAAGGCTGTAAATGTGTTAATTTCTGCTTTACAAATGGGACTTTTTTTGGTGCTTCTGCAGCTAACCTCAAGTGGGTACTCGGGAACCTTTCTTAAGACTGGAGGTAGCTGCTTAGTAGGAACAAGGTAAAATCTTGAGTGCATTTATCCAACATGTCGCTATTTATTCACGTGGTGCTCTACAGTAAAGTCAATGAATTTGAGGTGGTGACGAAACTGATTGGCTGTATCATAGTGACAGATATATTTGCATGTTATAGCAACGTTTTCCATTAAGTTATCGCTTTCTATGTTAAAACATATATGATAAACACTACATATACTTACATTAGCACTACTAAAGGTGCTGTGAGCAACCTACTGATTGTTGAATAAAGGGCAAGTTAGGGCAAAAAGAGAGTTTAAATACTTACTATACTGTACAAGCTATGATCTTGTGCACACAGGATAAAAAAAATCCACTTTTCTGGACTTCAGGGGCGCTGTCCTTTCAAGCAGATAGGGCTCACATCAAGAGACGAATATTGGTACTGCTTACACATCAACACTCAGGCAAATTAGTTTTTTATATTAATAATACATTTATTTCTAATGTGTATCACTTTTTAAAAAATCATTAGACTTTTGAGTTCTGCCATCCGCAGCTCAAGAGAAAAAACTACAAAGTTATTAAAAATCAATGATACAGCAGGTTACCAGGTTTGTTTAATCTTTCCTTTGTGGGGTTTGCAGATTCATTGTGGTACACAGGTAATACATTCACATGACTAACAATACAATCTACAAAAGGGGATGAGGGCCACTGGTAAAAAAGGTCCAATATACATACAGGAATTAATGTTTTTATTATTGATGATAAAAAATGTATATAATAGACCTTTTTTTCCCTAATGGCCCTAATCCTCTTCTCTCACATTCAGTAATTTAGTGTTAGCCAAAAATTCAAAATATGTAAATTCAAAGCACAAGTATGATTAGATGTTTAATAACACATCCTATTAAACTTTAATAATGAATGGCAATAATATATAAAAGCAAAGCACGACAGGTTTAGGAAGGTGTTCCAGCTAACAGTGCATCAACAAGAGCATAACTGCAGTCAGCAGCCGTGTTTGTAATCATGAAATGTTATTTTAATTTCCTCTTCTTTTTTTAAAAAATTCTGTACAAGACATGCAGCAAAAACACCATCACTGGATCTGACATCTCCTTTTGTTACTGCCCACACTGACTCATAACAACTTCTCAAAGAAGAAGCCGGTTTCAGCAGGAGCGTGTGATCATCCCTCTCTGCAAACAAATACTGATATCTGACTGTATGAAAAGTTCTCAGACTTTTGTATTTGAGGGATTGCATTTCACTTTTTTTTCTAAGCAGGCCTTTCTGCAGACTTAGAGGATGATGTGAGCAAAAAGGTGAACAGTATTTGTGACTGGAGCAGTAAGTACCTTTCTAATTGATCTAGCAGGACTATAGGACCCCTCGGACACATCGAGGCCATCAATACTGTCTGTACAGTCAGACAGAGGGGCGTCCTGCAATAGTAAACCCAGTGAGGGGGGGTGGGGGCACAAGCCATCTTTTGAAACACTAGCACAATTTAATCAGCGGTCTCTTTGGCAGGCATGTATGTGTGCAGACATTCAGGGGCATAACAGCTGTACGGCGCACAAAGGTGGAAAGAGTAATAAAAAAGAGGAAAACAAGACAAGAAAAGATACTCTCTGTAAATTAAATTAAATTAAATTAAATATTCATTTAAATATTCATTTAATCATATTAGTTTCTAGGAGGATACAAACCTCCAAACTGATAAAGTTAAACATTGTAAAGAGGCTCAACAGGATTTAGTCCTTTTTGTTGCAAAGTTAAATCACATCTAGAGAGCTTTTTTAAACTCCTACTCAGCATGGTTAAAAATGGTGCATTAAAGTGCTTGTGTGCAAATAGGGTCAAGTGACTTTGAATTACTGCACTATTTACTTTCCACCTCTGCATACACACATATCGTATAAATACAAAGATTAGAGATTCATGCAAAATGAGATGGTTCTGGAAAAAGGTGTGAAGCCGTGAAAAGCATCGCAATGGAAGCCGAGAGCATGCACCGAACAAACCATCTTTTCATACAGGGGGGGTTTCGTGCACTAGCTTTGTCTTAGAGGAGACCTATTATGCTGATGTACAATGCATTGTTGGATGTCTGTGCTAAATCTACGCAGGGCTCCAAAAGATACAAAGATGTTGGCGTAATTCCCATATATGTTTTTCCGGGAACTCTAGACACCTTGTTTTGAGACAAGGATACAACTCGATGTCATGTGCTGTCCTATCAGAACAATGCCAGAAGACAAGCCTTCTTGACAGCTTTGTCAGAGACACAGCCACCCACAAGCAGCAAGGTCACTTTCAGTGCTTGTGTTTTTCCTCTGCTCTGCACTTAGTTGATTCAGTACATCTCAGAGAATTGTGAAGTACAGTCACAGCTATCTTATCGCACCGAACACAAAGACACCAGAAAACAGACGTTTATGTTTTTGGGATGACCGCCACGTCATGACTGTTTTTTGCTCGCCGCTTCACTGATGACTTCTTTGTAAACAAAGGTCAGTAAGAGATGAATTTGCTTCTCAGTCATTGCTAAAACCTGGGACCTTTCATAATAAGCAAGAAGCTGTAAGCAACATTAATCTATTCGTGGAGCTAAGTGGGTAGGGCTGGGCGATAAACCGAAAATTTACAGTTACCGATAGATGAAGTAGATTGTGGAGTAGTTATCGTCCATTTATCGTTATTGAGGTGAACTACTCAAAACATCGTGATTTTGATTTGAGGCCATATCGCCCAGACCTATAAGTGGATGCTAGCCGCCAGTCACAGACACAGACGCATAACTTCACGTCATTATTATGAACAGTATAATAGGTCTCCTTCATATGATGGACTAACGCCATGCCAAGTGAAGTCTGACCTAAAACTTAGTGACTATTATTTGAATGCAACCAGTATCTCTGTCAACATATTGTCTTCTTATGGACTTTGGTTTAAATGCTCTGGAATCTTTACGAGTGTGCATGCACAGAAATGAGACATCTGAAGAAAAGACCAAAATATTCTCTGAGTGGAAAACCTCTGAGAAATGAGAAATCAACATGATATGACCATGAGCACAACCTGAGCTGGCAGGTTTGGAGAGCAGAGTCAGGTAGGTTACCTCCTCCAAAACCCTACTCACCTGCCAGATTGAGTATTTCTGTGGTCAAAAAATAATGCCACAATTATAAAGTCACCCCACAACATGGAGGACATGTTTGGCTCTCTGAATCCTTTGAATAAATGATGTTACATCAGATTACAATTAACGGGATTTGATGAAACAAAGTCCTTTAAAACAGCTTTATGTCCAGGACAACTTCACACACAGTTTTTACAATAAGCAGCAATTTTGTTCAAGGTTGACTCCAGACCTGGACTGAATGTTGTGGGATTTTTAAAAAAAGGCATAACAAGGGAGTATTTTAAGATTTTATGACACAGATTCATCTCCAGGTCAGGATGGCTGTAGCAGCAGGGAGGGTTTATGCAGAAGAGTTGACAGACTGACCTGGTTGAAGGAGCGTTCCACCACGGATCCTGCACACAGAACCTGAGACTGGGGACCCGCTGTTTTTATGTCCTGCAGGTTCTGCTCCCGGATCTGTAAACAACATCATTCTACTCTTAAAACACTGATTTAAAAAAAAAACCTCAAGAACCTCTGATCGTCTCTGATGCAGTAAAAAGGGAGAAGTAGGAGATACCTTATTCCTCATTTCCAGAACCTCTTTTGGGTTGGTGTTCAGTGGGATGAACTGATTGGCTACAGCAGCCTGGCGGAGCCCCTCTTCCTTTGTCCACTGTAAACACCACATCAAGTGTTAAAAACAAACTAAAATCAGGTCTCATGTATGACATTAAAAAAAAACCCAGGCACAAAAATAGATTCAGACAAAGTACTATGCAGGCTTCACAATACAAGAGTCATGCTGAACTGAAATGGACAAAAGTTGGATGGCTGTAAAAAAGTTTGAATGTAGAAATTGAACCAATGATGATGAGGCACATTCAGGGGGGTATGAGTAAGACTAACTCACATTTAAAAGAACAATAACAAAGGGGCTGCTCTTTAATTCTTCGTCATCAACCTTCAGTGTTTGATTCATTTAAGTCGGTCTAGCTTGTCTGCCTTGGATTCACACCTACATGTATCAGAATTAAGATTAAATCATCTAAATTAACTGTCTTCTTAGTCAGGGAATTTGTCAAAGACAGAGCATGGAAGTTATAAAATAGGTCAAATCAGGTTCACTATGATAGATTTTGAATTAGATTTCACAAACATCAGTTAATGGTCAAGTTTCTAAGAGTTAACCTGAACTCTGCTGCTGAAAGTGAGATTAAAAAACATAATGAGAAATCTGAGAATTGTGGCTTTCTATACTGCCCAGCTCTTCTTTCTGAATTGTGATGAAACTTTTGGATATGGAAGAGAAGTGCATCTTGATTTATTTAATCTACAGACAAAAAGATCTTTTTATCTTTTTATACTAGTCTTTTATACTGTTCTTTCCCTGCTCGTTCTATTTTACACTAGTTTTTCTATCTTAATTTATTTGTTTTGTACCCAGCTAGTATGTGTGAATGTGTATGTTGTGTGTACTGTTGCTGTCAACAATTTTAATTTCCCCGCTGAGGAATGAATAAAGGAATATCTAATCTAATCTAAAACATGTTCTGTTTGTGTGAAACTCTAAACAACTGTGTTATCAAATTCTTTCTACCCTTTTGTACACTTTGATTGGTATATTGCTCAACCTGACACTGAAAAAGGGACCTTGTGCACGCTCTGTAGCAGCCAAGGCCTTTGAGTGGCTGTGTCTGAAATCACCCACTCTCACTTAATCGTGCACTCTGAGGGGAAAAATTCCCATTCTGTGCTTCTTTCATGTGCTCTGTGGGTGAGATTTATGACACCCTTTATAGAGGACTCATTGTATCCCACCATATTTCAAAGGGAAGTGTACAACTGGGGGTCTGGTGTGCAATAGATACCATCATGCATTGTAAAGAAAAGGGCAGATGGAGCCTTTTTTTTTGATAAAGATCAAGTAATGGTCGTTCTTTGAAATGATGATCGCAGACATTAGTATGTATGCACCAAAGACAGTAGTCTCTGCGACTTTACCCACTGGCTTCTACAACCAAACCATGGTGAGCACTATAATAGCAGTACTAACTCCAACTATCAACCTAGAAACAGGAAGCAAGTGAAGCTTAGGTGGGTTTTTGGCAAACAGTTACAATGCATCCAATGACCAGTAGGGGTGGGAATAACGAGGGGGCCCACGATACGATGTTATCACGACATTTGAGCCACAATACGAGATTATAGCGATTTTTTTACATTTTGCAATACAGTGAGTATTGCGATACCATATATTGCAATTTATACATTTTTCTTTTTCTAACCCTAACCCTAACTATTTGGCTAATTTAGCATTTGTCTTTCCTTTACGTTTGTCTTATTTACGCTGTATTTTATTTTCAGGTTGCACATCTTGCTAATCTTGAATATATTTGTTGCACAAACTTTCTCCTGCTCTACCTCACTGGACAAACAGTTGCTGTCATCTTTCCATTATCACAGATTTAACTTCACATTCGCAAACTCACAAGTTTGAAAGGTTGAAATATGAGATCATTTTGAAATCAAAATATGACTTCAATTTTAAAATTGGAATCTAAAAGGATTAATATGACATAAATCTTAATACTGAGTGGAAAAAAATCAAAACACAAAATAAAAAGTCAAATCATGTTTGACTTGTAATCCTGAGATGCAAAATTGTAAATGTGAATAAAACATTAATTATTTCCCCATATTCTTGACTATTTATCAAAACTTCCTCACTCTTTACTTCCCCAGATTTGTATTAATGAAGGATATTTCAAATATTGGTATTAAAATTTACATTAATATCCTGGAGGAAATCTGCAGACCTCATTCTGATGGGCCAATAATAATACAAATATGACAAGATCTTGTGGGCCAGATGTAATTGTTCAAAGGGCCAGATTTGGCCCCCGGGCCTTGAGTTTGACTCCTGTGGTCTAGACTGTATTTTTTTAAGTGTAAAATCCTCAAAAGAGAACTGTTTAAGGAGGGAATGGGGATTTGTAAACCAGTGTGTGATCTCAGACACAGCAAACAAATGTGAAAATCTGAAATCCATTTATCATCATCATTGATATTCTATTCAAGATCCAAACAAATAAAACACACTGAAGACCAACTGAGAACATCACAGAATGAAGAAAAAAAAACAGATTAAAAGGGGGGAGGAGGGGAGAGGGGGAGAAGTGAAGGGTGGGTGGTGGCAGGAGACAAAAGGGAGGGTGAGGTGAGGGATGGCCAGGTGGGTGAGTGAGTGAGTGACTGAGATGATGAGTCTGGCTTACGAAGCGAGAGTGGCAGTGAGGGGTGAGCTGGCATCACCAAAGTCATTTCCCAGGCTGATACACGACAACAAAGACGACAGAGATAAGAGAGAAACACACCCGAGGACACTCGCCCACGTTGGGACAAAATAAAACTCATTGTCACAACGCCACAAACTAAAACAAGAGGGCATCTTTTATTCCTGCAGGGACCAAACCGTTTAGTGTCTGTAATAGCTGACATTTTCCTCTCAGTCTGAAATAACACCCCGCTTACTCTCAGTGTTTTAGTAAACCTGGTAATGCTCAGCATGATTGAAGGAAAAAAAAGTCAGGACCCATTTCTGAATGAGCAGCGGTGGAGAAAAAAATCAAATCTTCAGCTTTCATGCAGACTATTTCGTTTCACCTTTTCAAGCTAGGCATGTAATTTGCAGTGGAAAGCGTAAGCTCATGATTTCATTCCTGCGTTTACTGTAAGACTAAGCTTGCTAGCTTTCCAAATCAAGGGCCAGATGAGGAAGGGTTTCTGGATGGAGGTAGCTGGGTCAGGGGTTGGTTTGAGTATGAGATGAACATGTAAACAACACGATATACTCACTGAGAAAGAGTCTCACAACACAACATTTCCTACTTTCCCAACAGGAGATAATTGATTTACAAGTCAGATCAAATTCAATGGATGTTTTTTTTTTCTTGTTTCTTTTTTCATAGCAACTCCACTCATGCAGGATTTGAACCATTATCAGAACAAACTGAAACCAAAATCTAGAGAGAATGAAAATAAGAGGAAAGAGAAACATTCATTTGTCCAAGTTTGCTTAGTTGTCTAGCAGCTATATCTGGTTTCTTTAATATCTTCATTATAACTCTGGAAATGTAAGATTGCAAGTAAGAGACATGCAACTTCCTTTTTTAGTGCAGGCACAGTAAATAAAACCATTTGTGAGCGGCCAACAGTGCAAACTCACTCTTATATCTAAAGCTCTACCAACAAAAACCTTCTGGATCTGTTTGCTGTTTCTTCACTCTGTTTTTGAAGCGAAAGACTTTAAGAATCTAATTTCAAGATGCAAAGAAAAAAAGAGGACGTGTATTACAGGGTGGTGAGCGAAAGTGGGGTCACCATGTCTGCCACTTCCACCTGCCCACTTGAGGACTCATGCCACACCCCCTGCTGCTCGCTCCTCTGGGAAGAACATCAACACCAACAATGCATTTCACTACTACGCATGCAGTGGGGCATGCTGGGAGGCAGCTGGCCCGGCATCGTGAAGCGTTAGGAGACCGGAAAGAGAACAAGAGCGAAGTGAATCAGCAGAATGATCACAGCTGTGCTGCACAGTAATTAACAGAGCAGAGTTGGTTGACAGTGCTTCTTAAATTACAGACAGAGAGCCGGAAAAAGTAGTAGGATGACAACCACTCCCTTTCTTTAGTGAAGCAGTTTAATAGAAAAGGCTCAATCATAGATGAGAGATTGTACTATATTTAAAACTCCTCACTATCCCCAGAGCCTCAGGATGCCGACCACCTACCTGTTTCCACAACAAGGTAGCTGTAAAATCTATACTATGAACAATAAGGTAGGCACAGACCAAGCAGTTGGTTATACAGCTTGGCACGCAGACACCAGACGAGAGAGACTGCAGCAAGGGTTTGACGTGATCGTGTGTTATGTTCGTCCACACCTTAGGCTTCGACTTGGGGCTGCTGCCGTCGGGCCCGTCCTCGTAGGGCTCGTCGGGCCGGCCGCCGGCATTGACCCAGCGGGTCTTGTCGCGCTGGCCGCGCTGGAAGCTGTGTTTCAGCGGGGAGCGAGCGCCTGAGTCACTGTCCTCGCCGTATGAGTAACCACCGTGGGCTGAGGACTCTGCGTCACTGTACTTTTTACCTTTGTCTCGCAGGGCCGGGCAGCGGTATGGGTAGCCCGTCCTGTAGCCCTGCAGAGGGAAAACCACAAACAACAAATGAAGGGCTGGGAAGGTTTTACAAAGCTCCAAGAATGAAGTTTTGGGATTAAAATACCAGTAATCAAAATATGTTACTTGAACCAAAAAAACAAAACGAAACAAAATAAACAAAACATGACACCTTAGAAATGTCCCCTTCCCTAAGTGAAACTATACGGAGGAGAGACAGTGGTTTAGGGGGTCCCAGACTGAGCAGACTGGTGATAAAATATACTTTTTTTTATAAGTACAAGGACATATATTTCTTTAATTGATGACACATTGTTGTGTTGTTGGGTTTTTTTTATGTTTACCCTTCTTTTTGTTTTGTTTTCTTGTTTTTTTCCCTCATGTTTTATCCTTTTCTTGTCATTTTCTACCTTATTTGTATTAAAATCATGTATTTATAAATTCTGAAAATAAAATAAAATCTGATTATTATTAAAAAAAACAAAAAAACAGCCCCCTTCTAGCAGAACATGTGCGACAATGACCGCAAACACACATAATACTCACTATGAATCTGGTATTTTATTACCCCACTAGTTCAAACATTTTTTAAATTTAGTTTAACTAGTAAAAATCGTTCATGTCCTCACCAAGTTGTCGAGCATTCTCATGAGAGCCTCAAACTCCTGCTCCCCGACTTGCCACTTAGGTTGTGTGGACGACCCGTCGCCGGCTGGCTCTGGCACCCGTGGGCGTGCCTTGTATTTCCCCGGGTCCAGCATCACCAGATTGTCCGGCCCTCCAGCGCTGGCCAGTGTTCGCACCTGAAAGAAATTTAGGAGGGGAAGGTAGAGACAGACAAAACCACAGACAGGATCCAAGATGCAGGAAGAAATGAAAGTGTAGACGTGTGATCACAGACGCACATCAAAAATAAAAACAAAACACGCATGGATACACACGTTAACATGAAGAAAGATAAACACAGATAAGATGTGGAGACACAGGGGGACAAAGACAATAGTTATGGTAATGTAGACAAATATATAGAGCCAAATAACAACTCAAATGAAGACATGTGACTCGAAAAGTAAAGGAATCAACCCTCAACAGAGCTCATAATGGGACCTACCTGGATCTCACAGGCAGTGACAAGATTGTGGATGTAATAAAAAGCTTCCTCCACTGTTTCACCGACAGACACCAGGCCGTGGTTTCTGAGGATGAGCACCTAAGATGGAGAAAAATAGAAATGATGCACAACAGCTCTTTGTATAAGGAAGACAATCCTGTTTGTTTTTTTTCCACATGGCAAAGACATCTTTAAGTCTTCATTTGAAATGAAACTCGCTCTTCGAATCAGTGTAAGAGAAATTACCTTGCTGTTTGGCCCGAGATTCTTCTTGATGAGCTCGCCCTCCTCCTCATCCACCAGTATGCCGTGGTAGTCATGATAGGTCACCTCACCCAAGGAGAGGGCCTCAGGTGAGATCGGCAACAGGCCGCATTTCATGGCTGACACCTGAAGCCGAACAAACACAACATATGTCAAAAGGCGACCGCTCAAGTCTGCGTGTAAAACCGGCATAATGCTTTTATATTCGGTTTAATCTAAAGGTTACTTACTGCAGGCACCTGCAGCTGTGTGAATATGTACAACACACTTCACATCAGGCCGTGCAGCGTAGATGGCAGAGTGCAGAGTGAAGCCCGCCTGGTTGACCCCGAGATTGGTGCTGCCCCGGTCCACGATCTCACCCTGAACGTTTATCTTCACCTGAAGGCAAAGGCAGACAGAGACGGTTTACTTAAAGAGCTTCAGTGCGATAAAAACACAAAAAGAGGAAGTTAAGAAGCGTGCGGTTTGAGTAGATATCAGTGCAGAATCTCACCAGACTGGAAGCAGTGACCTCACTGTACAGGAGCCCAAAGGGGACGATAAGGAAGCGCTCCTGGTCTGAGTTCACCCGGACCTAAAAACAGAAGACAGTCACAGTGCTTTTATGAACTTAAATCGCTAAACTGAGATGGATTTTAGAGATCCTCTTTTTCATGTTTCCTGACAGTTACGTTCATTAACACCTTTACTGTTCATCTTAATAAAAACAGACAAAGCTCATTCTCAAGGACTATTTTTAACCCCTTCAAAAGCAGATTGACTACTCACACAGAGCTGTACACATTACATACATACATACAGCACTAAAGACCTCGGGGCTTATTTGTTCTTCGGAGACATGCTCTAAATACGTACAGCATTTTCCAACAGTTTTACTGTCTGAACACCCTCTGGATAACATCAGCAAAACTGTACCCTTCATTAAACCCTCAGAGGCGTTGTTCGAGACGAAGTACAACGTGTTACAGCTTCGCTTTCTTCTTTTGCATTTGCTTGTTTTGTTTACATTTAGAGCTAAAATCCAAATCAGCAGGTTGGGCTGCAGTAAGTGTCTCCCACACAAAAGCACGTCTCCCTCTCAGCTAATCTTTGAGCCGAAACTCCAAACTCTTTGGTGCCCCTTTTTAGCTCGCAGAGAACAAAGTCAATACACTTAAAGTCTTATTTGAAATTAGACTCTGTTAAAGCCGGAGGACAAATTTAGCTCACATACTTGATTGCATCATAAAGAAAAAAAGCCTGTCTTACTGTGAGGTGGTTGTAGATAAGCTCCGACCAGCCGAACAGGTCGGTGAGCCGATAAAAGGCGGCCAGCTTGCAGCGGAGCAGTTTCTCGCCCTTATCATATGAAATAGAGTCTGAGCCGCGCAGGTCGTTCACCGGAGTCACCATACCCAAGCCTGAGAGGAAAATGATACAGGATAAAAGCTGAGAAATAAACGACTCGGGCAATTCTTTATAAAAACAAGGCACACTTTCATCCTGCTTACTCATGTTGAGCGCCGCCATGCCTCCTTGTGGTGCAGCTGGATACATTGAAGGCATGCTAGTGGTCATGAAGTCTGCGATCTGCTGCAGGGCCAACAGGCTGGTGGGTGTCTTCCCCTTCTTCAGCTGATCCTGGATCATCGTCTCCAGCTCGTCGCAGAACGCCTGTCCATTAAAAAAAAAATACACAAACACAAAAGTTGAGATGCTGAGGTGGTTTTTGAAACAAGCACTCAAAATTTTTGGTACCATGTATAGGGCTGGGCGATATGGCCTTAAATCAATATCACGATATATTGAGCAGTTCACCTCAATAATGATCAACTACAAGCTGCTCACACATGAACTTCATCTACTTCAGCCACTACAACTTTTGAACCGTCCTCCATCTCCTCACCTGTCTTTCGCTCTTCGTTATGAACTGAATGGGGTGGAGTCACATCTCTGATGTAGAACAGTATCTTAAAAGGGACATGAGACCATAGCCTACCTACACACATCCAAAACCAACTTTTATTTATTTATATTTTTGACACTGAATATACCGATATGGGCAAAATGACGTCGGTTAATTTGACATCGTAAATTTTGGTTTTGGTAAATTTTTGGTTTATCGCCCGGCCCTAACCATGTGTTTGTTCCATAATATCGAAAAGCACTGATGCCTAGGACTGGGCGATTATATGATCGTGATTCATGATCGTGATAAATTTCAGTTCGATCACGGTGATCAGCTGTGAGCTTATTTACTGATCAAACATTGCGAAAATGTGCGTCACAACAGCCAATCAGAGTCGAGCTTTTCCTGCTCACTTCTGTAAGTTGCCGGAGAAGTAAACACAGTAACCGAACATGGAGCTGAGGGCAGTAAAATAGATGTCAGCCATGACTTTGAGTCATCCTCCGAAGATGTTATTGTTGAGAAGAAAAGTTATTTAGTATTTATCTATTTATCATTTAGTTTTAAGTACAGATAAAACTGGCAATTTAAAAAATCGGGATAATAATCGAGATCGGACAATATGACATGGTATATCGTGATCATCTTTTTGGCCAAATCGCCCAGTCCTACTGATGCCTATGCGAAACAAGATCTGCATTCATATCATGAACCAACAGCTGCAGTGAAAAAGAGAGAGAGGTTGTCAATCAACATCGAGGAGAGAAAACTAAATAATGAGGTCAGACTGTAAAACGAGGTGCTGGTTTCTGGCGGTTTCAGAGCGGTTACACTCTGAACATCTTTGTGTCCACACCTCTGAACAGATGTGCAGGAAGGAGCTGGACTTGCTTCATTTGAAGTTGAAGTTGCGCTTCCTCTAACCTGCTGTGTGTGTGTTAAAAAGTGTTTATGTGTGTTGATACATCACCACCAACTCTCCTTGGTCACAGGTCGGCAAATACTGCAGTTTTGTTCATTCTTCTAGCATCTCATTAAAACACGAATGTTATGTGTTGTAGACAGACAGTAAACAGAGGAGAGTCGGCGATTCATTAGGGATGTTTTTTTACGAGTTTATAAGAGGACTTCTATGCAGATACACACTCACACCACACACCGTCTCTGGTGTCTCCTGTGAACGATGGTTTAAAGAGAATATTTAAAACAGAGTACGCTAAAGAATCATAAAAAGTAACACCTTAGTACATCATCTGTCTGCACCAACCTGAGCTCAACAACACCAAACCTCCAAACAGCACAGTACTGAGACTTCTTCAGGCTCTAGAGAGAATCATTTAAACACAGAGCTGTTCTCTGTGCCGAGAATTCAGCCGGTCACAGACACTCTGTTGATGAGGAATAAACTGGATCTATCATGTGACGTTGAGAGAGCTGCTCCCCAGTCTATCCAGAGTCTATAACACTGGTATGAGCAGTGTGCATCTATCTGCTGTAAATCTAGTGAATGCTGTTAGATCTGTACACTGTGTGAGTATCTACAGTGTCTTTCGTACTGACCGGGCTCTGTAGTATCATAGAGACCCTCTTCCTCTGCTCCATCATGTTGAAATCCTGTCGCAGGTCGGGTGCCATGTTTCTCTCCCGCTGGTACTCCGGGCTGCTCTCATCCACCCGGTCGAAGTACCGCTCCTTGTGGGGGGCTGTAGTGGGAGGGGGAGCCGTCACCACTCCGGCACCTGACTCGCCGTTCATCCTGGCCTGTCCTCCTGCAGACAGAACGAACAAAAGATCAATATCTACTCTTTGACTATTGATTGAAATCACTTTTCTATCCTGTTTTCCTCACATTTGACACGTTTCTGTAGATTTCATGACATATTTGTGTTAATTTTCTCTATAAATATTAAGAGTGGATATCTGCTGGAAGACAAAATAGATACCAACAGGAGTACACAGAGAAAGTTTTCCTGGTTTTTAAAGAAAATCAGCATCCTCCCCTGTCAAACTAACACACTCCTTTACTTCCTGCTCAGATCACATGACTCCCTCTCCAGCTCAGAGGGATTTTCATTGATTTTCTCGGAGCATTTCCTGCATTAACACATCACTCAACTCTCACAGCTGTACGGAGAAAAGTAACCCAGAAATGTAAATGAACATAAAGCTGCGAGTCGAATACAAAAATATCTCAATTTTAAATATTATGCAGAAATTTCTTAAGCCTGTATACATACATACATATTTATTTATATTATATTTATATATATTTTTTTTTTTCTTCTCCCTTTTTCCCTTTTCTAATTTTTTCTTAATTATTACATTTATTTAAGTTCTTAATATTAGGATCTTTATTTTTATAACTGCATTTTTGCACTTTTTGTCTGTAATGCTCCTGTGACAAAAAAATTTTCCCCATGAGGGATCAATAAAGAAATATTCTATTCTATTCTATTTAGCTTTTACTAAACGTCCTCTCTTATTGACAACAGAGGGAGGGATTAGAGCCATAATGGTTGAGAACAGAGTGATTTCCTATACGTCCATCCAGCTGGCTCTGTGTCTGTGAGAATAAGGAGCTTCAGCTCGTCTGTCACAGCACAGATTTCTCAGGCCCTGACTCTGACCAACACAGGCCGACTCCTCAGCATAAGGAAGTGTGTGTGTGTGTGTGTGCGTGTGTGTGTGTGTGTGAGTGCGAGCATGCATGTATAATGGGGAGAGCTCTGGCAGAAAGTGATGCAGCCCATTAGACCACATCAATACAAATGTGCAGCCAAAACCACCATGACAACTGCAGACCAAACCCAAAGCATCCAGTATCACACTGAGCGCTGACAGAGCTTCTCTCTCTTTCTGTCCGCTTTTATTGGACTTCTGGAGATTTTCCACAACATCAAACCCGACGTTTTCACAGATCTCAGGTCACCTGCTCCAATCAAGCCTTTTTGTGTCGTGTTTATGCTGTCGGACTAATTCAGGGCCAACGGTGTTTGGTCCAATTTCCCCTTAAATGAAGAGAAATTAAATGATCACAGCATGGAAATGCTGCAAAGAGAGGGACGAAGGTAAGAATGAAGCGGTTTGATTTGTTCAGGGGTTAGCTGTGTAAAATTTGTAACATTGATAGATTCAAATCTAGATTATTTTTCTGTTTTGGTTATTTGGTTACCCTGACCACATACAAAAATGAGAGAAGAAGAAGAAAAACTAGGGCTGGGCGATAAACCGAACATTTACAGATACTGAAATTTACAACAATAACAACGTCATTTTGCTCAGGTCAATATATTCAGTTTAAAAAAATATATAAATAAATAAAAATTGGTTTTGGATGTGTGTAGGCAGGCTATGGTCTCTTGTCAGAGACGTGACTCCACCCCATCCAGTCCGTAACAAAGAGGGAAAGACAGGTGAGGAGATGGAGGACCATTCAAAAGTTGTAGCAGCTGAAGCAGATGAAGTTAATGTGGGAGGGGGTGAGCAGCTTGTTGAGTAGTTATCGTCCATTTATCGTTATCGAGGTGAACTGCTCGATATATCGTGATATTGATTTGAGGCCATATCACCCAGCCCTAGGAAAAACTCTGCTTTCCATGTGAGAGTTGTAATATTCCTTCTTTCAAATAAATGAACTGAACTGTTTGAAAATAAACGTCTGATTTTTTACTCCTTTTGTGATGGAAGACACTCAAAACCGTTTCCAAAGATGAGGCAGTAGTCCCTGACACCTTCAAAACACAGCTGCGCCCTGATTTCCCAAAACCAAACCCTTGGTGTCGTGTCCTTTTAATCATTAATACAGTTTTAAGTGCATCTACCAAAGGAAGAGGCTGAGGAAAACAAGCTGCTTCCTCCCCCTGTCTCTTGTCCTCTGTCTCTGTTATTGACAGAAGAATAAGGACATCGGCAATTAGCTTTGGTGCCAAACGCTCTCATTAGAGACAGAGTCCCAGTCCCCACCCAGCCTGTTATTAATACATTCATCTCTGTGCTTTGAGAAAAAAAAACAACTCAGGAACTAACTGGTTTGACGCTGGAAAATTAAAACAATGTGACATAATCCTGCCACAGACACACTTCAAATCTGTTCATTTGGATCAAATACAGTTTCAGGGTCTGAATGAGTCCACTGTGGTCTCTTCTGCAGACGCATAAAAACAGCCTCTGTCAGTCTGGTTCATGGAGAGGTCGTCTTCATTCTTTGGAGTGAGAGTCTGATCTCATTTGCTTCACTCTCACTCTGTTTAACTGCATTTGCCGCCTGTTGTTCATGATGTTGTTTGCTGCTGGTGACAACACGACAAATCAAGCATGCCCGCTGACAATGAGACAGCTGAATTCAAGAGACAATACCCTGAAGGCATAACCAGCCGTGGAGTACACATCAGACAATACAAGTGTTCAGACATAAGAAAGGTCAGTTTTATGAGAATTTATCACTTTAATTGTTTTATTGGTCATTTCAGAGCCACTGTGCCCTATTCTCTTGAAATGTTACTTGAAAATATCAGGATGTATCATAAAGACCGGGTAATGGAAGACGGCAGAGGTATCTGCCAGCCGACTGAAGCAGCATCTTGAGTTGCTGCTGTTTTTGCTGACGAATCCCTCGCTGCCCCGTTGATGTGCTCCTTATACACATCCACTGTGACACATCCACTGGGAGTGAGCATGGTAAGTTTGACAGCTCAGTGGCGGATGAAGACTTAAGACATGAATAAAACATTACTGCATGTACGGTACAGCTCCAGTCTGCAGAGGAAGATTCAGCTGTAGAGGCAGAACTGTCTTTGTTTCTTGTGTTATTGATTTGAGTTGGAATTAATAAGTGTCAGCTAAAAGTTCGACTGGTCGACTTATTGGTCGATACACGCTGAGTCGACCAAAATTCTGATTTGTCAACTAGATTTTCTTCTGCCTCAATTTACAGTATGGTTAATTTCATCAGGAGGAACGTACCAAGTGCTAATGGGGGTGTTTTCAGAGAAACCCCGATTCACAGCCATAGACTGTATATACTATGGACGACTTGGTTCCACTTTCCGCCAGTTTATGGATTTGAAGCCGTAAAGCTCTTAATAATTCTGCGTTTCATCTCCATTTCCTGAAACCAACATTGCGCAGTAGCGTTGTACGTACTCCACCACTTGGGCAGAAGCATTGTGCGCTTTCGGCAGAAGAGTTGCAGACGGTCGCTGTGTTGACGCTCGGCTCAAACAGCGTATCCACCAGGTGAGCTACGCAATCTTCGAAAGCCCATAGGCTGTTTCAAGAACCCCCGAATAACTTTTAAAAACGGAGCTGTAGAGAAAGAGGACGACTTGAGCACAAACCAGTCTTACAGTAACTACATGTAGTAACATCGCAAGCAGGGGGGAAAAAGTTATGTTCTGTGTAATAAATTTCTAAAGTTTGTCCACAGCTCCTTTGCTGGCGGAGGCGGGATTTATGACCTATACCGCAGCTCATCAACAGAGGGTGCTGTTCCCGGAGTGGCTTCACCCATCGAGGAGGCAGATGGCGTAAATTCTATATACAGTCTATGTTCACAGCTAACCGCCTGTCACAGAACACCCCCTTGTTTTAACCGTTTTGGATTCGCCTAACCCACTGGTGACTGACCGGAGACGGGAAGATTGAGGAGCGTTCACGTTAATCAACGTCTCGTGGTTTGCATTTTTATTTTGAGCGTTTCAACTTTCATCGTGTTTAATTGCGTTCTTGTACTGATATCAGTCAATTTTATCCCGCCGAACCTTGCTCTGCTGAGCAGCGTTGTCCCCCGCTGCAGAAGGGTTTGCCATCAGAGTCAGAACCACCTGCCACTCCCAACTCCAGTTAGTCGAATTTTGGTAGAAAATTTCTTTGGTTGATGACAGCCCTATTGAATCATCAGTGTAAGAAAAAGTATTTCTAAAACTAGAAGATGGCAAAGGAAATAAGAGGCAACAAGAGCGAGAGCGGATGTGCAAAAATCACCTCTGAAGCTTTAATGCTTTCAGACCTTTTATTTTGGAACAATCCTCTAAATGTCAGAGTAAACAAAGCAAGAGTAAAAAAAGGGACTGTGTTCCTCAATATGAAGGTGAGGTTAATCAGGTAGATTACACTGCTTTTCACAAGACAGATTCATTTCCTGCTGCACTCTCCTGGGCCTCAAGAGTCAGCTGAAAGACTCCAGCTGTGCGGTGCTGCACCAACAACACATCCACAAAGTTGTTTATCTCTCATGGACACTGAAGCAATCACAACGGCCTTATGTGCAGGAAGTGTCTCCATCCATGTAGAGTGTTGTCATCTCACAGCACGTCCGCCCCTCCCTTTTTGTCTTATCTCTCTTCAGATATGTGGGCGCGGGGGCTCCACAAGCCTCCCACTCCACTGTTGAGAGCGCGATCGCCATGGAAACCAAACACATTACCATGGAAACACAGCACAGCCTTTCAAGATTACTGTTATGTAAGAGCAGCTGTAGGGGCTACATCATGCTGCAAGCCAGTCGGTGTCACAAGACGCACACCCTCAAACTCGCTTTACATCAGAGTCAAAACACGACAGCGGAGCAGCGGACTTTAAAACACTCTATCTACTGCTGTTTTCAGCATGCATGTTGCACAGAGTTTAAAGGAAACAGCGGCATGATTTAAGACAAGAGAGGCAACTTCAAGAGAAGCAGCGAGTCTGTTTATATCGGCTTTACTATTTTACTGGTAGATAGCAGGGTTGCAAACTACTAGAAACAGCTACACAGACGCACAAAAACTGTGTGTTTCTGACATCTCCAAGATGGCCCATGTTACTGGATATTGGTCTGATATCAGCCAAAATGCAAATATGTGGTTATATCAGCCTGCATTGATATCAGCACTCCAATATAAGTGGTCCATTCAGGACTCCCTCTGGCGCCTATAGCTAGCAGCACCCAGATTCAGCATGCAGAGCCCACGTGATCACAACAACAGTGGGAACTAATGCTGCGTTCAAGTTACCCCGGAAGTCAGATGTCCAAGCTGGGAATGACGTCACACCCGAGTTACCAGCATTTCAGTTACCAAGTTTGAAAAAAAGCAAAATCGGAGGCAGAAACAAGATGGCTACACTTACGAAAGTTATTTTAGCGCTTGCCTTGTCCTTGCTTATATTCGGACAAGGCAAGCGCTAAAATAACTTTCGTAGATGTAGCCATCTTGTTTCCGCATACGATTTTGCTTTCCTCCGACTTACACTGGTAACTCGGGTGTAACGTCATTCCCAGCTTGGACTTCTGACTTCCGGGGGTAACTCGAACGCAGCATAAGGCACAAACAAAGTACTAAGGAGTAGGAGTGATGTCGGCATGTGTGTCAGTATTTACATTTACGTCCAAAAAAGACGTTGCAGCTGAGTGCAAAAATTGTCCTGCATAAGTTTGTGCTAATATCAGGTCAATATTAGTATCGGCCAATACTAAAGGCTACAATGTCGGTATTGTATCGTAAGTAAAAATGTTGTACCAGGACACCCCTATCCTGAATCACAGAGAGGCAGCTGTGCATTAAAGGGTGAAATCATAAGAAGCAGAGAGCGCTGCTTTTTCCTAAAATCTCACTGCATAAACTGAATATCAAAATTAGCTAAATAATATTCACTTTGCAAAAACGGACTGAGACCTAGAGCTGAAAGTCACTCGGCACCACCCGGATAATGTTAAAGAATTCATAGCAGCAGCTCTGTGTGTCAGATCCTGACCTTTCTCTGCACCGTCTCTTCCGACCAGACTATCACTTAAAGGTCACGAAAAACATAACATGGTGTAACTTCACCCTGCTTCTACGGATTTAATGGAGGGAGTGGCAGACAGGGATGTGAACTCAAACTAAAGGTATGATTATAGATGTACTTTTGGATAACCAGCATTTCTAACTGCAAACAGGAGACGAGAAGCTGACCCCAGCTGTCAAAAAGACTTGACTGTGCACAAAGTCAATCTGCTATGAACCAGCTCTTGCTGGCAGCAAGTGTGACACTTCCTCTTATCTTCTCCCACTGTACCGAGGGCCACAGCTACATAACACTGAGCAGCTGATGCACAGCAAAGTCTGCTACTTCTACCACCATTTACAGAGTGCATGTGGAAAACCCTTGGTGTGTGTGTGCATCCAAGCGTTTCTAAGCAACAAGTTTGATGATGAATCTAGCAGCACAGAGATGCAGTGTATTATTATATGTGTGAGAAATTGGAGGGAACATTTGGATTTGTCATTGTGGGAAAATAACCGGTTTCAAATTTGCTGGAAATGGTGAACAATGGCAACAGCAGCATAAGGATGAAACACAGGACCTGCTACAGAATCTCTCTGAAGACTTTGAACTTGTTTGTCCTTCCTGTGGTTATTGTATCGCTGAAATTCTTTATTAAATCAAAGCTGACATTATAAAAAATACTTTTTCAATTTAAAAAGTCTGGTGCAGCCTGTTGAGTGTGTTTGCACTGGGTCAGTTGATTGTGGCATCTTCTTTTTCATAATCTAGTTGTACTCTGCAACAAAATCCAGAGTAAGACTTCCCTTAGAGGATTGTTTGAAACAGTGGGAGTCTGTAATCTGCTTTCAATGTTTACTTGATGCTTAAGTTTAATTTCGTTAAAATGTAATTCTGAAAAATTTTAAAGGAAATTAAATGATTGCATTAAAGTGAACACTTAACCCATCTCATTAGACTACATTCAAACAGGCATGAAATCTTGACCAGAATAATGAACCAATTTTTCCAGCTGTGCAGAGTTAAGAAAGAAGATTGAGTTTCGACTTCTTTGCCTCTCTACTGTCACTCCTGGGAAACACTTCTGTCCATTTACAAAGTAAATATTGGTATTATAATCTCAATCTCAATCCAATCTAAGAACATAAGTATATTTCAGCTGCAACATTGTAGACTCATCACACCGTTCTCTCTTTGTGATCGCTGCAGTGAATTTGAATATTTGGCAAATAAAAAATGACCCCACGTAACTTTAATGAAGACGTAGAGGAGTCCAGTTAACTGCTCTGCAGCGATGCCAACAACAGCCTTTTACACAAAGATGCCTTAAAGATAACCCGGCGTTTTAAGTATTGCAAAACTGTGATGATATCTTTATGTAAGAATCCTTTTATGGTATTTAAACGTTCGTTATGTGGTAGAAATGGGTGCTTTAAAAGAAAAGCAGGCCTATTTATCCCTACCATTGGTGCACAGTAGGACAAGGTTTATCAATGATGTTTCAAACCTGCTATGACAAGGTTAAATAAAATGTTTCTAGACTAAAGCAGGATAAAATGAAAGGAAAAAGGTTGTATTTTTGGTATTTTTGAAAGCCCGTCTTAAATAGCGCATGTATTTAAATTTAACAGTATTTTCTTGTGAGACAGAAGCTTGTGCCAAAATCATATTGTCAGCATGACTAATCTAAGACTTAGAAAAAGCAAAAGAGCCATTTATGGGGGTCCAAAAATATGCCAATCAAGCATAGGCAGTGAAAAAGATCATTATGGCGTTCGAGAAAAAAAGGAAAAATAAAGGCCTCAGTGTCCCGCTGCTCTTTCTGTAACAGTTCAAGTGTGTGTGTGCGAAGATGAGTGTGTGTACAGTTGACAAGCATTTAGACGAGGCTCTTTATATCTCTGAGCAGGATGCCTGTCATTACTGAGGACTCAAAATCCAACAGCAACTGCTTTTAGTGCCTGCACGTGAGTGAAGACCCTTACTACTATGACGGGTAGGAATGCAATAGATGCATTTTAGCACTACCCTCCATACGGCCTTACACACCCAATACTAAGTGACATGCAGAGAGAAGCTGAGTAGAGTCATTGACAACATGAGCTAACAGAAGACACACTTAAACACAGTGTTAACAAAGTGGGAGGCAGTTATCTAAGTGAATCCATGCTGACCTCGCAGCTGAAATCACAGCACATTAGACAAGCAGGTAGCTGCTCTGCTGGTGCATCAACACACTTAAAAGCAAAAACCATAAGAGACAGAGAAGAGCTAGACAGAAGCAAGGACATGCAAGTTTGCACAACGTAGAGGTAAAATACTGTTGTGGTACTATAACTATCTAAGAGGCATCATCCAGATATATAACCTCTGCAAAAACAATGCAGAAAAACCCAACTTGATGATGACTTCACTCGGCTTTTTGTAGCTTTGAGTCATCATTTCAGTTCCCAGTTAATCCACAGTGAACACAGATAAAGTCTATTTTCATTGCACTTCTATTAGAATTGGACTTTATTTAATTGCCATATTGGTAATCAGTGAATTTGCTCCCCTCTGAAATAGCAGTTGGCCCAAGTCCCAAAATCCCCTACCAGGGGCTCTAGAAGAGTAGTTCACATGTAACTGAGGTTCAATATTCTGGCTCGTCAATATTTTGTACTTCTATTTATAGAAGAATGGATCATGGCTGCAGTCAGGGTTTGTTTTACTTTGAAATGAACTGTGGCCGTGACCTGTTATAGGGGATTACAGTGCACTGTGCAAGCTAGCAGAGCATCACATTATTGTCTACTCCACATTAAATTCACTTTTATCCGTCATCCACAGTAAAATGGTGCTTTTTCCAGGTATTACTGAGATGACTTACGTTATCTCCTGGGGGAAAAATAAAGACTCTTAGGTACAGAGACTTAAATACGAAATTAAATGAAATAGAATATTATTAATATTTCCAAAAACTTCAACTTCATATAAGAAACAATTTTGGGATTACTTTTAAAGGGATATTCCGGCGTAAAATTAATTTAGGGTCAAACACATCATAACACCGAGAGATGAATGTTGCTGACCGCTTGCTTCCCTAGTTATACCAACACTAGTAATGACTGCACGGTAGCATTACACAACAGTCTGAGAAGCCATAAACAAACCTCAACCAAAAAGCCACTCTATAGCCACAAAAAATGCTCAGAACAGCACCTAACTTCATCAACAGTACATATAGGGTCCCAGCCACAGAACTAGCCACCAAACCTTTTTAACTTTGCCTATTTTCTTTAGCAAAGAGACTAAGCACAACTCAACTACTCTCCTCCAGCAGTCACTTGTTTGTAGCAAGGGCCAGTCCATTACGGACTGCTGTGGGGGGACGCAGCTCAAGGAAGAACATTTATGATTATATCTTTATCATTTCCTTGAAGTAATAATCACCATGTTCATCATTTTGCACTGCAGACGTGGTAGTTCTTCTGCCTTAGCGTCTTGGTCTGATTGCATTTTACATTGCAAGAAATGATGTCTAACTCTGTGTTAAGAGTGTGTTTGACCCTAAATTAATTCTATGCCGTAATATTCCTTTAAAACTTGAGTAGCATCCTTTCTAGGCATATTTAAAAACTTGCTTAATACTCAGTTTCACACTAGGGATGCATTGTTTTAAGTGTTTCTGTTGAGTTTTCTGTCGTTACTGGTGCATTTTCTTTGGCCTGACCTGACCTGCCCCATATAAACCACACCACAAACCAAAGCACTGCACAATTAAATTATTTCATTGCAGCATTGTTCTTGCAGTCAGACAATGTTGGCAGCTAGCTGGTTTATTCAGAAAAAGTAAAATGATTTCCCAAAGAGATTGTTGGAGACCAAAAACACAGACAAAGGAATACTTGAAAGGTTAACTGGAGCCTTGAGTTACACTGAAAATGTACTTAAAAGACAAACAGAACATACAATCCTTTGGGTTAACATCAACAAGGTCCACCCATACACTGTGTTATGTTTGCACATGAGCACAGGGGTTCAGTGTTTATCAGGCTGTAACATGTAATATTGGACAGAGTAGTGGAAGATCTGAAACAACACCCCTCCCTGTACAGCTTCCTGGTCTAATCTGTAATATCATGACAGCATCTGCACTGAATTTTGCTCGCTAAACATCTGACCTATGATCTTAAGTGACCTCACCAGTGTTGGTGAGAGTTCAAAAACATTTATTTTCATATTATTCAATAGAAAAACTCTCCTGAAACCCTGCAGAGTGACCACATATGGATAGGGGAGAATGAAACAGTGAAACAGAGACTGGACTTGAAATGAAGAACACATTTTCAGCTGCAGTGCAGTCAAGGATGTGGGTGTGGGGAGTGGGAGTAAAACAAACACCGAGCTCTGTATCCAGAGTGAGTGTATATGTGTCTGTGTAGTAGTGAAGTGCTTGTGGAGGGTGGCAACACAGAGCCAGACTGACAGAGCTGAGCTCCCTCCTCTGGGAATTTCACTCATTCTAACAGAATTACCAAATCCTGGGAGTTACCGTCTCTTAAAACACTCTGAGACAATTTATCCTGGCAGTTTGGCTTTGCTAATCCTCATACAGTGTGGAGGGGGAAGGGACTTCAGAAAACAGACGACAGCAACAATGTGTTCTTCAGATAAGGCCTAAAAACAGGCGAACAAGCTATTACTACCTCTGTATCCGCTTACTTTGTCAAAACAACATGACTCTAGGATTGATTCATGATTTCATTAAATAAAGGAAAGCTGGAGCATCTGGCAAAGGGTTTGATGGGCATTTATATTTTTTGCAACGATTAAAGACTAAAAATGTGTCAGTCACCTTAACAACAAAAACTGATATTATATCACTTTACTAAACTGCATTACTGCAGGATGAGTTTATTAGATTGCAGTGCTTGCATCCCATGAGACTTGGTGTTATGTTACATAAATAACTGCGAATCAAAATGCATCAGAATGAGTCTGATTCGCTCCCCATGTCTTACCAATCAGCCTTGATGATTTCTGATTTCTATGTCTGTAGTTGAAAGTCAGCTGACATTTTGGGCCGATCTTGAACCAGATTTCATTTTTATGTCTTTTGTTATATTAGTATCACAAATGGTGATATGATCCAGCTTAGGGATGCACCGATCCGATATTTAGATCAGATATTGGCTCCGATATTGACAAATTAACTGGATCAGATATCTGATGAATGACGCCGATCCAGCGTTCATATCCAGTCTTTTTTTTTCTTTAAATTAATATCATACACAGCAACACAGCAATTCTGTTCGCTCTATATTCAATGTCTATCGTTTTGCACTAAATGTTTACATGGAAGTCTTACTTCTTTTTGCTATGTGCTAATGTTACTATAATGTAGATTGTTATTTGTTAATAAATGATATGAAGTAAATTTATATCTGTTAATTTGTTACCATTTTTTTAACAAGGCTAAGTCAAGCCTGATGCCTTTACTCACAGGGCAAGGTATACAGTTCATTCATTCAACAGTAGTATTGGATCGGTATCGAATATCGGCCGATACGCCCAGCCCAAGTATCGTATCGTATTGGATCGGGAAAAAAATTGATCGGTGCATCTGAAATCTAGCAATTGTAATACAATTGGTACTCCTTCTAGTGCAAAATGGTTGGTTGCTTCCTTGTACGCTGTAATAAAACACAATAAGCCCGGGAGATCAACAGGAAAAGTGAAACACAGGACATGGTGCTATCTATCCTACAGGAAACTGCTCCATCACCACACAAATGAAAACAGCCCCGTTTTCTCTGACCCACAACACGCCCAGACGAGCAACACAAACGCTTTAAAAGGGAAAATACTGTTGACCTGAGCAGCACTAAATCCGTCACAAAAAGCTACAGGACATTAGAGAAAAATACTGCACGCACAGGCCTGCTCACTAAACAGCAGGCTGGAGGTACTACAGGGAGAAAGCACCGAGCAGACGGTATGTGGCCCTGTGCAGCTACCGCACAAAGACACACTCAATCGAGGGTGGGAATTAGTAATTTGCACGAAAAAGCAAAATATAGTCGTTTTAAAACCAGTACACAACCATGCAACGCCTCCTCTCTGCAGCTTTCGCCGACCAACATACTAGCAAAACAGTGAGAGCTCGCCACACGGACACACAACGAGCCACAGTTAAATAATAAACCCCACATGGGTTGGATTTTACGCAGAATTTACAACAAATTAAATGTTTAAAAACGTCGATTATGAAGCTCTTACCCTCTTAGACGAAGTGGTTAAATCTAAACAGCGATGGGTGAAAGCGGGACGGCGGGTTTTCACTGTTTTTATCCCCGACCCTGGTGGTTTCAGAGTGGGTTTATCTCCCTGCGCTCGTCGTCCCTGCGTCGCTCCGCCCATCCACCATCATCCACCTAGGGTGCGGCGAACTGGATTATCTCCGGCTCCTTATTGGACAACATGAGGCACGTGACAGCGCCAGAGCGAATGATTGGCTCAGGAGTTGTAAGCCCGCCCCCGGAGGACCAGGCCTTAATACAAACATGATTTTTAATATTCTGCTAAAGCTAAGACCATAAGGTTGATAAGACCAAAGATTTGTTTTTCTGGCACGCAGAAATTATATTTGTCCAAATACACCAATGTGTTCTCTTCGTGCATACATAACACAACCTTACTCTAACCCTAAAAGCACAAACAGAAACCAAACAATGATAAAGGATAATTTTAGCCACCACTCATATATAGCAGCTAAAGTGTGTATTTTTGATTTATTTACCTTTTATTTTAAAGGATTCTTGGTAAGTCTACAACAGTCTAATCTGATCATCTATTGGCTAATATTCACTGTCTGACAGTAGTCTATACTTGCTGACAGTATTTTTCCAGGCAATTAAATCCTAAGCTTACAACACTAATTTAATACTAAACATACTGGCTTCAAAATCTGCACCTTGCACGTATGTTAACACAGATGCAACCAAACCCAACAAAATACATTTCTTCAACTAAGCAATTCAGCTTTTTTTTCCCCTTCTAACCTCACTGATTACTTTAAACTCTTGGCTGGTTTGAAGTAGAAACAAGTTCATCTTCATACAACAATGCCCAAGAAAATTAACATCCTAAGCACACAAATAAATTGGAATTACCTGCATTAGTATCAACACACTGTATCAATGCACCTATTTGCATTGTAATCAGAGATTAAATGCTTTTTATTCTTACAAAATAAGTATGATGTTTATATATGATGTTTTTTTACCCGCCAATTATACATCTTTGTTCAATCTGTTCAATGTGGTGCAGACTCATTGAAACCTCTACTTTTGATCAGTACAATAATATATTTGTCTGTGTGACTAGCTCAAATGGCTCTCCATATCACGCAGGACTTTCTCTGCAGATGTCCTCATGTGTGGTTCATCTATTCAAGCAAGTCTGCTTTGCAACCACAAAGGTATCACCTAAAGTCATAATATCACACTGACAGTGAACTTTTGACTTTTTAACAAAATTGCACAGTGATGTGAAGTGTACAAACTCCAGCTGACCGCTAGGGGGTGCAACTCTGTTACATGTGAACTTTCTCATAAAAACAAAACAATAACCCCCATCAAGAATACAAAAAGAAAGAAATAAAATAAAATAGGATAAAAAAAAAGGTCTTCTTGGTCTCTAGTGATACATGATAGAGATTTCATTAAAGCAGGGACCCTTTTGTTTAAAACTGAACTGAAAACACCCACAATAGAGACACTTTTGCATTCTTTGCACGTGGAAGACTCTGCTGATGGCTGGAGGAAGGGAATGGCTCATTGAATGAGGATGAAATGCTTGTTATTGACCTGTAGATGGTACTATTTTGTTAAAGTATATAAAGCTGAATATTGTTTGATATATACAGAGTATTTGTATGTTGGTTGTGGGCTAATAATTAAGCTGCTGAACGAAATGAGGTACAAAATATGTAAATTATGTAAGCCTATTTGCATTCAAGAAAAGTAGGAGGGTTGGCTAAACTTTTGTTTTACCACCTGTTAGGTTTGTGGACAGATTTAGTTTGCTTGTGTTCACTATATATCTATTAGGAAGGAGATTTTTTTGTGAAATTAAGATTGTTTAATGGCCTGATGCATCTCTTATCAACTTTTACCTCTGTATTCTGTCCTTTTCTGCTATGAGTCACATCGAGTTTATGTTGCCTACTGAAACCAAAGCTTGGAAGACTTAAGTATCCGAAGCCACGAAGGGGCAATCTACTATTTAAGTTCTGGGGTTAACTGACTGACTATATGAGTTGACCTCTGACTCTTGTGCTGTAAATCCTGCCCTCATTCACACAGTCAACACACTCATACATACCCACCCTTCTCTTGACTGATCCTGGACCAGCACTGGCCCTTCTAGTGTTGTGAATAATTGTGGTCTGCCTTGTAGCATGGATACACACAGTGAGGGACTCTAAATATATCCGACTGCTGTGTCTGAAGAGCTCAGGCATGAAGATCATATATACTTACACTGGAAATCCACACCTAGCTCTATGACTTTCTCATCCATTGTGTTTATAACTTTCTGTCCCTGTCACATTTACATTTGAGCATTTATCTGATATTTCTAGCTTGAGCGGCATTCAAATTAGTTCTGCTAGGTTGAGTCTTTGCATCAGTCAGTCCGTCATTCCTCTTCCTATGAGCAAGTTAGACATTGAAATGTAATTTTTATGCAGATTGTGTCTGTGATAATGAGACGAACGCAGAAAAATAGACACACAAGTCAAGACCAAGAGGGTGAAAGGGGGCAAATTTATCATAAAGATGTCAAACAAGAACATTGAATGTATCTTTTAAAATGCAGATCGGCCTAAGTGGCTACAAATCATTTGAGCTCCAGTATTACGTTTGGGTTTCAGCGCGCATTCCTCGGTCACCTGTTTTCTCTTAGCAGCACATGTCAAAGAGTGAGTGAAGATAAACCCAGCTGCTTTTCGTATTCATTTCAGGCAGCACTTAGCGTCCCCTTTTAACTCCAGCCAGCCTCCAGCCCTAAGCTCTCAGATCACCAGAGGCCGAAATGAAAATAAACAATTTGTAGTATAGCAGATGATGCCTGGAAGTGTTGGGATATTTAAGAATGCCACATAAATCTTCCATAATGGAGTAAAGGGAAATTATAGACTTATTGAAGCTCAAGTGGGCAGGTAATTTCTCAGCAGTTGTTATTCAGGGAACCCACAAAGCAGCCACAGAGGTAGACTGCAGCACTATTCTATTTTCCACCAGCAGCAATCTGTCTTTCACTCAAAGATGGTATTGTATTCGCCCCGCCGTGTCGTGGAAAGCCCCTCTCCCTCCTCCTCTGGCCTGCACAATGAGACAAGGGTCAGCCTGTCTTTCCTCTACTGTGTTTTTGATTCACTTCTGCTTTAGGAAAATGTTGTGTAAACTTTGACCCCCAGCAGTGACCCTTTAAACCCTTTGGCACCACCTACATGAGACTTCTTAGCCAGTGTTGAGGTGATCAATTCTTCAACGGAGCTGCAGCTTAACATCACACGGGTCATTAAGGTTAAACCCTGGGTCATATTTCTAGAAATTTGTGGGTATACCAGGGGTTAACATGCAATGAATGAACACATCCCATTAAAAAGCTTAACTTATTTCAGAAATTATGCTGATATTGCACTAAAAAAAATACATAAAGTATTTAAGATTATGAGATAAATTCATACAAATAGAGATTGTAGAGAGGTGAATTACAAGTCACACTAAAGCTCTTGTCTTACATGGTGTTTCAGTGGTGTTTTTTTCTCATGCGAAAGAAGCATCAGTTTCCCTTTCAGTAAAAGTAGCATCACCACAATGTAAAAATACTTCATGACAAGACAAAGAGCAGTATTCAGAGCTAAAGAAGTTCGATATATTTTAGTTTAATGGTCTTGCCTATGCTTCTTTTGTGTTGTATAGAAACTTTCGCATTAACAGTGTTTCAGTTTTACAAGGAAGTACAGAAAACTTCCACAGCTTCTCTTGAGTTTGAGGGTTTACAATCATGCTTCATACTTAAATATAAGCTCAGGTTTGGGTTTAATCACCAGAGTAACAAAAATGGTTCGTAAATGTTATGAAATGAAAACAAATAACTTGCTTCTGAAATTAAGTTAAATTAAAGGTTTGCTCCAACTCAGATAAACATGCAGGGATGAGGAGGAGTGTTACAAAAAATGTGAGGGATACTTTAACCCATTGTTGTACATCACAAATTTTTATTTCTGTTTTGGTGGTTGATTTGAGTAACCCTTATTATTATTAGCAATTGTTTTTATTGTCTGCAACAATCAAGACGGGGGACTAACTCATTACATTTGAATGTTACTGTGGTGATAGTTAAGCTGCTTTTTCATGTACCTTCACTTGTCTCAGCTATTTTAAAACAAAAGCTTTTCTTTTAAAGTTTTTTTATGTTTAAAGTTTTAAAGTCTTTACTTAGAATTAGTGGCTGAGTAAAACAATGCAGAGAAATGCAAATGTTCCTGTGTATGCATACCAGCATTGACCTGACAGGTTCAAATTCACAAATACTTTAAGATATTTCAAGACTATGGTTCTAATAACTTACTTCAAATCACTATTAAACCATATTCCACACTTTTTTTCCACTCTCTTGCCTACAACTTAGGCCTACATCTTCTCCACTTTGACCTCAAGACACAAGTTTGGCACTTCTTGCCACACAGTTTGCTGATTTAAGTAGTTTGCAGATTTTGTCACATAACAAAAATATAACCTTCTCAGACGCAATTAAAGTGATAGATAAATTAAAATGCATCATGAAATATTATAAATTTACACAATTATTAGCCCAATTTGGACAATGCTTAAAAGTTCAATTACTTATAATATACACATACACGTGCAATTTTAATCTACGGTAGGCCATTTCAAGTCCACAAATTTCCTTGTAACAGAGTATTCTTGTAATATTAGTCGGCGACCTTGGCTTGACTCAAAGTAAAAGCTCTGTGTCTGTCTGTCTGTGTGTGCTTCCTCCACGTCTTGCGCTCTCACCACCACCACCACCGCCTCCCCCTGCAGGCTGCTCCCTCCCCCTGACTGTTGATATCACAGCCCGGAGAGGTTTGAATCCAGTCTCTGGCCCCAGCCGCCATGCTGAGCTGAGAGAGAGAGTGAGAGAGTCACTAACCAAACTTTGTCACGCTGCTGCTCCTGCAACGACGCCCGAACATCTTCGTACACACCGGGGCAAAGAGGAAAACTTCCCAAGGTGAGTAAAGCGTTATGGAGCAGCTGTAGCGCGAAATTCTGTTGGCGCTATCCTGCTTTCGGGGCGTAGGGACTTCTTTTGCGAACTTGTTTCAGCCTGTGTGTGTGTCCCTGCTGGTCGTATTCATGCGTGCTGTCGCGGACTTCAAGCTCAGCTGCACTTGTTGCACTGTAGCCTCAACCCCCACTGAGCCACGAAGGAAGGAGAAACGTTACAGAATTTTGTTTCCTACGCATCCTTGGCGCATGAAACTTTCCCCTGAAACTTCGCGCGTTTTACTTATCAAACACTTTCGCGCGATGTTCTTAAACCCAACTGCGAAAAAATAGGATGTTAAGCGGACTAGTGCAGTCCCCACTGTCCTTGAGGCGCTAAACAGCTCGTGAATATGATATTACTCGTCCACCAGCCGTGCTCACACCAATCTTTTTAAAGATTAAACTCCCCTTGCACTTTCAAAATGCCATTCTGGCACCCAGGGGTCATGCAGGGGTTTCTACCCTTGGCATGCATAAATCAAGGGCGCTCTTTCACTGCAACAACAAAGGCTTTTTATTGACACGTAACCACAGTTTATATGAAGGCTGGTGGGAGCATCCAAACCTGCAACCTCTCCATGGTGCGTTTCTTCGCTTCTTCAGCCTGTGGAGCAGTTTGTATCAAGACAAGAGCGCAAGTGCAGTGCAGCTGGAGTTTATCAGAGGATGCTCATAAACCTTTCACCTGCCCGCATGTCTAGTCTTAGTTTGTGTTGTTTGGACCAGAGGGGGCAATAAGGAGTTATGGGGCTGCTGTCTGTCTCAACATTTGCCCTCTGGCCTGGCCAACTGAACTCCTGTCTCTCTGCGTGACTCTCTTGGGTCTGTGAGATTTACCACACCAGCATCACTAAGGTTCTTCACTTGGTTTTCTTGAGGACTGTGAGAGATGGAGGCCTTCAGAAACTTAGGCTGGTTATACTGAGAGAATTTATTCAGAGTAGAGCAGAGAATCATCTTTGGTTAGCCCAGTGGTTCCCAAACTTAAACCCTTACACCTGACTGTACACATAAACATGGAAATGAAAAATATGTAAATGTATAAATAAACACACCATCTGTCACAAGCTGCTATTATTTTTCCAATTTATTTCAATGAAACTTCAAACCTTTGTAGAAAGAACAACAGCGTTACCTTTTGACCATTTTTTAAAATTCGGAAGTTCTGAAGATGAACAATTTGAAAACTTGGGTAACATCTTTAAAATATATTCTTTCAGCCCTAAAATACGTCAGGTGCAACAGTGCACTTGTTTAGTGCCATAGATTTTCCCCAGTCTTGGGTGCAGCTGTGAGACTGCCACTCTCAGTTCATTTTCAATGTCCACTTTTGATCGGTACTTGCTCTTGATGTTGTGTTGTTGTCGCCCTTGTGAGGTCTGCTGACGTTTGCCATGGTTAGCAGTGCAACACAATGTGTAGAGTCTCAACTCTACACAGTCCAGTCTTCAAGAAAACCATGACCTGGATGAATGATAATCTACATGGACGACGTGCAACACAATGTGCATTATTTTTATTTAGCCTTGTCGCGCCCCCTTTGGGAACCACTGGGTTAGCCTCTGGCCTCTTTTGAATTATGTTAGAATAAACTGAGCTCTGGTTGAGGCTGATGATTAATCTTTTGATTCTTCTGGGCAGTTTGGTGAGGTGTTGAAAAGTTAAAGCTCCTGTGAGGGACTCTCTGAATATAACAATTTTGGCATCCCCTGCACAGTGAAACCCTTCTGTTGCTGCTGATTGCATCTGGTCTTTGTGAAAGTGTTTTTAAAATGAAAGAAAATATCCCCCTGTAATCTTTTTACAATTTGAATTATCACTGACTTTCTTCCATGTGCCCGTCCTCACAGAAGCTACATGCATTTAAATTTTTAATAATGTCTTCTCATATGTTATGCTCATGAGGATGCCACAAAGGATGGTAAATTCAGGGATCGATGAAGGAACAAACACCCTAGCATTACATACAGGATCGGTTTACATTGCATGAGCACTGTGGAATTTCTGAACATGCCAGCCATTTGGTTTGGCTCTAAACATAGCTGTTGTGTTTTCTTAAGCTGTTTTCCGCAGTTTCGTTTGTGACATTAACCGCCGCGGCACGCCTCTTCCACCGCTTTGCCCAGGCTGTGACATCCCTCCCCTGGCAGCTTCAATAAGTCATTCTTCTGCCTCATCGAGCTCGATTCCACAGGTCCTTGGCTGGGTCATATTAAGCATGAGGAGGGGGGGCGTCCACTCTGGTCATGTCAATATGATGGGCTAGCTGGCGTTTCAGTGTCACCCGGGCAGGGCTAGAATCATGTCAGTCAGACCCTTAGGGGGGCCTGGAGAACTGGCCTGAACAGGATATTGCTGTGTGATCATTCACCAGCTGCAGACAAATCATTAAACCACAGGCTGCGTGCCGCTGAGCCTCTGACTTTCCCTCAGGTTAGAGGTTGCTTACGTGTCGTTAAGTGGTCATTTCTTGAGTCTCGAGTCACTGTAAGAAATATTTTTAAACATGAGAGATTTATTGTTCTGTCTTTGAATAGACGAATAAGTGTGATGTTAGTGAATTTTACTGTCCTTTACGTTTGTTTTAGTGGAGAAAATCCTGTCAACACGTGAAGCTTTTGAGAGACTTTCCATCTTTGGAAAGCTAATTGGTCTATTTTTAGCACGTGTCCGTCTGTATTTGACTTGTTTTCAGTGATATCAGCAGGGTAACTGGACTATCTTTGAATCACTCTTTGTTTTTTTCCCAGATTCATTGGAAGCACAGGATTCACATGTTTTAAATGAAATTAGACAGACTGTCCTGCTTGTTCGAGATAACCACACAGAAGCACGCAAACTTGTCTCCAGGGTTCAGTTTTTCCTCACTGATAATCGATTTGAAATTTGTGGGAATGGTGATCCAGTCCGGAGCTTCTTGCCTGAAAGAGGGTATTGTGTTAGACTCGAACTTTGTGCAGAAATGGCACTTGTTCTGGATGTCAGGGGGTTATTTACTTGGATGCCTTGTTTTGGTTTCAGAACAAGCCCGGGCTGTTTGTCAAATTTGCTGCTTGTAAAAAATTAGAGCGTGGAAATTGGTTCTTTCTGGAGGGACGCCAGTGTTGCATTTACCCTGCACCTTAAAATCCAAATGCAATTATCCTCTCACCTTGAAGGAGAGCCCTTTTTTTCAAGGACTTTACATTTCTTTACATACCTACGGTGAGCGACTGTCAGGTAATTGAATGAACCCTGAATGAATTCAAAGGAGACCATTCATGGACCATCGGCAACTTTCCTCACGTCGCCCCTCTGCTGGGTTCACTCGTCAGATTGGTTTGTAGTAGAAAAGGATGAATTACCTGCAAATTGTTGGAGCTGTGATTGCTCCACCTCCTGCTGGGGAGTCACTGTAAAGGGTGATACACTTCAACACAGACACAACACCTCTTTATTGTTTCCTGGTGCTCATTAGCAATTTAATCATGGGAAATCTCCCAGCAGGCCAGTCAGCAAACAGACACTCTTACTTCAGTGATCGCTCTCCATTGACTTTGTGGCGTAACGATAGTTTGATCCCAACAAATGGAGATAACTTGTCTGCTCTGAATGTTGGACTAACCTGGCTTTTACTCACATTATCATTTATCAAATGTTACTATCACCATTTCAGTCCAGAATCTCGTCACTACATATCGCAAAAATTTCCCATTTCTACACACTGTACTTAACATGACTGGGAAATTATCACCTCAGAACGTCCCTGAAAGTTCCAGAAAATATCCACACCTCATTCAGGTGTGCTCCCTGTTTAAATGCCACCTCCTGAGTTTTTTGAACACTGGTAACTCTGGTGTGACGTCATTTTCAGCTTGGACTTCTGACTTCCGAGTAGGACTGGGCGATTATATGATCGTGATAAATGATCGTGATAAATTTCAGTCCGATCACAGTGATCAGCTGTGAGCTTACTTGCTTGCTCAAACATGGCGAAAATGTGCATCACAACAGCCAATCAGAGTTGAGCTTTTCCTGCTCACTTCTGTAAGTTGCTGGACAAGTAAACAGAGTAACTGAACGTGGAGCCGAGGGCAGTAAAATAGATGTCAGCCATGACTTTGAGTCATCCTCCAAAGATGTTATTGTTGAGAAGAAAAATTATTTAACATCTTATTTAGTATTTATCTACTTAATTTTTAGTTTTTAGTACAGATGCTTTAAAGCTGGCAGTTTAAAAAAAAATCGGGATAATAATTGAGATCGGACAATATGACGAAGTATATCGTGATCATCTTTTTGGCCAAATCGCCCAGTTCTACTTCCGAGGTAACTGAAACGCAGCAATAACTGCATGAAGTCAGGAGCCAATGTGTGACCGCAGCAGGTAAAAGTGAGAAAATTCACATGTAGAGATAGAAACAGCGAAGTTATCACCATCACGAAATGCGTCTCCCCTATTGCTGCTCTTCCCCTGATTTAAACCAAATGCTGTATGTTGAGTTATGAAATTACATCCACTATGGAAATCTCCTGTCAGGAGGTGCGTACATGAACAGCAAGTTTCTGAAAATATGAGGGTCTGCGACTACAGGAAATGTCAAGAAAGTGTCAGGAGATCTATTCAAAGGAGGATCTATTTTGCAAGAAAATAGAAGTAACAGAAAGAAAACACGAATGACCTTTTTAAAGGGGCAAAAACACTGTCTTTTTTAGGTAGTTACAGCATCAGTAGTTTTTTATTATTTTAACTGTCCCTGTTACACTGATTTTTCTCCTACCTCGGCATAGTTTTGTTTTCTCTGTATTTGTCTGATGTATTCTGTCTCTGTTGGGCATCACAGTTTAAGGAAACTAGGTAGGAGTGTGTGGCGTACGACTTGAAGCCGCTTCATTGTCGTGGTCCCACATGAGTCAAAGGGTAGAGGTCAGAGGTCAGTCTGTGGTGCTCTGGTGTCAAGGTGTGCAGTGCAGGCTCAAAGAAACGGACATCTGGGGCCACAACCCCCCACTTCTGTCTGTAACACACAACGCAAAACCCTCCCCCCTGCCACACCCCAGGAGTACCCCAACACCCCCAGGCTGGAATAATTTCCTACTGGCAAAGAAAGGAGTAGCATCTGGCCGGGTATAAACCGCAGACAGTGGCATGTGTCGGCACTTTATGCGTTACTGGCCATGCATAATGCATCGCTGCATTCCAGAGATGTCTCAGCAAAATTGTCTCATGATTGAATGGTGGGTTGAAATCAGTGAATGCTGGATGTTAAGCTCGGTTTCCTGTTTTTCTTTGCTTCATGTGTCGAGTAAAAATAAAGGTGAAGAAAAGTCCACGCCCTGTCGGACTTTATTGCCTTTTTTTTTTTGTCTTTTCAAACATGCTTTGTTTTGAAGTAGGAGCAATAACTTCTTTTATGAAAACTGTACAGGAAATCCAGCGAGATTCACAAGATGCTGCACCCGTTTCTGCTCTCTGCTGAGAGTGCAGGAAGCCTACTGATGCGCTGCTGCAGTGCTGATATTGACAGCTTATTTGATGTTTTGAAAAGGTTCCCAGTGTTGTGCGGCTGAGAGCAGGGAGCTGGAAGGGAATGGAGCGTGGAATCAAACTACATACAGTACATTCTGTTACGGCGCAGGGATATCACTGTGTGACACAGCTACACAGAGGAGCAGCTCTCTTTCTTTTTCAACTTCAATCTTCAATACAGTGTGTCAGTCATCATCTGATACGAGGCGACAGTTTTGCATGGCAGGATGTTGAATAACAGGAACTCAATTTGTAGTCACTGGATTTTAACAGTGTCCTGCCATCTGCTCACTGTTGCATTTGTTTAGTGTTTGCATGGAGAGAAATAAGACCCAACACCGATCTATCGCCTGGGGGTGTAAACTGTCTTTGTGGTTCGATGTCTGTGAATATGTCTGTGTGTGTGTTTATTGCTTGTGTGGGAGGTTCAGTTATATAAATGAGACAAAGTGTATCTTCATGAAGCTTCAAATTACAGACGTTCTGAAGCGAAGAATTTCCTTCCTGTTGACAGCAAATCGAATACTGACGAGCTCACGAGTCTAAAGGTGAGAAAAAAAGTTGAGCGCAATTTATTACATAGGGCATCTGCTTGAACAATTTTGGCTAATCTTAGCAGAGCTAGCACCCCCAGCTGTTGATCGTCCTTTCAGGTTAAACACCAAAATCAATAGTTATTAATATTTTTATTCTTTAAGGCCTGAAATTTGTGTTGTTTTATGTGTCTGAACTGCAGCACAGACATCAGTCACAAGCATAATCAGATGACGGGTGCATTCTCATGGCAGTACTTTGATTTAGAAAATGGGGATTGAAGGGATATTCCGGCGTAAAATTAAGTTAGGGTCAAACACACCGTAACAGTTCTCTAGTTATACCAACTTTAGTAACGACCGCAGGATAGTGATACAGAGAGCTACGTGCTCAACCAAAAAGTCTCTTTGCTTTATAAATCAGGCAAAGCTAAAAAGATGTTTGGTGGCTAGTACTATGGCTGGAACCCTATATGTACTGTTGATGAAGTTAGGTGCTGTTCTGAGCATTATTTGTGGCTATAAAGTGGCTTTTGGGTGGAGCGCGTGGCTCTCTGTATTGCTGTTGTGCAGTCGTTAAGAATAACTGGAGAAGCAAGTGGTCGGCAACATTAATCTCTCGAAGGGGTGTCTAACTCTGTGTTATGCTGTGTTTGACCCTAAATTAATTTTATGCCAGAATATCCCTTTAATTCAACTGTAGCCTGTGTCTGGTTAACTCTTTAACAAACACAGATCCGTGGATGTTAACCTTCTTGGTGTAACAAAGCAACCCTCGTAAACCAGTTGACATTGTTTACCGTCACTTATTTCCCTCGTTTACCTGTGTTTAATTTACTGAGCCCAATTTTGACTTTTTGAAAATCATTTTCTCACCTTCTCACCTAAATTTAAATTTGTGTTTTTACAACAACCAAATTAGTGGTTTCAGAACATCCGCGGTTTTAATGCTTTTCTGTCATCTTAGCTTATTTACATCAGGGTAGTAGAGCATTGAAGCATTATGGCAGGAGATTCAGGACCCCAGCAGAGACATAAGAAATGACAGGATTTGATACACTTTATTATCTCCTATTTTCATTCAAGCTCATTTTTCACTTTCAAACACAGTGTCAGTGTATTTTCCTACCTCTATATTGGTTTTCGTCAGACTTACAAACACCCTCAACCACATCCTCTAAAATAACCATGTACTAATCTTTACAGCTTTTATAAGAAATCTAAACAGAAGCTCAAAATTAAACTGCTGTGTTTTAATTTATTGCAGACCATAACAAACATGATATGCCTCATAAATTCCTAAGTATACATCACACGGTGGGAAATACAATGCTAAGCAGCCTGGACCTTCAGACCTCCATTCACCCTCCAAAAGAGGGTAAAAAACCCACCACATGACAATAGACACACTCCCACAGACCCACATACTCACTACCCTAACCTCAACCCCCTCCCCACCCCCTCACCCGTCACCCCAAATTCCCCCTCCCCCTCCCCGGTAATTGTGTGCATTGACGCTTTCCAGAGGCGCGATCTCTGCGCTGTCGCTGTCCACCAGCTCTTCAGCGAGCAGCGTTGACTGCTGTGGCAGAGAAGGAAAGGCAGCCCCGGTCTGTTTTGTTCCACCCTCAGATGGAGACTGTCTGCCACTGTCATGCATTAAAGTAACCCAGACCCTCTGATGCAAACACTATCTCTCCAGCGTTTGCAGCGTCTTGGAGTGTTTATCAAGCAAGAGAAGAGAGAGACGCAGACAGAGAGAGAGAGAGAGGGACCGAAAGAGGGAGTGTAAGAGAGAAGGAGCATGACCGGGGGAGCGAGGAGGGAGGAGATGACAGACTAGTCGCACTGGATGATCAAATTCTGTTTTCTTTTTTCATCTGTCATGCAAACCAGTGGGGACTCTCCCAGTAGCAAGTGTGTGATTGAGGCTGGTTCTCCTCTACATACCTGCAGGATCTTCCCTCTCAGATTATGGTAAGGTTCACGATGCAGACAGCCTGTGTGTGTGGACTGCTGTGTTGACTGCTGGCATCTCACAATGTCAACACCTTTTTCCCCCCTTGCCGTAGCGATCAGATGTGTTTTGATATTTGCTCAGCGCAGTGGATACAGACTCCAGTACTCTGCATGCTATTTTTACTCGAATCTCAACTGGGAGGTGAATAATTCAGTGTTTTCATGATGCAGTGAGTGGGTTTCTGCTGTGCCTTCTTTTGAGTTAAAACCCACACAGTTCACTTGGATACAGTTTGGCTTCGTAGGCTTTTGATTTACTACGTTTGAAGAGAAAAGGGCAGTATTTCTCATGATTTCGGTGGACTGTGCTTTTTTTTTGTTTACTGTAGCTGTTGTGGTTCAAATTCAGCCAATTTCAAAATCTGGTAAACTTGAACCATGCCTTATAAAATACTTGTAAGTTCCGAGCTATGACACCTGGATAGTCACCTGAAGCATCTGGTTTGCCATTTTGGTTGATTTTCTGAAGATTTTTGTTGATAGTTGCTTTAATTTTGCGCTCATTGTAAAAGATATGAGCTAAGTTTGGTGCACCAGTACAGTCGTAGAATGTTCCATGTTGCCTTAACAAACACAGACCTATTTAAACCATTTTATTGCTGACTTTCACACTTTTCCTTGTCAGAGTTCGTTCATAATTGCATAATTCCTGCTCTTACAGCCAACATTTGGATGCAGATTTCTTGTTTTGATTAGCTTTGTTTAAATTCTCATCAGACATAACTAACAGTGGCTTCTCTAACTTGTGGTGCGTACTGATCAGACAAAGATGAATAGTTTTGGCATCATCGGCGGCAGGACCGGTTTAAAATGTACGGAGTGATTTAAAGCCACATCCGAGATCAAAAGAGCAGCACCGTGTCTACTGAGCTTTTAAATGTGGAAAAAGTTTGTCCTCCCTCGGCTGGCTGTTGTCAGGAGTTCATAAATCTCTCTTGAGAGGAGAAGGAGTGGTGTTGCCGTCCCTGCTTTTTTTACTTTCAGGTCTTCTTTTAGCAATCCCACAAGTTTCTCTCCGTAAACTCGAGCTCTGAAACGCTCCCATGCTAGTTGAATCGTTTGCGAGCGGTGCATTCAGGTAGATCGATGCTCGCTGATGTTTCTTTTTAAGTGCTACTGTTTCTCTCAGAAGAGCACAGTTCTTCTAGTTCTGAGTGGGTCTCTATCTCCTCTGTGCAGACACTGTTGCAAATAGCTCTGCTGCAAATGCGCAGTGTTGTTTGCATGTAGGAGGAGGCAGGAGTTACACTTTGGCCTTGAGGGTGAGAAACTCTGCATACACCATCAAGACAGAGGAGATGTTTTCTCGGTAGATTACCAAGAAGTTGTCATACTTGGGTGGGTAGATTGTCGCATTGTGTGTCAAACGGAGTGTTGTGCAGTGAAATGTCATCTGAAAGCTGACTTATTGTCCCCCTAGAGAAAACTGCAGAGACGTTATGTACATTACATTCTTCTGTACAGCGATCTATGCCTCTTATCTCAACAGAGAAGACTTAAGTGGATAGCTTTGCACCTGTAATCCATAATGCATCACTTAATTCATAGTTTTTCTAAAGCTTAACGTCATGTTGTAGGCTGGGAGATCAGAGGAAATGGAACTAAAGTGATTACCGGAGATTACTTGGGTGTATACAGCTAATGCATGTTTCTGTACCAAACAGACACATGGACAAGCTCCGTTAGCTGCTATTAGGCCAGGAAATGAATGAAGCAGGTGAGCAGTGGAGCCACAACAACGGTAATGATGGTTATTTTTCCATAAATTAGGTTAATCTATTGAAAAGGAGAAGGAAAGCAGGAACATCAGCAGGCAGACTGACGCTCTCCGTGCCTCCGGGGCTGGTGGCTGTCTGTCTGTATTTGATGTTGCTGATGGGATTGGGTGGAGTTCAGGGCCTTCCTTCACCCCTCTGGTTCCCTGCAGTACAGACTGACAGCTATAAAACCATTAAGTCGTCTTTAGTTAATCAGTTTTGAGTTATTAACTTCTGCAGACATGATTCAGAGGTGCAACATATGATTTGAGCAGCTTTTCGTTCCTGCTTCAGGTCCATTAAGTGGACTCGACATTGTGTGAAATTCTGTCCAACCTTGATCTGATTTAAGAGCCTAAATCCCACTCTTGAAAGTCACATCTGTGGGCTGCCAGCGCGTTAACACATTAGAGAGTATAATCTAGGAAAGTAATGTGCTGCTATCGTAATCGTTTAAAGACAGATAATCTGAAGGCTTTTGGAGATTGGTCTTCACTCAGCGGGACACAGGATACACAGGACTCGTCTCGGCACCTCATTAAAATTTAAAAAATCAGGATGCTGACAGTGAACATCTGCTGATTTATGTGCATCCCCAAACGTGTATCACTATCAGGGGCGGGTTCATTGATTCCTGTGAATGACTTCTTTTGTCAAAATTTTTTTCTATGCTGCCTGAGAAGCAGCTGCACTCATCCCAAACTATCATCCTTGCTCCTTAATCACAAACAATGCATTCTTAATCTGTGCTTTGGATTCACACTGTCTCCTCACCACCCTGAGGATTTCTTGGTGCACTCCTATTTATGCTAGCTGGCTGGCTGGCTGGCTGGCTGGCTGGCTGGTTGGCTGCCTCGGTAACTATGGTAACAGTATCCCCCAGAAAGTTAAAGGAGACCTAGGCCTTGCTCGGCTAATTGTGAGCAAGTGAAGCATGTCAGCAAAGTTCACTACAGTCCCAGTCTGGATGACGGCCTGCAAACAAGATTTCTCCCTTTTTTGGGGGGTTTGTGCTTATGTGCAGTTTACGTCACAATAGAAGTGATTAGCTCTCTGCTTTTGTTTCTCAGCAGAGCAGAGAATTGTCTAGTTGTCTGACCTACATACAGTTAGATGTCAAACAAAAGAATGTGCTTATGATTAAAAACGTTTACAAACTTTGGGTCAAATCCCCGTCACAAGATGTATTATATGATATAGGATGTCTTTAACGCCTATGTTTTATTAATACTAATCTGCTTGCTTATATATCATTGTTTAAAGATCCTGTTGGGAGTTTTTAGCCAGTCATGCAACAGACTCAAATAAATGTTCATGTCTGTGTGTTTATTAGAAAAGCAAACTGCACCATCACTCAGTGCATTTACATGCACAGTTTAATCGGACTAAGCTCATAATTTGTTTTTTTTTTCGCTGAATTGGACGTGTACGTGTCCTACTCCCCAAAACTAGGGGGCGATGGTGGCAGCGTGGTTTCCTGACCTTTTTAAAAGATGTCTCTGTTCCTCGTTTTGCGACTGTCTATATGCTTTAAAATGTCCATTTCTGTCAGGATGGAAAGCATTCCGGCACTCTCCTCGTCGTTCCAAAAGTGGACATTCTTTCGTGCTTCAGCCATGTTGCAGTTGCCTCTGAGACGGAAGTTCTTTAAAAGATGGTGCCACTTTTTCTCTGGTGTTTTTGTTCCGGGGTTACGGAGGCATGGCGCACTAAGGTGTTTACATGCACTTAAGCTGTCCGGTCTTAATCGGAGTAAGGCAATAATTCTGTTTTCTCAAGTGTCATGTAAACATACTGAGTAAAGAGCCTTATGAGTTTTTCTCATTGTTTATTTGCCTTTTGTTTTCCAAAAGGCTGTACTGTATCACTAACACTGAGTAGGCGTCAGATAAAAACGGTGCAGAAATGCCTTTTATCACATTTACTATGAGACAGTCCCAGAGTTAATGATAGGATTTTTCCTTACAAACCTGCAGGAGTACATGCTTGATGCTCTCACCAGCTCTTCTGCTGTTGCCTGGATTGCAGGACAGGATGTTGCTCCACTGGTAGCTCTGCACTTGTGCCTTGTCACTGATAATATATCTTACTCCCAAGTTCTGTTGGATGAAAACCAATGTTATTGCCACATTGTCAACAGGCAGAGCTGAAATGTTCCTGACTTCTTTCTCATATTGATTTATGTGGCATGTACCATCAAGTCGACCCCACTTTGGAACAAATTACTGTCACAAGGTTTTGACCAATCAGAATCGAGTATTTGACAAAGCTTGGTAATAAGTTACTCTGATGTTTTAGTCATTTTTCCATGAGGTATGTATTAAATTGTCCAAGTGTGAATGATTTACTGTGGACTTAGTGTCATTTTTTTCCCATTTTTACAGACTGGTGAGAATTTTTCCCTGGGCCTCTTCCTCAACCGTTTCCAACTGTGTGACGAAAAGTGAAAAGCAGATTTAATGAATCAGTATTCGCTGGCCGACGCCATGACAGACAAGTAAGTGATTGATCTATTTGGAATCGTGTGTGTGTGTGTGTGTGTGTGTGTGTGTGTGTGTGTGTGTGTGTGTGTGTGTGTGTGTGTGTGTGTGTGTGTGTGTGTGTGTGTGTGTGTGTGTGTGTGTGTGAGAGAGCCCACTGTACCCTGGCCTTTTGTTTAGTGTGAAGTAAGGAGATGATGTGATTACACTTCTGTCGCTCCTGGAAGCGTTTGGAGGAGCATTGTAGGGGTTTACTGATTGCACAGAGAGAAGTGTGTTGTGTTGGGGGGACGGGTGGGGTTTGGTATAAAGACAGTCTGTTTTGCCCCCTGAAGACGTATGACATTTGCATCAGGCCTGATTTGCATTCTTGTTCACTGTGCTGGTATGTTGCTGCTGTTAGCTGCTCTTTATTTCCCTGACAAAACAGTCATGTAAAGGGTTTTTTTCAGCCTTTGCCGTGAACCCTCTCCCTCTGCTCCTTCTCTGTAGACTCCCCCCTTTTTTTTTTATTTACGTTCCCTCTTAATTTTTTTCCCCTTCCCCCTTTTCATTTCTCCATGCACCCTATCTCTCTTTGTTTCTTTTGTCAACCCACCATTGTCTCTTGGTTTCTTTTGAACGTTATCTATAAGAGATGGAGAATTCGGGGTGCAGTTAGCAAAATAATCTGCCGTCAGCGCTCATAATAAGCGGAATAAGCGGTGCAAGCAAGTCAGCTGAAAGGGATAGGTGCAAAAGCGGTCAAGTCCAGGCCTTTTATGGGCTTAAAAAAAAGTTTGGCTTGGAACAAAACAAAAGGAACTGGTTGTTTTCAGGCTTCTGTGCTGAATCATGGGTGATCACGAATGCTTGTGCAGGACTTGGTGATGGTTTCTATGCGTTTGGTAAGCACTGTGAGGAAACGAGAAGGATGTGATTCAGCTCTTGAATGCACTTAGTCAACCTCCGTCATCTCTCCTCTTATTGCTAATGCACCTGTCTACCATTGTGAAGCCAGAGAAAGGGGAGCAAAGGCAGAAAGCCTGGTGAGTCACTCATTCTGTCTCTGAATCAGGCCTCAGGGCAGCTCTCTTTGCTAACATTAGCACTCTATAATGTCAGCATAAAATACTGTGCATCTAGTTGGTTAGCAGGGCCATATAATGCTATTTTTGCCTGGAGGGGAATTTCTCTTGCAAATTAGAAGGTTGCACCACTTCAGCCATTCCCTTTAAACATGCATTGCAATTTTTACAGCGCCAGACATTAAATCTTGGAGGTTTTTTCAAGTGTTTTGGATGCAGCATAAAAGAAAAACAAGGGAAAATGTTCTTTGATTTGAGGACAAGATGCAGCCGTGTTTTTTTTTGCTGCACCAAATCAAAGTGAGCTCGAAGAGAAAGTTTCTAAGTAAGTGATGATGTTGTTGACAAGCTGTCCCTTTTGGATGAAAGGTCTCCCGGCAACCAGAAAGAGGGGCCAAAGGGGGGGAAGGCGGTACTTTATTGTGCGTCTGATGCTAGTCCATGTTGTAGGATGATTGTTCGCTGGGGGAGAATGATAAATGTTACGCCAAAAGGGAAGTGAGGGGAAGAGTTGGAGGACGTGCCCCCCGATGGTGACGGCGAACAAAGCCTCCCTCAACATGGGACTACTTAAGATTCATACAATGGCAGAAGAAGACGGCTTCTTATTTTCTCGCTAACACACACACACTCACACAAATACCCCTCCTTCTCTCTCTCTAGCTTGGTCATGAGCAAACATTTACACATAGCGGGATATCAGTGGACATTCCTGTAGATTCATGCATTCCACTCGCTTTTCCCAGAAACATGCAACTCTGCAAAAACATCCAAAGCAAGAGGAGCCCTTTAAATTTCACATTTCCCCAAAAAGTCATGTGACCGCTAAACAATCAGCTTTCACATTTGTTTCTAAAGTTGTTTTGCGTCTGTTTATTTCATGCAGATGTTGCTTTTGACTTAGGAGTTGATAATCCTTCTGTACCAGGATGCTCAGAGGAAAGTTTCCAAAGCCAGATTTGCTCTGTGGTGCTTGTAGTCAGGGATTCTTTCTGTTCAAATTCAAGCCTGCGTAATCCTTTTGAATGCACTGCTTTATGTGTACATGTGTGCAAAGTACAGAGTCCATGCGCTCTCGGTATAGGATTTAAATGAGCAGGGTTTCACTTAGTTCTGTTTACTCCAGGGTTCCTTGTATTGCATCATGTAGAAGAAAAAAAAAAAAAGTAGGGCAGACGTTTAACGCTCCAGATTTACAGAATGAAAATATAACTTTCAATCACCAAAAATTCAGTCAAAACATTCGTCCCTGAATCATTAAACAGCCTGGAACAGAAAGCTGTCAGAGTCTGTGTGACTTGGCAGAGTAAGTAAAAGCTCAACCATACCATACGTCCACGGTTCTTTATGCAACCGTTCCCTCCTTGTTTTTCCAGAGGAGAATCCTCCTCCCACTCCTTCCTCCTCGTTCTTCTTTTGTCCTCTCTCTCTCTCTCTCTTCTCCGTTCAAGCACTGTATGAATTTGCACGCTCAAATATCCTCTCTCATAGCAAACCCTCTATTTTCCTGCTCTTTCTGTGTCCCTCTCATTTTTCCTTCCCTCCCCCACCTGTGGTGGAGCTCGCTGACAGGCCTGTCAGAGGTTGGGATGTCGGTAGATGGACTGTGAGGGTGGCTGCAGCGATGAGTGTGTGTGTGTGTGTGAGGTGGGGTCGGGGGGCTTTTACTGGAATGACCACACCGTCATACAGATGAGAGGCCTCTTCCCAGTCCTCTGTATATGTGTTTGTGTGTATGTGTGTGCATCAGTCAAGGTCCCTCGTGGGTCTTTGTTCATGTCACTCTCAGGGGAGCGAGGTTTAAGAAGTATTATCAGAGGCTGGTTAAGAGCTTCCTCGCTGTCACTTACAGGAAGCTGCAGCATGTATGGTGGTTACAGATGTGTGTAATTCCCAAGTGATTTGGTCAGGATGGAGAGAGTAGACATTTGACACGATAGGTTTGTTACATGTTTAACAGAGAATAAAGCTGGCTAGATAACATGTTTTTCTCTCTCTTTCAGTGCTCTCATGGTTTTGAACTTGACTACAGAAGTCACCCCCATCCCCTTAATATGAAACGAATGTAAAAGGCTCTAAAAGCCAGGCAATCCCCAAAATGGTCAAAATTTTAAAAATAAAAATAACGTTTTTACTGCAGAGTTAAAGCTCCTGTGAGGAGTTTTTGGACATTTTTGAAATAGACTTAAAATTTACACCGATGTCTGCTTATGATATCCAAAAGCAAACGAAACCATCAGCAACAAGACTATAGATTTTTTTATATCTTAATTTCTAATGCAGGAACATTTATGTGTTGTGTTGACAAAAAGTGCAAAAATCTTTGGGCTTTGTGGTGGCTAAGAAAAAAGTGCTGAGTTAGAGTCTCTCGAAATTAGCATTACGTGGTCGACTCACCTCTGTCTGCAGAAGAGTGTAGCCTAGCCTACGTGCCTGTCCTCCAGGCAGTTTTTCATCAAAGGAGAACTGACCAGCATCTATTGCAGCTCGCACAGTTTTGAGTGTAACTCATACAGTCCCCCTTGAAAGATGCCAAAATACATCGTAACACATCGTGATATTAGCATTGATAATTATTTCTTCATGGAAATGTAATCAGACAGAGAAACAATGATTATTACTTCAGGGAAATGTAAAAGTAATGATTACAAATGTTCTTCATTGAGCTGCATCCCCCCGCTGCAGTAATGGACTAGTCCGAGATCTCGCTACAAACAAACGGCTGTTGGAAGAGAGTAGGTGAGTTGTGTTTAGTCGTCTTTGCTAAAGAAATTAGGCAAAGCTAAATGTTTGGTGGCTAGTGCTATGGCTAGGACCCAATATGTATGATTGATGAAGTTAGGTGCTGTTCTGAGCATTATTTGTGGCTATAGAGTGGCACTTTGGTTGAGGTTTGTTTATGGCTCCTCAGACCACTGTGTATTGCTATCGTGAAGTCTTTACTGAAGTTGGTCTAACTCAGTGTTACGGTATGTTTGCCACCTGGACTGTGGCCCAAAAAAGATATATTAAAACTCATTAAAAACTTTGTGCCCGTGTTTTAACCAAGCCTTCACTTTGAACAAACTTTAAGAAGCAAAAGCCGACAAAACAAGTCAGAGTAGTGCGCCTGTTTATCTGCTGTTCATACTTTAATCGGGGGACTTCCCGATGGTTTAGACTGGGTTCAAAATGGCTGATGTAAGAGATAAGTATCTAGTTTGGAGACTAGAGCTGTAAGTCATGAGACTCTGATGTTAACTCAAGCTCAGTTCTTTTTGCAGCTCCGGGGAAAATCAGGTGTCACAGTGGAGAGAGTTGAATAGCCATCCTGTCAGTATGTTTACCAAAGGCTGCGTTTCTGAAGTAGGTCTATTAATAAATTTGTTCTGGCTTGAAGAGTCTCCAAAGGACCAGCTTTGCCTGGTCCTCATTCAAGTCCACTCATCAATTAAAAAAAAACCCAGACCCGTGACATTCCCACTTCCTCTCCAGACCACGGTGTCACCGAGGGCGTAGTTTAGGGGGCACGGCTGGGCTCGACACCCACTCAGGACGTCCCGAATTGAGACATGTAAAGGCGTGGTGTCACTGGTGTCACAGGGATTCGTGGGTGCATAGTAAAAAGTCTGTATCAGCTGTCACTGGGTTTTTGTGGGAGCAGAGGGAAGCCAAGTCAAAGTGTTTCCTAAGGATGTCGAGGGGGATGCACCCTTTGGCCCCCGACTCATCAATCTTGGGCGACTGTCATCTCCCCCCCCCGCAGTTCATTGATGCTGTCGGAGGAGGCAGAAGTCGTCGCGTCGTGTATTTGTGCTTGCTTGCATTTCTGCCTTTTTTTTCTTTTATTCATTTGGGTGTCTGGATGAGGGAGTGCAGTGAGACGGTAAAGCAATCTTAACCCCCGACATATACTGTATATGAAACTGTGTTCCCAATTTAATAAAAGCGAAGCCACAGAGAAGACAAGAGCGCACAGTGTTCATGCATCCCCAAAGCTTTTTGTCTTAAGATTATCTGTTGTAAGTGAACTACCGTGTTTCTAGACTGCAGTGTATCATCTCTGCTTACCATAATCTGATTATTCTTTTATACAGTAGAGCAGGGGGTCTGCATTACTATAGCTTACCCTACCAAAGCAAATGCTAATGAATCTGGATATTTGGGTGACCTCAATTCGATGTCTAAAGACTTGCCTTCTTGTCCTGGGACAGTATTTGAGAGTTTTCTGTAATTATGTGACTTTAATTAATTCTCATGTGTGTATTTTCATTTACTTAAAGATGATAAGTAAGTCTCTGCTGGGTTACTAGTAGAAGTTGTCCACGAATCACAAACTGGACCATTGTCAAAGTCGAGTCAAATATGTAAGCCCATGTTTTCCACTCAAACAGAGCTGGATTGTGGGGGAATGTGGGAATAAAGCTTGTGTACTTGTGCAGGGAGAATGTATTCAGCCTTGTTGTAAAGGGAGGCAGTCTAAGGGAACAGACTGGAAAGTGTTGTGAATGGAGGCCCAACCATCTGTCACGATGGCAATAAGAAGATTTCTGCTTTTCTTTAGACTTATGCGCTCTTATTCTATGAACCAAAAGAAGAAAAAGAAGAAAGCTGAAGGGTTTTTTTTTTCCAGCTGACTGTTCTGTAGCTGCTTATGCAGATCTTTCCAGAAAGTCTTTGTTCTCACATTGATTCATTAGTGATGCAGAAGCCGGGTGCTGACACCGCACAAAATTTTAAAGGCCCTGTAACCCAGATTTTGATTTAACTTTGCCTTGTTTTGTTAGGGATGTGGTCTGCCATGACATTAGGGATTTTCTGTTTTTACAGGTTTTTGCTTTTGGACTCTGCGTCCCAAGCAAAGTTTTAACCAAAATGGTCTGATGCAGCCCTGACGAAGCACATCATCGGAGTTTCCCCTCAGTAAATGAAAACTTAGCTTGTTTTTTTTTCACCATGCCAGTTTTACGGCTCTTGTGATAAGCCGGCTAGACGAGGTGATCCTCTGACAGTTGATGTGGCTCTCGTGACAGATTAAAGTTTTTACTCATCCAGTGAAATATCCCAACATCTACATGGATTGGCACAACTTTTGCTACGGATGTTAATGGTTCCCAAAAATAAAAAACAAATCCCAGTGATTTAGGTGATCCCCTGATTTTCACTGTTGCATCACCACCAGCTTAATATTTGTGGTTTAGGGTGAAATGTTAAATGGTCTAAATGAAGCGCATGTTTGTGTTCCCCTCAGGCCTGTTGTTACAACTTAAGACATATCTAGTGTCGTCATCAGGTCAAGATTTTTGAAAGTACAGATGAGTGAGGGGCAGGAAAGTGTTTTGCAACTGTTTTGTAATAGTTCAAGTGACGTCAAAGAAAAGATGGCCAAGAAAGATGAGACAGAGTACTGGTTAACAAGTTAACAGGCCACTGATCCTTTCTTTTTTGTAGTTGTATCATACAGTGGCAGTTATAAAGTTATGCAAATCTCCAAGCTGTTTAAATTTTAAAACGGGCAAAAGTCTAAAATGTCGAAAAGCCGAAACAACCACGCTGACTGCTCAGTTTTACTTGAGAGAAGTTAAAAAGGACAAGCGTACGAAAACATTTCTTTCTATCAGTTACCTAAAACATGATTAGCTGATACCAAGAAGAACTGGTGGATGCAGATGTTGTGGAAAAACTTCAGATGAATTGGATTTGTAGTAGAATTATTCAGATGACAACTGGTTTACCCAAATGGAAAATCATGTTATGCTTGTATTGGGAAAGATATCGAAGCTCAGTGTTTAATTGAGAAAACTGTTTGTATAAAAACACAAATTGCTTTTTTTGGGGGGGGCACATTCCTCAACATTTCAGTGTCAAATTAATCATTTTCTTAACTGTGCAACTTGTTCTTAAAATCAAAGTTGGGCAGATTTAAGGATTGGCTATAGCCGACCTCTCTTGGGATTAACCTACATAGAGCAGACGTAATTCAACAGGGCTGAAGGGAGAGTGCTTTCTCTGTATTTACATCTGGTTGATCCTCAGACACGGCTGCTCGCGGTCTTACGTTTCTGCTCTAATATCTCAGGCGGGGCTGAAAACACAGCCGGACCCCTGAAGTAGAAGACTAGTGGAAGAGGAAATGAAACAGCAGCTGCGACACAGTCCTCAGGTTACTCACAGAAGATAATGTTTATCATTTGGCTGCTCTCCATCCATGTGTCCTTGATTATAAATAGTTAGCACGGCAGACTGACTGACATCATATGATATCAGGGGCTTTGAAGACATCAGATTTAAATCAGTGTAATTATTAAATCCATTTGAACTCATTTGAACGTGTGTGTGTGCGAGTGGATGGATGAAATATGTGTCTTAATGTTTGTGTAAATGCTCTTTAATGGTTGATTTGTTGTGCATCATGTGTTTTCACTGATTCATCATTCTGTCTGCATAACCCTGGTCGAGACAACTAACTACATATTCACACTCTCCACATGCACACACTCATACACACTGCCTCCTACCCCCTTGCAGGCAAACACACACTCTACATAACTGTCTTGTCTGATCTTTCTGTCTTCTCCCCCCCTCCCTAGCTTGAGGATTTTATAATTCTCTCCAGAGGAAGAGCGTCGCATCTTGTAAGGAGCCACAGGTCAGAAACTCTACTCCTCTCACTCCCTTCCCCTCCTTATTTTTGCTGTGCAGAGCGATACCGAGCCGCTCAATGGCCTTGCATGCTTCGACACGAATGCTGCATGCTTCCCCAACCCCCCCCTTGTAACCACCTCGGGGCTTTGATGCTTTGTTTTACTCCCCCCCTGCATGACCACACCTGGGCAACACAACTTTGTCTGATTCTGCTTGGCATTTGGTGCTTGTGGTGCAATTTTTTTTTTTTTCGGATGTTCTTTTTTATCCAACATTTTGCCGCTTGTTATGGTTTTACGTTGGCTCTTCAAGTTTGAACCGATCCGACAGTCGGTGTTATCTCATTTAGAGTCTAACACGCTGTACACATACGCAGCTGCTTACCTCCTCTGGCCTTGCAGGCGGCCAACTTTGCTTTGTGCCTTTTCTTTGCCCCTGACTGTTTTTTTTTACGATCGTAGCTCAGCAACTGTAACGAGACACAACAGCAGCTTGCCCAAAAATTCTCCAAAGCCAAAGAGTGTAAAAGAAACTTTTATCTCAGTTAGTTTTAAAGGTGTTTCTTGGAGTAGCTTTTATACACCGACCAGTCACAACATATGAGCACCTGAGTAATTTGATGCAAACCAATCCAAGTCGACAAAAACTGATAATTTAGAGGATTTACCACATTTTCAATCACTTCACTGACGTACAAAAGACCAGCAATAACTTCCTTCAACGTTGGACTGAACGGCCTAATCTGATTAGACTATCAAAATTTGGGGGCAGATAAAGCCAGATTGGATTTCTGCCAGTGACTTATCTTCAGTGGTGAGCTAACATTATTACTTCCAATGCCAAGAAGTATACAGGGAAGTAATTCTTCAGGATGTGATGTGGTTTATTCAGAAGTCTTGGATTTCCAGTCTGAGAGGTCAGCCAATTAAACTTTAAAATCAATGACGATGTGAGATAATTTACAGTTTGAAAAACACTAAACCAAACCAAAAACTACAACTAATTGACAAAGACTGTATTAAACCTTTGGGCTTACTGTATTGTTGCATCTCATTTATGGCTCAATGATGCTCTATGTTTGATATACATATGGATATTGGTTCAATATCACTGAAATTACTCCAGAAACACAATAATATGTGTAAAAAAATGTAGAATTCTGTCTTTGAATCATCAAGTATTTCAAGAGCGTCACAGACCCTGCTGCCAAATTTCCTTGTTCTTCGATTAATCTCCTTTTTCATTGCCATGTTTTTGGTTGTCATGAAGTTTTGACTCTTTTCCTTCTTTTTTTTTGCCAAAACTTTTGAGTCCAAGTAGCACCATTTAGTAGATACATTGCTTAATATCCACTTTAATGTAAAGGCAACATAGACGTATGAGGACTGTGACGATGACACGATTTAAGTCGTACAGCTCTATTTCTTACAAAGCGTCATCTGACTGGATGAAATTTTGATATTCACCACACCCTGCTCTGCATTCTTTACATTTCCCTGCTTTTATATCCTTTTGCCAAAGACATCCCTGAGTAAGTTAACTAAGTTTGCTCCATGTGTTGTTACGGTAACTACAGATCTCCCTCCCTCAGCTGTTTTGTTCACTCAAGTCTAAAATCAAAGACTTCTTGTCACTAAATTTACTTTGGATTTCAAGAGTCCAATCTTCCACTGTTATTTTAAATTGCACATGTGCCGTGCAAGAATGCTTGGCATGCATAGCAACGGTAGCTAAGGAAAAAGGGGGCCTAGCAAATGGTTCGTTGAAGTCCACACCTGCTTCCCAGAGTCCGTGGCTTTCATAAGTGCTGCCACATTTCTCTTATTACTCTTATTATGAATTTGTTTTAGTAGATTTTTAGCTTATTCTGCAAATCAGTATCCACCCTCTATTTTAAAACAGCTTTTTGCTCACAAGGATGGAAGTGTGCCTTGAATCAGTCGGCCACATCACAAGATGTCCATGTGATAGCTGTTAAAGATTGAAGACTAGTCTTTGTGTTGTTTACTCCGCTCTGTGGGGTGAAGGAAACGGTGAAATTAGTGTTTTATGTCCCGGTATGCCAAGTTCAGGAGGACACACTGTTAGTGTTGTGGCAGCCTGTGGGTGATGGGCTGAGTTTTCACACAGCACTCCAAAGGAGGTTTTTGTCTCTGCTGGACCAAAATTACCACCATGAAATCAGTGCCTGCTGAAGACTGTGCTGAGAGAAAAGAGGAGGAGAAAGGAGTCCTTCTTGAAGGCGGAGAGGAGAGGGGAAAATATATAGCAGGGTTTTTTAGTCATGTTTACAGCCCCTTCAAATGTGCCATGACTGGTGGGAAAGCCTAGTTAGTGTTATATAAAAGCCTATTTGTTTCCGTCTTTCTTTATCCTATCGTCTTATTTTATGACAAAAATCTGTAAAGTGTCAGAGGGAAACTGTATTTCTGTTCCCTGTTGGTTGACCTATAGATTTATCCTCCTCTGGGAGCTGAAGTCACCTGCACTTGGCTATATTGGTGATTTAAAAGCTACTACCAATGGGACTACCATTCAGCCACTTGTGACCGCGAGGCCTTCAGCTGGGAACCACAAGACCTTCGGCTGGGCTTTGGCAGCTTCCAAAAATAGTCCCACATTATACGCCCCAAGGCCTCGCTGGCATCGCAGCAGCCCCGAGGAAACTACATCAAGTGAAAGGTTTATTACTTTGCTGTGAGGGGTGGTTTTTATATGACCCCGGACTAAATGATCCAGGAGTATTTACTCCGAGGTAATTAAGAGTAGGAAGGCCTTAAATGTCCCATCAGAGCAGTATGCACTATCCTTACAGTGGATAATCTGAAGGCTAGACCACAGTAAAAGGTTTCTAAAATCTCAAAAGAAACTAAAATCATGAGAGATCATAACAATCACAATAGATTTGACAGCCTGTGGAGTGCAGCAATGTAGCAAACATGGCACACAACCAGAATCCTGACTAGGTGTGGGACGTTTTCCGGTTTTAAGGTATTATGGGTTTTAAAAAATTAAGAGCAGTAGAGACGATCAGGAGCAGGAGGAGGCAGGTGTGTGTATTCATGAGTGTGGCAGATACAGTGTAAAAATACTATACTTGCAGTGAAATCTGGTGTTTAATTTGTTCAGTGTGCTAAAGAAAAGAGATAAAGTCAAGAATCAAAGCATGGACATTTCAGTGGATGGTTTATAAACAGTTTATTGCTCTACTTTTTAAGTTTTTCTTAGAAGTTAAGTTTTAAAAGAGGTTTTAAGTTGCAGAAATGTTTGTGCTACAGATTTAAAAACCTTTTGAATAACTTTAATATCAATATCAATCAAAATAATTGTGGTTATGATTTTTATTGTAATCAAGCAGCCCTTCTATTACCCGCGGTCAGCTCACATACTACTTTAGTCCATTTAGCTTTTTGTAGGCATGTCCTTGAGTAGTAGAGAGCGTAATAAGCAGTGTGTGGGTACTTAAAGAAACCGCTGCACCTGGTGTTGTTTTTCAGGGCATTGATTTAGTGAATCAAAACCTCCCACAAAACAGGAAACCTGACCAAAGATTGAATGTGTTCAGATCAGTTTGGCCCTGATCGTCTTTTGAATAAGAGCTGCACCACCTTTTAATATACTGCACAACACAGGAAAATCTGGTGGAATAATGTTTTAAACCGTTCAGAAATTTAGGACTCGAGAGGAATCGTCAAACATTTAATCAATTGTTTGTTATTTTTAGAGTAAAATGTTCACTAACGTCAAAGACGGCAGCTCGTGCATTGCTTTAAGTCACAATTGCACACAGATAAACAGCCAGTTGGATAAAATTTATTTACCTCTACTTTTCAAAAAGAGGAGCCTCTTTTTTTCCTGTTGAATTTTTCACTCCAAAGAGCTCTGCCTTCAAACTTGGCTTCAACTGTTTTGTTTTTATCTTTTTTTTTGATTCACTGCATGTGAATTTTTGGTAATAGTTGTCCTTTTTGTAAAAGTATGACTCAGTTTCTGCTCCAGCTGAAGTAAGGCTCTCTTTGTACAGGTGTAATGACTGGTTTTGCGGCTCAAATTGCTGCCTGAAAGTCGTATATTTGTGAGGATGACGACAGAGTATAGAGCCTGCACGAGTGTAGCCGCTTTTGAGGGGATCCTCAAAACTAAAGTTCCTGCATTGTTATTTCAGCGTTTTAGCAGATGTCCACAGTAAAACTCCTCCACTTATTTTTTCCCTTTTAATTAGAATAAAAAGCGGCTGGTGATTATGTTTTCATGTTAAACTACAGAGGCATATTTAGCAGGAAGACGGGGAACACCACACAGCACTCCTTGTTCCTCCAGTTAGCTTACTTCACTGCTCCGTATGTTTATGGGCAGGTTTTCTCAGATCCTCCAGAGCCATGTGACTCGGGGAAAAGGGCGTGTTGTTTTTAAAAAGCTTGCCATCGACAGACTAAATATACCCTTTACTGGACCTGACCCTTCATTTGCCTTTGCTGTGGCCACTTTAGGTCGACATGCTAGCTCAGCAGGGGCCCTACAACCAATAATTATATAGGAGGGTTTCCATTTAACATCCCGTGTGTAGTGTTGCCTTCACACAAGCTCTTTTCCTCAATTTAGACATTTGGGTTGTCACTGATGGATTACCAACATTTAAATTCTACCTAATTGTTTTTCTGTACCAGTCTCCAGCTGGTTCAACATCAAATTAATCATGTACTGCATGTTATAATTCATCCTTAAATGTTGCTTTTTGAATTAATGTCGTAAATGTCGCAGATCAAGCTGTTAATCCTGGATCTGGCTTTTGTGAAGTTCAACTTTCCCTCCCATCTGTCATCCAGGGGAGCTCACCCAGGATAATGTACGCTGACTGCTGCATCATCTGTGCAGTGATTTTTTTTTTTTTACATGATTTTCTCCATATGACCGGCAGTGCACTGTGCAATGGAGGCCGTGCAGCTGTTCTCAGGATTTCGGTTGTCTTGATGTTAACATGATTTGGCTTTGACACGGTGGCTTTGCACTTCACAGCTGAAGCCTGATGTCTGTTTTCACAGAATTCCACAGGGGGATGAGAACACTTCAGTGCTGTTTCATCCAGACAATTTGAGAAATGGACTAACGGCTCTTGAGAGGAAGGGGAGCTCACTTTTAAACTTGATTCCTCGTGGCAGGTCTTGTGCAGAAACAGCGCTGCATATTAGGAGTGGACTCTCGCATGTCAGTGCTTGTTTATTTGAGAAAAATCCCATTTTGAGAATATCTTGGTGCCTGGTTTATGTGAAATTAGTCATCAGCTTGGCAGGAAAGAATTGTTTGTTAATGTTGTTAAATGGTTCTACCATCAGTCATTTCCCACAAAGAGTGACTTAGACTTGTTAGAACAGTTAATTATTAACATTGTTTAAACAAGTTAGATGCTTTAGCAAGAGCAGTGTTCTTGTATTCAACCTCGATTAAAAGGTCAGGGAACGCTGAACCTGATTTTCTGAATTTGAAGTAAGTTGATGCACAAAATGATGAACTGGGGCCTTTCAATGAGCACATGAACGCAGTATAACAAGGAGAAATCAGTGGAGATAGTTCAGAGGCAATGTCACACCACTAAGGTAAGAGATTGTGTATGGGGAATGGGTGGTCAATGTAAGTTAAACCATTTGCTCACTCATTATCCAACTTACTACCAGGCTACCACGAGCTGATATAAAATGTTGGTTTAAACATGTATTGATTTAAAAAGGATTTATTAATATAGTCTAAAAGAAATAGTCCCTTTAGTTCCAGAGTCAGTGACACTTCCATGGCAACTTATTATAAAAAACCACCTTTGGTCCAAACAAAACTTAAAGCTCCTGTGAGGAACTTTTCTTTTGTCAGTTTTGGCGCCCCCTGTGGCCAAAGCAGTCACTGCTTACTTTGTGCTCTTCAGGCTTAAGTAATGTCTTCTGAAATAAAACGTCTTCATGTTGACTTTTAACAGTCAAATGTATTGTTTACCGTGAATGCTTGAGGTGGAAATTGTTAAAACAGAACACCTACCCTCTTGCACTGTTTTCAGGCATCCAAAAATCCACTACAAAAACGATCAAACTTGTCACTGATGGTCTGGTTTGTTTTTGTTTATCATAATAAGGCATCAATATGAATTTCTGTCATAAATGTCAAAAACTATTGGGGCACAGTGGCTCCTCGGAGATAGGAGTCGTTATTTCAGAAATTTAGGTTTTACCACATACTAACCAGTTTTTCTTTTTGACACAGTTTTGTTTTGAAGTCAGCAAAATACCAGATTTAGCAGAAAGACAAGTCTCGCATGAGCTGAAGGCATCTAGTGGACTCAAGTATAAGCTAGACGTATCAACAAAGTGGGGTGAAATTTGGAGCCTATCTGCAAAGTGTTAACATAGTGGTACAACTTCAGACTCGCACTCAGCATCTATTACAGAGAGGAATGCCTTATCAATCAGAGCTGTAATGTAATGTCTGATATCTGACTTGAACATGCAGTTCTAATGGCCCACACAATACGGACAGGATAGCAGCCCACCCTACTTTAAAAGCACTTGCTGAAGTTCCCTGCATTAGAGTACTTAAAATGATAATTACTCTGATGCTTATCCACATTGCACTTATGAAAAAAGCTGCGCAGCCTCTGTGAGCCCAGAGGGAGCTGTAGGAAGTTCAATTTGCAACAAGTGAGTGAAAAATCAAAAGGGGAGGACATTAAAAGTCCAAAGTCTGTGAGTGTGAAAACCTTCTGGGGAACAAGGGCGCCAGGTTTTGACAAGGAAGAAGAACTCATAAAATACAAAGTCCCCGTCCTCTGGTCATGGTTTCTTTATTTAAGTTGTACATTGCGTGTTGACAGTTGGGTGGTACCGTTTTAAGATGTTAACCATAACTGGCACAAAACTATAGAATTTTCAGCCCTGATCATAAGATGGAAATATGATAGTCAGCCGGAGCTGCAGCCAATACTGACAGAGCGTAAAACCTCAGTTGTCCACACTTGAAACGTCAAAAACGGTCCATCAGCCTGTGGGGAGACAAAACCAAACTCTGATGCAGTTGGCAGTCCTTAAAGATGAGCTCCCGATCGCTGTCATTCCCTATAAAGAGGGATCTGATGCCCACAGTTGGCGTTATCATGTACACATGTGAGCGTGCTCCACTCTCTGCCACACCTAACACCAATGCATTAATCTGGGAACGACATAGGGGCTGACATCTGTCCCCATCAGTGTGTCATCCTCTGTGGTCTCAGTATTTTGTTTCAAGTAAAAGCTCCCTCGCCCAGGCAACTTCTCAGACAGGCCTGGCTCCAAATAACCCAGAATACCCTGGGAGAATACAAGAGCCAGACCTCGTGCTCCCAGAGAAAATAAAAGGAGCTTGTTTTTTAAATAATGCATAACAAACCTCTAGATGCACTTTCTAAAGTCTTTTTATAACATGGCTGTCAAACTGCAACATCAGAACATGTATTTTTATTTCATGAATACAAATACACATTTTGTTAGGATTTGCAAACTACAAATTTGTGACAAATGCTAGAAAGGAACTTTTGCTTTGTGTCAATTTTGGGTCCCCCTATAAACAAAGCAGTGTTTGCTTATCTTGTCCTTTACAAGCTGAAGTAGGAACTTTTGATCAAAAAATCTCACCCTGCTAAATTTATCAAGTGAAAAAAACCCTCAGTAGTGGCCTCAGGCATTAAAAATGACTACAAAGAATAATTAAGTCATGCTATAGAATTTCTGTACGCCTTCTGTATGTTGCATAAAGTTATCACTATTTATCACAGTCTGTTTGGAAGTTATCAAAAATGCCTACAGAACCTTTAAGAACATGTTTTTAATGCCTAAAGATATTTTTTTATCTCAGTTTTGAATATCAAAAAAATGCAAAATATGGTTCACTTAAATTAACTGCAGGAAAATAAGGTATTTAAGCTAAAATTTAAAATGTATTTTAAGCACTTGAGAAGAACCTGGTGGCCCCTGTGGACAAAGTGATACTGCTAGTACATATAATAAACATCCAACTTTATCTTTACTGCACCATAATTACAACTATAAAGGTTACAGGCATTAAAAAATATGATTTGTACACTGTAAGTCATTTACTAATAATATTGTTTACTTGTGTATATTATAAAGAGGCCTCACTTTTACTATCAACCTGTTTCATTACCAGTGAAAAACTCCTCACACGAGCTTTAATCTAATAAAGATGGGCTGATGCAAAGGATTTTAAGTCATTCATCGTGAACGCTTCAGTTGATTACAACAAAGTCCAAACATGCTGTTTTTGTGCGACTGTGAAGCTCTTTCTCGTACCATCTGTTCCCACTGTCCTGGTACCTTCTGGTACTGTAGTTGAGCTCAAAGTGGTCGAGTTGGTTGCTTTGTGGTACTGCCTGAAATCAATTCACCGAGAGTCACGCCCCGTCTCTTTGCCTGTCACTTGTTTTGAGTGGAATCTTTTCAATCGAACCGACACTCCCAAAGATTTATTTACTGAATGGTGTTACACTGTTGGACTATTACAGCCTAATGAGGGAGAAAAGCTGCTAAAAGTAATTCTTCTGGACTGGAATGTGTATTTAAGAGATTACTTTCTTCTTGGAGCGCCATCTTCTGGGTAAAATACTGCAACGTAAATGCAAGTGGGCACAGCAGTGTGTTGGAAGCAGTTAACTTTTTAGATGTCAGGGAGGGTTGATTATATACTTGGCTTCTTTCTGTATTATAATCACCCTCATTATTTCTGAAGCAGTCAGATTAGGTCTTGACATCATTCCCACCAGTTATAAAGTCATACTGTGATGAAGATTGGTCAGAAATCCTTGCCCGCAGCACCCTGATTAGTATGAACTGTCAGTTCTGTGTAATCGTCACTCCCACAGTTGGGCGGGTGCTGCTCTACAGATGGTGTGTTTTGATTAGGGCAGCAGTCATTCAATTAAACAAAGGGGTGTATTCTAAAATGCACCAAATTCACTTTCACTTTTTTTTTCAATTCACTTGATACAAATAGATTTAAGTAGACTTGTCCTGTTTGTTGTACAGTACAGTGGCTATGGTTCATAGATGGTAGCTGTAGAAATGTTTTGCATTGTACAAAGAAGTATTTTATATAGTTTTTCCAGTAAACAGGAGAATTTGAGCATTGCCTTACTTGGTGTGAGCATGTCTTAAAGGTACTCTCGCTTACCGTTTCTTGCTACAGCTGATGTGATATGATCACTATCTTGTCTCTTCTTAAATGGTTTCAAGTAGGAGTGTCCCGATACGACTTTTATACTTCCGATACGATACCGATATTGTAGCCTTCAGTATTGGCCAATACCGATATTGATCCGATACTAGCACAAACTTGCGCATGACATGTTTTGCATTCAGCTGCAACGTCTTTTTCTGACTTAAATGAAAAATACTGCCACAAGGCCGGCATCACTCCGACTCCTTGCTACTTTGTTAGTACCTTAGTACAAACTGTTGTTGTGATCACATGGTCTCTGCATGCTAGATCCGGACGCTGCCAGATAGAGGTGCCGAACCAGAGTCTGGACAGGACTGCTTGTATCGGAGTGCTGATTTCGGAGGTTTTAGATGCAGGCCGATATAATCAGATATTTGTTTTTTTGTTGATATCGGACCGATATCTGATATCAATATCTTATCGGCATAACCCTAGCTGCAAGTTACTATTTATGGCTTCACTCACTTCTGCTGTATTTGCTTATAAAGTAACAACATCATGTAGTTTTGCATCAAAAGGATTAACACTACAGGGAAGTCAGTGTGCAAAGCAGCTTAGAAATGTCAGACCAAAAAAACTACTTTCCACTAAATGAACAACTTGGAGCCCATTTCCCATTGCGCAGTTTTGTTTGTGAGTGGTCAGGCCCATTGGTAATAAAGCAACAGACGGAAGAGGGGAAAAAATGAGAAGCAGCCTCTTGGCGTGCCGCAGCAAAAAGGAAGAAGAGCATCTCTGTGCATTGATGCTGATGATGAGTGAGTACATGGAAAAGAGAGCGAGCGAGGGGAGAGGGTTGAGGGGTTGGAACTGTTGGCAGGCACTGAATGTCCAAATCCCTCACATCACCCTTCATCACCCTCTGTATCCTCACCATCCTCGCTGCTCGCAGGATGTGGAGCTTCTTTTTTCTGCACTCTCTGCATTTCAAATGAAGTGGCAAGTGTTGAAGCCACTATGGGGTCTTATGTGGCAAGTCACTCTACAAATTTATCAGGAAGTAAAACGATCCGAGGCTGAAACTGTTGGTTTAAAGGGATATTCCGGCATAAAGCTAATTCAAGGTCGAACACACCGCAGTAGTTCTTCCACCTAAGCATCTCGGTCTGATTGCATTTCCATGAAGAAATGATCGTAAATGTTCTTCCTTGAGCTGTGTCACCCCACAGCAGTGCGTAATGGACTGACCTGAGGTCTCACTCCAAGCTTCTGCTGGAAGAGAGTAGGTGAGTTGTGTTTAGTCTCTTTACTAAAGAAATTAGACAAAGCTAAAAAGATGTTTGGTGGCTAGTACTCTGGCTGGGACCCTATATGTACTGTTGATGAATTTAGGTGCTGTTCTGAGCATTATTTGTGGCTGTAGAGTGGCTTTTTGGTTGAGGTTTGTGTGTGGAGACGTAGACCACTGTGTATTGCTATCGTGTGATCATTACTAAAGTTGGTATAACTAGAGAAGCAAGCGGTCGGCAACATTCATCTTTCGAGGGGGTGTCTAACTCGGTTGACCCTTAATTAATTTTATGCCGGAATATCCCTTTAATAATGTGAGGTGAGATCACTCTAACTGTCTTCGTTTGTTAGCTCCTTTTTTATTTTTACACTTAATATTTATTCAACCAACTACAAACAGTTAGGACATAACTGTAAAGCCAATGCTTATTTAGATCTGGTTGTGCAGTGATTCATTATCATGATCGCCATCAATCAACCTCAAACGTCGTGCATGCTCTTAAAGGCTTCTTAATGTGGCATAAGCACATTAAAGCTCTATCTAGATAAAGCTGATTTCTTCTCCCTCTCTGATTTTAACGAACAGGTTCAAAGTGCTCACGCAAAGATAGGCCAAGCTCCAGTTTCCCCCCTCTCTGCCCCCTGTCCTCAGTGGGCAGCTTGCCAGTGTCTGTGCCCTGTTACCAGCACAGTGATGGGAACCCCAAGGCCCTGAGCAGGTGTCAACCACCCTGCTCAGCCAGTGGAGCTGAGCAAGGAACACAAAGGTTTCAAAGAGACCTGCCAGCATGGTAACCGTCTTAAATATCCCCGGCCAGAATGGCCACACCTCTAAATCTCTCAGTGGCATCGGGTAGCCGCCAGTCTGCCCTTTCTGCTACCGTAGCACAGAGTCAAAGAGGTTTGAGGCTTTTTATTTAAGCTTTGTTTGCCCCAAATGGAGCTCGGAGTGGCTCTAGTGATAAAGGGCGTCAGGAGTGCAGGGGATAGAAGGATAAGTCGAGTTTGAGGATTTTATTTATGCAGCGTGCCACCAGAGGATTTTTTCAGAGAGAATTTTTGTCTGTCTGGGCTTTTCATCCTGGATTTAGTTTTGTTATCTCATCCATTCACACTGCGCCGACGTCACACCCTCTCTCTCCCTCGGACTCTGCCTCGCAGAAACAATTTCTGCTGCTGTCATCAGACATTTTATTGTCATTATTCAGAGCGGCCATTTTCCTGATGTCATGCCCCAAGAGGGAAAGCTCAAAAGCCGATTTATTGTCATACTGCGGTGTTAAAACACACAACTTTCTGTCATTTCCCACTACTTCTCAGTACATTAGCAACTGAAAAAATTAATGAACTTAAGTAATAATGGTTCAAATCAAACATTCACATGAACTACAACCTTCAACAAAGCATTTAACCTTCATCCTGGTGGTGGAGTTGGAGCAAACAGTCAGCCATAATGAGCAAGGTGAACGGAGCATCTTTATTGGACGCCTCCACTTCCAGGTCTCATGGGTTTGTGAGATCTGTGAAAACACCGGCTTAAGCTCCGGGTTAAGCTGTGCTGGCATTTAGATTGGCAAGACTGTAAAAGAACTGGATGAGAAGAAGAAGAGGTGCCTTTTTCTCCCTCCTCGTCCTCTCTCCTCCGTCCTTCCTCCTTTCTTTCCCTCTCTCTCTGTTCATTGTTGAGCACTCTGCAGTGATGATGTAGATGTGATGGGGGGTGGAGTGGAGTGGAGGCTACCCTCATCTTCGGTAAACAATAGGTCCTTGTGTGTTTGACCCCCTCTTTAGTGGAGTGGAGTCCATGGCTCGGGTTGAAGCCGGGTTGGAATTCCATCTTTGCCAGATTTTGTCCGTGGAAACCCTCACAGGAAGATAAAAAAAAACAAAACAACCCCAGTGTGAGGCGGGTCATTCCTCTGGGGCAATTTGTTTTGATTTACAACCACATCAATAATCAATTATCAGTCTCTCTTCTTTGTCTCTAGTCGTGGTGGTCCTCATTGATTGTTTGTACGTGCAGAGCCTCATGATACAGCTCCCTTCGACAGGGAAACTGATTACTAACCTATATTTGAGTGGACTGGGCCATAATGGTGCTACTGGGTCATGAAAAAGTGCTTGACAGTGATTTATCCCCGCCTTTGTGCTGCAATTTAAGTTATGAGATGTGAAACAATGACAAATGACCCAATAATCAAAGAGCTAAAATCACTTCTTTTACCCCCCAAGATAAGACTCTACTTAATTTCCTTTTTATCATGTCCCAGGTTGTTACCTGAGCTCTTCTCAGCAGCTTTGAAGCTATTCAATCCTTGTTACTTCAACATTGTGCGACTGCTTGTCTCTTCCTGTGTGAGAGGACTTTCCTAACTCAAATCTCGTCTTACAAGACATCCGATAACCTCTTTACCCTCTTCATTGCGTGACCGACCCACCCCTTTTCTACCAGAGGTGTGCTGCGGGTGCTTCACCTCCTTTTTCAGCCCATTGAGAAAAACCAGAAAAACTTGCTTTTGAGCCAGATCACGTTACTTTCTCAGAAGTCACCTGACCTGCCCCGACCAACGCTGGCACACAGCGATCACACATGCAAAAGCCCCGCAGTGCTCCCACCAGCAGCTCAGAGTCGTCTCTAATATGGTAAAAGCCGACTTCATCTGTGTTAAAGGAGAGAAAAGCCAGAGTACAAAGCCGGGGTTGTGCCGACACCAACCGCACCGCTCCTTTCACATGATTGGATCAAGAAAAGGAAGCACTTTAGCCTCATTATTGAGTTATGTCAGTTAATCAGTTTGTGAGTTAATACCATTTCACTGTTGATAATATTTACCAATCTTTCAGCCACGTCAACTCGAATTCGGTTGACGATCATGGAAACATTTGACCTCAAGATTATTCCGCATGTGCCTCCTGTTGCAGTTTATTTGGCAACAAACACGGTCTGTATTACAAGCAGGATTGAGAACAGATTTAGAGATTTATTCTAATATTTAACTTAAGCTCTAAAGCATGAGCTACTTCCCTACTTTTCTACTGACCTAAAACCCAAAATGGTTTATTACCATAGATTACCATCTTTGACACGAATGAGCCTCAACAAAAGGATTCGAGGCATATCTATTCAGACAAAGAGATTTTATTTTTTTTTAGATTTTGTAATAAAACACGTTGAGTTTCACTTAAAAACCAAAGACAGAAACCAGACTCTGGTGAGAATTTGAGGTTTTACTGAATATGACTACGCCAACCTCCTGAGGTGGGTCTGGATACTTTCAACATGTACACACATGGCCCAGAGCGTCCTAATGGAGGCTTTATCAGTGACATCCTGCACCGGCAGAGAGCCGTGAATACGCTGAAAGATCACCATGCTACAACAATTGGCAAATGGAGAACAACAGATATCTGATAAGAGCAGAAAGGTACCAGCAGTGCTGTCGTCATCATCATCATATAATCACTTATATTGTCGTCATCATGTGAGGCAAGCAGACGCATCGTTTATTGTCTGAACAACAATACAGGGTTGAATAAGTTTCAAATTAAGGAGGATTTACTTAAGCTCGCAGTGTTGCATAATGCAAACACCGACTGTGACTGAGGTGTCATACATCCGTCATATGACACAATACACTCGCTGCTGCATCTGTGCGCATTACAAACAAACTAATATGTATTTCTGCCAGTCTGGGTCATTTCAGTCCGTGATTCATAACGTGTTCCCATTCGCAGAGCCAGGGGGTGAAATCGTATTTTTTTTCTACTCTCCACTTTGTTTTAGGATACTCTACACCAAATTTCATGCTTCTAGGACTTAAAACCACATAGTGACACTCATTTAGTGGATTACTTAAGCATTGTTCAAAAAGAGGGTTTTTGGACCCCCCATGTTGTCACTTTGTTGAGTCAGAGTTGAACAAAAAGTACAAAACTGTAATCTTTAATATTAAGAGTTAAAGTAAATGTGATTAGCTGCCTTTCTCTCTCTCTCTTTCTCTCTCTCTCTCTCTCTTTCTCTCTCTCTCTCTCTCTCAATTTTCAAATTTCAATTTTAAAAGACTTTATTGGCATGACAGTTTGAACAATATTGCCAAAGCATTACATCATAACATCAATAACGACAACACTAACAACAACAACGTTAACAACAAAAACAATAATAAAAATAAAAATAAATAAAATAATATAAAAATATAAAATTTAAAATCAATGTAAAATATATAAAAAATAATAAATAGATCTCTCTCTCTCTTTATATCTCTCTCTCTCTTTTTTTCCCCTCTTTCTAATGTCTCACTCAGATGTGAAACCATACTGTACATCCATCTGTTTTCTGATTTTGTCGTTTAACCCCATATTTCTAAAATCCAGGTCAGTGATCAATTTTCAGACTGGGGTCAGATTGTCATAAAAATGAATGTAAGCAGAAGGACATATGTGGTGCTGAATACCAATGAGAGTTTACTTCTTTTTTTCCAGCAAAGGATGGAACAACATGACTATTGATACATTAACATGAAGTAGAGAGGATTTTTGTTCCTGATTTTAGCAGAGTTTGAACCCCAGACTAACATAAACTAAGGACATGAGTTAAAAAAAAAAAAAAGGAGGTTTCACTCAATGATTTGTTGACATATATGACAGCCTTTTATCAAGTCTAGCAGTTACTTTCAATGTGGATAAATCTGCTGATTACACCCTTCATTTACTGATTTATCACTCTAGTGTGAATAATTATGCATGCGATATGCCCATCACAATGACCTGAAGCTTGTCTAGTCTTGACATTTACTTGACAGCTCCAGAGAGGAGATTTTAACCGGTTGTGAAAATAGGTTAAATTTGCAGTTTTGTCTCTTTATGACATACAAAAGCAAACAAGGCTTTTAACAACAACACTAGGTGATTTTTGATTCCTAAAGTTTCTCACAGTAGCTTTAATTTACAGCTAATTGTCAATTTATAGGTACAGTTAAAAAGCGGTGACCACTCTATTTGTTGAGTGGTTGTTGCAGCTCTTTTGTCCTCTGCTTAGAATAATTTTGTTTAAATAAAAGTACATGTGCTGCAGTGCGCGTGTAACAACATAATCTTGGTGTTTTATTGTAAGAGAGGTATCTTTCTTGATTTCATTCAAATGCATGTGACGTACAACACTGACCTCCTAAGCGATACTAAAGAGGATGAATCAGACCTGCCAGCTCTCAGTATGAGGGAAGTGGATTTGATGCCTGTCCCATTTTAGCGTCTGTGCTGCTGCTGCATGATAAGATCAGCCCGTGAGGAACTCGCTCATCCCCAAATGCTTGTTAAACACTTTTTTTTTTCTTCTTGCTTCATCAGGTTTCAGTGTTTTTGTACCTCTTTTGTTTTTTGTATCTCGCAGAGGAAACTTCACAGTGCCGAAGTTACCGGAGTCTAACATGGGGTTTGGTGTGCTGGGGGTGTTTCTGGGGCTGCTGCTGGAGGTCTCCACCCATGGACCCCATGCTGTGCCTCGGACGTCCTGGAAACACCAAGGTAAGACTTAATAAGATTAAACTGACATATGTTTAAAGATTATTTTGATTTGATGTAATGTGCAGGACTGAAAAACTGTTGAAAGTTGTAACATGTGTTTGTGGGATAATAACCAGAATCATACGGCTGCCTAACTTATCTGTTGTAATGAAAATTTAAGAACTTTTTAACTTGTAATTTAACACTTATTTTAAAGATTTTAGTTTGTAAATCTTTATTCTTTATTGTAATTTTCCACCCTAGTAAAAACTGAACCATTTCTTGTAAAAGCTCTTTCGAAACAGCTGCTGATACAAAATGAAACTTTTCTCAAATCCTCAAAAAATCCAGAATTACTCATTTTGGAAGTTAAAACCGGTTTGAAACCCTTTCGCTGTTTAAACAGATCTATTTCATATTCAATTCAAAGGTTCGCAATGACTCAGCGACACCTGTTTCTTCTCTGTATCTGAGGGGACCGTCACAGGCTCTCGAGTTAAAGCGCTTCCTGTCAGGCGGAAGTTCAGTTTGCCATTTACATAAATAGCTTTGGTAACTGAGTCGCTGTGTGAGAACCAGTGCAGCTCACCCTGTAACAAAGTCATGTTTCTGCGCTCGCTGCGGTACCGTCACTGTTACAGTCAGTCAGTCACTGAGGGTGTTTGCTTTCATCATTGTGGTGTTAACGTCCAGGCACCTGCAACTCGAACCCACTCGCACCTGGCACATTCGAGGCCAGCCAACCGCAAAAACTCTCTGCTGGGTTTGCTGTCAATCTCTCACGACACAGAGTTCAGCCTGAATCTTTTTCGGAAAGTGGAGGCGGTTATAAAACATTCAGTACTATATGACAGATCATAGTTGACTTACCAGTTACAGTGTTAAGTTATGTGAAAGAGTCCAGGTTTATTTATAAGTGAGATGAATTCTTTTAAAATGAGGGAGAGTGTTAGGATTTCTGCAGCTGTGATTTATGAGATTGGGGGGGTGTTCTGGTTTTTCTGTAACATGAAGAATATTTCTATTTTTCTGTGAGAAGAGCAGAGGAAATAAGGGAATGTTGGCATTTGCTAAGCTAAGGAAACTGGTCAGAGATCCCACACAACACTAGGAAGAAGTCAGGCTTAAGTATGCAAAACTAAAACACAAATTGATTCTGCAAGATTTTGGACTGTGATTGTGTTTTTCTTCATAGCTGATACAGTGCATCCTTACTTCATGACTTTTTTTACACTGGGGCTAATGATGTTGATGCTATACATTCACTTTTCAGGGAACTCTTCAACTGATAATGTATAATTTTAAGATCTCACAATTTATTATTATATGGCAGTGAATCATGATGTTGTTATTGTGGGTAATGTATCAGAATCTGATCCCTGCTACACACACTCCTACTCACCCCAAAGCTGATATGTGTGTCTCAAGCATGTACTGCATCTTTGCATGTTCAGCAACTCCTCTATTTTTTGTCTGGTACTGCCAAGGTTTTTCTGAATAGTACTTATATTATAATTTAGATTTACCGAACATATAATTCAAAAATAAAACCTAAGAATTAAGTGATACAACTAACTATTTTCAATAAAAGTGTTAGATGTAGAAAAGCAGACTTCTGTCTGTTTCTGAGGTGTGTTCCGGCTCAGAAAGTGACTCCATTATTCTTAATACCCTCAGTAGGAAGACATAAAAAAAGGGTGTTATTACTTCACTGCACTGTCATGAACATGTGTTAGCATTTAGAGGTGTGGATCGAAATATATCAAACAGTATTTCCAAGGTGACTGAACCATCTTATAATCAGACCAATAGAGTAGGTTTTCCCCAAAGGGACAACTATATGATACTGGCATATCAGTTTAAGATGTTATGATGAATGCCTATATACACACTCAGCTGATATGATATTAGTTATCATAAGTATTCAATAAAGGTTGTGTTTCCGGTCCAACACAAGTCTATAACTCGATCTCCTTTTTCCTCTGATTTCCACAAACTAACACTTAAAAATGTTTCCACCATCCCAAAATCTAGTCCCTAATTTTTTTTTTTTCAGTTGATGTGAAATTGTTTTAATCATTTTCATACTTGTGTAACATCATGTAATGGTTTGTTGTTCAGATCTAGACCTGATGGAGTTTTCTGAACCCGGGATCTTCAACTACTCCACGTTGCTGCTGAGTGAGAAGAAGGATGCGCTGTACGTCGGGGCCAGGGAGGCCATCTTTGAGCTCAGCAAGAAGAACGTGACCGTCAAAAACAACAAGGCAAGTAAATAAAAGGGTTGAGATTTGTTTCAGCAAGAAGATAGACACTATACTTAGACTACTTATTTTTCTATTTATTTATTTATTTGTTTGTTCGCTATTTTAAGGTTCAATGGAAAGTTGCAGAAAACCCTATGATGATGTGCACACTTAAGGGAAAATCAAAAGAGGTTAGTTTGACTATTCAAATGTTGCTCCATTTGTCATATTCTATTTGTTTGAATCCTTTTATATGTCAAACTTTTAGCATACAATGAAATATTTATGTTTTTATATATTTTATGGTATTTTGCTCTCCAGCGGGATTGTCTAAACTACATCCGAGTGCTCCAAGTGGTAGATGATGAGCGGCTGTATGTCTGCGGCACTCACGCCTTTCAACCTCAGTGTGACTACTTGGTATGTTGACGCATCAAGTTAACGCTTAAGTTTCTTACCTATTATAAGAAAATTCACTGAACTTGAATCCTAAACCTTTCCCTCCAGAAACTTGCTGACTTCTCATTAGACGGCCGGCCTGAGGACGGCAGGGGGAAGTGCTCCTTTGACCCCTCGCAAAGCTTCACCACTGTGATGGTTGGTGAGTTGAGGCCAGTTTCATCCGAAGAGCATTTTTGGTGGCGAGCCCTGTGGTAAAACGCATAATAATCCCCAATAATCTCTGGTTTTTGAGAGCTTTTTTCTGCTTTTCGGTCAGATGGCGAGCTGTACTCAGGGACATCTTACAACTTCTTAGGCAGTGAACCGATTATTTCCAGATACTCGCCATCCCAGTCCCTGCTGAGGACCGAGTACTCCACATCATGGCTTAATGGTGGGTTTTGGCAAAATCTCTAAGTGACATATTGTTATGATTCAAAGAGAGGATTTTATTCTCATAATACACCTCAACAAAGCTGTTACAATAGCACTTCAACTAACCATCTCCTTTCACCGCAGAGCCCAGCTTTGTCTTTGCTGACGTGATCAGAGACGGCAGAAACAGAGTGGACGGCGAGGACGATAAAATCTACTACTTCTTCACGGAGGTGTCGGTGGAGTACGAGTTCTTTGGCAAGCTGCTCATCCCCAGGGTGGCGCGCGTCTGTAAGGTCGGTACACGTCACACACCATCTGCGCTACCCAGCAGCCTCCCTATTTAGCCTGCATGCACCTGTGGTCTGTGTGTGCGCTCGTTTCTGTTCAAATCCCTCCTTCTCGACCTTACTTGATCTTCATCATGAAACAAACAAATAACAGCGAGTATAGTAGTCGTGTAACATGACGCTAAATGACTCCAGCAAAGATATTGAGGACATCTCAGTCAAGGAGCTTACATTATGATTTTTGGGTTTAGCTGACGCATGAAATTTGGCATCCAGACTAGAGAAAGAACAATTTATCAAACATTTGTTGAATTTTTGTTTGTAATCAGGCATCAAATTGACATTGTCCCTCACAAGGCCGTTATCACCCTTACCTTCTTGTACATCAAATCTTAAACAGCCACAGATGAGTGATTTAACCCTCACATACTGTTCAAATCCTGTACCCTCACAGTATGTTCCAGGTCAAAATTGCCCCTTCAAAGAGTTCAAAGAGCAGCTTTCTGTCACAGAAAGTTCTCTTGACTAGTTCAGTCATTTTGACCTCTGTCTAGGTGTGTCTGTGTGACTGTATGTCTGTGTGCCTGCGTGTGTGTGTGTGTTTCTGTCAAGGTAATGATAGTTTCATAGTGATTTGAATATATCTTTTTGAACAACAAACCTTAAATTGAACACGGTTGTTACTGTTTGTCACTTGTCCCACACTGCTAGATCTGAAATCCATCTAAATATAGATACAGGTCAAATTTGACATGTAACAGCCTTAGAGGGGAAAAATTTGTAGCACATAAACAAAAATACACATTAATATTTTTAAATTAATTTCATGTATTTTGGGCAACTTCAGGAAAAGTCATCAAGTTTCAGGCTTTAAAAATGATGTTTAGGGTATTTTTTACTGCTGTTAAAAGTCAAAACGGGTCAAATTTGACCCGAACCGTATGTGAGGGTTAATTCAAGAAATTTTATTAACAACCATTTTCTGAAATCTTTAACACGACCCAAAATACTGAAACTCACAAATCCAGCATTGTTTATGTAGATTATCAACTGTAAATAAACATAAACCTTGAAGAGTTGGTATGTGATTGTGTATTTCAGCCTCAGTGACGCACATTAGTAATAAGGTAGAACAGACACGATGTTTCCTGGAAGGTAATTAAGTCCAGAGAGCGGCGTAGCTCCTCTTGCTGCTTCTTGTCCAGCTTATTGCTTTGGGAAAGCGTTGATAACTGGAGGCGTCTCGGCGATGATATCTCTTGTTTTTATAAATATCCAAACTTGAATATGCAGACAGTAACCAAACACTGTTCAGACAGACTGTATCAATAAAACATACATTGTCTCGTCGGTCCTCGTTTCCTTTTCTTTCTTCCTCTCCCCTCGTCTCCTAACGTGTTAATGCGCCTTTTATTTCCACAGGGTGACCTCGGGGGTCAGCGCACTCTGCAGAAGAAATGGACGTCCTTCCTGAAAGCCAAACTGGTCTGCTCCATGCCCGAGCTCAACTTCGTCTTCAATGTCGTACATGACGTTTTCATCCTGAAGGGGGCAGACTGGAGGGATACAGTTATCTACGGGGTCTTCACCTCCCAGTGGTCAGTGATTTTAAGACGTATCGGCCTTAAATGAGTCCATTCCTCCTCCTCCTGCTTCTCTCCTGACTCCATTTTCATCTGTGTCCTCCAGGGGGAACGTGGGTTTGTCTGCGGTGTGTGCTTACAACATGACGGCTGTGGAAGACGTCTTCTCAAAGGGGAAATATATGCAGAAGGCCACAGTGGAGCAGTCCCACACCAAGTGGGTCCGCTACAACGGTATCACTCCGTCGCCACGTCCTGGTGCTGTAAGTGAACTTCAATCAAAACTTTGTTGAGCAAATGTCATGAATAGACAGAAAAAAGTCCAACATACTTCAGCCTCTTCTTCAGTATATTTAACAAGATGTCACACAAAGTGAATGCAATCAGGTTTGTCATAAATATCCTCTCTGTTTTTCTCCATTTCCCTCCATCAGTGTATAAACAACCAGATGCGACAGCAGAACATCAGCACCTCCCTCCACCTCCCAGACAAGACCCTCCAGTTTGTAAAGGACCACCCGTTGCTAGAGGATCCAGTGCTGCCCATCGGCAACGGGCCTCGCCTCATCACCAAAGATGTCAATTACACTCAGATCGTGGTGGAGAGGGTCCGCGCACTGGATAAGAACATTTACGACGTCATCTTCACCGGAACAGGTAAAAAGGCGCAAGTTTGTGGATGAGAAGGACGTCACAGGACAGCATGATGACTAGTTTAAAACCCCCAGAGAAGAAAAAAATCATTTTAATCAGATTCATTTAACATCTTGTGTTTTTAAGAAGTTAAAGTCTGACTTCTAGATTTTGTCTTTTTTTTTAATCAGATAAAGGAGTCCTGCACAAGTCAGTGGTGTTTGAAGGAGAGGTGCACATTGTGGAGGAGATTCAGCTTCTGAAAAACTCTGAGTCCATCAAGAACCTGCTGCTGTCGTCTGAGGTCAGTGACTTTTCTAAAACTGTCAGCGAGAGAGACAACTGTGGCGCAAGTGGTCAGCACGTACACACGACACCTACGCTGCATGATGCAGACTCGTGTTTCTGCTTTCTTCGCTTTGATGTAAATAGAGATAATGAAGATAGAAACACTGATCAGTATGACAGCGTGTTTATATTTGGAGGTTAAAAGTCTAAACCCACAAGTTTATTTTCTGATATGCTTATTTAGCTGTGTGACGTTTCTTAAAGAGAAGTTGCCAAAATGATGGTGTGACAGCAAAACCAAGCAGTTTCAAAATCAGATGAGACTGCAAGTTTATCTTTCCTGCTGTGTGTGCGAGTGCGTGTGCGTGTGTTAGTCTGGAGCTGCAGTGTTGCTGGTTATATATATTTTTAAGGGTTTGTCTGAGACATCTGAACCTGTCGGATCTCCTCATAGTCGATAAAGCTGTCATTCACATAGTAATATTTGCTTCCACAGACACGCTCCCTGTACGCCGGTTCAGACTCAGGTGTGGTCCAGTCCCCCACGGCCTTCTGCAGCAGGTATCTGTCCTGCGATGACTGCGTCCTGGCTCGAGACCCATACTGTGCCTGGGACCCCCACAGCGCCGCCTGCGTCAACATCTTTGAGGTTCCTAGCCAGCGGCATCGGTGAGTCACCATAAAGCCAGAGTGACGGCGCACGTCCTCTCTATCACCTCTCTATCTTTTTTCCTTAATTCCAGTCCTCTGCTCATGCATTATTCAAAACCAAACCACCATGAAGAGAAGTCTTAACTCCATCCTGTCTGACCTGCTTTTGCTGTGTCAGAAGAGGTAGCTCTCCATCCTGTGTGAAACTGATGTTTGTTTGTTTGTTTGTTTTTCAGGAGGTTGATCCAGAGCCTGAATGGTGATGCAGACAAGTGTCCCTCAGGTAGGCAAAAACATGCACAATGAAAGGGAAACAACAAGATTATGCTTGTTTTCTCCTCGACAGAGTGTTATCTGAGTGAGGCTCTCCAGACTGGTTCAGATGTTGATTCTGGAGGAGATGAATTCACTGATGACAGATACGGTGGTCTACAGGGAAAGGAAATAGGGATTGTGCACTGATATGACTTTGCTCATGATACTGAGAGGGCTGATTTATAAAACACAAAGAAAGTATGTTAAAAAATTCAAGTATATTCTACAATGTGAAACAAATCAGAATGCAGGTTATCGTCTTTTCAGCTATGATGCTTGGGTTTGCTGCAGATAGTGCTAGCCATGCTGTAAATGGAGCGCACTCTGCTGGACAAACCGTATGATGACACCATTTTTAAATCACCTTGTGGAGTTTTATATCACAGCACATGTTAGAACAGAAATATTCTGATATCAGTGTTTTTCAGAGCTGATAACCTACTGACAAATACAGGCATCACTCTGTTGAAGTCCAGGTTGTTTTGATAGCTCCTTCAGCTAGTCTTGATGATACCCCAGAGATTCTCTTGTTGGTCGAGCCTTGTAACACCATGGTCAGTAAATCAGTTTCTGGTAGTTTTGACGCTGTGGGCAGGTGCAGGTCCTGCTGGAAACGAACTCTGTATCTCAGGAGGTAGAGCGGTCGGCCAATAACTGGAAGGTTGGCGGTTCAAACCTCACCCTATCCCTAGTCTGTCCGTTGTGTCCTTGGGCAAGACACTTTAACCCACCTTGCTCCCAGTGTGTGTCCTCATCTGGTGTATGATTGGAGTGTTGTATGTTGGTGGTCGGAGAGACCGTAGATGCAAACTGGCAGCCACGTTTCCATCAGTCTTGATGTATTTGACTTTTAACCAGGCCAGAGTCCAGCTGCCTTCACACTCTCTCTGTTTTGCCTCCCAGTGTCAGGCCGGTCTCCGAAGGACTACCAGAGTGTGACGGTGAAACCAGGGAGCTCTGCTGAGCTGCCCTGCCTGCTTAAGTCCAACCTGGCCCAAGTGATTTGGAAATTCAACGGTTCAGTCCTCACCGAGGCCTCCCGTTTCCACTTCATCGGTGAAAACGGTCTCCTGATCTACAGCGTGGCGCCAGAGGATCAAGGCAGCTACGAGTGCTGGTCGGTGGAGTGGGCCCCCGCTGCTGGAAAGAACTTCACCCGCCTTCTGGCTGCGTATGCCCTGATTCTGGATCTCCCTCCCAGGCCCCCTCACCAGGCAGGTCATGTGACCACCACCCTCGGCAGCCAGGAGTCATCTAGCACACATGCAGCTGAAGGTAATGGTAAGACAGACAGAGCCCCTCTAACTTCAGCTCTCGTCCCCCCAAGCTTCACATCCACAGTCCAACTCACCTCCCCTCCCCAGACTGACTCATCACTAACCCCGCCCCCCAGCAGCACAATCAAGCACCAGACAAAGCAGCATCTTCCCCACAGCTCCAACGCCCCCCGCCCAGACAGCCTGGACCCATCGGCTGAATATCTAGAGCACAACAACAGCACCGCTCTCCTCTTCCTCTTCCTCCTGTTTTTCCTCCTCTTCCTGGCCGCACTAGTGTACAACTGCTACATGCAGTACCTCCCGGCGCCCTGTCTGCGCTTGCGTGCCGCCTTGCTGGGCAGTCACAAGAATGCACATCAGCCGGAGTATCTCTCCTGCGAGGCGGGGCTGATGGAAGCCTCCGCGACCGACAAAATCAACATGACGGAGCAGCCCACGCAGAACGGCAGCCAGACCTCGCAAAATCTGAGAGCGCTCCGAGACACCGGGTATGAGACGGAGCCCGAGTGCAGCAACGGTCAGATCCCGTCTCACAGTTTTGGGGGCGACAGCCCGTCTCAGGAGAAACCTTTCGATGTGGACTGTGAATCTCAGCCCATCCAGTTTGCAGACGCAGATGAAGCTTACTGAAGCTCGTGTTCCTCTTTGCACAGAGACTTTTCTATGGAGGGCTTTAGCCGCACCTTCACACAGAGTATAAATTAAAGGTTCCTTTATTTAGAAGCATGTTTAGTGTCACATGAAGTCAAGTCATTCGCTATATTCCTGCTGCCCGGTTTTAGAGCTTACTATGATGAGGCAAAAACTGCTCTGACAGAAGCTGCACCCTCTCAGCTGAGTCCAGCAAGAAAAGCTATCTCTTAAAATTCCAAATTGGAAACATTGTTTACCAAATTGGTAAGTTACCTTGATGTTTTCCAGATTGGAGTTGTGTTTTTGTACAGCATGGGTGAAGAAAAATAAGCTTTGTTTTTGTTTTTTTGTTTTTTGTTTTTTATCGGCAAAGCAGCGTGTCGGCTTTTGGACTTTAGCAAAATGCTTCAACATAACATTTATTTCTCAGGGATTATTGTCTCACTTTGACATGGCTTTTTTTGTGCAGTGTTGCTATCTGCAGCACCCGATATGTTGGCCTAAATCTCATCCAGTGAAGCGATGAGGCAGGTCTGAATGATGACTTTTGGTGATCAAAAAAAAAGAAGCTGGAATAAAACAACCACTGTCTTGTATAGAGCTGTGTCGAACTCCCCTGTTTTTTATTCCTCTTTGTGAAGTCGACGACACGATACTGAAGCTTCTGTGTTAACCATGTAATAGCCCCTCTCCCTCCTGTGGTCTGTTTATGACGTGAATATGTTCAGTGTGACGTGATGCTTGATGAAATCGATGATCTCTCTTCATTTTCTCAAACAGCCCTGGAAACAATCTGAACTTTTAATGTGATGAAACTGTTAGAAACTTTTCAGAAAACTATTATTTAAATCTGAGTCACATCTGTGGTAATACCATTTTTATCATATTTATTATATCAGGTTTAGTTTTTAGATCTTAGCCTCCATTCATTCGTCTCTCTACTGCATGTCATCTCTGCTCCAGACTCCATTTTTCCTTCAACACTCTCTTCTCCATCACTCCCTCCCACACAGCCTCCTCTCCTGTCAACACTTCACCTTCCTTGCCCTCCTCTGGAAGTAGCACCCCCTCTGCTTTTCCCTCTTCTTCCTCCTCCTCCTCTTCTACCTCCACTAAGCCCCACAATGTGGAGGCCCGGGAGGCAGAGGTGAGACTGTTGCCCCCTCTGCTGAAGGACCAGGCCTGGGGGGTTCACGCCCAGGAGGCCTTCCTGCTCTTCTGCTTGGCCCTGGGTGAGTGGTGCCTATGACGCTAACTCCTGAAAGCAACCTTTTCCCTCATGCTTGGTTTGGAAACCCTCTCACATTTTTATTTTAACCCTTTCTTTTCTCTCTGCTGTGATTTTCCACTCACTCCCTTTTCTACTTCTTGCATGTTCCTTTAAAACAACAAAAAAAAAGACTAACCAGGGTTGTGTGTGTGTGGTTTTGGACTTCTTTAAAACAAACCTGCCTGGACTTGTGGAGAACAGTAAATCTGAAGTCTCAGTGTGTGAGTGTTTGAAAAAAAAAAGCAAACTCTGGATTAAACTTTCAGTGACCTGGTTGTCGAAAAACTCTCAAGCTGATATTCTTAAAGGTACAGTTGTTGTGTTCCATATTGTATGATAGCACCTTGAGTTGAAAATGTAAAAATTAAAATGGATCCTCATCCTCAGAACAGATTATACCACACTCAAATGTCTTACACCTCAGTACTTTATCTGGTTAATTTCTGTGCCTGTAAACAAATGTAGATATGTTTGTATATATGGAAAAATACAGTTGGAAGATGTATATAATGCTAAGGAGCTATTTGAGACTGTTGCTATGGGAAGGGAGGCTAAATAAATTGTCAAATGTTTTCAATACTGGCTTGTTTTCTTCAATATTTTTGCTTTTGCAAAGTGTAAAAGAAAAATTAGAGTAACTTATATAGTAACTTATATAAGCTAGCGTTTAGATTATATGAGTCATATGCTAACTGTGCATCTTAAAGGTAAGTGTTCCTGTTTTTGTTGGAGATCTGAGTTTTAGCGCCGTGCCGAGTCTTGACCATAACAGGTCAAATACCAGGTCCCGTTCTGTCCCTCAGGTCCCAGTGATGTTCACATTCACTGGCTAATAAACGGCCACAGTCTCGACACCCCCATCATGGAGTACCGCCGCCCGCTGGGTCAGAGGGAGGTCCTGGTGAGCAGCTGGCTCCGTGAGGGGCCTCTCATCAAGGACGCCCGGTACCACTGTGTTGCCGAGGCCAGCACAGGAAATGACATGTCTGAGGTGGACCTCCGCCTCACTATTGGAGGTACATGAACTGGGTGTCAAGGCTGTAAAAGAGAAAATTGTATGTAAAAGGGTATCAGAGGAGAGCAAGGCTGTTGATCAGTTCATGGGCATCTGTGTATGGAGGCATAGAAGTGCAAAAAAAAAAGGTGGAAATTTTTTAAAAATGAAAGAATAACTAATAGCCTACATTTAAAGGGATATTCCGGTGTAAAATTAATTTAGGGTCAAACATAACGCAACACCTAGTTCGACACCCCCTTGAGAGATGAATGTTGCCGACCACTTTCTTCTCTAATTATACCAACTTTAGTGATGACCACACGATAGCAATACACAGCGGTCTGAGGAGACATAAACAAACCTCAACCAAAACGCCTCTCTATAGCCACAAATAATGCTCAGAACAGCACCTAACTTCATCAACAGGACATATAGGGTCCCAGCCATAGTACTAGCCACCAAACATCTTTTTAACTTTGCGCGATCTTTTTAGCAAAGAGACTAAACACAACTCATCTACTCTCTTCCAGCAGCCACTTGTTTGTAGCAAGACCTCAGGCCAGTCCATTGCAGACTACAGCGGGGTGACACAGCTCAAGGAAGAACATTTATGATCATTTCTTTATGGAAATGCAATCAGACCAAGACACTAAGGCAGAAGAACTACCGCGTCTGCAGTGCAAAATAATTAATATGATGATTATTACTTAAAGGAAATGATAGAGAAATGATCATAAATGTTCTTCCTTGAGCTGCGTCACCCCATAGCAGTCCGTAATGGACTGGCCTGAGGTCTCGCTACAAACAAGCGGCTGCTGGAAAAGAGTAGGTGAGTTGTGTTTAATCTTTTTGCTAAAAAAATCGCGCAAAGCTAAAAAGATGTTTGGTGGCTAGTATTATGGCTGGGACCCTATAAGCACTATTGATAAAGTTATGTGATGTTCTGAGCATTATTTGTGGTTATAGAGTGGCGTTTTGGTTGATGTTTGTTTATGGCTCCTCAGTCCACTGTGTATTGCTATCGTGTGGTCGTTACTAAAGTTGGTCTAACTAGAGAAGCAAGAGGTCGGCAACGTTTATCTCTCAAGGGGATGTCTAACTCAGTGTTACGGTGTGTTTGACCCTTAATTAATTTTACGCCAGAATATCCCTTTAAGAATAGTACAAAGTCCACAAGTCAAACTAAGTAAGCACAATACTTAGGTATTGTAATGCAGGGTTTGAATGATTTGCAAACCATGACATTCTCCTTTGAGAGTTGAGTTATTAAAAGTAACATGTACAGTAAATTTTAATGTGACCTTTTCCACATTGCAACTTTTCAAGGGCCCAGTTCTCCATCAAACAGGCCCTTCTTTGTTTACTTTCACATGTTCAAATCACATGTTCATTATTTATACAGTCTTTAAAGATTGAATTAGTTGGCCTCTACTCCACACATAATTTCCACCTTCACTTTCTGTTACAGATTGATATATTTTGGCCCTCCTGTGACTCCATACATGTAACAGTTTGTCTCCATAAAAAGATGTTGTTGTTTGACAGATGAGGAGAGCATTCCATCCAGGGATTTGAACCAGTGGAGAGGTGCGCTCGCAGAGCATGAGCAGCTGCTAAAGAGATGGGAAAAAGCCTGGGTAGGTCAATGCTCTTGCACGTGCATCTTGTCCTGATCCCATAGAGGTTGCTGTGCAGTTTGTTGTCCAGGATTGACTTACTCTGCATGTTTTCTTTTAGGTTAGACATTCGGACTCTTCCTAGTTTGAAGTTTAAGAAAAGCTCAATGAGGTGATGGCAAGTAGTTTAAAGATGCATGGCTGATTGATATTACTGTTCTGCCAAAAACCTTTAGTGCGTTTTCCACAGTCTGAAGTGCACTTACCATATCACCACCCATCCCCCTCAGCTTTAAGCCGTTTCATCTAATTGCATTACATTTAACTATGTTTCTGTTACATATGATATATTAACCACATCCTGCTAACTGCTTTGAGCATAAAACACCTTTGTTCCCCTTAAAAGGATCACCAAAGGATTCATAAAAAAGTACATGCTCATACTTAGACTTAATGTAGCTATTGATCAGCGGATAAAAAGCCACTTTTGAATTTGCTCAGTAATAATCAGAATACTTACAATGCAAAAAAGCGGGGGTATAAAAACAAGATAGAAACACTACATCTGATGGAAAAGTGATATTATCTGTCCATGCAGCAAGATCATTTTACTTGACAAGATTTTCCTTAATTAAAATTGTCTACAAATGTGTTTGGAAGTCTTAAAGTAAGCCAAAAATCCTGGTTTTAAGATCAGATTACTTGAAATTTAACTTTTACAGCCCCCCAAATAAGTAAAATTTACTAAATTTAAGCATAAAATAAGTATAGAATGCTGGTTTTAAGATCAGATTACCTTAAATTTAACTTTTACAGCCCTTAAAATAAGTGAAATGTACTAAATTTAAGTATAAGGTAAGGAGAAAATGCTGGTTTTAATATGAGATAACTTAAAAAGTAACTTTTTTACAGCCTCAAAATAAGTAAAATATACTTAATATAAGCAATTACATATTTTTTTTCTTACTTTAAGCAAATTAAGCTGAAGATGAGTTCAACAAAACTCTTTTTGATAAGACTATAACTTATTTTAACTGTTATTTTTCTCATTTTAAGATTTCCTGCCTATTTGAGACAAAAAAAAAGATAAGATTTTGTTTGATATATGATCCAAGTGTAAATTTTAACACTTAAAATAAGAAATTAAGTCTTAAAACAAGAGAAATTATCTAACAATTGTAAATCTACGTTTTTTTTGTCTTTGTAAGAACCAAATCATTTGCAGTGTATAAATTTAAGAGGTTGTGCGGCAGCTTGGAGGTCTACAACAAGGACAGTTTGTCTTGCTTGTTTCCATCCTCCTCCACTCCTACAGCACAGCTCTTTTTTTCCCCCCTCCACAGGAAAGCTGTGATGGCCACTGAGCTCCGTGACGTTATCATGAGCTTCTCTTGTTTTGACTGAATCTGGTTGTGGACACAGTCCTCGGCCCTGAGTGGACCTCACTTTTGACACTGAAATGATCACAAACAGCTGGAATACAAAGTCACAGTGTCACTTTAACACAAAAAATGAGTTTGATGGACCATGCAGCAACACCTTCTGTCTGCAGGAGCGAATGTGGTCGAGACGATTACGACGGTAATGTTTGGACTCCTTCCAAAACTTGATGAGGAGATGATGCTCATCGTCTGGGCTGCCTTTCTACTGAATGTGCTTCTGTTTATACTGATTTATACTGATGAAAATGAACATCCTGAAAGCTGTGCTTGTATGGAACAATAAACTTTATTGTATTTATGGAGCACTGATCAGAGTTTGTAAGTGATGCATTGACTGTGAAACCTTGGAGAATTTCATTTGCCGTATGACTTTCAAGACTTCCCTCCAGTTCTTCAAAGACATCTCGCTGTTTTTCCTTTTCACATGGTAAGATAGTCGCTTTGATCTTGATTTTCTTCCTTTGAGAGAGTCAAAGCCCATCTGCCTCATGTGATTTTGAAAGCAGAACTCGTACTGTGGGGAGCAGGAGTCTTTTAAATCACAGTAAACCTCTCACATGTGTGACGTTAAGCCTGATCATATAAACAAAAGTGAATCTGAAGAAAGACATGCATCTAGAGTGCAAACAGGTTGCATAAAACAGAGATAAAAGAGTTAAAAATGTCTTTGCATTTAAAATGAGACTACCTATCAACCATTGAAAAGAATAAACCTAATCTTTATTTTGACCTTGCTCCAAGTGTGACCGGTGGACTTCTGTGTGGTTTTGTAAATGGAAATAATGTTACGGAGACACCAGGAGTCTCTTTCAGCCCTACTTTTTATCCAGGCACACGCAGACAGAACCTCCATGTTGGCTTGACTGTTAGATAGAGCCACAATCTTTGTTAGCAAGAATGCTAGAGGCATGACTCAACCCTGTTTTTAGCATGTTTATTAGCTATGTGGAGTCAGGATCTCTAGGCTTGGTGAACACCGCTGATAGGCTTATAAATGCCGCTCGGAAACCAGTGGGTGAAGGGCATGTCCATGTATGATCCTTTTTTTTTTTTTTTTGAATGGATATTTATAGGACTTCCTGGGATTCTGCCCAGTGGACACTTAAAGAACTGAAGTTTAAGCCCAACTTAATTCCTCAAGACTACATGTTGTTACTTGGTTATAACAAAGAGTGAAGTAAACGTGTCATTACACAGAATCTTCAAATCTTTATAGCCCGCTCTAGCTCAAAAATCACAAAATGCATCTTGCACTTGAGTTACTATAGCTTGTTGTGCACATAAAACCAGCTAACTGATTGTTAAATTGGTTAAATAAATAAATAAAAATAGTAAGAATTATTGAAAGACACTAAAGTTTTGTGGTGAACATAAATATACATAAAATAATTTGGTAAATAAGAGGATAAATTACGATAAAAACAAAATAATGAAAAGAGGAGGAGGGATAAGACAAGGAAACAACTACAGATTGGGGAAAAAAGGTGCTGTAGATAAAAATAACAACACAAATGGACTTATAAGGTCCTTCGAGTTACTCATAGACTTTTGCCAAGTATGTGTTTGGCAGCCTTATTATAACCAAATGATCTGTGAATGCTATATAGGTGCATATTTGACTCTGATATAGAGGTGATTTGTATGTCATGAAAAGCATTAATCATCCTCTTTTTAAAAATCAGGTGAGGGATTATTAACAGACCAACCATACTCATTAATAAACAGGTTATCACTCCTGCAGTGTATAACCAGAGTGGTGCAGTTACATGTCAGCTTTTTTCCACTGGAACACTTTCTTCCATCTGAATTATTAACCAACCTCCACTGTACATTTCTCCTCTGAAACCAGTTGAAACACTTTCAAATGGAGCAGCTGTACATTGACTGAAAAACAAACAAAATGCAGAGACAGTTTTGTTGCATAAAAGTGCAAACAAAGTGTCACTTATCATCAAAATAACTTGAAAAATCTAGATAGCTGGTTGTCAGATAGCCATATTTCATGTAAAGTATAAAAGAATGACAATTATGAGAGGAATTATCTTTGTTGTTAACAGGAAAGAGTTTCTGTTGCTTAGTATGGCACCCTAAAGCCATCAGTTTAATGGCGCTAAGTGTAAATGGGGTCACAGTGCATCCTTGTGGCCTACAGAAGAAGTGCAGCCAACAACAAAAAGTTTGTCAAGCAGTCCTTTATTCATAGAATACATTTGCAAAGCTTGTAATAATGTAATTTTGGACACTTAATCCAAACACATATTTATCAAGAGTTTTATATTAATCTTATGAAACAGACTGCTGCACATATCATCAATTACTTTTTTTTATCATAGTCAATACAATAATTAAATAATTGTATATGTCATAAGGTCTATGTTTTACTGCAAAAAAGAAAGCAGGCTAACTCTTAGTACTCTCAAAATATTTTGTTTTGCAGACTCTGCTCATCCTGACTTGATAATTGACAGACTATACGTTATGACATAAAAATTGTCAAATAAAATTGATTAACTGAATTAAAGTCAGGGTAAAGTGTCAGTGTTTATATTCAAAAATCTACAGCTTGGTTTTCACTTTTTTTTTTTTTTGTAATGGAAAAAAGTGTCATTTTCACACGTGCCGCCTCCCCCAGAGTATTTTACTAAATATGCGCAAAGCCCTCTATCGAGGGGATCTCGCTCAAGCAATCACAATATGGTGGAAAAACACAGGTGTAGCAGAAAACACGGTGATGGTGAAAGTATTTATTTACAGCCGGCCCTCCATGGTGCAGTGCAAAAAAAGTCAGTTTGGCAGTCACCTTCCATACAACAAAGTCCAGTCTCACAGAAAGAAAGAAAGAAAGGCCCAGGAAGCTTTTTAAAAAACCCTCCTAGCCCCTCCCAGTGGGCGTTATCAATTACATACCTAAAAAAAAAACATTTATTGCCATTTTAACTAAGTTTTTACACAAATCAATTGAGCATTAATTTTTAGGGATTCATGGCAAACAACAAGGGAGTTAATTTTTCTTGCATCATGTGACCACTTCGACCCTCCATACCCACCTATTTTACTCACCGAAATCGCGCGCTTCGTTTCCTTATTTGGAAACACGAGTCGGCTTGATGGCGTGAATGGACGCCCGGCAAGTAAGTGAAGGGATGAATATCTATGTGAATGTATGTTGAAGTTAGCCGATAGAGCTCCAAGTGTGCACCCTTGGTTACCCTATCCAACGGAGAAGGGAGAGGGAAAAGTAGCGCTGTTTCGTGGGGAATTAGCGACGCTGGCGGGGAGGGAAATGTTTGGCGTGTATGTAGGTGTGTGGCTCCATGCGCTACCCGCAGTCAGTCAGTCAGTGAGGACGCCGCTAGACGTCAAAATGGAATATTTCTAATGTTAAAATAGTAGTAATATTTCCACATCTAGGACAAAAATGACTCAAGGGATTGGAAAGTTGGAATGACTGTTTTAGAAGGGGGATGATTTTGACCATTTTCATTTTTGGGGGGGATGCCATATCCCTTCAACTCGAGTGGCCTATTGGTACTAGTTGAGTAAATTATGACAAAACACTTTATGTCCGTCGAATATTCTGCAAAAAGCATGCTGGGAACTAGCCTCAGTGTTTGGTCATCACCAACATCACAGGTGGGTAGGTAAGTAGACAATTAGTGAAGAAATACATATACTGTATATACATGCAGAAACTTAACTATTACTTTCTGTTTATTTGAAGGTTTAAGCTGTTTATTTTGTGCTTTTAACAAGGGCCACGTTAAGTTACAAGTGGCTTTGAAATTTTTACCTTTAAGTTACCCTTTGTGTTTACAGAAATGGTTAAAGATACAAGGCCTTTGTAGGACAACACCACTACTTTTCTTATTCATGCATTTTGGGCTTACAATTTAACAAATACACAACCTATGTAGGTGAGCATTTACCTCATAACTTCATTATTAAATTAATAAAACTTGATATTGCAAACCCATAATGCTAAACCCAGGCTCCCCTAAGGAAACCCTTTGACCTTTGACTTGTATGTTCACCAACAGATCTACGGCGAAGAGTTACAATGCAGTTTTGGCATATTATTGCACATTTTCACAGAAATTTGAGCAGCAGTTTCAAAAACTAGTAAAACTAAGAATTGACTTGAATTTTTTTAACTTCTTGAAAATATCTGGAAAACATCCACATTACTGGGAAATACATGGAAAAGTAGAGACTGGTTGGTCCACTGAGCCCCTGTTACAGTTCTTGTCTCGGCACATCCTGGTTCAGCTCCCAGTCATGACTTCTCGCTCCAAGTCATCTCTTGCTCTCTACTCTCCACAAGTCCTGTTTCGCTTCATTTGTCCTATCATATATATATAAAAAAACAAAGAACAGCTAAGAAAGGGAGAGAATCCGGTCACTGTGGCTACAGAGCAATAGAAACACACTCATTCATGGCCCTCACTTCCACTCCTTCTGCTACTTTTTTAATGAACCATTCACAGAAGGCTCAAATGATGCCCCAGACATGATTATGAAAATGAGCTCTCAAGGCTGTGGATGTTATTGTCCACACAGGAAATTCTTACATCACTCTGCTCTCTTTAAGTAGGCTATCGTTTCCCTTCGCCATTCATTTAATTGTGTTTCACTGAGCTTTAAAAAAACACATTGTATAACAGCAGGCAATATCGCTATTGAAAAGTGGTGGCAAATAGGCTTATTAGATAACATTGTAGAGCAGGAAGAGAAAAGTTCATCCTACCTGTTATATTACTCAAACAAAAGTATCACTTTTCCAAATACATGTCTACATATAGTGTTTGCTAGAATCAAAACTAGGTTGAAATCGTTTTGGGTGTGACGACAACGATATTTACTAGCAAATAATATTTACAATAATGATGATGATGATGTTGATTTAATATCGTCTCTCTCTATAACAAACATATACACAACATGCATGTATTTCTTCAAAAGTATGGGGCCTAACAAACATCAGTATTCGCCAACCTGTTGAGGTTCTGTCAGTGTTGTGGCTGTGAAGGAGAGGGGAGCTGAGAGACACACAGTAGGCAGAAAGGAGCACAAATTCAGCTGCTAGCAAAGAAAATCCGACACCCGCCTACAGGTTCATGATCTTAGGTTCTGTCAGAGCAATACCCCGTTAAACAATTACAGGACAATAGGCATTCATTTTTCAGATTTGCTGTAATGTCTACTACTCATTCACTTATGACAACCTCTTGTTTACACACCATACTACTACTTTCTGTTATCATCCAGCAAAAGTATGCTATTAAAGCAACATGTTAAATCCTAATTTCTGAGTAAAAAATATTAATTTGTTACATAAGGCTAATTTGACAACTTGTCTGGTAGTTTATGGGTAACAAAGCCATGCATTAAAAAGAGCTATGCTTTTGAACTATACTTAAAATATCTTTAATATAGGACATATGCTACAGTACATTATGTACAATAAGATATGCTGAATTAAAAAAAACACAATAAGTGAGATGATATGTTAAATAGAATGTTATGTTAAATTCACCACAATATGGTCCATATACAACACGATTATTAAATTAAGTAAAGTTACCTACAACACAGTATGTTGAATACGTAAATGTTACATGTGAAACAACAAGTTAAATACAACAAGAGTCATAAGACAAGATGCATTATGTCAAATACAGTATAGTCCATTATACTATATATATTTATCTGTCTTCATCAAGGTCATCTCCTGCCCTGCCAAGGATACCCAACACAGCTACAACCACTAAGAGCATATTGCACAAATGTATCTGGGAAATGCTCCTGGTAGATCCGTGCAGATGAGAAAGAATGGCTCCCAACAGTGTGACTGCAGTTTTGTGTGCTTGAACTGCGGACAGTGGACGGTAAGCAGCTTTGTATTTGTTTAAACAGACTTTATTTCTTTAAGACAATAATACATATTTTAGTTTAGAAAGTTTCGAGTTTTACCAGCTTGCTTGTATCTTCACTTTCTTTAACATGGGTTATGTTGCTTGTAGGTACTCTGAAAATAAACTCTTGCCTTTTTTTAATGTTTTTGGTAACCTGGCAACAGCAGTTATGTGGAAAAGAGTCTGCTGCTTTCCTCGCCAAAAGATGCTCTTTTCCTGTATCTCTTTTCGCATTCATTCTTAATGTGTGTCGGAGGAATGAGATAGAAGCTGACTTCACATGTTCATTCAGCACTCAAGATATTTTTACAACCCTTTTTAAGCTTTTATTTGTCCATCTTCTATTTTCTTATAACTTCTGGTGGTCATTTTAAATTGCATTTATCTTAGTTAATCATAATTTATGAAATTAGCAAAGAGCTAATTTATTTTTCAACTGACAGTAAACTTCTTTTTCAAAGCTCTACCTGTCACATTCCTGTGGGTTTTCAAGATATGGCAGATATGTGGAGGTACTGAAAATGTACCTTCCTATTCTTTTGAACTCAGCCCCCTCTAGTGTTTGTCTCCACAGTGACAGGGAAATGGTGGGTGGGTCCTTAGTGTGTTAAATCCTAACGGTCGGCCTCTTGAGTGATACTTTATTGTTGGGCGCCTTAATTGGTCTCTTAGGAAAAAGTCACTCAAAATTAGGCTTTGTCCCAACATATTTGAAAATATAATACATAAGACTTTTAAGTATCCCTGGAGAAGTCAACGCCAACTGCATACAGAAGAGTCAAGATATAGTATGTAGTTTTATTTTTATTTTATCTAAAGTTTAAATTGTCACTTTAGCTGGTTGGCTGTCCTGTATATAACTCTCCATTGTTTGACAGCATTGGACTCAGGGGCTTGTCCACAGGGGTCTCCACAATATCTGTTTGGCCACCACAAAATCCTCAGCGTCTCTTCTCCTCAGAGTTCAGACTTTCAAATTGAAAGTTACGTATGTAACTACAGTTCTATGAATCCCGGATGACCGCCAGAGGTGGTGCTTCAAGCACTGAATGCATCCATCCATCCATAGCTAGCTATAGTCGGCTCAATTGCTGGCATGCGTCCCAAGCCAAACTTGGGTGCATCCTGCATGGCTGCCAGGGCCAGGCCATCAGATGTTGCGTGAGAGAGGGCTCTAGAATCTGTCCAGCAAGCATGCAGCTCCTTCAGGTAGTCCTCTGATGGAGGCCCAGTAAAGTTAGCCAGGGCCGAACCATGCCTGAAAAAGGCCACATAATAGCTTGGTATCTTGAATAAATGCCTTTATTTCGGTTAAAAAACATAAATAAAATCATTTTTAATTGCATAATAATAACCGAAAAATAGGCTATATGTAGGCCGGTAAGGGCAGACGATGTCCTTGTTCATATTTGAGGGTTATGGTATTTTAGCAGAATAATATTGCGTGAACTTTTTGTAAAATGTCCTACATCGTTAACACTTTTTGTAGTAGTACTTTTGTATTAGTATATTTAGGCCATAATAAGATAACATTATATAAACCATTAAGATTTAAAAATACAGATCAATTTTTTTATATTATTAATAGCTAGAATATTGGTTTAGTGACAAATTCTCAAAAACAAGCAGTGTTTTCTGATGAGCATAAATGATCTCAGAGGGTCACAAAACTGCTGAATTTTGTGAAAGTCAAAATTGAGAGGTGATAAATTAGCATTGACTAATGATTGTTATTGCTCAGGGACATTAATAAAACATTGGTTTGTGGACAAAATCAAAAACATGCATGAAATCTTTGAAAAATGAGTGTGAATTCAAAGAGGATTATATTGATGCGTTTTTGAAAGACATAGTTTTAATCTGTCAACTGAACATAATTGTGTTGTTGTTGTTGTACAAATGTACAATCTGCACTCATACATATAAACAGTAAATTAAATGTGTAGGTGGTTACTGTTGACATGAATGTAGAGGGGGTAAAGCTGATAATGGAGGCAATCAAAATCATAGGGGTGGTTTTTCTACCTTTAGCTTCTTCATCAGACACATTTCTTGTAATTTTATTTTCTAAAGAGGATATTGTGATGATAAATAATGCAAACATATCGTATTTGACATTGCGTGTCTTGTTGTTTGAGGGCAGTGGAGAGAAAACAAAATGTGCACCTGCCACTGGAATGGTCTCTTCCACTATTCTGCAAGCCTCCCCTGAATGAGTCATCCAGCCGGCTCCTCATTGGATAAGACCATGCCATCCCAAGGGATTGCCTTGCAGAGGCAGAAAGGCCTTGCTTCCATTCACAGAAACATTGGTATGCCTGCCTGCTATTTCATTCACATAAAAGACTAAATATTGCATGCTTTTTTTGTCCTCCGCTCCTTTTCTCCATTGTGTTTTTGTCTCCTCTTCTGATTAGCGAGGGCCCGCCTTTTCTTCCCTGCTTTTGTGTTTGCCTTTTTTTTTTTTTTTCAGAAGGCAGACGTGCTGTTTTTTTTTTTTTTTTCTATATTTGCCAGGGAGGAAAGAGAGAGATGTTGGGAGGGACTGCAGTGCGAAATCTGCGGCAGAGTGAGAGCGGAAGCTGCTTATGAATGAGTGTCAGTCTTTGGGCTTTGCTAGACGCTCCTGAGGACATTTTTTACATGAATGGTGTCCGGCTGTTGCTTTCCGCTGCCGGGCAGACAAAGATGCTTTATTGCTGCTGGTTTTAAGGAGACTCGTGGGCTTTTTTCTTCCTGTCGTCCTTCTGCTTGTTTGATTGACTCATCTGCCTCAGAAGCATGTGATTCATGTTGCGTTTGTTTGAGTTGTATCGTCTGTGCAGTTAAGGCTGGACCATTAGCTGGATATTACAGACCAGCTCTGAGATTTGTTTCATATTATATAACGCCATTTTTTTTAATTCATTGTTACAGAATACTGTTTGGGCATTAGTGCTTCTGATAGACAGCTCATCTTAATGGAAAAAAGGCTTCATTAAGTGTTTGCTTTAATGCCTTATAATGACGATTTTGTGCGTAGACATCACTGGATTAACCAGTCTTAGTTTTTTACAGGTAAATAACTGAGAGCTGTCCTTCTGCGGTTATTTTAATGAACATGGAACATACATTTATTACATTTCACATGTCAGTTTATGCTAAATTTCTTTGGTATTTGGTATGATTTCAAGGGACATCCTCTACGTCTTTAACACAATGACGTTTTTTCAAACGTTTTCTGCTAATTCTTGAATCAAAGCCTTGTATTGTTTGGTAAGAGAGGATTTCTGCAGGCGCTCACATTGCAGCTTTTAAATGGATGCTTGTTATCATTACTTTTTAATTTTTAATCATCCTTGTGATCAGTTTATTGCATGTGGCATCCATTTGACGCAACTTTTATCAACTTATCCACTTTCCGATGTGAATTCCAGGAAATGATTATGGACGATTTTGTTGCAAAGTTAAATTATCAAGCTCCCCCCTCGTCCTTCATTTCCTTTTCTCTGAAAAACAAATGAGACTTGGAAGAACCACAGAGGATAAATATCAGACTGGGGAATTTGAAAAATTGATTGGTCCTGGTGTGCTGTAAGTGGGAGGTTTTTTTTTTTCTCTCCCTCCGACAGGAAGTGATTTGCAGTGTTCAGCAAGCCTTTTGTTGAGAAGGTTTTCTCAGATCAGTGAGTCATGCTTTAGCTCGGAGCCGGCAGGCAGGCAGGCAGGCAGTCAGCAGAGAGTGTTTGCTCTTCCCTCGCAGTATCATCGACAACACAGACCTTTTTGTCTTCTTTTACTTTTTGGATTTTTGAGGCTAGAAATCAGCAGCAGCAGCAGCATCACCATCACCGCTGGAAACCAAACAAGCTGCACCACAACACTGGCAGCCTTTTAGAGACTTTTTTTCTCACCATCACCCTCTTCTTCCTCCTGCCTCCTCTGCCTCTGTGCTGTGTTTCCATGGATTGTGTCCGTATATTTCCCTCTGACGGATTGGATTGCAGCTCTGGATTTCATTGACAGCACATTGGACTTTGGCAACAGCGGCAGCTCCACACAACCAGCACTGTAACCTCAATAGAGAAAATTACAGTCAGGTGGCCTGTGATTTGCTGAAAGGCGTTTGCTGCCCGTGTCGCCGCTGCTATGTTACAGGAGAGGGTAATCAGCACGGCTCAGCCACGTCTGCCAGCACGCTTGTGAACGAGGCAGGCTGCGCGTGTCACTCGGCGGAGAGAGGGGAAGGAAGAGCAAAAGAGAGGGAAGGGTATGCTTCACCGTACCAAATACAACCGCTTCAGGAATGAGTCAGTGACATCCGTCGATGAGCTTCTCCACGGCCTGTCCATGAACCCCAAGGTCTCGGCCAACCCCCAGTCTGCAGCCGAGACATCCTACACACCCCCGACTGAGGTTCAGCCCTCCTCTGCTAGCACAACTGCTTCTTCCAGCACCGCCGGCGACCACCTGGAAGATGGAGGCACCACCCTCTGCACCCTCATCAACAAGGTGTCCAACCTGAAATTCAGCAACTCGGGCAGCCTCCTGGGTATTAAAGGTCTGCCCTCGGCTGTCAAGGACCTGGCTGTGTCTAAGCTGCAGGTGGGTGGGGGATCGGGCTCAGGCGGCTCCAGTGGCCCGAGCCCCAGTGCAGCGGCTACAGTAGCAGCAGCCTCTGGTGTGGGCGGCTCTCTGTGCAGCTCCCATTCAACCCCCTGCTCGCAGCTGGAGCCGGCTGTCAGCATGAGCAAGAAGAGCAGGCTGGAGGAGCACCAGGGTGGCAGAGAGGACTGGAACCCAGGTGGAGGTGGTGGACTGGTGAGCAAACCCTCCAGAGGGTGGCTACACTCGAGCGAGAAGATCTCTGGACCAGGAGTGACATACATTGTGAAGGTTGGTGCTCTCTTGTCTCATTTTCTTTATTTTTTTATTTACACATCCTCTCTTTTCTTTCAATGACTCAAGCTTAGCTGCCTGCACGGAGAGAGATAATGTAGTTTCATTGGTACATCACAACATGCCCTTGAGTGGGCGGATGTAGGTTGGGAGGCTGAGTGAAGGAGCAGCGACCAGAAAACAGACATTGAATAATTCAAGAAATCGAGACGGTCAACATTAGAGGGAAAAACAGTGATGTGGAAACAAAAAAAAAAAAAGGCTACTCTGCGTGTCGTTTTGCACATGCTGTAAACATTTTAATATCCCCTCTGTGTTGTGTATGTGGAGCTGCAGCGTTATGCTTTTGTAACCATGGTGATGTGTTATTTCTGTACATTGTGCATCTCTTTGAGCTCACATAGTGAAATGGTGGAATAGGAAGGAGGAAAAAAAAAAAGGCATACAGCACGGCAATGTTTGCATCATCACATCTCACGTTCGTGTTGCTCAGCCATCATACATCATTTAAAGGAGCACAAGTTGGCGCACAAGTACGAGAGCTGTGAATGTCATCATGCCGGCAATGAGTCACTCGCATGAGGAGTGATGATGCTGAGCCCCGGCTCTTGAAGGTGTAAAGTGAATGAGGAAAAAAAAACGGAAGGAACCATTCACAACAGCAGCATTTAGCAAGTCCTACCATTATTCTGGCCTCTTTTTTTATTCATTCAGCTCGTGAACAGAGAAATTCACTGTCCGTTTGAAAGCCTGCTGCAAAGTGAAACCATCCAAATGAAGTTACACGGTTTGATTGCCATCATATGACACTTAATACAACTCTCCTAAACAAAGCCTACAGTATCTGTGACCAGCGTGACTCTCCATTAACTGCATTAAGGACGGGAGCGCTTATTTGTCCGGTCAATGCCGCTGAAAGCATCCACACTGTGAGGGGGGGGGGGGAATGTGTCTGGTTCATACCCCCACCCGGCTCTCTGCTTCGCCTGAGCTTTGAGTCCCTGTGTGTATTGAGTTCATCGTGGTGTTATGCTCACAGCACTTTTAATTAGCGTCATGTGGTCACTCCCCTCACATCACGCACCATTACTCTGAGGGGACATTGATTGACAGTGACAGTGTTTTCACTCACACTTTTAGCCAATGCTAGCTGTGTGTTCAAAACACATTCTGTCCTCTGAAAAGAGCTGAAATCATCTGAAACACACGACAATGAAGCTGTTTAATTATTATTTGTGGAATCATCACTAAGAGCCTTGTTCATATGGTCATGTGATCTGTTGAATATTTAAGTATCATTATCACCATCCATCTTTCATTAGTTAGTATGTTGTAATAGAGTCCATGCATGTTAAAATCAACTCGTAGTAATGTCTAGAATACAAAAACTGTGATGATATAATGTTTTTAAAGTAAACAGTCTGCTTTGCTGCAGATGTTTTTTTAGATCGTTATATTCTTAAAAAAAAAAAAAACAACAAACCTCATTAAAATGCAGTTCAAGGGTTGACTGTTATTGGTTTTCGAGGGCTGATACCAATACGGTTGTTCGTATTGAGACTAATAACCAGTATTAAGAACCGAGATACATTTACAGTGAAAATGATAATCTGTGTTCCAAAGCAAGTGTTAAAAGGAAGTCGAAAATTTTAGCATCATAGACAGGAGTTAACAGTTAACTAGTCACACTTACAGCTTTGTCAAGTCAAACAAGTAAACAGGGTGATGTAGTTCTTGAAATACTTTTACTCATTGGTCGTTTAGCTGGAAAGTTTTCGAAAATCACAGCACACATTTTAACATCGACTGTTGTCTGTTATGTTGCTTTGACCGCGAGAACGCCAAAATCATAGTTGGAATTGGAATTCTAAATATTTCAATTCCTTTAAAACTTCACTGTAACTTTCAGCTGGTGTCAATTTTGACGCCTGTGCAGTTAGCTTGTGTATAAAAATAATGTTATTTTTTTCTAATTGTCTAATGTGTGTCTCTTAAAGAATGAATGCTTTGGAAATATAAAAAAATTGTATTTTTTCTGATTCTAAACGCATCTGTATCAGAGTTAATTGATATTTAGGGGACCATCTAGACCACCACAGAGATTGATTTTATTTGTGATTTTCATGTTCCTCCTAAAGCTTGACTTTTTTTTCTAAAATTCACAACTAAAATCTTGTTAATTTAAAACTATTCTTTCTAAATTACAAATTTGAATCAATTTATGACTTTTTTCTTATAAATGATAGATTTTTTTTTTTTATCTTGTGTGACTTAATTCTTGTAAAACTAGGTCTTTATTCTTTAAGTGTAAAAGAAAATAAAGTGTCCTTAATGTGGCTGTGAAAAATTTAATCCAGGCTTTTGTGACAGATAGGATTCAGGAGATGATGAGGAGATGAAAAAAGCTGTTTGATATCAAAATCAAACTATTGCTCCTGAGGTCAACTTGTTTTTTTACATTAGAAATATTGAAAGCACAATCCGTATCACACTGTACAGTTCAGACATTTCACATGTAAATATCTTGACCTTTGGTACTCAACTTTATCAAGTCTGAATAATTCTGAACAATCAGTTGTGTTCTTGTTAGATCTTTAGAGCTGGTCTCCCATTGATTCCCTTAATTTATTTAAAGTACGGCTCTACAGTGTGAATCATGAACTTGTTTGTTGTTCACAATAAGAGAGAAATGTCCTCACGTTGTGCTCAGAATAGCTCTCCTCCAATTTTTAGAACGGTTTGAAATATCTTTGGCCCCGCTGAATCGTGCTCTCCAAACTCACCGTGCTAAAAGTAGCTTCATTAAAAGTGTGCAAACGTCAGGTAGACAAAATAGTGTTTGTTTAGAAGTTCTCGCACAGTGCTCCCTGGAGAAAAGCTGTCTCGTAAAACAAAAAGTTATGGTCCTGATCACTTCTCTTTACTTTGACGAGGATTGAAAAAAGACACGTTGTGTGTCTGAATGGCTGTTTTGTTTTCAGACAGTTTATGAATGTGAGTCTGTTAATGAAAGGAACTCATCAGCACAAAATGTTCTCAGTCTGTACAATATTAATCAGAGGTGTTGTAATGTGAGTAGGTGGCTGGTGATGAACCGGTTTTTGCGGGATAGGAGGACGGCCGTCACTTGATGTGTATAGTAACACAACGGTGTAGCTGCCCACTCAGAAAAGACACATCTAGGGCTGCAGCTATCGATTATTTTAGTAATCGAGTACTCTATCGATTAATCTGTCGATTAATCGAGTAATCGGATAAGAAATGTTTTGCTCTCACTGTAATACTTTGCATTGAATCACGTTTGCCTCATTAAAAACCATCAGTAACACACAAAACTGAAATAGGCCAGGTCTTTCAAATGAATATTTTTACTGCATAAATCAGGAACCAAAAGTTTTACATTTTACCATGTAGTTCACATGAAACTACTGAAGGCAAGGTCTGCAGATGGTCTTTTAATTGCTATGGTAATGATCTTTGCAGTTTTCACTAAACCAGTCACAACTATTTCCAGGCTTTGGATCTAATTTTACTTGTTTAATTAATAGGCTGAAATAATATAATTCTTGGATACTAACATAATTTGACAAGCAAATGTACATTTATTCAATATATAAAAGTGTTACATTTTTATTTACATGTTGTTGTGTGTTGGTCATTTTGCAGCCCTCTGCTGCTCATCACACGCCTAGCAGGTGGTGTATAGCATTATCACCATGGATACACGGATGTTTGTGTGATTTTTTTCATCCACTGCCGCCCGGTTTGTGTCGTGTAGATGTTGATTATGAAAACACTTCGCAATAATTTGGAAACGTGAAGGGGGAGCTGCTGCTGCCCGGTGTTTACGGTAAATAGACGCAAACACCGACCAAGTGGACGCTTCGGTCTCCGAAAACGCCGAGACAAATTTACAAACAGCCACTATTTCAAACAACTGGGCTCATAATCGTGATGTAAACACTTACTTTCTCGCTAGAAAAAATATTATTATTGAATGAATTTATATAATTTGTCCGGTATGCAGTCGTTCTATGTAGCTTGTGGTAGGACTATTTAAATTTTCCCGGCGCTGCGTCCGGCCGGCACGAAATGCATTCTGGGGTATTTAGTATGTATGTGTGTAAACGCTCGGGCAGCCGCGGCATACTCAAATCATCTTTGAGTAGTCAGTAGGCAGTAGCTACTGCTTGAGTAGGTAAGTAGATAGCAGGCAGTATGCCATTTCGGACACAGCTTCTGTCTGTCCTCGTTTCCCTCCATGATTGAACCAAACGCGCGGCAGCGGAAGGAGCGGAAAGAGCACGCTTCTGCGCAACAGAAATAACCGTCCGTGTCAAACACCGTGCGCTGCACATGGTTCCGGATTTAAACGATTCCTCGAGGCATATAATTTGCCTCGAGGAATTTTATTAATCGAGTTACTCGAGTTACTCGAGTAATCGTTTCAGCCCTAGACACATCCTTTGCTTGAACACAATACCATTAACTGTACATTATTAAGATCAATGCCCACATAATATGGATATCCTATATTAAAGGATCAAATAACTACTTTTAACTTAAGTTCTCTAAAAGGTGAAAATACTGTCATTGAAGACAATCAGCATGTTAAAAACTATGTTTTAAATCGTATTAGTTCTTATAATATGTATTTTAACTCTAAAGTTTGACCCATGACAGTCAGCTGGGGGAGTGCCAACTGTTCTGGCTTCACTTTTGGGATTCTGCCACACTGTTTATCTTTTTGCAGCCTATACTGTAGACTGGTTTTGTGCCATATTATACCTTATTACTGTAAAAATCAGAATGATATGAAAGGGTGTCTCAAAAATGAGCCGCAGTTTATAGTGCAAAATACTAGAGCTAGATATATATGTGTCTAGACAAAATAAATGATTGATTTGGTATCGTAGGCCCCAGATCTCTGTGTCTCAGCTGCCTTTGGCTGGGGCTGTAGCGTCTGTTAATGGCTACTGTTATAATGCTCTACTACCTGAATGTAAACATGCACAGAAGACTGATGTAATTCTGTAGCGTGGTAGGGTTTATCAGTATTTTTATCTTGAAAATAAAGATTGAGGTGCATAACCAGTAAAGAAATGTGGACAGTAACCTGAAATGGGGACCAAAGGCTAGTTGTGCTTATCCCGTTAGTGTTAGACACACTTGGCAAACAAGGCATTGTTAACCTGCAGACTCTGTGAGCCTTTGTTTTGCCGCATTGAATAAATTGCACATATTTTGACTCTTTTCTGATCATTTTTACACCTTAAGAGTAGTTAGTTAGCCGGGATTTAAATTTAGCTAAGTGTACAAACTACCAGGAAAGTGTTTTCTTTGGAAAGTCACTTGGGAGAACATTCAAAAACAAACTAAGTATCTGATGTTGCAAATGGCTTTGTCTCCAGTGCCCCCTAAAAAGCCAAGGAAACTCAAAGGTCATGTGGGAAAATGCCCACTTCACAGCAGATTTGGACATGTTTAAAACCTGACACAACACATTAAACTTTTAATGGGTCACTTTTTGAAGTCTTAAATCACTCTATGGTAGACTTTTCCCTGTAACTCAATAGTTTTGAATCATGCGTAAATTTGCGTAACTGGAAACACGGTGATCTGTCTTTTGGATGATCAAGTCTTCGTTGAATGAAAGTTAGGTTGAATTAGTATTTCCAGTATGCCTTTTAAGAATCCTGAATGCACTTTGATTTACAGTTCAGTTCTGAGCTTCAGTTCACATTATTTAGTGTGTTTGATTTGAATGGACAGATATGTCAAGTATGTTTTTTTTATGTCCTAGATGATCTGATAATCATGAAGATTTTACATTCACTCTCACTGAGATGTATTTCACACAGACTTTCTGTTCTTGCTCCCCAGTATCTGGGTTGTATAGAAGTCCTCCGGTCCATGAGGTCCCTGGATTTCACCACAAGATCACAAATCACAAGGTATGTGTATACAGTTCAGTTGTTATTTCACCTTCTGCTTTAATGAAAAACTGCGTATTTATTGACAGTTTCATTAAATAATTTTGACTATTTCTATTTTGTTTTGTTCTGCACTGTTGCCATATAGCCTGACCAAATAGAAACATTTTAAGAATAACAAATCTCAGCTTTTGAACAGTAACGAGGACACGAATTCCTCAGAAAATGCCTTGTTATGTCTTATTTGATGTTCCTTCATGATGCATATTCTGTACATATTTCCATCTGTTTGAACCTCATGGAGTTCACACATACAGAATAATGACTACAATGGTAAATAAAAGGGAATTATTTGGAGGGTAAAAAGTAAAGTGAAACCAAAAAAAAAGAAGAATAGTTGGAGATGTAAAGTAAAAACAGAGCTTTGGAAAACATGGTCGAATTGAATTGTGTTAGCTGAGCACAGTTATAGGGTGCCTGTTATCAGAATTTGTTTTCATGGAATTGTCTATGACTCCTCACGAGTCTTTGAATTTATTGACCAATGTGCAGTGAGCCAAAGGCCGACAGTAAATCGCTTTGTGTCATGTCCGCTTTTATGCTTGACTTCCTAAAGTCAGTCCAGACTCGCGTGAGCTTACGCACGTGCCAGACACTCGTGCGTGCGTGTGCGTGTGGTTTTCACAATCTAATAAGGAGAGAACAGCAAACACAGAGAAAACAATGTCTCATACAGTTGCTGTTATTAGGTGTCTTCATTTCTTTAAAAACAAAAAAGAAAACATTTGCCTTTTCTCCTCGTTGAAATACCAAAGTTTCTGTTCCTGTCTCTGACTCTTATAGATTGAAGCTGCACTCTATATTTAGCAGCTTTCTTATCCACATATTGTTTAATTTGCATGAAAGTAAATGACAACACTATGATGGCAGCTGCTATTAGTTCTCCTCACATCCTAAACACAGATGTAGACTGCCCACTGTGGTTTTTTATTTCATAGTAAATCAGACACAGTTGTGGTTTGGTGCATTTGCAATATTCCCTATGCTCCGTAAAAAGCACTTAACACTACACTGTGAATCCTGACCCAGGTCTCCTGTGGTTAGGTAGATTTCATTTGAAGTGTAACAACCTATATAGCTCTTTTCCTCTCATCTAGTCAAGGATAAGTCAGGATTTATCGTCATGCTAATAAAGACAAAAGGCGTATTGAAGCACAAGTGGTTGAGTAAACACAATAACAAATAAGACAGTAATTTTATGACATAGAGGAAGCAATACTGTGCATAAAAACCAACAGATATGTATCATTATCATGGAAAGTGTCAAGTCTCACTACATGCCAAACTACAGTGATTCTGCTCCTGTCTGTGGTCATCATCTTGGCCTCTTCCTCCTCTTCTCATCCCTCCAGGGAAGCCATCAGCCTGGTGTGTGAGGCCGTTCCAGGGACCAAAGGAGCACTGCGGAAGAAAAAGGTACATGGATGGACAGAGTAGGAGGGGGATGGTGTGATCACGTGGAAAGTGATGCCCACAGAGAGACACACACACAAAAAAAGAGCATTAGATCTTCATTTACCATGCCAGGTTCTATTTATAGTTTTGTTTCTCTAAGTTCATTTTTTTTCTGTCACTCTTCCTTCATGAAAAAAAAAAAAAAGAGAGAGAGGAAAAAAGAGATTGCAGGTATAAAAGAAAGAGGCAGAGGTGGGAGAGAAGAGAGATGAAGAGGTATGGGACTGTATGTGTGTGGGTGTAGCTACAGCCCACAATGCATTGCACACCGCACACAGGGCTTAGTGACTCATGTAGTGCACAATATCTGTGATCAGGAGGCTGAGCTAGAGAGAGAGAGAGAGGGTGTGTGTGTGTGTGTGTGTGTGTGTGCGCGCGCACCAAGGCGTGTGTGTTTTCTGCATGTTTTTGTGAGTGTCTATTTCGTGTGTGTGTGTGAGGAAACAGTTTCTGAATGTTGGGTGTGAAATGAGGCATTACTCTGCTCTCTAGAGCTTGTTCAAATGTCAGGGAAGAGTATATAACACCAAATCAGCCCCAACTATTTCACTCCCATAACACAGGCGAAGATATACGAGGATGATCTCATCTGCTATGAATCATATATAAGCTATGGTGACATGTGCAATGAGATTTTTGAATGAGTGCGCTAGATATATATATATTTTTAATTATCAATGAACTTCACCGTATCGAGCCCAAATTATGTCAGTAAAAGAGTGGATGCGACAGACAGATGAACAAAGTGACCAGTTCAGAGATGATATTTGATCACAGAGAATCGTGTTGAGCTATAAGGTCAGTCAGTGGATGTCAAAACTGCAGTCTCATTGAGTCTCTGTTAACAGTGACAGACAGCTAATTCATATGACAAATGTTGAACATGCATCAGGGCATCAGCATGCTATTTTAACACAACTGGGGGTAGAAGTCCCCTTACCTGTTGCACAAACAAGCAAGACAGTCTCCTTTCTGGCAGTTTTGGCAGAGTCCTCTCTGCAGAACAGGACTGTCTACTGATACAAAGCTCCCACCACATCAGTGTAGAGGCATAATTGCAGTGAAAAAAAAACATCAACAAGCACTGTCCCAGCAAAATGGTATTCTGATCTCAGGAGACATCTTATCACCTTGACTAACCTGTCCTGTGTCAGTCAGAAATGTTTAATTCTTCTTAGCTTAACTCTGAAAAAGGAGCCAAAACACAAGTCACAATTTCAGGTTCCTTCTAAAAATGTAAAAAATCTGACAAACAGTGTATGTCAACATGATAGGCAGCAGTTTGTTGGCATTAAGGTCCTCTTTGCAGGGGCTGGTTTAGCTCAGTGGTCAAATGACACACCATGACTCTTGACCCCATGTCTTTCCCAACTATCTCTTTTCCATCTTTCCACTCTCCTATCTTCCAATAAAAGCAAAAAAAGTACTCATACTGAAATTCTACTTCCAGGAGCTTTAAGTTGCAAAACTTGAATTTGGATAAGGTACTACTGTTGGAGTTGGTGACTGGGCTTGCAGAAAAGAAGAGTGTGATCCAACTCTGAATAAAAGGACTGCAGTCTTCTCTCAGTATACTTTACAATTCATCTTTTATATGTGCGTTTTTCCTCTCAGCCACCATCCAAAGCCCTGTCTAGTATCCTGGGGAAGAGTAACCTGCAGTTTGCTGGCATGTCCATCAACCTGAATATCTCCACCAGTAGCCTCAACCTGATGACCCCTGATGGCAAGCAGGTCAGTGTGCAAGCTTTACTCATGTGTAATCATGTTAAGAGATACAAACAGTATCACTATTTTATCAGAAAGAACAATTATAAGAAGGCGGTAAACAAGGGCACACGGTGTGTCCAGATGTTGGAAGAGTTACCAAAGATGGTTGACTCTCCAGCTGCACATCACTGCTGTATATTTAGCCAGAGTAAATGAAAGTGTCTCTTTGTGGCAGCAGTGGTCAGTGGTTGTACTGTTCAGTTCTGTCTGCTAAAGTGTCCCTCAAGGTTTGGCCAGCAGATGGCGACATTGTAAAAGACTGATTGAAATTCTACATGTACCTGCGGTTTATTTGCATTTGTATGTGTCTGTGTTTAAACACAATTTTCTAACTTTGAATGCTGTATAATCTTTGCTTTTGACAGATCATAGCCAACCATCACATGCAGTCCATCTCCTTTGCATCAGGTGGAGACCCTGTAAGTAGCTCTGTGGCTTGTCCTTTTTTTGCACAGTACACCTTTAAAATAATTTAATATTTAAAAGCCCGAAAAAAAAAACAGTTTTAGTTTTATGATTAGATGTTTTTTCATTAAACAAGCAGCGAAAGGAAAGTAACAAGGAAGGTAGCAGACAGGGTCGTTACAGGCAATAACTCACAAAAGTGTTTGTTTCCAAAATGTAAATCCAAAGCTGGGCCGTGGGGGCGCATTCATTTCTACATCATATCCAACACAAATTGAAGAATGTGACATCTGTACAGGACGGGACAAGCACTTTCAGTTCATTAAATTTGTATAAGATTTCCAGGGTTCCCAATACCTCTCAAACTCAGCACTGGCATATCTCAGGGAAAATGTCAAATCTCCCCTATGATCTCTGTCCATTCTGAAATAGTTGGTGGGTCCTTGCTGAGCCATTTTCTGGATATTGCTTTATTGCAGCCAACCAAAAGAATCTGTGTCAAGTACCTGTCTTGTTTCCTCGTAGTTTTTAAATAAAGTAAATAAGAATGAAAGAGCGCTCTATATCTGAACCGAGGATTGAAGTGATTTTTTTATCGTACATTCCCAAAATGGTGAAAGTGCAGGACACTCCCCCGAAAAAACAGTTCTAACATTTGTTTTTGTCTCTTTTCCAAGGAAACCACAGATTATGTTGCCTATGTAGCAAAGGATCCTGTCAACAGAAGAGGTATTTTCCATTTAGACTCTTTTTAATTTACTTTACAGTGTCTTAACCTAACATGCAGTACACTAATTCGGCTCTGATTCTTCCCAGCATGCCACATTCTTGAGTGCTCTGACGGCCTAGCCCAGGACGTCATCAGCACCATCGGCCAGGCCTTTGACCTTCGCTTCCAGCAGTACCTGCAGTGTCCCTCGAGCAAACTGTCCTCCACACATGACAGGTGAGGTGATTGGCAGAAGCTCAACACACACACACACACACACACACACACACACACACACACACACACACACACACACACACACTCAAAGAGTATTGGGTTTAATATTGACTGTGATTCTCCTCAGGGTATTAAACATGGAGGAGTTACCATGGACAGAGGAAGAGGAGGAGTCAGCTGAACATCCTTATTATAACAACATCCCTGGAAAGATGCCACCGCCAGGAGGGTTTATTGATGCACGGCTGACCAATCAGAACGCAGCTCCAGATGGATGCCAGGTACTGCCGGAATATGATCAGGAACTTCAACACAACATTCAAACAATGGGTAACACATGTCTGTGTGTTCATATGTGATCAGGTGGGTCCAGGTTCAGTAGATCAGACGTATTACCAGGGGCGGCACTGTGGAGAGAACTGGGGAAATGAAAGAAAGCCCATTTTCATACAACAGGGTAAGAATAACCACACCTCTCACCACTTTTGGTGATTTTTGTTCGATAAATTCACCGTGGCTGATTTTCGCTCCAAAATTCTCTGCCGTAGGATCGTTTGACATAAGCAGTCTACCCGAGAGTAAAGGTCAAACACCAAAAACGGGAGAGATGCCAGCGTACGTGAACACTCAGCAGATCGACGCCCAGGTGCTCGCAGTGCTCCAGGCAGAGGCGGAAAATGTGACCAAGGGTATGGCAGCTGCAGCCAAAGAGAGCCCACAGAAGGACCTGTTTGACATGAGTAAGTCCTAGTTAGTTTCTGCTGTTCATCTGATTGAATAAGATTAATCTGTTAAAGTGGTGCAAAGTATCTAAAGAGGAGCAGGGCTCTTAATTATACAGTTTTTCCATGAGTGTGGCATTGTAAAAGCACCATATGAGGATAAATACTATAGGAGAATGGTGTTAATACCAGAGCACAGAGTATATTATTTCCTTCTTTCAAGTTTAAGCTCAGCTGTGTAATTATGACCCATGAATGATCAATTATGTGAGCGCGTGTGCAACTTTGAATGAAGAATCAATGACACAAATTACATGTGAGCATGCATGAGCAGAATTTAAAATCTGACCTCAGGTATCATTTTCCACCCACATTAGTCCTCAAACTGCTGCTATTGTTCATCTTTAGCATGGAAGTTTATTTCTGATACATGCCAGAGCAATGTGATTGGAAGCAAAGCTGTGAATCTGCTTTAGATGGACGTTATTTTTTAAATGTTTCATAATAGTTTAGCTCTAAAGACATTGTAAATGTGTACACATCTGCTTAAAGATGTGCAGGGCGGTGCTTGATTTAGTTTATGTTTCTCTGCTGTGCTCTCTGTCACAGCCGCTACACAGCTAACTTTTCTTATTCACTGTTTGGTAAATACGTTTAATACCCCAGTATCACTTATTTTTTCTATTTGTCCCAACCTGTCATTATGACACCATCACGTACTTTCTCACTACCTTTTAATGATGATTCAGAGACTGTAATTAACACAAGATATAATAATAATAATAATAATACATTTTATTTAAAAGCGCCTTTCTGGACACCCAAGGACACTGTACAGGCATTAAGAACACAGTTAAAACACTGTTAAAATAAATAAAAACAATATATATTCTAATACTATGAAATCTTGAGTATTTTGCCTTTTAGTTAGAGATGCACTGATCGGCTTTTTTCACTTTTGATACTGATATAGATATTTACAGTTTAGTATCGGCCGATACAATCTGATTTCCAATACAGAAAAGCTGCACTGGAATACCAAACAAATGGTCTCTCTTATTGTGTGGAAAACACTGGGATCATTCTTTTGTGCATCACACTTAACTTAAGAACTTCTTTCTTATTTTAAAGAAACAACTTCAGCACTCAGCGTGTTTACCAGACCGCCCCCCCATGCATCGGGCCTCTTGATACCCGATCTATAATTTTTCTTCAGTATCAGGATCTATTCCGATACCAAATATCGGATCGGTGCATCCCTACGTTTAGTATCATGGACTATATTGAAATGTTTGTTTGCATACAAGATGTTTTGGTAACATTCTACATGAATCTACCCCTGTAGATGCATCATAAGCACATTTATAAGCCTCATAAATACATCTATAAGGATTTATAACAACCCTGATCCATGATTATAAGCGTACATAACAGTAAAAAAAGAAAGACTACCTCGCTGTTTTTATGGTTCCTCTTCATTCAAGATGTAAATGCAGGTACTGAGTAAAATATGCGTAACAGCACAAAGATGGTAAAACTGTAAGCTTCAATTCATCTGTGATTTGAGCTAATTTAAGATCATTTTAGCATTACTGAACAGTATTTTATACATCATGTTGCATAAGCCTTTTGGAAACACTGCTCAATAGCGCCCCTAGTGGTCAAAAATTCAAACAGCAGATGAGTTAAATGATTTAGTGATAGTCCTCAAAACTCAGATCTTGAATTAACGCTCTGGGTGAATAGAAAATGCAATAATCAGTCCGTTTAGTAGTGGAGGGACAGAAAAAGTAAGTAATCAAGGTAATCTCCTGTCCTAATTTGTCATTCTGGCCCGGCCCTCACATGTACCAGAACCCTTCGAGGATGCCATTCAGTCGCAGTCCCACCCACCCTCCCAGGGACAGGTCCAGTCGCAGGTTTCAGGTCTTCAGAAGGCAGCATCTGTGGACAACTCTAGCCCTCTTCTCGTGCGTTCACTGGCCTTCCGGGCACAGGAGGAGCTGGAGGGACAGATATGGTACCATGGCAAAATGAGCCGTCGGGACGCTGAAAAACTCCTGAAAGAGGACGGGGACTTCCTGGTTCGTAAAAGTACGACCAACCCGGGATCTTATGTACTGACAGGCATGCACAATGGACTCGCCAAACACCTGCTGCTGGTGGACCCTGAGGGCACGGTAAGAGTGGGTTAAAATAGGGGGATTCTGCAGATAAGGATTTATGGTCAACTTTGCTGAAGCTGTTCTGTCTTTTTCCCTCTCCTTATTTTTTTTTAAAGGTACGGACAAAAGATCATATATTTGACAGCATTAGCCATCTTATTGGCCATCACCGTGATAACAATCTGCCCATTGTGTCTGCTGGGAGTGAACTGTGTCTCCTACAGCCTGTTGGAAGGAAACAGTGATTCTTGCAATGCCTGATGGGAGACGGGAAGCACTGGACAGTCATTCCTACCATCCTGAAACTTGAAGATGAAACTCGGAGAATCAATGCTAAAAGGCTCAATGCACTGATGGTGATTTTTTTGGGAAAAATTAGCCCATGGTTACTTTACTGGAGGCACTGGAAGATGCAAGATTTGTTTAAGATAAAAAAAAATATTTATAGAACTGTTATTATTTTGTTGTGATGACTGAAATGCTATATTTTTGAGAAGACATAGGTGTATTTGGACATAATATCTTGATTTGGTGTATAAAAAGAGACAATTGTTCTTGTAGTTTAGATGAAGTGCAAATCAGACCTCAAAGAGGTGTTAACAAGAGTATTTTAGAATAAAAACCTGAAATTTTAGTTTTGTCTGTCAAGCACAACCACATTTCTACAGGAAGAGTTGGTGAAGAGATGGAGGAAACAAAAACAAATGCTGTTTATAACAAAATTACTTTAGGAAACATTTCCTTTAATCTCACTAATGGCGTGACAGCTCACTCAATTAGACTCTCTATGAAACCTGCTTTTTCGGGGGGTTAGAACTGAATGTGTTTTGCTTTGCAGTAGTCAAGTATCAGGGTGCAAACAGACATCCTCCATAGTGCTGTCAATGGCTTTAAAGATTTTTTAATGAAGTATTTTCTTGTGTCACTGCGGTCGCATGACTTAAAATCAACTGTTCTTGTGGACATTGTTCGTAGACCTTGATACCCCTCGTTTGAAAGAGGTGCTTGTGTATGCTGACACTGTAAAAATATTTATGCTTTTCAACCAGTAATTATTTCTGATTGGTTTGATCTGGATTCTTCTTTTCGGTGTGTAGTTGATGATTAGTTTCAGGGGCTTGAGTCATGCATTGAATATGTTTCAGCCTTATTTTGGACAGACTTTAAAAAGTTATCGTTTCAATCATCACAAATGAGCACAATCAAAGAATTAAATCAGTTAGATCATCTGTGTCATTTGAACCAAGATGAATTACCAGTGTGATATGAGTGGTTATTTACAGTTTAATCTGAGCCCACTTAATACAGAATGTTTAATATTAGACCACTTTCACTTGTTGATGTTTAACGAAGAGATTTAATTTCCCCACAGTGTCAATATCTTATGGCAATACCACTTTTTTGCCACTAGATGTCCTCATCGAACTGCATGTAAACCCTGTCGGTCACATACACTGAAATACTCTTGTGTTACGAGCAGGAAGGGATGCTGGTTGTGCATTGCTTTACAGTACAGGAGAAAATCCAGATCTATCAAAAGTGAGTTTCCAGCCTTTTTAAAGTTAGTTTGCATTTAACTGCACACAATCAGAAGACTTTGCTGCATTTAGGTTGTACGCACTAGTTTTTGTAGTGTGTCGTAGTGGGAATCGAAAATTCAACACAGCTTCTACAAATAGTACACAGACTTTAAACAAAATGCTCTCATCCTTACTGTTGTCAGTACTCTGATGGATACCAAATGAATGGGGCATTGTATTTGATATGCACTGGACCACTTCAATTGAACCAAAATCAGCATATGTTCAATGAGCTTGACGAGACAGATGCAATGTAATATAACGTGCCTGTATTTTGCTGCAAGAGGGAGTGTACAGTACATGCATCTCACAATCTCTACACTGTTTTAAATAATCCACGTTTAAGATTTGTTTCAGTTGATTCCTAGTGTCTCTTTTAGCAGGATGCATAAGGAGAAATAGAAACATGAGGAGGAAAAAGTGCACCAAGAATCACTGAGAAGGTACCAATATTTATATGTACTGTATCCGATTCTTTATTACATAGTTTCATCAAATCGAACATCTTTGAAGAGGGAATAAAGGCTCGATTTAAGATGAGCGATTTAGCTAACATAAAGAAGTCTTTGAAGAAAAATTATTTCGGAAGAGCGAATTTGAAGTCATTAATGTGCAAAATTCAGAAGAAATCAAACTGAGAAAGAACGACTCCACACTTGAATCTTTATCAAAACAAATTCAAAATTAGATGACCAAACATGCTGGGAGACTGGCGTTTTTTTTCCCAGATTTTTCTGTTGATGAAAATGTGCCTTTTATTTGTACAAATGTTATTTTTGTTTCTCTTTTTCTCTCTCTTCAAAGTGCAATAGCTGATCTTCAATGGGGCATGCCTGTTCACTAGAGGTTGTGTTTCGCCCTGCTGCGTGTTGCTGCTTGAGACTACTGTTTTCTCTTTTTCTCTCTCTCTCTGTCTCCTCCCCTCCCTCCCTCCCTCCCTCCCTCCCTCTCTATTATATATTATAAATGTATCATTTCCAGATTCTTAATATAAATCTTTGTTGGAGGGGATCTCAGAGAAACTCACTATTTTGGAACAGGTACAGTAAAAGAAAAAACAGAAATAAAAACAAAGAAAGTCCAAATGATGTTTACAGATTTAATCTTTTGGTTGTATGAGTTTATCATTATTCTGTATGACTGTTGGCAATAAAACTGTGAATGTGTAGAATCTGTTTTCTTACCTCTCCTGTAATGATAACACACTGTATCTACGATTATGGCAGACACAGCTTGCTCAAAGCGTTCTCTTAAATTAACAAGTTCATTTATAGAATAGTTGTTAAAACATGATTTAAGGTTTTGTTTTCCATGAATATTTGCAGTGCAAAGAACTTGAAAAAGTAGTTCACGTGAAAACAGGCAAAGCTGAAGAAATGTTTCCTGCAATCAGAAGAAGCAATCCAGTCACCTTTATTCTGTCGTGGTTGTGAAAGTCTCTTAAAGCAGACATACAAAATCAAAACTACAAGCATGACTTTGCCATATCTCTGATTATAATTCATACCTTTATTTGTCATATGATTTAATCAACCTTTAACTTCTTTTCCAAAGACATTAGGAAAAATGTCTAAAGGCAGAATGGCGCTCTCTACTGGACACAAGGTGATTGAGAATGAGGTGAGTCATCTTTGCACACTTTTTTTTTTTTTTAACTTTTCTGTGTTGGATACTATAATTAGCTGCACTTGCTCTCATGCTCTGCCTACAATATATGCCCCTTCATTCATGTCATGCTAAAACACAATTTTACACTCTTTGAAATAATAATATAGACACAGAAACTTGCACATATTTCAACTATGGTACTAAAAATGAGGATTAAAGAGATCTACTTAACAAGCAGCATGTAGTAGAAATACGTGGTCATACTGAGGATATTTACAACCACTTTTTGCCAGTAGATGGAGCCCTAGTATCAATAAAAGGTATTCAACAACCTGCATCAGACACCAGCATGTATAATTCACTTTGAGCTTCATGCTACTTTGACTTTGAAAAAATTCAAGTAGTAGACTGTCCATCCCTTCAGCGATTCCTACATCACATACGCATGAATGCAGTTCTGGTTCTTTCTGTGACTCCACAGTAAACTGAGTAAATACAAAATTACTGATTACATAGAATAATAAATATTCATATTGTTTGTCATTACAATGCTTGTTGGCTACAATCTTCATTACATTTTTTTAATATAATTGCACTTCATTCATTTTTCATTCACTCATTTGAACTCACATGTGTACAAAGACACTCGTCCTGTCAGAGCATCTTTCATTTGCAAGCGGTTGCTGCCCTGCAACATCCATTTTTTTTAACTTCTAAAAATAACATGCCCTGTTTTCTACTTTTTTTCTACCATGCATACCATTTTTGTCATAATTCTATAGATCCTTTCATGTCATTATAAAATGTTTATGTATGAGAGGCATATTGATGGGTTGTGATAATACTCATTTACATTTTTGCCTCATTCATTAAACAGTCTAATTCAGGTACAGATAAGGTGTTTAATAAGACTGGGTTATGGATGATGCAGACAAACCATTATCAAGCATAAAGGAGAAACCACTGACCTGCAGCCTATATATAATTCAAGCAATCCTTCAGCCATTATTAGTCACAACTGTGACCACTGCACAGTTTGAGCTTACACAGTAGGCCCACCTCACCTAGCCTCTGTAGATATCTCCCCTCTTTATTCACTCTCTCCTGTCATTCTCAAGTGTAGCCTGAGCAGCAGCAGCCCCTCCTGCCACCACAGAGACCTCTCTGTGGGCTGTGTCAGTCTCTGCCTGCCTGGAGCCCTGCTGGCCCTGGTTGGGGTTGTTCTGGCTGCTCCACGACTTGCTCCTGCTGCGGCTGGGCTCCAGAGACTGTCTGTTCCCACTGCCGTTCCCAGAAGTCTTCCCCTTGTAGCAAACACCACACACCAGACCCAGGAAGGCCCGCCTCATCTCTCTGCTGGCCAGGGTGTAAATCACAGGGTTCATGGCTGAGTTGAGGACAGCCACTGCGATGAACCAGTCTGCTTTGTAGAGGATGGGGCAGCGCTGCTTACATGCCACATCCACCAGGAGCAACACAAAGATGGGCGTCCAGCAGGCGATGAAAACTCCCACTACAATGATCACTGTGCGCAGCAGAGACATGGCATGCTCAGAGTTTTTGTTCTTATTCACCTTCTGGCTACTGGATTTCACCAGGATGTAGATTCGGGCATAAAGCACTGACATGGCTAATAGCAAGAGCATAAAAACTATGATACAGAAAGCGACATATTTCTTGGTGTAGAGAGGGAGGACTGTGGAGCAATCAGGGAGGTTATCCAGGCAGTTCCAGCCCAGGATAGGCAAAGCTCCAAGAGATATTGCGATCAACCAGCAGGTTCCTATGAGCAGAAACACCCTGTAGTTCTTGTTGGCGTCATAAGGCCTCATTTTAATCATAGTGAGGTGTCTTTCTATAGCAATAGCAAGGAGACTGAAAACAGAGGCACCAAGCGCTACAAACATACTCCCCTCTCTGACAAACCAGAGAGCAGGTGAGAGCTGCAGGGTCTTCTCTCCAGACAGGAGAAGGTTGACCAAGTAGGCAACTCCAGCCAGCATGTCACACAAAGCCAGGTTGCCAATAAAGAAGTACATGCGGTTGTGGAAACGGTGGTTTCTCCATATGGCTACCAGCACGGTGAGGTTCTCCAAGACAATGAAGCTGCATATGATGAGGAACACTATGGTTTTGGTGTCCACATTGCCGTCGCTGGTGCCAATACTGGGCCGGTGGTCCAGCTTGCCTGTGAAGTTGTAGTGGCGGTATATCTGAGGGTTGATCATGGCTGCTGACACTGGATGTCAGGAGTGAGCAGAGTCCAGTGTCAGCAAATCCACCGTGTTCAGCTGCAGGGAAAGGAGTGGGTGGTTAATACAGAGGGCTGCCAATTCATAATTCAATATGTTATTAGATATATAAAGTGAAACATCAATAGTTTTGTCTGATGCATTTAACTCTAAGTTTCTTTATCCTTTAATTTCTCTTTTTGTATCTGGATTTAAGCTGCTGTAATTTGGAATTTATAATAATTATATAATCTTATATTATCTTTTCTTCTCTTCTCTTATCTTAATCCTAATTTTTTTAAACTATAACGTCTTTCCTTAGTTCCCTAAACCGTCAAATACCTTAAAAAGCAAACAAAGTCTGCACATTGAAAAACACATTAACCCATTCTGTTGGTTTACATAGGGATCCTGAACTGTTACTCCAAATACCACAGCTCTATTTAAAATGTCATTCAACCATTATGCTTTGTAGACAGATATTAGCCTGATTTAACCCACAACCACACATGTTAGGCACTAAATGGCTAATTTATCGCCCCTTAAAGTGAATTTCAAGTATTTCTCGATCAATTTGTGCGAAATTTTTGAAGACTAGTTTTCCCAAACGAGAGCAGTAAGAGTAAAAGATGGGCTACTTACCGCGGGGTGCTCGCAGACCGGCTTTAGAGGAAAGTTTAATTCACACAGACGGACACACAGTTCACTGCTGAACTGTCGTTTTCCCGCATTTCCAACATTTGGAGTTTAATTCTTTCTCCTCGCTCGATAGGAAAGAGCAGCTCCTCATCTTTCACTGAGGACTCAAAACTCCGGAGCTGTGGACGGCTGCCTGAAAGTCACTCCCCCTCTCCCCCCTCCTCCTTACCCGGGCAGAGAGAGCAGAGAGGCTGGGAAGGCTCCTGGATCACTTCATTTCATCAAACATAAAACCAGGAGGTATGTGGAAACTCATCACGATGTTTAAAAGACGGACATGTTGTGAAGTTCCTCTATTTCAACTTGTACCCTGTGGCTTCAGGGTCAGCTCAGCAGGGCTATATTGAATTTGGCGCCTGATTTACCTTCATATCCATTGAAATACTGGGCACAAGACATTTGCTCAAATGTTAGAAGGCTTTTTATTAGTTTACAGATTAAACATTGCATTAACTATTTGCTCAAAAAAGTTCATATACCATTGAGCTTCATACCATTTGTTGTTTTCAGCACACTCAATGGCTAGTCATTTATCAAAGTAATTATATCGAATCCCTTAATAACTGGCCATGTGCTTCATCTAAGCAATATTTAGTTCTTGTTGGCCATCAACCATTGCTAAAAAGTCAGTAAAGTTAAACTGAGGAGTACATGAATGCATTAATTTATATTGATGGGAAGCCATAAGTATTCATCAAGCTTGAAGCCAAAAGATTTAGAGCTCCCCCTGCTGATTGTCTGTGGTACATGTCTTAAATGTCACAGCAGTTAGTCATTTGTATCTGAAGTGGAGTTTTGCAGCCTCTCAATTGAGGCTACGATGCTGGAAATGCAATCGTAACCTGACTTGCTAACAGCTGCATCGTGCCCGACTGCCAGTCAAGTCAGTCTGCCACTAATTTACGACAATAACCGACGTCATTTTGCCCATGTTGATATATCGGTGTCAAAAGAATAAATAAATAAAAGTTGGTTTTGGATGTGTGTAGGTAGGCTATGGTCTCGTGTACCTTTAAGACACTGTCCTAAGTCAGAGACATGACTCCACCCCATCCAGTCCGTAACAAAGAGGGAAAGACAGGTGAGGAGATGGAGGATGGTTCAAAAGTTGTAGCAGTGGCTGAAGTAGACAAAGTTAATGTGGGAGGGGGTGAGCAGCTTGTGGAGTGGTTATCGTCCATTTATCGCTATCGAAGTGAACTGGTCAATATATCGTGATATTGGTTTCTGGCCATATCGCCCAGCCCTACCTAAATATCTTATGTATATATTCTTTGATCTATAGATATCTTTTATATCTATTTAGATAAACATTAATATTTTTTGGACTAGACCGTAAACATTAATATTTTTGCTACGGAGATTAGGTTTTTTGTAGGGGTGTGTGTTTGTAGTTTTTTTGCACCACTGAAGTTAGCCTCAAGTGGACACTTGAGGAACTGCAGTTTTTAGTACTTTTACCTCAGCTTCATTTCTCAAGCCAGGAGGTCAAAGATGCAGCCCCTGAATTGGTACATGACTTGAGAGAGGCAGGATTGTTGATTGATAAGCGGACTGACAAGCGTGAGACTTTAGCATTATGATGTGTTCGGCCGCTGACCTGTGGTTGGCGGCGAAAACAATTTTGCCTTTTTTACTGCAATTTATACCCTAAGACTGATGTCCTCACCTCCATGCCAGCTGCTCTCCCTAATGCTAGTCTTAATTAACCAGAAATCAGAAAGTGGGTTTTAAATGTTGGAGCTGTGGTGCGTGAAAGATAGTTCGAGACGCCAAGACCCGCCTTACACTGCTTCTGATTGGTTTATATTGCATGGTGCCTTCTGTGGTTGGTTAGATTTAGGCACAAAGGACTGATGGATTGGTCTGGGATTGGTTATCTCAAGCCAAGTTTATTATCATGAAAAAAATAAATACAGAGAATTGAATGGGGAAATATAAGTGTGAGAAATGTCAAGTGTGACTTGTGGTGTGAGAATGGGTCAAATTGTATGACTGTAACATGCAGTAGTAACATGCAAAATGATTGATGTAATTTCATAGGAATGTAGTGCGACAGAAGCCTCATCTCTGCAGATTTACTTTTACATTCAAAGTAATCTTACTAACATGAAAAAAAAAGGTCTTTGGGAAAAATGTGCCTTCTGATGGTCTGTACTGTGTTTCTTGATGGCAGAGTCAAAGAGTGAAAGACAATACAGCATGCTGTAAGAGTTGCAGTTGGGAAGGCTGTAGCCCATCCTTTGTTCTGGTCCTTCTGACGTGACCTCATATCCAGGAAGGATGGGCAGGGCTGGCAGCGAGCAAAAGGAGAGTCTGGGAGGTAAGACAGATGATGAGCCTTTTTGAAATAGATGTGGTGCAGTTAAATCTAAATTGCTGAGATTGTTAGATTTTCCTGACTGGAAGTAAACAAAAATAACTGAAATGTGACTGAAATGATAAACTTTATCTCCAAACACAATCCTGAAATGGCACCAAGAACAATTGAGTAATGAACACAGTGCCCTAGATTTGTGCTTTTTCTGAACATGAGTCAAAGGCTGAGAATCTAACTGCTTTACTTTACACGTTGCCACACATGAAGCTGTTTGCAATTTCCCCCAAATGAAGCACAGTACATATCACAGACCAAGCCATTAAATAGCAGATCTCTTCCAGTGTCTGTGGTTATTAACCCAGAGGAATGTTTTGTGTGGTTGAATAAACAGCCGTGGTCTGGCATTCGTCCATTAGCATTGTTACAGTCACAGTTCTCAGTCATTTCCTGCAGGTCGCACTGTGCCAGCAGCGAAGGGAAAATCTCAGTGAAAAAGCCAAATAGTCAGTCTGGACCCGCAGCAAATCTGGGACCAATCAGAGTACGGGTCTACGTTCAGGCAGCTGGATTAACTGACCGAGAACATGGTTGGAAAAACCTTGGGTTTTTCAGCAAACTACAGTGATGTGGGGCTCACATCTGCATTTACATAAACTTTGAGCCAAATATGAAACCATCAGCAAGTTCAAACCCATAATATATGGTTAGATCGAGTCTGTGTGTGTATTCATAGACTACTGAAGAAGAGCACGGGTGGAGGGTTTTCACTTTTGTTGGACCACCCTCACTTGACTCAAGGTAACCACTGAGGCTGAATTTTCCTTTTCAATTCTGTCAGCAAGACGGTAATTAAAGGTCTCTGTTACTGCAGTTTTACAGCATCGAGAACTGAATGTCTCCCCTAAATCATCAATACACCATATGTGTGATTTCCTGCCACTATAATGCTATATTATTTAAGTATAAACCTACAAGCTGCTACCCCATCATTTTAAAGTAATCTACAACGAAGCCCTCCTTCCCTCGGAGTAGCTGGCCTCACAGCTGGTAAAACCATTCCTCAGGGGAAGTTTCCACAGCTTAACTACAGCTTGCCTTGGACCTCATACTGTATACAGTTCATGTGTGACGATTTCAGTGGTTGGAAGAAGTTTTCACATCATTTATTTAAGAGAAAGTCGCAGTACTGTGCTGTAGAAGTACTGCTTTACGTGTAAAAACTGACTTTGGAGAACCAAGTGTTGGCAAATCAAAAGCACTGTTTCACATTTCATCATTAATTACCTTGAAGAGTAGATAAATGTTTACAGCTGTAATATGACAAGAAGTAGAAAGTCAATATATGCCTTTTAAAATACCTAGTTGAATTTTGAAGTAGCATAAAATCGAAAAACAAAAAGTTAAAGAACTTCAAAAATTGCACATTGAATATTCCTCAGCTGGCTGTAGAAAATAATGGTAAAATAGTTGTTTAATGTTAGTCATGTTACTTGTAAATTTCTTAAATTGTATATATGAGATCTGTTACTGTCTTAGATATGCTGTAGATATAAAGCATTTAACTAACCACCCTTGACTCAGGGCTTCAACATATCAGGATATTTATTATTCATTATGATGCAGTATAAAAGCCGTGCACACTCACAAATGCCTTCACATATAAAGTATCCTACGAACATCCATAATTGATTATAATGCAGTTTATTTGACTGGTAACATGATATCCTCTCATTTAAAGAAGCAGTGAACTAATGGTTAAGTGAGAAAGGCCGGATAGAATGAAGATAAGGGCCTTGTACTTTGTAAGCACATTACAAAATCTATTTGGTCGGCACCACACTAGCCATTACTTTGCTGGGGTTTGCCCTGTTCAGGCTCTCAACCCTTCATTAGAGCGCAGGAGCTCGGGTCAGAGCCGTGGGCAGTGGGCACATCCATGTGCAATTACATGACAACCCTTCCTTTAATTTCACCCTCGCCATTTTGAGGCAAAAACACACCCCGTGAGTTTTGGCGGACAGTCCCCTCCTGCCCTGTGGTTTTGTGGCCACAGTATTTCTAGGCACGGCGGTCTCTTGCATGCAATATAACAGAACAAGGCCTCTGAGGCGTAATTTCAGCTGTGGCACAGTGTAGTCTGCCAACTCTAGAAGGCCACACAAACAGAAATAGGGCTTTCGTAAGTCAATTCTCTTTCTGCAGAGAAACATAGTGCTCTTACTCTCATTGCTTTTGAGTCGTCATTTCATTTGCTTCCTGCTGAGAGTTTAACTGGACGGTTTGAGTAGACTCTGTTAGTGGACTTCAGTAATACTTAACTGTCTCCTCCACTGACTATCTAGTATTTATCTGGCTGACATTTCCATTCCAACGTAACTGTAATGGACTCAAGTTACTTAACACAGAACATGGAAAAACAGAGGCCGCAGTTTTTCTGCTGCAGCAGACTCATTTTGAGGGCTTCTGTGGTAATTATACAGATCACAGCCAAGGTTACTGTCTGCTCTTTTACATGTCAGAGCACATTATATTTTCATCATCTCATATCATAAGAAGTTTATTTAGGAATGACATCCAAAATGTCAAACAAGTAGTTTCCCATATGTAGATTTTTACTGGTTTGATTCCTACAAGTTGGGGAAAATAATTTCGCAGCCGCAAAAATGATCCAACTGGCACAACTTTTGAGAAATAATCGACCAATATATTGTTGTATGACGTCCTTATAACTAATTTATAGTGTTCCCAGGTGACAATGAGCCTTAGAAAACTCTTAGAAAATTCTGTCTTAGGTCGTATTCACACCAAAAGGTCAGTTTTCCGATACAAACTAAAGCGATTGCAATTTCTCAACTGGTCCGGTTTGTGTTCAAAAATTATCACGTGGCAGCAAAAGCCGTTCACAGATTGCTTACACAGTTTGGGCGGGTAGACGACAAACCCCTAGCAGTTTTTATCGTACATCATGGAGCATCATCTGCTCATTTTTATGTCGGTGCTGCATATCAGCAGGCTTTAACGGACCGCACATGTGAACGGCTGGGCAATTAAATATGTATTAATACATGCTCATCGCAGGAGATGTTCTGCAATCGGACAGTCATATCACAGGAGACAAAAGGCAATAATGAGAGCCTACCTTGATGTTTTTTTGAGGCACGCTTTCTGTGATTGGTGCAGATGGGGTTCACACCAGAAGTAAACTGCTCTAGAGTTTACTTGATAGCGGTCTGAGACCACCCCTACTAGGCGGACCAAGAGTGGTTGACTGGTCCACATCAGAGTTCGAGGCCAGCGTTCCCGCCAACAAAACTAACCGCACCAAGGAGGTTAACGCTCCAGGGTTCAGTTCAACTGGACTAAACAAGGCTGGTGTGACCTTATTTAAGTGATGTAGACTTTTGTCTTAAACACACTCTTGTTTGAAGATGATTATTTAGAACAATGCTGTATGTTGTAAACACAGCTCCGTATGTTTAACTTAAAACTGTCTGCACTTGCTATGAAGTCTTTATTTTGGCTTCCTACAACATGTCAGTCAAGCTCTTTCATGACAGAAGTGCATTAGGTAGCGAGCTGTTTCCTTTCCTTGAGTAGCCTACAGTTGAACCGGTCTTCCAGACGGTTAATGTGAGTTCACAGCAATAGCCATTCATCACAAGGTCAGGCAGTACTTTTCTCTCCCAGGCCCATTAGGTCTTTAGTGCTTAAAGCTTGTTCCATTGATGTGCTGTAGTCATTGGTCCTTGTATGGTTGTTAACCATGGAGTAGTCTGCAGTCTGGAAACAAAAGGAAACAGTCATATAAACCCCCAAATGCCCATAAAGTAATTATTCTCCCTTTACCACCATATTCTCCTACTTTTGCATCAAATAGTTTAGAAGTCAATGTAACATAAATGTCAATATTGATTGAGAAATTATAACTTAAATTTGTGCTGGAATGGATGTGTAAGCCCTGGCACCAATATCTGTCCAGTCTTGTTCAATGGAGTTGGGTACATAGTGTATTTAAGTAGGAATATGTGTATTTAGTAACTTAACAATTACAGGCTGCCATCCTCTCTAGTCAGCATCAGAACAAATAGTCACCTCAACAAGTTATCAATCAATCAATCAATCAAATTTCATTTATATAGCGCCAATTCACAACAGTCGTCATCCCAAGACGCTTTGCAAAGAAAAAGAGCAGGTCTAGACCACGCTCATTGTTTGTTAGCTGTTGTTCATTGGTGGTATGTAAATAAAGATTGTTTGATGAAGATTGATTAATATCGTCATTATTGCTGGTATGTCTTGTCATTTTATCTTTATGTTTAGTGCACTTAAATATGAGAATCTAATCTGATCCGACAACATCAAAATGATAGCATCTGCAGTTCACTTTAAATTTGCCTATACTCCATATAAGAGCTCAGTGACCCTTAACTTATGTTTGTTCATGTTCGCAGTAAAGAAAAAAGATGCTGCATTGGTTAAGACTGGCAGTATGAGGGAAAGCTTGGTGGAAGTATTAGAGGACGTTTTTGTGGTCATGTGTCAAACCCAGTAGGTGGGAAACCTATGCCTTTACTTCAACTCCTTTGTAGCTTTTAAACAGGAAGAGTTATAGTGAAAGTAAAGCCAAAAAAAAAAAAAGTTGTGTTATCTCCAAAAGCTCATTTTATCTTTGGATGTCGTCTACACAAACACAGGATCAACTAGAAATGCTGACTATATTTGTCGCAGACGGAAAAGTTTTGCAGTTCTTCATTTTAGTGTTAAAAAGTTGCAGAACTTCATGACACCAGCCAAAACCAATATCTCAAGAATCAAGATCTCGCATTTATGGCGGGAGAATAGCAGGGAGCCATACAAAATTGCTTACTTCGTCTGAAAATGCTTCACCAGTCAATGTCTCTGTCATCACTGCAGTTCATTTTTCAATAATTTCTCCCTGCTATGACCATAAGATCCTATTTAAACTGTGTTAGGTCTACAATATACCTATAAAAGCCTCAGTTGGCACGCCCAAATTGCTCATCTGCACAAGTCAGACAACATTAGTTTGTTTAATACGATTATATAAAGTAGATGCTCTGTTGGATCAATGTCTTGTATCTCCATTTACATCGACTTGCCTCTTAAGTGTTGTAACATCATAGACAGTGTTGCAGCAAAACTTTATGCTTTATTTTTATCATTTTTTTCCCTTTCAATGTGAATTTTTTTTTAATGTCAGATCACAGATTTTATCAGTATCATTTAAACTGGCTCTTCGTAAGAGACAAAGAACCTTTTTTTTTGCTTTCTGCTTTAGAAATCAATAAACTGCTCTCTAGCCAAGCAAAGAGATTACTACGGTGCATAGTAAGTCTTCAGGAAACCATTAAAGCCTTCTTATTAAATGTAGGTCTACATTAGGCTTTACTCCAAACTTCTCTTGCGCATTCAGATAATGGATACATGCGAGAACAAGTATTTCATATCAACAGATTTTGAAGCAGTTAAACTGAGCAAAGCATTGGCTCTGGCATCACCCCTGACAGATAAATATTCTTTACATAAAGGGGCAGAAGTTTTAAAGTTGCCAAGCAGTTTCTGGGGTTTACATTGAAAATCTTAGAACCATTAAAAAAATCAGGACTTTGCTGATTATTCCTTAAAGGAGAGAATTTGTTTAATATTGACCTGATTATATCCTAGTGTGTCCTGCTTCAGTGCTAATTAGGTGGTTTAGCTGTCATGGTAACTGGTTTATTAGCTCGCTCATATGTTGTTGTTTTTTTTGATTGGTCCAACAGCTATTTAGATCACCATGCACTCTTTTTTTGTAACAATCTCTGTGGCTGATAGATTCATTTTACCGGTTAATGAGAGTGTGGGTTTTCTGAAGAGAAAAGGACGAGGGTGTTGGATGGCAGGTATCTGAGGGCTTTTCTTCATGGGGTACAATGGGGCTCAGGTAAAAAAAAAAAGCAACGTAGGGGTCAACACCCTGTGGGCCCACCACCTGCAGGGTGAGGAGTAAGGAAGGCAAGCAGCAGTCGAGGATGTGGACCTTGGTGTGTTGATCATGACGTAGTGATGGATCATGAATGTTTAAAGTGTACAGCTGTATTTCTTGAAAAATACACTTGAAGTCTTGCCATACAGTTACCTTGTAAAAGGACAGCGCCTTGTATAGTACCATCAGTTATTCTTGCTCATCACTTCATTGTTAAATTATATATCAATAAACAATTAAAGCAGACTCAATCCTCAGAGAGATCCAAATAATAGTCCACCTATTGTGATTTATTTAGAGATCTGTCTGTATTAAGACCTTTATGTTTAACAGGGATTTGACCTCCCATGCTTTCGGCAGTAAAACCCACCAGCTGTGCATCCCTTTCCCAAACTGTATACATATTTTATAAGAGGATTATGACTGGTGCCTTCCTGGCCATGGCCCACTCAGAGCACACACACACACACACACAAATACATGAACACACACACTTGGGTTCAGTCTGAAATTGACGACTATGGAGGGATTGTCTTGGAGTCGGAGTGATAGTCTGGTGCCGATGACATTAAGAGAGAAAAGGAAGCTGACGAAATTTGTGCAGCTTTGGATGCTGAAGTTCATGTTGTGAGCTTTTCATACTGTGTTGTCTGTATTAAGGAAGACAAAGGCTGCATGTGGATATCTTTATCATCAACACAGTCATAGTTCCTCATGAGCAAGCACACAGTCTGACACAGTCAACCACCACAGTTGTTCATTTTACTCCGTTAGATGCTATCAGTTCTTTAAAAACCTCAGACTGAGCTGGAGAGTTCTGTCTAGACAGTATTAGCATTATAAATACTCTACCAGTACAAAACTTAAAAAAGTTGCCATTGATTTCCATTAATATTAAAACATATTTAATGACAATGAACCAAAGGGAAAAGGAAAACTTGGACATTGCCTGTCATTATTTCTCACTGACTCACCTATACTGTCAAATCAAAAATAACAAGAAATCAGTCGACTGATTAATTTTTCAACAATTTAAGATGGCTTAATAGAAACAAGTCTCTTGTTTCATTATTTTACTAAACCAAATCGTTGTCCATTAATATTCATTCGTTTATGAGAATGCACTGAAGTTCAGCACTTGTTTCTTTGTTACAACAACAGTATGATATTGGCACTATATATTGGTTTTCCTGCTCTCCTGTTTTCTCAAATGGCATAAGCCGTTGAATGTGTGAGTATGAGTGTTGATCACTAGTGTGATGTGAGTGTGAGGACGAGAGTTTACAGCAGCTGATAGACAATGGTCAAAATATCATCTTTAAAGGGATATTCGGGTGTAAAATTAATTTAGTGTCAAACACACCATAACACCGAGTTAGACACCCGTCAAGAGATGAATGTTGCAGACCGCTTGCTTCTCTAGTTATACCAACTTTAGTAACAACCGCACAATAGCAACACACAGTGGTCTGAGGAGCCACACACAAACATCAATCAAAACGCCGCTCTGTAGCCACAAATAATGCTCAGAGCAGCACCTAACTTCATCAACAGTACATATAGGGTCCCAGCCATAGCGCTAACCACCAAATATCTTTTTAACTTTGCCTGATTTCTGTAGCAAAGAGACTAAACACAACTCACCTACTCTCTTCCAGCAGCTGCTTGTTTGTAGCGAGACCTTGGGCCAGTCCATTAGGGACTGTTGCGGGTGACGCAGCTCAACGGTCAACGCTCAGCTCATTTTGACCCGGCCGGCTGTGGGAGGCCGGCGTCGGAACTGGAGCTTGCACCCATGAGTTAAGGTGGTAACCACTCACGGGTCTGAAGCTCGAGCAGCCCAGTACCTGAGCTGCTGGTGTGAAAACGTTCCGATGGCTGGCCCCGTAGCTTCAGCGCCTGGCCCCCTGACCCCTAGGGGCCCTGGTGAGGGGTCGTCCAGGATCCCGGGCCCGAAACTGCCGGGAAGGTAATGGGGCGGAGGCCCGTGAGTCGCAGGTCTGTGCTTGCGTAGGTCGCTGAGGGCATCGTTGGCCCACAGCATGAGGTGGTGGTGGAGGGCGAGCCCTGGGGGCAGCTGTGGCCCTACCTCTGCCAGAGGGGGGCCTGCTAGGTGGAGGCATGCGACGGAGACTTGCAAGCTGTTGCCTGGTCTGCCCCGCCTGAATAGTCCTCTCAAGCGCTTCCTGAGCAGCTGAGCCAAACACTGTTCCTGGCTCCACTGGAAGGCTCCTGAGGGTTCTCCTCGAGGCCTCAGTCAAATTCGACTGTGACAGCCAGACTTGGCGTCGAGCCTGGATTACAGTGGACATCATGCGCCCGAGCTCTCGGGTCATGTGGCCAAATGCCTCGAGTGCTGCGTCACACATGGTGATGGTATCACCATTCACATTCCCTGTACCGACGTCGCCTTCTTGCAGGGAGGCTGAGAGAGCCAGCATAAGGTGTGAGAGGGAGTTCCCAATGCGGCCAGCGCGTGCCCCAGAGTCATAAGCTCTAACAAGCAGGTCATCAGTTATCCTGCACTGGGGCTGGGGGCACCTGGTCTCCCTGCGCAGAGCCTCGTCGGGGGAGACAATGAGGGATGCGATGGCTGGCTCAACAGCTGGCATATGATCCAGGCCCACTGCTGCCGCATTATGCACGGCTGCCAGAGTTTGAGCGTCAGCAGACATACGGGAGCCAGCCCTAGTGTCCATCCAACTAGCCTGTAGTTCCCTCAGGAAGTCCGGTGAGTGAGGCACAGCAAAGGCAGTGGGTGGCGGCCTGCGCCTGAGGAAAGCACTTGCGGGTGCAGAGTTTTCCACCTGTAGGACATCCAAGTTTTGGCGCTCCAAGGCCATGCGCATAACTGTGCGCATAGAGTGATCGCCCGTCTCTGTCCGAGAGCTCTGGCCAGAGAAGTAGGAGCCTGGATCGGACACCTGGGATGCGCTGCCTTCTGCGTCTTCCCCATTGTCATGAAAATGAGTGGCTGAGGCTGCCAGGGAGATTGTATCCTCCTCCGGCGTGATATGGGGCATTGGAGGGTCAGGTACCCCTGCCTCCTCTGAAGGGGAGTCAGGCTGGCGGGCCATTAACATAGACCTCATCTGGGCCAACTCAGCAGATAGCTGATTAACCTTGGATGTTAACCCCCGATCAGACCTTGGCTTCTTTCTGGGAGGGGGGGCGGCACTGGTGGTGGCTGCCTCAGCCCGATGCCTTGACTGCCTGGTTCGGGGTGGAGGGGGCTGGCCTGATGGAGGAAGAGTATCCCCACCCTGTGGCTGCCCTATCTCAGCCAGCCTGGCAGCCCTCACAGTCAGAGGCATATAGCTGCAGTTCATGCAGCTATGGCAATTGTCCAGCGCTTCCCTCAGATGCTCAGGACCAAGACACCTGGGACACAGGTCGTGGCCATCGTCTGGCTGGAGAGGGGCCTCGCAGGAGGAACAAAAGTGTGAGCCCTCCATCACTGGTCACCACGAGGACAGAGCACGCACGCCACCGTTCGTGGTCGTGAACCTGTATTTAGCCATATGCTGGGGGGAGGGAGCGCGTATGCTGCCTACACCAGCAGAGGCTGACCTGTGGTTGGGGTACAAACAACTTGCTGTGGGGAGGAAGAGCCTATGCCGCCTGCACCAGCAGAGGCTGTCACCAGTAGTGATTGTTAGCAAAAGTCTATAGAAATATAAGTATATTGTACAAACAATTTCTTTTTTTTTTTTTTTTTACCCAATTAGACCATCCACTACTTGTAGTTAGCTACACAGTAGAGGCCACAGGCTGGGGAAAAGCAAAATTTACATGAACTAACAATGAGAAAGTTTCCCAAACATGAAAGAAAACCCCACTGTTAGCGACTAGCTAAACCATTGGAGCCATAGGCTGGGGGAAGGGAGCGCCAGCAGAGGCACTACAAACCACAAGCTACGCCGAGAGGCTGTATAGCAAGAAGACGCAGCGTTCGCACACGGAGCTCTAGATGGAATTTGAATTTAAGTAGAACGAAAGGAAAACCCAGCATCAACCAAGCAACCCAACGCCGCCTATACCAATGGAGGTACGAAACAAACACAATCACAGTCGCTCCAACATGAGCGACTCAGACGCGGATACCACCGCCAGCGGTCTTACCTGTCGCTGCCCGGAGGGGTAGCGAGAATCCTTCCTCACCGCCGGTGAGACGCTTATTGTTGCGCTATAGCATCCAGGTGCTAGCTCCGGCAGCGTTCCAAGTCGCAGTTCCTGGAGGGCGAACGCTCGCTGCTCCGACCAATGTATGGCCATGGAACCACAAGCGACTTTGCCGACAAGCGCAGTTTAATAATTAAACAAGTGAGGGAAAGTTCCACAACTCGATCGCACGAGAAGAGAAAAGGGACTGCCCCCCGGATGGCCTCCGGAAGTTATAGACTCTCCCGGAGCATCAGGGGTCACACGTGACTATTTTGGTATAAGTACTCGAACTACGCATGCGCGAAGGGAATATTCAGTGCTTTAAGCACCACCTCTGGAGGTCAGCAGGGATGAAATAGAACTAAAGAAACAAGCGGTCGGCAACATTCATCTCTCAAGGGGGTATCTAACTGGGTGTTATGGTGTGTTTGACCCTAAATTAAATTTCCGGAATATCCCTTTAAAAACAACAATATTGTTTAGAATATGAAACTTTTTTGAGACTGTACACTAAACCATTAAATCAGAATTGTGATTAACCTTTTTTTTAACTGTTAAGGGCATATCAATGGAAAAAAATTCATAGTTTGACAGCCCTGCCAAAAGCAAAACTCTAAATGAATACAGTTTTATGTTTCTACTACATTTGCCCAAGATATGTTTTGTCAGAGAAAAATGTGTGGTTGTTTTAAAAGCTGGCTTTTGCTGCTCAGTGGTGACCAGAATTGATTTGCTTTTGTAACCTGAGGAAATAGGACAACCATGTGCAGACAACTTTTTTTTTTTTTCTGATAAACCTCTGACCTCAGTTTGTTATTATGCTGTGCAGGCTGCTTTATTTAGTCACTGATTCTTTTGTACACTCAAAGATATTTTTTACCTCTCTAAATTATCACTTTGATCTACTCTGTCTAAATTAGTCGTGATGTGGCGCCTTCTGTCACACTGTGGTGTCAGTGAACTACTCTCTACTTCTTCTCATGCATATTGTTCCTTGCGTCTGAGAACAGGCGGTTGTTTTTTCAAGGCCCCTTTGTTTTGAAGGTGTTTCCTCATAGGCCTCTCAGAAACCCCACAGAGAACATCAGACCGCGTTACCTCCAGTGGTCCCTGCGCTCGAACTCGTAGCTGAATTATGTAGCCGCATTGTCACAACTTCCTCAGAGGATGTTCATTTGAAAGTCCTTTGTGTGTTTGCAGGCATAACACATGCACACACACACAAAACCAAATACAGTAAGGAAGGCTGTGTGTACCATTACATGTCTGAGAGGATGATCAGGGTGGCGTCTAAGTCGGAGCAGAAAAAAGAGCATGGAAGGAACCGCAGGTCAATGGGTCAGGAAGTCACACCTCAAGACAGCCGGGGTTCAGGCTGCCATGTACGCACAGAGATGCACACACACATTTCACACATTTCTAATGAGTGTTAATTTACAGAATACCACTGCAAGCTTGTTTATGCTAAAGTTTGTCTCATTGCAACACCTTACTGAAGGTGTCATTTCACAAATTACGCAAACAAACACCAGACTCTTCTTCAGCTATTATTATCTTAATTTAATCTGAAGTTAGATTATAGCCTTTAATATTTGTGATTTGTGAGGCACAATGGAAGAAAGAGAAGATTTAAAATCTATAATCACTCTTCATGAAGAAGCCCATGATCTTGGCCACACTGCCACACTGTGCAAATACTGTCTCACCTTGAATATCATCTTTAATTGAACAAAAAAGTTCAACTGTAAAGTAGCCAAGTTAAATTTGAGTTTGAAAAATAGTAATAATAGTTATTTTTTCTGGAAAAGCACATTTCTCCAGTTTAAAGCCTACTTAATGAACAATAGTAATGTAGGTGGGGGTACATATCAACATACACAGGGCTGTTAATTACTCTGTAAACTGACTTTGCAGGGGCCTTCAGGTTATTTGCCTGTAAATCCATTTTATGTTGAAACAAGGTCTCCCTGTTTTTTTGTTTGTGTGTACAGGACAGTTACTAACCGCCTTTGACCTTGCACAAGCAAAGAGATTACAGGAATGAGTTTCCTATAAACGTTTGATGTTTACTCATATTTTGAAAATGTGTGTCGGAGTTATCCTGAAATGAGACTACAGGCTGCTCGGATTAGCTTGATCAAAAATTTGCACTAGAATTAAATGGGAAGGACACTAGATTTAGTGAGTCTGTTTCATCATTTTAAAAAGAGCTGAACAAACAAAAACATAACAGCAGAAACATCCGTTTTGGTTTTGTTGTTTCTGTGAAACTTTTGTTGTGAGGTGAGATTTTACAGCCAATTAAAGGTGGTCACCATACTGACTTAACCTAACCTCTAAGTGACCCAGAAACAAACAAGGAAGTGGGACTGAGGTGAGCCATAAATCTCCTTGAAAACAGTTGCGTCCCTTCTGCGTGTAACTCAGCCACATTCTTAATATTGCATATCTTTACATAAGCTATAACCAACCGTTCCAGACATTGTCACTTGATGGCAACAGTGGAGGAGGCTTCTGGTGAGCTGGTTAGTTACAATATATTGGCTGAAATAAAGTGTTTTTGACAGAAGTTAATGGTTGATACGAGCATGAAATTAATCAAATTTTTTGAGCTACCCAGAGAGTGGTGTGAACTTGAAATTGACCATAAAGTCCCCTTCAAACATCCCCCATATGACCACAACCCTCACACTGCTTTTTTCAAACTCGAATGTGGGTAATGACGAATTTCCTTTTATTTGAGACATTAAAATAAACATGAAAAGTGTCATACTGAAACTGGTCCCTGCACGCACAGGGCTCTGAGAGAACTGAGTAGGCCTTGATAGGCTATTTTTAATTAGAACATACGCACACAATACCAGAGGAAGCTTTTCAACCATGGTATTCGGGGAAATAAATTTTATTTATTTGAAAAAAAAAAAAAAAACTTCTTCCAGAAATTTAGCTTCCTGTGACATTTCCTGTGTTACCTCTGCTCACCCCGTTCTTGAAGATGGAGGATCTATCACAACAACCATTAATCAAGTCTATAAACTCTTAGAAAAGAAATAAGTGAAACCATCAGGAAGCAGCTGCTGCTGCAGACTGACTTGACCCCACATGACAGGATGCAGGGTTTGCTTTGCTTGAGCTATAAAAAACTTCTCCCACAACTACTTTTATTTTGTTTTCCCTTTTTCTCCCTTCAGTTCTTTTATTTCTTTACCAGAACCTCAAAAAACAGAAAAAATTCATCTTCCCCTGATGTTGCTCATAAATTAGGAGTGATTATCTACCTTTAACAAGACCTGCACTGCAGGATCAGACTAATTCACTCTGACAATCTAGAGTCAAACTGATTTCTGACATGCCAGCTGTTAGAATCAAGCTTAAGTCTTTAGTGCCCTCTAGAGGGGCAAAAGTAGACCAGGACAGAATTGATGCTTTAAAGTAATGATCAGAACTGGTCCGTCAAAGAGCCACTAGAGGGAAACTTATTTAAAACGGTGACAAAGTGAGGAGAAGTAGTAAAGTATGTCTGTGCTCTGACATGTTGGATTACTCTGGTTTCATTCTTAGACATAAATGTGTTTAATTTTGATGACACAATTTATGTTGGTGTATAACAGTTTGGATCTCCTTTATGCCACATAATACAAACAGGGTCAGGTACATTACCCGTTCTTTCCACTAGAGGTCAGGGCAAAGAAAAAGACGATTGATGAGCCTGTGAAATAAGCACTTTGGGTTGTAAAAAGGCTTCTGTGTGTAAATAAGTTAAATATTAGGTTAAAAAATTCTCTTTCACATTTCTGTTTCCACGTGAATGGAGTATCAAACTCTAAAGTCAAAAGATTTATACAATTAAAAAGACTAAATGGGTCCAATTATTCGTTAATCCACTATTCCACCTTATAAAACTCATGATTGTGTTGGTTTTCAGACATTTACCTGCACCCTCTGTGTTTTATCATGAGTTATTAATGTCATACCATATATGCCATTGTACATTCATATCAAAGAACAGATGATACTGCTAGAATTTGTATTAATTTCACTTTTATTTAGCTCTCTAATAGAGAAACATACTCTTTTTAAAGCATTATTTTTTTTTATAATAGTAAAAAAAATAAGATAACATCATGTTAACTCACATTGTTACTATCTGAGCAAGCTTTACACGCCAAATTAAGCGTATGAATAAAATTATACTCTCCTTTCAGTGGTACAGGATTTTTAAGTTAAAAAGATAAAGGTAAAAAAGATCAATAATCATAGTGCAATATAAAATAAAGCAGAGGGCAAATCTGAAGCTCATGGCGCCACATCATAGGAAAGTAGATATTTCAATTTCATTAAATCTCATTACTAACTTGTTTGTACTGGTTTAGTTTCTAGTGTTGACTGGAAACTATAACATATAAATCCCCATGTGCTCAGCATCTCACCCATGAATCAATTTGAACTATCTGCTTTTAAAATTTAAAGTATAAAACATGAATTTTAGTTTCTTACCCTAATCTCTGTTATTTTATTCATTGTATAGTGAAGCTTTTGAATATTTTATAAACTCATAGGCTGTATTTTGATGCTAATAAATGCTATGTGTAATTAAAAGATAATAGAAAGTTGAAAATGAATAAGAGGAATAAGGTGGGAGGGTTCAGTATTGTTTCAAGTACTTTGATTTACTAGTGTAATATACTAGTTTATACTTTTGCAACAAACAATAAACAAGAGAAACCTTCAATAAAAATAATTGGGTCATAATTTACCCCTTTCTGCGTAACACCACTTTCTAGCTCATGAATTCTGTTCAAGTATCACAAGGTTTCCGGTTATTTTTACACGGTATTGATAATATTTTAGGCCGTTATTTAAGCCCACAGTATAAAATAGTCATTTATACACTTCCTTATTTTTGATCTATATTGTTCATGTACCTACCGCAATCTTTTCTAATACATGTCTTTAAAAAAAAAGTCCTTACCTTAATTAATGTTTTTATAACACGGGATTGTTTCTACTTTCTTGGAGTGTGCTCACAGTTTAGGTTCCAGTCTCACGTAGGTCTACAAGGAGATAGTAAGATAAGAATAGGCTCACACATTCGTGCACAAATGCACACGCAAACCACACACCAATCACGCACGACACAGATAATTCTACAAAATAATACTCCCAAACAAGAGCAAAGTTCAACATTTAGTGTCTTTATAAAACAGATTTGCAAAATATAGCCAAGGCTCATTCATTTAAATACGCATAAATAGCAAGAAAATACTTTCCCATTTCAATTAAAATCATTTTTGAACTTCTTTATACACAAATCAAGAGATGAACATTATATGAAAAAAACAGGGCGGACGCCCTCTTGATTTAATGCAGCAGAAAAAACACGAGCACACTGAGTAGCTAAAGCGTCAGTTCATTAGCCAGAAATATAGTACATCCTGTGAAGACACAAATTCATAAAACATTTAAACAAAGTCTTATTCAAGTCTGAGAAATATCAAAGTACATGTCTTTGGATGGATGCCTCAAAGTCTTTTAAGAGCAATATATAGGTATATATATCTAACTTTGTTTTACATCATCAGCATTGCAACCATAACACCACCATGGCCACAAAAGTTTATGTACAATAGTGCAGACAGGGAACTTAAATCAGAACAAGGCGCTGGAGGAAAATAATACATTATCAAACATCCTGATTTAATAGACTTCAAGTGGGTTGCATTTTTTTATTTATTTTTATTTTTGCAAAATAATTTAAATAACCATATTAGAATCAAATGAATGTGCAGGACATGTGCCAGACTATGTCCTGACGTTTTTTAAAGTCTCTTTAATGTTTTTTTCTATTCAAGAACATTGATTCTTTTTTACACTGAGAAACAATTTGACTGAACTTTAAATGATTTATTTCATGCTGTCTCAATTTCCCATCTTTTATTCAACTCAAACATGGTAAAAAAAAAATCTTTTATCCATCACATTTTTGATGTAATAATTGTTTACATTCATTATAGTCTCTAATTCTTCATCGTTACAATTCTAACAGCCGCTCTGGTTGTTGATTTATATGGTCTTGCATATGTTGAATTTTTATATAAAAGCCTCATTTTAACTTGCATCAGAGAACACTGTAGGATTTTCAGCTTTCTGAATGAACAGACAACATTGTAGATAAATAAATCAGTTCATATCTAGCCTGACATTGTTCTGATATCCTCATTCGCAGTGTTGAACTGTTTTTCTTTTTCTTAAATGCTATAAAAAACTGTAAACATCCACAGGCCTGAAACAATTTTTAAACATTACAACTGTGAAAGTATTTGATTTGACTGCGTTTAACAAAAATAAAATTAAAATAGAAATCTGTCTTAACGCTGCAACATCAGCAGGCTTCAAAATGTTCATTGATCTCTTTCACTTTTTAAAAAAGTGCTTTAGCGTCCCGGAGCAGAGTAGATTAAACTGGCTCTCTTTCTAGTCCTTTTTGTTTTTTCTTCTACACTCCACGGTTCATTTGGCTGGCTCAGGGATGGGTGGAGCACGCTCCAGTCTCATGGTCCAGGGGTCAGAAGTCGGGGTGTAAAATGGAGGATGGGTGAGCACTTCTTCTCCAGCGAGGGCGAAGGCAAACACTCCCCTCTGCCTCCCCGCTCCCGGCGTCTCCTCCTCTGCGACGTGCTTCCCCTCTGCTCGTCGATCCTCCCTGCTCTCCTTGCTCTCCCTGCTCGCACCGTCCCCACCCTTAAAGCCCAGACCCCTGTTTGCGAGGCTGAGCATCTCCCCAAGTCCGTGGCTCTTTACTCCCTGGTACGCCGAGCTTAACCCGTTTTCCTCAAACCGGTTGTTGGTAGCAGCAGGGGGGCACAAAAAGTTGCTTGTGGGTGTGGTTCGCCAAGCGGCTGGCTTTCGTCCCCGTCGGGGGCGGGAGATGCGGCAGCTCTGCCTCTTGATGTGTCGATGTAGGTGGTCAGATCGTGTGAAACTTTTGTAGCAGTGCTCGCATTGGTATGGACGGACGCCCGTGTGGATACGCAGGTGGTTCTTCAGGTCGTAGTTGTGGACAAACTTGGAGTTGCAATGAAGGCAGATGTATGGACGCTCACCAGTGTGCTTCCTCATGTGGATCTTCAGTTTGTCTTGTCTGAGAAGAGAAGAAAACCACATTTTCACACAGCTAGTCGTGGGTGGAAAGGTTAACTCTTGATTCACGAGACTGCATTCTTCTAATCTTTTATATCTTGAACTGTACATTAAAAACAGAAAAGATGATTTACTGATTCACACGCATCAAACTGTTAAATACTGATGGAAAATTTGCCGTAGTAGGAGGAAGTAGGTGAGCAGGATATTGCTAATGCAAAGAAACTGAGAGAGGGGCTTTCCAGTTGAAGCGCTTTGGTATTTAAATCTGGTTAAACAGATTAACCTCAGTCAAAAGAGAAAGGGGTACTTTTTCAGTAACCCTGCTCTTGTGAGAAACAGGATTCTTATTATATAAACACAGAAACTTCAAGATCTCAAGCTGGTCTTTTTGCTATTTTCAACATCTAAATAAAGAAAAAAAATATGTTTTAAGAAGTGCTGGTTTAAACACATACCTAGTGAATCGGACTTCACAGATAGTGCACATGTAGGGTTTCTCCCCCGTATGAGTCCTCATGTGTCGAGGCAGCTTACCGGCCCCTTGGATGACCTTATTGCAGATTGGACACTGCTGCGACGCTTTGGGCTTCATTTTCCTCTCCTCCTCCATCTGCCAGGGGGGGAACAGAGTCCCCAGTTGAGACGCAGAGCTGAGGAAACTCAGGTACGACCGAAAATCGGCTTCATCTTTGATTGGAGCCAGAGCGTGGCCTTCTGACGGCACTGACCCGGCGTTCACGGGGCTGCTCAGACCCGAGCCGGCGAACTCCTTCAGGAAGTTTCCGTGTAAGAGACTGAGAGGAACTTCCTCCTTCATCTCTTCCTTTATGACCTGTCTTTTCACAGCTAGATCGAGAGGCCTCGAGGCCTCATGTGGAGCAGATGTGGGGAAGGTGTGAGGGAGTCGGGTTTGCAGTGATGATCCTGCGTGAGGATGCTGGTGTTGGCTCGGGTCTAGAAGCTGCTTGGGGAAGGCCGGGAACTCTGCAGCCCATATAGAAGGGTAGAAACCTGGGAGGAGAGGGGAGAAGTTGGCTCTCCTGTCCAGTGTTGACATACGAGGGTACAGCCCCTCTTGGAGGAGGGACTCAATGGAGAAATCCTTTAGTGCCCGACTCTCCATACTCTCCTACGACACAAGACAGATTCATCATCATCAGCCTCATAAATACTAGATGAAGTACAGAGCGATGCAGGATGATAAGTTAGTGATCGGAACGACCATTGACGACACCAAGAAGTCCAGAAACACCTGACAGGTGATCATCCTGCTTAAAAAGTGGTTGCTTGCTTATGATTTTTCTGGTAACACCTAAAGATAGAACTAGCAACTATTATGGTCTTTTGATGGAGTTGTGTTTGGCTGTGTTTGGTAGAATTGGCATAGATCCACCCAACTGGTGCAATGCCTAAGTCGTGTGGATATCGTCCCACAAGGAGGCCCAATTTGACATGATTTACCTGCTGACAGATTCTGTGTTTGATAACTTTTCTGAGCTCTTCTTAAGACACGTCACTCAGTTGGAATTTCGCTATAGAACATCTGGAATCAAAAACTTTTCGAACATTTGCTAAAGGGATTCCGAGTCAAGCGTAAGTTTTACCTGTTTCCCTGCAATGGCGTCTGGAGACTGCATTTGGGACGTTTCTCTGTGGAGATCAAACTTCTGCTGGAACTGCGAGGTTCCTGCAGGTGACGCCTTCCCCGTCCCCTGAGGTGTCCGCTCCCCTCTGCTCTCCGATGACTGCAGTGACCTTTCACTGACGTTGTCCTCCTCTTCATCCTGCTCATCTTTCCTTGACACGCCATCGTCCTCTTCATCCTCCTCCTCTTCCTCCTCGTCCTCATCGTCCTCTGCATCTTCCTCTTCCTCTTCGTCCTCCTCTCCCTCCTCCATCGTCCCTCCTCCGCCTCCCCCACTACCTCCGCCCCCGCTGTCCATGATCTCCAGGCAGACGTTGATGATGCAAGGAATCTCCAGCATCTGGGCTGCGTTCAGGATCTCTTTCACGTTGGACGCCGTCACCGTCAGAGTAGAGGTGTAGGCGAACTCCAGGATGGCGGTGAGGGACTCCGGAGCAACAAAGTCAATTTCGTACACGGCGGCTGTGTGGTGGTGGTCTCCACTGTCGTTGGAGGCCACCGTGAAGAGCTTCTTGAAGTATTGGCTGCATGCTGCCAGGACTGAGCGATGAGTACGGTACTCCTGGTCACGAACGATGAGGATGACATCGCAGAGCAGCCCGTCACGCCGCTGTTCGTTGAGGCTGCAGAGGACATCGCTGCTGTGGTTTGGGAAGGGGATCCCGATCAGGTCCTCCTCTCTGTGATGCACCATTCTCTTCTCTGAGGGTTATCTAGATGGAAAGCAAAAAAATAATAATTACGACTTAGGACGAAATTGAAAAGACTCATCCCTGAGTAGGGTACAGGCAGGGTTAAGACAGTTTGAAAGCTATTTTAAAAACTTTCATGACCCTTTGCTTGTGAAGGAAAAGCATTTTATTCAAATTTCCAAAGCTGGGTCTCTCTCCAAATAAAAAACAGACAGACATCTTGTTTTTGTTCAACCCATAAAAAAGGCTGTTTTACTATAAAGCTATAAAAATAAATGACATTCGTGTTCATAAAACTTAAAAATTGTTCCCAGGTCCCTTGTGTAAAAAAGATTGTGATCAGAGGGAGAGTCCCCGAATAAATCAGTAATGAAGATGTCACGAGGGTGCTATTTAGGTTTGGATTACAAAGTTAAGTCACAATTTTGGAAAATGAATATAAAAATGTAGGGACTGCTGGGTCTTAAAAGAATCAAAAATTGCATACTCCTTGTTTTGAAGGATTTACTTTGACATTTTACCCGTTGACGATTTGGTAATAAAACGCACTACAACGGCACAAATCAGGGAATAAATAAATCTACACAGTTTCTCACTCACGATTGTAACCGTTTCAGTTATCACACAAACAAAGCAGGAAGTGCAAACAAGCCGACAATGAAGAGAGCAAATAAAAAGCACTGGTTCAAACTTGAAAACAACCTGCAGCTATAAGCTTGAAACGACCCTGATGACAAACCCCATTCATTTGGAACTGCACAGGATTTTTGCTACTTCAATGAGTGACAGTCTAGCTTTATTAAAATATTCTGTAGGCATGCTTGTTTTTGTGCCATCTGTGCAGCACAGGCAACAAGTGGTAAATACAGCATGTCTCATTTTGAGCATCACATTGGGTAATATTTATCCTTGAATCTGCGATCACGATTTCTTGAAGGGAGTGTGTCGCAACTGTGTGAGTTTGGGGAACCCGTCATCTTGATAAGACGTGAAGCGTTGTTGACTTTTTTTTTCCTGTGAGGTTCGATGATAAGTCGGCTATAGTTTCTGTCCATCTCCTTTGTCTGTCACTACAGATATGAGCATGAGGCAAGCTGATACCCTACTTTGAATAAAAGAGTGAGTGATTGGGATGTGGTGAGCGATGAAGAGAAGAACAAAACAGGTCAGATTGTACTCTAGATACTGTATCCTGTTAAAAATGCTTATGTTGCAGACACACTCGTTTGATTTTCACGAAGCCACGGCGAGCTCTGAGCTGCACGTGTTGCTCCTTTTCTATGAAATTCGTTTTTTTTTTTATTCTGCATTCCTGAGTTCCTACCTGTTGATTCACTGGGCTCTTGTTTACGGTTACAGTGATAAAACTTCCTCTGGCAGGCTGCTCATTCATTCACATCTATGAATAGAGCTTAAACTTAGACGTCCACACTTGGTGGTCACTGAAGGCATGTGTAGATAAATACTTTGAAGCGGGACCGCTCACCGCAGCTGCATTGTTGACTGGCCCCAAATTGGCGTAAACCACGCGGACTCACACACACACACACACACACACACACACACACACACTCTCTCTCACACACATACACACAAACCAAGTGTCTCACTTTTTTGTGCCACAGTGGATCACACTCGGAGGAGAGTAAAAATATATATCAGAAAATCCTATAGTTTGACTGCAGGTATACAACTTGGAAACCCGTCTTACATGTAGTTTATTCATGTCGATCTTGTTGCTAGGTTACAGTTGCTATGTTCGTGCCATTGATACAGTGTGGACATAATTAAGGTGTCTATAGACAGGGGGGATGGTATAAGAATATATAGACCCACAGACATACTGTACTGACCTACCTCAAACTACCTTGAAGGGAGAAAGTGGAACAAAAGAGCGGCAGAGAAAGTTCTAGTGGCCAGGTCTGCTTAAGAAATTCTACATTTAAAAAGGAAATTAAAACACTTTCAAGTATAAGAGATTCTCACAAAGCAGAAGCTCATCCTGTTTTTTTAATCTCAGGGGACGCCAAACAGAAAAACGTATTTTCCTGATTCTGTTGATGTTCTCTGCCGCCTCTACAAACAGATTCGAAGCCTTTTGTTTTAATTTTTTTTACGACATGTACATCATCTATCAAAGAACAGGTCCGGGTAAAAGGTGGGAGAATCTCCAGCGAGAGAGCGAGGGAGATCAGATGGCCCTAAAAGTTCCCTAACAGGTTGCACAAACACCAGCGGAGGGGCCCCTCCCTGTAGCAGCCTGCCAAGGCAAACAATAGTGCAGAGCTTGGAACAACACAGAGTGGATAAGAGGGAGAGAAAAAGAGTCAGACTGGGAGGGCTTGGCCAACCCGCTGTCATTCGTTTGCTCTCGATCCATCCCACCCACTCCTGGAACTATGGGACACGTGCTGCTGTTGCTGTTTGTTCGCCTGGTGCCCCAGCAAGCACCACTCCCCTCCGTTCCCACTGTTTGCCCGCCACCAGCTAACGCTAGCTCTTAGCGGCCGGCCCCTAATTACAATGTGGAGAGGATCTGAGGAGGATGTGCCACATAGACAGGGAGGGGAGGAGGGCACAGCTTTCCCACCACAAGGTCCTGGAACGACATTTCATCAGCCAAACAGCCTTAACCCTTTGCACACACACATATATACCCCCCCTCCACCCATCGGAGCAGCCAGGGTGGGGACAGCTTGTGAAAGGCCTCCGATAATTACCATGTAAGTCATTCGGCTCTTTATCCATTTGACTCTTTTAGCAGAGTCACGACAGGACACTCTGTCTTTTTAGTGACCTAATAAACTTTCCAACCTGACATGTTTTCTTCAAGTAATTTATGATTTTAAAAAGTTTAATTTTTTTTCCCGGTTTCTAAAATCTGGCAGATAGCTGTCCGCCAGCGCACGAGGTTCTGCTCAAGGTTTCTGCCTGTGAAAAGGAAGTTTTTCTGGCTGCTGTTGCCATGGTGGATTAATGTTTGTCTTTGTAAACAGTCTAGACCTGCTCTTTTTTAATGTGTCCTCAGATAACTTTAGTTGTGATTCAGCGGCTCATGAATACAGATTGATAGATTAAAGTTTATTCACATTAGCAGCACCTTTTTCACAAGAGCGTTTTCACATCCAAAAATATTCATAAGGAGCTAGACTTAATTATTAAACTGACCTCTAATAAACAGTCGTGTCTTTCTGCCTGTTTCGTCCACGTCTCCTCTCATGCCTCACTTAGTCACCAACACTTTCAACTCAGCACTCCCACCCCAAATTATGTGTCACCTCAATTCACTGTCCTCTTTTTCCCAAGAACTTCATCTGCTTTCCAGCCTCTGACCACCACCCCCACCTCTTCCTAATCATTCTCCTCCTCTCCTCCTCCTCCTCCTCCTCCTCCCCTTCCTCCCTGTAGCAGCAGTCCCATCATTACGCCCTGGATACAGCGGCTAACTCGTCCCCAGCCCTGACCGCTCAGGCCACAAATCAGCAGCTAATGTCCATCTCAACCCTCGTCACGGGCAGACGCTCATTTGGCCTCTGAGCTTCGACAGCCAAAGCCCAGTTTATCCCTGTCAGGCCAGCGCATCCACCTGACCCACCTGCTAAATCAGCAGCAGCCAAAAGTTTACTCCTGTCACCAACTGCCCATAGCAAACACCTGCTAAACAAGTGTCACAGATGGACAATTGCACAGGCAATAAGTGATAGCATTGACAGCCAAAATTCTCCTCCCTTATTAGGAGAGGACATTCATTTGACCTGATGTGTAAGGTAGTCCATTATCACCCTTAAAACACTAGTGCACCTGTTCTTCGCTCAGAGTTTTAAATGACAATTTTCTGCAGCCTGGAGGCCACATTTAGGGGGAAAAGTTTGTAAATCTGATTTTAATGGCTGTCAGTTTGAGCTGTGAACTGTATATGAAATGCCAATTATAAAACATGAGCTGTCGATTTATCTTTGAAATAATGATGAAATTTGAAGGCCAGATTGGAGAATTTTGACTGTCGGAGTTTGGCTTAAAAGTTTGGTTTTACTCGGAACAAAAATACATAAAGTTTGGGTCACTTTTATTTCTCATTTATACAGTCAAAGGAAATTAATCTCCTACCTTACAAACAACTAAAGACTTTTTTTTTTTGTTTTAAACTGTCCCAAAAGTTTAACATGGCAGCACCAACTTCACCCTTGTTTCAAAAGTTATAACAGACGTACTGAATTAACTTTCATTATTAGTCCTACAGCTGTTAAACAATTTAAGCCCCTAATTAAAACTTAATTTGTCTTAATTAGAGGTAATAATAATCTGAAATAAACACCAGACCAGGTCTTGAGAGATCTCATGGTCAAGCTCACTGTGCCCTTTTCTTAAACCAGCCTGTTTGCACCAAGTGTCTCCTCTGCAGCCTTGAGGGGGGCCTACAGCGATTCACCATTATCTCTCTCTCCCCCCCAGAGTAAACAAAAGTTTATGGATAGCTCCCAAAAAAAAATGTGTAAAGAAAGATACTCAGACTGATGAAGAGAGTTACTTGAAGGCTATTGACCATGAAACCAAGGGCAGATTATGTCTTATCCTCACCACCTTGTGTTTCTCTTTATGCTTGTTTAGTTTAAGACCTCAAAATGAACATAATGAACTCTGCGCCACATACAAGAGGAGTTAAAGTGAAAATTTGAGTGTTTGAAGCAGGGGTATATTTTAGCTTTATTGTTACGCCTTTGTTAAATAGAGATCATTATTTTTAATCGATTGTGATGAATAAAACAGTTTAACAAAAGGCTGAAAAATATAATACACCTTGATAAGAGTCAGGAAACAAACATTTCAAGTCTTCAGTACACGCTGACAGTTGTGGTTAAAAACTGCTGCATCTAATGAGATCTAATCAAACCTACAGTAGATCATGTCATCGGTTTGACATTGATTGCTGTAAATTTCCTGTCACATTTTGTGTTGAGTAGGTGTTTCACGACATGAAGAGTTTAACTGCAGATTACACATTTAAAATCAAAATCGAAATCTACTCCAGCAGGATTAAACAATTAAACTTCAATGATGCCCAGATTCCTTTTTAATCGAGTTTCTTTTTTTTTATGCTGTTTGTTTTGATAAAAAAATTTCCGACAGGTGATTTAAAAACACTTCTGGTCCAAACGCTTTTTTATACCGGTCATAACATTTTGTAACTGCATGAGGTAAGAGGTTTAAAAGCTGCTTCACAACAAGCCTGTTGAAAACAGTAATTTACAGCTCAGCCTCAAATCCATAACATGTTTTTTATTTTGTCCGCGCTCACAAACATCCCCTTTAACGTCCCACTTTTTTTTACCTGCGTATTTATTTTGGATTTAAAGGAGAATGCCGTGTAGATATGGAATACCTAAAACTGGAATGTATAATTACAGCTGGAGGCAAAACACATACTTAAGTCCACTAAAACTACTACGTTTGACATTTCCAGGACGTGCTGTGACACTATAAATGCACCTGCTATTTAAAGAATTTTATAGCACAATATTTACACTCCGTTTGAATAATTATACGAGCTTTTAAGTGGCTTTATTGAACTGTTTGCACCTTGTCAGGCCTTTATGAGTAAGCTATGACACGCATATAAACACTCAGGAAATAGGGACACTTAGTGATGCATGTGTGTACAATGAAACGCAAGTGCAAGCCTGTTCACACTTGCATGCACTCTGTAACAATGTGACAAAAAAACACAGAACTTATTCACGCAGACACACACCCATGTGCTCGCTCTGAAAACTCTGGCACCCACATGAAATCACACATGTCTTGATTCGTTCACCGGCATTCCTCAGCTTTCACTGAGCATCACCTACCGTACCTTGAGCTTCTGGATTCGCCTCACGTGTCTTTTGTATTTCCAGACTACTAAGAGGCTCTGCCGCTCCTCGCTTGACCTCTCTGCATTGCCCTTTTTTTTCAACTGAAACACCTCTCTCTTCTGCCAGCCTGTCAATCAGTCAGTCAGTCAGCCGGGGCAGTCAGTCCATTCACAAGCTCCTCACACCGGCTTCTGAAGCCCATTCACAAAAAAAAAAAAAAGAAAAAATATATAAATAAATAAAAAAAAAACACCCAGGGAGGAATATCCAATGGAGAGATTGAAGAGCGCACCGGAGGAGAGCGGAGAGTGATTCTTGGGTCTGTCTGTGCAGCCGAGTGTGGAGTTAAAGAGTCAGGCTCACTGTTGTGTGTGGCTCATGTAGGACGAGTGAGAGAGAGCGAGAGGAGGAAGGGAGGGAGGGCAGCAGCACTGCGCTGTGGAGATGTCGCACCACTAGTTTTTATAGCAGGGTGGGTAGCTGGAAGATAATAATACCCCATCCTCCTCCACAACACAAGTTTAAGCGCACTGTGTAATAAGCCCATGGCGCAGACACCCTCTGATTTAGGTCAGACAAAATGAATTTTTAGTTGTGTTTGAGTGGATTTTTGGTATAAAGGGACCGGGGGAAAGAGACTCGAAGGGGTTGTTTGGGGAGACGGAGGGAGGGTTAAAAAAAGGAAGGGCGAGAGAAAGAGAGAATTAAGTTGGGAAACTATTTTGCGCACCTCTTTCGGTTGGTCTCAAGCTGAGATAAAGAGATGCACAAGACTAAAACAGAACACCCCTGCAGCTTAAAGGCAGTTTCAGTTTGACACCTGTTTGAAAATGAGTCCTCTCACTCTGGACAACCGCTTCACCTAAAAGTCAACAGTATAATCAAAGTGAAATTAACTCTAAGATCTCTGTGTCAAAACAACCCCTCAAATAATCCCTTTCCTATAGACTAATGTCTGAAAAACATTTGCGCACCCTTTCAGTCAATGGTGTTAATTTGAGAGGAAATGTTACTTAAAGCTGACTTGATCTGAGACAGAATCAAACCACAAACCCCCACAGAGAACCATCTACAAGCGACTGGAGGCAGACTCTTTTCTCGATGTGCTGAAACCATTTTTTTTGTAAACCAAGGTTTCAAAAACCAGGTTAAGGAGAGCAGAAGGCCAACGTCAGACTCCTGTTTCGAGTCAGAGAAGCGCCAAAGCAGGGCAACTGTTGTTGAGCGAGACACCACCTCAGTCTGTAGAGAGGAGGAGGAGGAGGAGGAGGAGGAGGAGGAGGCAAAAAAGGTGTAGAAATGAGCCTCAATCTTCAGTGAAGAAGAGGAAGTCTGTTAAGAGAGAAATTTATTTTGAAGGGAAAGTGGAGAGAGCGAGAAAACAACAAAAACAACAAGAAAGTGTTCTTCGCAGAGTTCTGCCTCCTCAAATATGTGCTAGCTTATTTCACACACAGACACCAAATGTAATGACATAGCACATTCACAGGATCTGAAACAGCCATCGGGCTTTCCTGTATGACATAATTAAACCACGCCCTTTGTCATGCTTAATATATCTTTTAATTCAAGTCGGTAGGACGGCTTTAGCGCATGGAGAGAGATTTATTTTGGGACTTTCCTCGTTGTAGTGAGAGCTAAAAACAGAACAAAAGTTTGTCTCGGATAACTAAACCACAATTAATGATTACAAATAGAAATAAGATGAAGTTTGCTCCATTTCTCTAAGGTTGCAGCCCGACATGTTTTCTTTACGGTTTCAGGACATTTCAATATACAGAAATATGTCTGAGCATCTATAAGTCTGACCAGGGGTGAACGCAGTCATATTTTGTCAAGTTAACCTCCACAAACACGTCGACTTCAGATTGTACATCAGACTGCATTGCCCACTTCCCCCTGGGGGAAAACATGGACCAAAGCAAACCACAGCCCATGCCCTGTGGGTTTACACTGTTTTGTACAGGGTGAGAGCTGAGGCCAGCTCACATTGGCATCTCATATATATAAACAGGGTTAGCCACTAACTGCAAGCAGGCCAGCCAGACGGCCAGAAAAACAACATTTGCCATCCTTTAGGATAGCCTATCTATTCTGAACGCAAGGCTGCCGTCACAGCTCCACACAGTAAGTGGTACCTGAGGAAGCGGCTTTGTTTAAGTCTGCAAGATGGCAGCAGGTTTTACAGCAAACTGTCAAAGGCCATGATTGACATAAAACAGTCATCCAATGATACGCAGTGATACTCAAATAGTCTGATTTTTCACTTTTAAATGCACACAGTATATTTGACTTCAAGGCAGGTTTACATTGTGATTATGCTTGAAACAATTAAAATGTAGCTATGCAAGCGTGAGACCAGAATTTCAATTATTATTGTCTTTATTGTCCTTTGAGCAAGGAAAATTATCTTTGTGCTTTAATGCTGTTTGAGAATAATAACAGAAATAATCATTCTTATTTCAAGAGTTATTTGGAGGATTTTTCTACCTTTACTGTGAGGATAAAACAGGAGATACTGAAAGAAACGACAGACAAACTCAGGCTTTGAGTGATTTCACTTTGAGTTGAAACAGAAAAGTCACAAAACAATAACAGCTCAGATCATGTGACGATTCTGTCTCCCCCTCTCTCGCCCAAGCGCATGTAAGAAGTAGAAGAGTCTGGCCGCTCAGTCAGCCCCCCGAGGATTCAGGGGGGCTGAGTAACAGTCATCTGTTTTGTCTGTCTGTCTGCTGGTGCCTCGGCGTACCTGTTTACTGCCACCCACTGTGCCCAGCAAGATGCACAAACCCTGGTACCAGATTGGCACTTTGGAGGGGGGCAGGGGTGTGAAGCATCATTACATAAAGTTCATCTCTTCAAGACTTTGATGGTTGACTTGACTCGGCTTACATATATATATAAATATATATGTAGGCTAGCTTTCTTGCATTGATAAAACTACTAACCCTGAACTTAATCTTAATTAAAGCAAAGACTCTCTCAGGCATTCACTCAAGAGGCGTACTATTATTTCATTTTTAGTTTGATGAAGGTTAAAACGTACTTATTAATGGTGCATAAAATCTTACCCTTCACAAGTTGTTTCCTGACAGCTTTATAATCATACAGAGCTGATAAATTCACTCAGAAACCATTGCTGCTGTTTAAATATAGTGTGCCATGAATTATCAGTGCTGCAGCATTACCCATAAACCATGTAAGAGTTTTGTTAAAAGCATATATTTTGCATTTTCTTTATTTTTTTTGTAACTATAACATATCTGAGATTAAATCCCAGCATGGTTCAACAAAGGGTGGGTGTGTTCTTATGATGTTGGAACATGCCTGATGACAAATTTCTTGGAGGATTAAAATGTTCTCGGTCTGAAACCCGACCCACCGATGTTGCTGCAGAGATGTTGAATTGTAATATGCTTGTTGTCTGTCGAGAGCTTAGGAAGAAGTTGTGCAAAACCCAGTGAGTGTGCACTGGTGGATGGTTTCTTAGGTTTGATTGGTGAATAAAAAGTTGGACAGCTGTTTGTTGTTTCAGTGTTTTTAGCCTCACCACAATGGTATTCTTGCCATGATGACTAAGATATCTTACCCATTACAGAGCACTGATCTTAAACCAAACCAGGAGCTTTCAGGCCATTATTTAGCTGAAACCTGACCAAACCCCAATCTTAACCATGTTGTATCTTACTAGGCTGAACGTAATTTCCTGCAGTGTTGGTATGTGCCGACAATAGGCTGATTAGGGCTTGTATAAGTGGTTCTAGAGGGCAAAAACAACTTAACAACATCACTGTGTGACTGTGTGGCAATTAGATAGAAGTGATAGAAGTAGATGCATCAAGCAACGTAAAATTTACACGCCTGGACTAGTACTGTGTGAGATGGATGGATGGATGGATGGATGCATGTACAGGCTCAACCATTTCCTGATCTCTGAACCTATCAGTTATCATCTTACAACACTATACGCCTGAAAGACAATGGCCAACTTCCTTGTTTTCCTGGCTTGGCAAATGAATGTGATAAATGACTTCCAGCTAAACCTCCTTTTTCCATGTGCTACATTGTTTCCAACCCGGTTAACAACTTGAGAAATGACTAAAGTGACGTGAGTGTTAACCATCTTAATAGATTAGCAAAGTAAACACTGTCGTTATGTTCCCTGGAATAGCTCCCTGTTTATCAGTTTCTGGTGAATTTCAGGCCCAGTTTATACGTACGTGGTTATTTTTAAAAACAGAGACATTAACCATCGTTTGCACTCTTCATTCGGAGAATTCGCCCCTAAAAACGATGCTTTTGGAAAAATACGTTTGAAAGGAAAACGCAAAAAAAAGGAAAAGTGCAGGAAAGAAGGAAGGGACGTTGTTGTTGTTGTTGTTGTTGTTGTTGCCGCTATGCGGGATTCTGATTGGCTAACGTGGGCTTGAGCTTTTCGCTACACTGCCACCCACATGTTTTGATATGCTTTTGACGGCATATATACGCGAGTTAGTGTGAACGCAAACTTTTCCGAAAACGTAGCGGTGTGCACGCAGTTTTTTCATAAACAGAAAGGGTTAAATGTCAGGCACGTGTCAACGTAGTCTCAGTTTCACTGTAAATATTGCGCTTCACTATAGCTTACTTCATCATGAGCCCAGATTTTAAAAACCAAATTTCAACTTTTTACTTCAGCAATAAACAAGTGGAAAGTTTGCCAAAATAATAGAAACAAAATGTTAATATTAAAATGGAGTTTCATAAACATCACAGCTCGAATCCAAGGTTGTGTTCGACTCTGACAACTCGCCCACATAAAGTGCCTAACACTTTGAAAATTAAGCGGTAATCCACACAAAACAGTAGCTAGAAAATAAGGGGAAATAAAGTTCAGTGGTGTATTTAGTGAATCCTCCCTGTATAATCAACTATAGAGACAGTTTATCCATCTACAAGCAGCCTAACTTGTGCCCTTTACCCCGCTGCCTCACACGCCAGGTGTGGCCTGCTGTGGGAGCAGAGCAGGAAAGGGAGTCAATCATCCCCCCACAGTCCAGAGATAGAGCATCGCAGCAGCCTCCCAGGTCTACACCCCCCTGTCTCCCGAGTCCAAGGACGCTGACTCGCACGCACACACACACACTCACAGATGCAACCCTGCTTATACAGAAGGGGAGGCAGGCATGTGTGTAACCATACTGTACAGTCGCTCCATCACAGAGACACACACCTATCTGTCACTGCTCTCAGGTCGTTAGGACTCACCTTGGAGCATGCCATTCGGGTGAGTGAGGTGAGGGCGTTCACTTTCTGCTGAGCTGTCTGTTTGTGCTTTTACTTTCTCCTGTTGTTTCTTCTCTTCAAACATCTCTAATCAGTTTTGGAGGCTTTGCCAGAAGGGAGGCGCTGCATAGTTCGAGGGAGTTGCAGTGTTTCACAGGTGGCTATAAAATGTAGTATGAATTCAGGATAAGTTGAACGTCTGTGACGGTGTTTGCTGAAGGAAATTACAGTTATTCAGCGCAGCAATAAAAGGCGAATTCTACTTTGTTTTCCTCACTTAAATATGGAAATTTTACCCTAAAAACCATAATTTACAAGGAGTTAAACCTTACAGGCTGTTCCTTAACGCATCACGGCCTCACTTCATTTTCTCAGTGTGATTATTTGTGTGTCGCGAGGGTCGTGGGGTGAATGAGGACAACTCCTTGTGGTGATAACGAGACGGAGGCCAGCCTTGGCGGGCGGGACAGCCTCTGTCTGCCCTCAGGTACTGTGTGTGTGAATGTTTTTTAGTGTGTGTGCGCACATGTGTATGTGTGTGTGTGTCAGCAGGAGAGCCCTCAGGCGCTCTGGCACCTCCTAATTAAAACCAGTCAGGCTGCAGGGCAGGGGAGACAGATGCCTGTCACTGCGCACACATACACACACATACACATGGGCACACGGCGCCGGACCACATTCAAGCTTGTGCACACTCTGAAGTACACAAGTGTGAGGCGTAGGTCAGCTATTTATAAAGCCAATCCCAGCCCACCCACTCAGGTATCACACAGGTAACTGACCTTAAAGAAAGGCGGTGAAATCAACTCTAAAGTTAGACGAATCATGTTAATAAGGCTGCGAATAATCAAACAAACAACAATTTTAACATACATGAGTGTTCTTGTTTCCTTGAGAGTGTATGTGCTGGTTTTATGAATGAATCAGCCACTTATTTTGACTGGCTCGCCTTAGGTTGTAACAAATTAGCTTTTTTTGTTTTCAAAAAACTCTCATTATTTTTTTTTAACCTGAACCGACTGGATTGCGACCCTCTTGTTCAAACACACACACACACACATTAAGTGTACCCCACCAATCACACACACTCTCTCACATCCAATCCTGACCTGCAGTAGCTCCCAGATTGACACATCTCTCCTTCTCCCCTGCACACAACCAGACATAATTGTGCCGAATGTCTGCTACCTGCAGACTCTGTCACATTTCATCTCGTGTCTGTACGGCCCCGAGCTGCATGTAGCAGTACTTAGCAGGCTAACTGCTGTTTGTCTGGGGTGGGTGGGTGGATCAAGGCATGCTGCTCTCCTTTCTCTCCCAGTGATTAGATAGCATAAGCAGGCCAGCTAGCCTAACCCACACACTCATGTCTCTAAAACTGCCATCCAGCCCTGCTTTATCTCTCTCTCTTGCTGCCTCTCACACACAGGTGGGTGGACCCACTTATTCAACCCAGATCTTTCTTTTAGACATTATGAAATCGTGCTCTTTTTCTCTCTCTTTCTTCTTCCCTTCACCTCCGTTACACTCCCTGATGCTGAATGACACTTATTCTCTCTGTTTCCTGCAGAATCTTTCCTGCTCTCCTCAGAAGACTTCATCTCTTTACTTAATAAGTTTTAATTTTGCTTGTTTGCGGGTTAGGAATCATATCTCTCTTTGTACTTGTCACTGAACTGAGACTAGGTGGGTTGCCAGTGGTTACTGGAGCCTGTTTTCTTTCATTTGGGTAACAACATCCAGGAAACACCCACAATTTGTGCATTAAGTGGCTCATTTCACAACTTCAAGTTGTGTCTGCCACTTATATATCAGGTGGTGAAATATACAACAACAAGATATCTCTCTTATGACTTTAACCCTGCTGGAGGATACAAAAACAGCTCCAAAACGCACTACCACTCAAATTGAGTGAGCACATTTCTAAAAAAAAAAGGCAAAAATAGAAGTTAAAGTAAGTTGCAAAGTGATAATTTTGCACCTGATTTGTGTTGCAATGAAATAAGTGTACCTCTAACATAAGGCAGATTCACTCAATACGTTTTGCTGGCACATTAAAAAATGCATATTTACTATAAACACATATAAAAATTGAGTTTTTTAGCCAATGTGGGTGCTACAGAGCTAAAGATGAGCTTCTATATGACCTAGTTGTCAGAGCATGTGAGAATATCAGTCACTAGATTTAAGAAAAAGTGCTGAGGAGTGATGACAAGCCACAGCCGGGACAGAGGGCGGAAATAAAAAAAAAACAGCGGAGGAATGGGTGGATTTGTAGAAATTGCAAACGGAAAGAAAGAATATATTTTGAAAAGCAGAGAGGGTGCGATCGAGCCGACCTCTGGGAGCGCGAGCGCCTGCCTCCCATGGCTGCTTTGTCGTTGGAGCCAGGCGTTTGCTTGCTCGCTGTGTTTCGTGAGGAACGCAAAAAAAAGTACACAAATCCCACAGAAGGAGCTTTTTTGGCAGGGCTCGGGCCTCCCACCCACGGCAGCCTCTTCAAGCCTCCTCCCATCCTCTATTCATCTGTGAGGGGCGGCTTACTCACCCAGCCCAACTCCACACACACACACACACACACACACACACACACACCACACACAAACCTGGACCTCAGTCCTACGGAGGAGGGTGGACGCATACACGCATACTCGTGTGTACACAAACAGCTACACAGCTATAATGGACATGCAAACGCACATTTACCTGACCTAACAGATGAGTTTTGGAGGTAGCTTACAGACATTAACCTGAGCTAGAATTCAAACTTATGACTTAAGTCGACTGTTACTGGCTGACACGTGTGTGTTCGGTGGTTAAAATCATGTTGTGTACCCCTGTGTGGATGCTGTTGCACGATATGCCCACATGCTGTCAGGTGGGGAGAAGGCGTGTGGACTCATTCACTCTGTCAGCCTCATAATGAACACAATGCATCATTTAATCATTATGGAGCTCAATCATCATTCACTCTCTCTCTCTCTCTTTCTCTCGCTCATTTAAGGACATCTTAAACTCACTCAGTGGGGTACATTATTGAACAAATTCCCCTACAGACCAGAGCTGAAAACCGGCTTATCCCATAATGTGTGCTATAGGTGAGACTATACAAACATGAATGAAATCAGCCTCAGGTAATGTTTGACAAACATTCAGGCTGATGTGTAACAAAAGAGCTGTACAGATCAGGTTCAGTTCAGATAATCCTGCTGAGAGATGGAGGAAGACGAATGGAGGCCTGTAGTCAGGGTGTGTGATCAGTGAAGGTGTGGTAGTGTCGACTTCACTCTATCCCCAGCTAACCCCCAACCTGACATCTAGACAAATCCATGAAGAAAGTTTGTTTTGAAGCGAAGGCCTAGATTAAATTTGTTGCTTTAAATGGTCCCTTTCTTACGTCTTAACTCTAAGTGAAAACAAAAAGATGGACATTTAGCCCTGGTCCTGTTATAAGTTTGTATTTTAAAGCTCCAGTCAGAGACTCATTTATTTAGGCGCCCCCGTGGGCAAAGCTTATCTTGTCAACTGTATGTTTCAGCTGTGGCTTCTGAAACAAACATCTTATCCTGCTGATTTTTGATAATCAAATAAATAATTCATCGTAAAATCTTTAGGTGAAAAATGTAAACACAGGCTCTCCCCTGCTACTCAGCTGAAGCCTACCCCCTTGCACCGGTTTCTGGCATTCAGAAATATAATATAACAGCAATAATATGTCAGTCTTGTCTCTGATGGTTTAATTTACATTTGTTCATCAAAAAATGTATCGTTATGAATTTCTGTTTAGTGTTTTTACATTAAAAAAAAAGTCCTGACAGGAGCTTTAAGTCATGGTGATGAAAACAAGGTCAAGCTATTAAAAAATAGTGTGATAGAGTTTAAGGGTCAGTTTATAGAAGAAAAAATAATGTTAGATTTCAAGAATAAATTCATAAATGTACAAGAAAAAGCCTTTTATCAGAACTTCTTTTTATAATATTGCTACAACTTTGTTCTTGAAGGAAAGCTGCTTAATTCTTGTAGATTTAGGACTGAAATATTTAAGTCTTTGTCTGCAGAGCTGCAGTTTCAGGCCTGCAACTCTTGGTCTACAATCCTTGTGTTGTTGGTAATGATCAGGGTTCAGGTTAGGATATTTGATGCTTACTTCCTTTTTCCACAAATTTCACATTCAGGGTCTCAAAGCTGCAATCCAAAGATTGTGGTTCAGGATCTGCGGCCTCCAGGTCTGCAGAGACATGCCACTCCAACTTACAGTTTCATCCCTGAAATTCAAGATGATTTTTCTCATGGATACATAACTTTTTTTTAAGGAATCTATGACTTTTCATATAAACTGACAACTTGTCCATAAAGTGGCCTGAAATGCTTTTTAAATGAACCTATATCATGTCCTAAGATTTGATTTTTATTATATCTTTTATTTTTTACTTTCATAACATTGGCATAACATTTAAGTAAATGATTAAAACTTATTTAATGAAATTTTATAACCAAAGTTTTGGATTATTGACAATTTTCCCCTTTTTTTTATCTCATAATTCTGACTTTTTAAACTTGTGTGCCAGATTTTTTTTAGTTTAATGCGCTTTTACAAAGAAAAATTACTTCCTAGACTCATTATTTAGACTTAATAATGCACAACTTTGACTTGCCATGGGGGATATATTTTTATAATATAGGCTAAGTTTCCTTTTTATCGCTGGTTTAGCCTTCAGAAATTTGGAGTAGGTGTTAGTGAAAGTTTCTTCTCCTGATTATTTCTTTTCTAATCACCCATCATGCGTTTGATAACCAAACAAATAAAGTGCGTGTAGGAACATGTAACAACTGTGGTTTCTGCACCACAACTGCAAGAGGAAACGATCTATGAATAACTGTAATTAGTTAATATAAAAGTGTAGTCATCACTCTTTTTTTCTTTAAAATAAACCACTGAAGCCCTAAAGCAAAGTCATCCTCCTCACCCGTGAGAAACTGTCACATACAGGTTAGCAAACGCTGATCATGGCAGATTTATCGTACAAGCCAATCAATGAAATCTAGAGCTGATCTTTGTGGTGATCTCTTAAAGGTTACAAGTCAGGGGGGGTTACAGACAGGAAGAGTGAAATAATGATAATATCACACCTCTGCAACCACGTGTTCCTCTGAGAAACTGAAGCTAAAGCAGAAATCGATTTTTTTTTAAAATTATATTCCATCATCATTACATATTGGATTGGTTATTACTGCCATGTCAATTTAGAGATGTAATAATGTGAGACCGCAACCACTTAAGGGTAAGAAAAGTAATGACTAGACATTTAAATTATGCTCAGTAAATCATGTCGGCGTTAAAGAAGCTGTAGCTATATTTACCAGGACAAGTAAGAATGATCAGTCTGCCCCCTGCTTTGTCATGGTTTCACTTGTTTCTTTCTCATGTGTTGCTCAGAAGGGAAAGGCCCTTACTGTATGCACATCTGCTGTAGGTCACACTCAGGAAAGTTTTCGAAATCGCAAAAAAAATGACCGCACAAACTGTTTCTTTTTGTACTGTTTGATCATAAAAGAGTCGCAGATGTTGAGCAATTTGCAGCTTTAAATTGGGATCACAACCTTATTTTCAGCTATCCTTTAGCATGACTCTGACAGCTCTTGCACACAGTGAGGTTTTACCACAACACAGAAGATATGAACCTGTCAGGAAGCTTCTTTTTTTCAAGGAGACATTAGAAACAAGAAAAAAAAATAGAGAGCAAATCGAGAGTGAAAGAGACAGTTAGATTTTACTGACCTTTTAAGAAGAGAAGTTTTGATTTCAGTTCCTCTCTGTAAGGAAACTCAACTATGTCTCCACACTGGCAGACTTGTGAAAGTGAGAGCGGGGCGAGATAGAGAGGGAAATTTGCTCTGAAGGTGTGTCAGTGATTCGGAGGAGTGAAAAGGTACCGCTCCACGAAACGGTTATCTAAGAAACACAACAAAACAAAAAAAAAAAAAACCTGCTACACCCACCAACCTCAGCCAACACCCCTCCCTCCCTCTAAACCAAAAGTATTTTGGCAGCGTTCCCTACAAGTCCACCTGTGCTTAGGGGAGGGGAGTGACACACACACATACTCATACTGACTCGGCCAAGCCTAAAAACCTGCTCACTTGTTCAGTTAAGGCCGGGGTAGAGCTGAAAGACAGGGGGGTTTAGGCCTGAGAAGGGAGACTTCCAGACTAGAAGCTGCCTGAAATGAGGCTGATGTGCAGCTGAATAGCGACTTGAGATTTCAAAGTAAGGAGAGGACAGAAAAACTTGCAGAAGTTGAAATACAGGGTTGAAAAAGAGGGCGGGTTTGCCACTTGAGGGGTTCATATCAGGAGTCAAACAAAAGCTATATGAAAGAAGCAGAGACTTGTTACACAGTGAATGACAGTATACTTGTATACATGGGTGTGTGCTCTACTGTACCAGCTTGTACCTGGTAAGAAGTAAGAACCATTGTGCTGCTCAAGCCGATAATGGGAGTATAATAAGAGGGTGTAATCACTGATGCACACACAGCTAAGAGGTGGTGTCGGCAATAGAAAAGTCCAGCTATAGAGTCAGAGGTGAGACCATCAAAAGCAATACTCAACAGTAAAATAAGCAATTGTAATGTGAGAGCTGATAGACAAGTATTTGTTTGCATTTTAGAGTATAAAAAAGCACAAGACAGCCGACTCATTTTAAAGCTACTGTATGGGGTTTTAGGTAGCTGCAAACTGGGCTTAAATCAGTACTACTGTCTCTACTGACTTTTGCTATAAAGACACAAACAGCAGCTTTTTAATAATAATGGAGGAGTTAAAAATGCTACAGTCATTTAATGTGAATTGAAATGATAATAATGGTCATGACTATCATTTCCTTGAAGTAATAGTCACCATATTAATCATTTTGCACTGCAGACGCAGTAGTTCATCTGACTTAGCGTCTCGGTCTGATTGCATTTCCATGAAAAAATTATCAGAAATGTTCTTCCTTGAGCTGCGTCACCCTGCTGCAGTCCGTAATGGACTGGCCCGAAGTCTCGCCACAAACAAGCGGCTGCTGGAAGAGAGTAGGTGAGTTGTGTTTAGTCTCTTTGCTAAAGAAATTAGGCAAAGCTAAAAAGATGTTTGGTGACTAGCACAATGGCTTGGACCCTATATGTACTGTTGATGGAGTTAGGTGCTGCTCTGAGCATTATTTGTGGCTGTAGAGTAATGATTTGGTCATTACTAAAGTTAGTATGACTAGAGAGACCCTAAATCAATTTTACGCCGGAATATCCCTTTAAGTGTGTAGGAGGCATTTTGTGTACCTTTTAGTCATCCATAAAGTGTTCTTTACACCACTATGACTAATATGAGGTATTATATCCAAAAGATGGTGCTCAAAAAAGCAAGCAACAAAAAGCATGCTGGATTTGAACACCAGTCCAGTGTTACCATCTTTTTAATACCTTACTCCCTTATGAATATAGGTAATATTAATGCATTTGAATAAAACAGTGGTGTTTTGCCAAGTAAAACAGAGCACTGGTTTGATTGAAAATACTTAAATCTAAGACAAGTGGAGCCCTTCCAAAAAATCTTGTGTGCCAGTTTTTAGCTAGTATAGAGCAAAATCACAGCTGAATGAGAATAAACTTAATCAAACGAACCCAAACAAGATTCCAAATATACACATGGTGAAGTGGCTCTGTGACTCCTTTGTGTGTTAATGGGCAAAAGTTTGCCAACAAGTTTTGATTGCAAGTTAGACTGGGTGGTGCCATCACATGTTGACTTAAGGGATTACAATTGCTTCATTTTGGGAGTGGGTGGGTGGGGGGCTTTTTAGCCTTATTGGCACAGAAGGTTCTACAAAGTCAATAGTATTTAACTATGAATGTCTGCACAACATTCAGTGATAGTCTAGGGAGCTACTGCCATAAATGTTCTGTGCTGTAAGCGTATAGATTTATATGTTCACTGTTGAGCTAGAGAAGGAAATAAATGATTGAATCTGGCATGCTTTCAGTTGCATGATTATAAACTCAGTTTCCCAAATAATGATCACATAAACGAGGGTGTAATGAGCTTATTTTAGCCTTTCACTCATACCAGTGTGGGTTAGATTACAAAAGACCTACCCTCTTGTCTTTTTCAGGATCCTAGAGTCCAGCTTCGAGTGCACCATATTTGCTTTAAGATATACTCACCAAGTCAATATTTGATCATTGTCTCTTTCAGTGGCCTGTCCTGTAGAGGGTGGGGTCCGAGGTTTTTGTATGTGTGTGTGTTGTTTGTCCTAAAATTTTGCTTTGCTTTCCAGACATTTCAGCAAGATTTTAATTATTTACCAAACTCTATTTTAGTTTATCTTCAGTGAGGGATAATGTAGGGATAATGAGCCTCTCTGTCTGTTTGGGCTAGACCAGACTAGGCTAAAAGGCTGATGCATGGCAGCAGCTTCAAAATTGAGCTGCAGATGAACGTTTTTTACAGCCAAATGGGTTGAATGACTTCTTTTACTTGATGGCTGAAGCCACTGGTTGTTATTATTTTTTTCTCTAAGTAAAATGCGGCTATAAATTAGCCGTTAGCTTTTAAAAACAGGGGCCCAAAACAAATGTTTAAACATAAAGTCCAACCAAGTTTCTTTGAGATTGTCCAAAAACTTTTATTCTTGGGTGCTTAGACGAACACAGCAAAGTGCTTTACATTCATTAGCATTAATCCATTGGCAAGGTTTACCACCCTGTTAATTACTCTCAGACTGAAGCAAGAGGAGACACATCAAGGGCAGTGCAGCACAGCAAAGACAGAAAATTTAGTGTTTTTAATTTCTCACCAAATTAATTGCAAATAATCTTTTGCAAATTCTGTTTTTGTATAAACAAGTTTTCTCCGCGGCATGCATAGATATTACCACCAGAAACACTGACTAAAATAAGTAATTTTTATCACTCGGTGTAACTGTATTGTATTTGATTTCTCTTTGTTTTACATGAGGCTGGGGTCCAAGATACAAGACTCCCCCCCTCCTGTTTAGAAGCAGTAGATAAAAAATCCTCACAGTACACAAGGCAACAACTCGAAGTTACACCCACATGCTGCTGTTGCTTTCATCCTGCCACCTGTGGAGTGGGTGTGACCATCCCATCCACCAAATCTGTCAGATCGACCGCTTTCTGCACACAGGCCATGTTTTGGGTGATGGAATCTGTTTTATGAATAGCTTTTGTTTTGTTCTGAGATTTTTTGTTATAGTGTAGGCCTGTCTCCTCTTCCCACACACTGATAAGAACAGTAGATGTAGTTACATAGACATCCATTAAGTGGTGGTCATTTGGTGTTGTGCTCTGCCATGGATGTGTTATTTGTGAGCTGACAAGACCAAAATATTATATAGAGAAAAAAAAATGTTTTTCAACAAAGAAGGTTAAAGTTCTGTCTTTCAAACTTTTTTCGGTCAGTTCTTCTGCTGGCATCTAAACAAAAGGTCATGATGTGAGCACGAGTCAGAGACCTTACAAGATGATTCAACAGAACTGTGCAGAGTTCAGCTGAGTTTAAAAAAAAAATGTAAATACAGCGCTAAATATGTGGTATATGACAGCTAAAAAACACAGACAAATTGAGAACCTGACTCCAATTGTGCCTTCGCTCTTATAATGATGGCTAATCACCTGAAAGTATTAAGTTTGACGGCATCAAGTGCCCAAAATATGCCTCTTTGTTACTTTTCAACCGGAAAAATTGATATAAAGTTGAAAGTTCCTGTTTCAAATCAAAGTCGAATACCTAACACCGCCACCTCGGAATCAAAAACACTGCCAGGGTGTTGTTGCTTAAAAATGTCACATGAATTAAAACTTAAGAGAAATCCTTCATTTGTTATTATCCTACCATACTCATGCCAGAGAAATGCATTCCAACCCTTTCCCTTCCTGTAAACAATGAAAACTAGTCCTTCAAGCCAACCAGAACTAGAGGCAGAAACATGGGTCAGAGGTGTGTAGGTGTGTGTAGGAGGTGTCAGTTTGCAATATCTCCAACGTTATTCACAGAGCTCTTTGCTTCCAAAGGTTCAAACATACAGTATGTGTCCCGACAGACATCACAAACATGGTCTTCACCTCCTGGAAAGAGCAAAGGGTTTTTATTTAAAACTCTCTCACACGTTCAGCTGTGACAGTGTTCCTAACACAAGCATAAAGGGATATTCCGGCGTGAAATTAAGTTAGGGTCAAACACACCGTAACACTGAGTTAGACACCCCGTCGAGAGATGAATGTTACCGACCGCTTGCTACTCTAGTTATGCCAACTTTAGTAACGACCGCAGATAGCAATACAGAGAGCCACACGCTCAACCAAAACGCCACAAATAATGCTCAGAACAGCACCTAACTTCATCAACAGTACATATAGGGTCCCAGCCAGAGCACTAGCCATCAAACATCTTTTTAACTTTGCCTAATTTCTTTAGCAAAGAGACTAAACAAAATTTACCCTCTCTCTTCCAGCAGCTGCTTGTTTGTAAGGAGACCTCTGGGCGAATCCTCTATTTAATTTTACGCTGGAATATCCCTTTAAACAGACAGATTGGTAACATTAGTCTAACAACCCTGCTCCTCAAACCAATGAAGCCAATGCACAAGTGCTGAAAACTGCAGTTCCTCTAGTGTCCACTTGGGGCTGGCTTTAGAGGTACCAAAAACCACATACACATCCATTAAAAAAAAACAATCTTTACAGTTTTGATTCGGAAAAGGTTTTTTACTCTATGTGTGCTTGTATTATACAGATATCAGCTTTTAAGGAATAAAAGTTCTGAGTTTGTTCAAATTAGAGGCTCCGCTGATTTTACCATGAGGAAGGCTCACTGTAGCTGTTATCCAGAAGGCTAAATTCCTGCCTCAATTCTTTACCTTTGCCTCACGGTAGACAAAAAGTGAGAATAAGT